TACCGTCAAAGGGAATGTGGTAGCCCCCGACACGATCTTCCTGATGGTGGAGTCAAATCTTTAAAAGCGAATTGCGGGTGCACGAGGAAAGTGGGAAGCGGTTAGTGAATGTAGTAGCCTTCGACAAGATCTGTTTTTGATGGTTGAATCGAAAGTGGCTAATAGAATACTGATCTGCCACACAAAAATGCGCTGAAGTCCCTTCGATCTCAAACGAGGACTTTGATAATTTTTTTTCTTTCGAAAGAATCCTCTAAAAATGCAGTCGCGTAACATCCCTCTTAACTGAATTTCACCCTGTGTTAATTGCACGTTTCCAACACCCAAAATTACTCGTACACGTACCCTTGAGTTTAGGGTAGTATAGGTTCCAACCAATCGAAAATGTGTGACCTATGCATCTCAGGCAAAAAAGTACGGTTTCGTTAGTCCCGATTTCCCGATGCGGACTAGTCCGTCCCTGCGAGTAATAAATACCTACCTGGCGTATACCATTGCTTTTAATTAAATCACAGAAAGCCTAGTAAAGTTCTCGAGGCATAAACAATAATCCGTATTACTTTCATGTCTTAACTTAGCAAAGTGTATGTGAAATTGAAGTAAGGAAGTGCAACGTGTATGCATAATAATTACACGAATTACGTACAATTAAAATTGACCCCTATAAATAAGCTTATTAAAGCTAATTAATTACGTCATACACTTTAACAAGTAGGTACGCTAAAGGTGGTAACGGTAACCTCATGACCTTTTAGTATTTTTTTTTCAAAAAGCACGTGACTGACAATGGTCAAAAACAATGCAAATGTTTCTCGGTTTCCCCATTTCGAGAAATATCGACGGAAGGTCAATCGCAATTCGTAAATAAACAAAATAGATAAGTACCTACCTGGCAAGTCACTGTCAAGATAGGAGGTGGGAGACCCAACCATTGCAGAGGCACCCGCAATTTCTTGTTGCTCCATTGCCTTAGAGGCACTACGTTTGAACTGCTCCAAAAACGAATCAATTTGTGTTTCCAAACTCAGAGAATCTGCCATTTCCTTTACAGATAAATAACGTAATACACATCACGTCTAGTTTAGAAACACTTAGCAAGAAACGGAATTAAACTATAATAAATAAAGAAACTGTATTGAACAGACCGCTACGCGAACAACCGGCCATTCTACCAAAACAAACCTAAAGAAAGGTAGATAATTAGTTATAACATAATAACAACAACACAGTCGTCACTGCATGTATCATTTACATCCGACACCGACTTCGTGTCTCCGTCAATACAAACTCCTCGTGCTGTCAACTCCACGTTGGGATACGCCGAGAACGCCCCTTACTTTTCTTAACATTAATGGGTCAAGTGATGATAATGAAGGCCTAAATGTCACTTGCGTCTCCACCGACTATTGCGTTCACGCACATATTTGCAGTATAATAAAAAAACGCTTACATCACGAGTGAGAACATATTTTTGGTTATTTTCAAAAATCGATTGTTAAATTCTAACGGATATACGCGCCAGCGTACGTAGAGAACCGAACGGAACTTGAAATGAAACAGAACTGGATTGAGGGGGAAAGTTTCTCTTTCTCTCTAACGCGTGGTTTACGTTACCATCAAGTACTTCGATATTGTACAGCATTTGAATATAAAATGTAAAAGATACCGTTAAAACTTGATATATCATTCATTATATGTCTCCCCACAAATAATTGGACTTTATAATTTAATCTTGCACCTGTTCTGTGGAAATTAAATTGTTTTTTAAGTGACGAGCGTTTTTCGTACAATAGCTCTTCCCAATAAAATTAAAAAAGATCCGTCTTCCTCTGCCTCTCGGCACTGTCTGTAAAATCTTGCATAGCAAATTGTTCCAAGTTTTAGTTTGTGCTTAGTATTATTACTTCTACCACTAAGAGTCTAAAGAAGAAAGAAAATCACCCTAATAGCATTCAAATCTTAACTTTGAGCTCGAGGCGCTGTTATATTATGTTGTGGATTTTTTGTGTTCAACAAAAAATTAAGATTCGCACCCCCTTTCTCCCCCAAAGTATACGTCGTCGAAATATTTACCCTCGGAGTATTTAGCACACGGAAAATTTCCCCCTCGGAATACTTTCTGGTCCAAAGGAAAATTTCCGTGCCGGAAAGCAAAACACTAACGTAAGGATAGGCAACTCAAATTGCACCAAACGCTCGTAAGGCAATCTAGAAAGGGAAAACAAAAGAACCCACAAAAAAACATGTAAAGGAATTTTGCTATTTAGGTAGTAAGGTTACACAAGATAATCGTAGCAAGGAAGATATAAAATGCAGGATAGCGCAGGCTAAAAAAGCATTTGAACAAAAGCGGGATCTGCTAAAACCCGGGATAAATATAGGAATTAGGAAAAGGCTACTAAAACGTAAAGTATGGAGTGTAGCTCTATACGGGTGCGCAACCTGAGCGATAGGCAGGGCAGACAAAAGTAGGATAGAAGCATTCGAAATGTGGTGCAATAGAACGATTATGAAGATTAGCTGTATGGACAGGATAACAAACGAAGCACTCTTGTAGCTAGTACAGGAAAATAGGGAAATGTGGAAAACTGTACAGATAAGACGAGATAGAATGATAGGGCACGTGCTAAGACACGGAGGATCAGTACAGGTAGCTAGAGAAGGTAGGGCAAAGGGTAAAAGAGAGGGGTAGGACCACAGAAGCTTAGATACATGGACTAAATAGAGACGTACAATTATGTAGAAATGAAAAGATTAGCACAGGATAGGAAAGGGTGGAGGACTGCGTCCAACCAATCCTAGGATTGTGGGCTCTGAGAAGAAGATGGCATTATCCTGCACATTGTTACTCCGTTCCTAAGGACATGGATTAGAGTTTTGCACTACTCTTGGGTAGATAGAGTAGAATTATTCGAGACGCTTATTGGTCTATAGTCTCCTCTCTTTACCACCCGCGCGTAAGGAAGGTATTGCATTGAGGTAAAAAATGACCCCCCCCCCCCCCCCCCCCAACCCCACTTTTTGAAGGAAGTACACGTTTTTAAGCACCAGGAATCCGAATCAAACAAAATCTCGATGTTGTCGGTCATGTCCGGATGAATCGTTTGAAACCAAATGTGGTACACATTCATTCTTAGACATACAAGGAAGAGTTTTGGGCAGAATCGCGCAAGCGCAAGTGTGCCAAACTCTCATATCCGGCTAAACGGCTGAACCGATTGGAACCAAATTTGGTACATTAGATAAAAAAGTTTTCGCTCAAAAGCGGATAACTTTAGCGCATTTTCCTTGCATTGATCAGTATTTACCAAAAGTCCATAGCTATGTGAACTGTGAACTATATAGGTATATTTTTCTTGACTAGCATCTATGCTCTGGTAAATCGGATTGTAAAAGTCACCCTGCAAGGTTGTGCCACTCCTTAAAACATTCGTCACTTAAAGGGTCGTTCGTGTACATTCACCACAGTAAAATCCACTCATGGAAAATTCACCACATCACAGTCGGCCACAAAAATTTGCTTTCGGGATACTTCCCCCTAAGAAAACTCGATCTAGATATCTTTGACAGTAGAGATAGCGACAGCAAATTTTCCAAGGGTAACGCTTCCGCTGGGGCGAATTTACCGTAGGTATACACTTCTGTCACGAATCCCATAGGAATTTTGGAACTCTCATAGGTACTTAATATTGAAACGTAATAATTATTTAAATGTTTATTTATATAAAGTTGATTATTTATACTAACACTATTACCCATTACCGATAAACTAAATATAAAACGTTTTCGAATGAGATTGATTTATAGCAGTTCTATTAATGTTTATGGCTTAATTGCAATCACACTTTAATTAGGCGCGACCGCGGGTGATCATCACAAATTTAACACTTCTAAGTACTTCTTGACCGTGTGTAAAGCAGTAATTCTGGTTTTACTTTTACGAATTCCTAATAGTTGACGGAGACTTCGGTAGTTCCAGAGGGCACTTCAAATCTGTTCAAAAGCTCTTTTACCAAATCTTCGTCGATTTGGTACAGCATGTGCTTCTGTCAATTTGCTGAAATAGTAGCCCTGAAAGTTGCGCCTTCCCATGCCCTAGCTAGACATTGATTAGACACAGTGTGTATGCCTTAGGGTACGCATGCAATCAGCCTTATATAGTTTCATGGGCCCAATTATATAACCATATCTATATGAGCCCTGCTGTTCTTCTCAGGGTAATTGCTGTGATCTACTTACTGTCCTTCTACAACCTGCTTACAGGCATTGATAGGATGTTCCAGGGGTCTGAACTTGAGTACCAACTCTTCAGCCCTTTTCCAGCATCGTCGGGTGTAGATCCGTCTAGCATTTTCTTCCCCTTCACCCTTGTTATATAGTATGGGTTGCACCGATATTAATATCGGGCGCGCGGCATCGGTCGATCCCTATTCTTTTCCCGTTCCGCAGTACAGGCTGATTCAATCCCTTCCCTGAGACACCTTCTATACTGTATCATTGCGTATTGAAATTGAATGCGCGTGTCAGCGAGAGGGGTAAACTAAGAGGCAAACGCTCTCGTGTTGGTCGCACTGACACAGCTACACCGATTGTATGCAACCAACAGAAGCGCGATAGAGAGCAAGCACCTCTTACTTGTCCCCCTCTCGCTCACGTACAGTATCCGCGCTTAGGATTGGCGCGCGGTTCATTTCTATATGTCACTCTACTGTACAAACAATTGTGTATTTATCGGACTGACGCAGTTTATTCCGCTGATGCTATTGAAACACTGTGTGGACTATCCTAAGAGCTTGCAGGCGCGGATAACCCTATTGGAGTTCTTAGAGGGACACCTTTCTCCGTTATGTTCTTAATTTCCTGGTCAATAGGGTACTTACTAGAGAAATGATGGTCACCTATGGCAGCATCACTACCTCCTTTTTGGACACCCCGTTTATCTTTGAGGGAAAACATAAGTAATTGAAAACTTTTGTAGTATTTAAATAATAAAAGAAAACTAATGCAAAATAAATTTATTTGAAAATGAAAAACAAAACTTAAACTTTACAAGGTCAGCCTTGATATAGGAAGAAAGTTTAACGTACACAATTCGCATACTTTTTATTTAGCAACATCAGTCATTGCAAGGTCAGCCTTGCGATAATTTCCTCTCAACTCGACTAGTTTTACTTTGTCTGTAACAAGTTCTCTTTGCATCGTACGTTCTTCTTGTTTTGCTGTTGTTAACTTTACGGTCTCGTCGAGTCCCTCCAGACAAAGTCCAATTATAGCGTTGACATCAGAGGCAATTTCTAACCTAGAACAAAAAAATGCCATTAACGCCTTTAGGTAATGTTGTAATGCAGACTACTTATTAGGAGTACTGGAAATTATTTTGAAACTTTCCGAGAAAATCTTGAGTTATTTCAGTGATTGTTAAAATCCACCAAAAGCCCCAAATTTATATATACAAATTGTGACACATACTGGGCCAGATTCGCATAGAGTTGGCTTCCACATTCTCTTTAAATTCATTGAGTCCAAATGATTAATTCCGGTACAAAAATAGCTCGTATATAGCCCTTTTTTTCATATACATATCAATACTACTGATGATGGTCCCTAGACTACTACCTCCAGATGTAGCCGAAATATATGTGCTTATGCCCCTCATGACTGCCATCTATACGCGTGCTTAGCAAAGGAATACCAGGGACCGAGAGGGCGGTCTTAATTGAAAAGTATGAAATTTGAAAAATAAACGTAATTTAAATGTTCACCTGATTTACTAGTACCGGTACGTAAGAAGGTGAAAGATCACGCAACCCCACTATATTCTACTAATTGCACCTAATAATAATGCCTCGCCCTGTAGACTCTAAATAAGTCATCTGAGCATAGCCCTTATGTGCCGGTACCAGTATCATGTAGCGTGGAGAGAATAAAAAAAATGAGAAAAGATCCTGTTGTTGATTCTAAAGAAATGCTAATCCATATACGAAACCAATGTAAAAAAACCAGAATTTTCTTCCAGCTACACATTGAAAGCACAAATCTCCAATTATCCTGTTTCAAATTTGATATAACTAGCGCCATCTTATGTAGTTAACTCCATACTGTACTAAACAGTACATTAAATATTGCTTACCATGCCTCCATTATTACAGCAGTAAAGTATTGAGTAGTGGAATCTGGGTTACTATCACCAAACAGTTGATATTTTTCTTTTACTTGGCTTTTATAGTTTTCTCCTTCTGCTCTTACTTTTTCAAGTTCAGATCTAGAAATGGGGATGTAAAATAAAATGAAAATTACCTTTGTGACCTACTTTAACTGCTTAATAGTCTCATCCTCAATATCAAGTTCGTGAATTCCCTTGAGCCCAGCGCAGAGATTCACAAGACTCACACGTAGGTCTTCCAGTTCTTTAGCAAGAGATGAATGCTTTATGTCTAGCTTCATGTAATACTTTTCTAATTGCGACAAGCCTGCTCTCAGTTTCATTTCGCTGTAAGTCAACGTAAAAGTAAATGTCTCGGACGTAACTTAACTCACCTGTCATGCACCTCAGCAAATAACGAATTCCCTTGCGTTGGCAGTTTCAGTGGTTCGCTGTCAACCGACTCAACGGCCATTTTAAGTGAGCTATACTTATCTTGTAAGAGACTTAATTCGTCACGTTTTTGAGATACAAAGGCTTTAGTTGATGTTAAAATCTCTTTTTGTTCTTCTATAAGATCGTCTAATTCTTTTTCTTTTGACTGCAATGATGTGGCTTCCTGGTTTAGAGCATCAATTTCTTCTTGTGTGGCGACGACCTTACGCATAAGTATAGAGACTTCTTCAGCATCACGCTGCATCATTAAAGCTGCCTCCCTTTGCTCTTCCCTGCGATTATCCACTTCAGTTATCTGGAGTTCCAACTGAAGTTTTTGACACATTAAATCTTTAATTAGTGTGTCATGTTGATCGAGGTGTACCAACTTGTTCTCAACCTCTATCAAGGCTAGGTTTTCCACTTTTATCTCTTTTTTTATTTTAGCTTCCTTTTCGAGGTTACTTAAACGAATTGCTTGGATTTCGCTTAAATAATCGGCTTCCAGAGAAACAGCTACTGCAATCTTATTCCTCATTTCGTGAACTTCCTGCTTTTTAGCTTCCAGTTCCTTTTCTAATAAGCTTAACCTTTCGCAATTCATTGTCATAGAAGAATCCATCACTACAATACAATTTGGAAAGCTTCAAAATACTTCAAAACACATCACATGAGGTAGTTACTGGCTGGTTATCATCTCTAACGTAACGGTCTCCGATTGAATTCAAATAAACCAATGGAAACTTTGTGTTGTTCAGGGTTTGCCAACTTAAACACAAAATTATCAAACTACATCTAAAAGAAAATGTGACTCTTTTCCAAGTAAATGCGTTGTTGGTTGCGTTTTACTTAGGGGTATTTCATGTGTGCGGTAAATTCGCCTCCGAAAATTTGCGGAATATTCACCACCAGGAACATTCGCCCTCAGGAAGATTCGCCCCCGGAGACAAATCCCCCAGAGCGAATCTTCAGGGGTCGAATTTTCTTGAGGATGAAATATTCCGGGGGTAGATCCTTCTATACGCTTGTATTTCAAACAGATTTTGATTATTTCGAATAGTATCCACTACAGCTATTAATTTCTTACACATCAACCATGAAAACTGAGATTTGTCGGATTAATTACAGAGCAGCTTTGAATAAAGTGCATTCTTTTAACGATTAAAAAAATGAGTCCTGGAATCTTTTACAATAGGTAGCCAATACTTTGAAAGTGTGAGAGAGGGAGGGGGGGGGGGATAAATTATTCTCTATGTTGTTTGTAGTGCACTTTAATTTTCAAAAAATAAAAAGTGCACTTTTGTGCTCTTTATATGTCTGTCTGTCTGTTTGTATGTCTGTCTTAGGCACAAAGGCTCAGGAACTACACCACTTACAGGTTTGGTATTGGTGTCATTCGATCAGAAATTAAAAATTATGTTAATTATGTTTGTGTTCGCGACATGTAAGACATGAAATGTCCATAAGGCTATTAAAATCGAAAACTTTGCCTTTTGCTCACAAGCGGCTTAACTAATTTTTTTAAAAATAAGGCGTGCATAATTACATGCGACAACCAATTGCTCCCCTACACAGTGGATGTTTTTTAACTACCCGGGGTCGATCTGAGACAATTTTTTTTGAGAGCCTCAAAAAAAGGCAGTGTATAACTTCCGTTTTTGCCAAAAATCGACCACACCCAAATTTCTAGGGAAAACACTTTTTCTTATTAATTTTGGTGCGTAGAATCCAAAACAATTCGTACTTTTTCGATGAGACTTCTCAATCAAAGTTTATAGACTAGAAACCAATTTCGAAAGAACATTCAAAGGGCTGTAACTTTTGAACTAGTAGCCCAATCTTGGAACTGTTTGAAATTATGGATTCTACGGGCCACATTCTATAAGAAAATTTTTTTCCGTGTCGATCTGAGACAATTTTTTTTTCGGGGCTCAAAAAAAGGCAGTGTATAACCTTCCTTTTTTACCAAAAATCGACTGCACCAAAATTTCTCGGGAAAACCCTTTTTCTTATTAATTTTGGTGCGTAGAATCCAAAACAATTCGTACTTTTTCGATCAGACTTCTCAATCAAAAGTTTTAGACTAGAAACCAATTTCCAAAGAAAATTCAAAGGGCTGTAACTTTTGAACTAGTAGCCCAATCTTGGAACTGTTTGAAATTATGGATTCTACAGGCCACATTCTATAAGAAAAAATTTTTTCCGGGTCGATGAGACAATTTTTTTTCGGGGCTCAAAAAAAGGCAGTGTATAACCTTCCATTTTACCAAAAATCGACTGCACCAAAATTTCTGGGGAAAACACTTTTTCTTATTAATTTTGGTGCGTAGAATCCAAAACAATTCGTACTTTTTCGATCAGACTTCTCAATCAAAAGTTACAGACTAGAAACCAATTTCGAAAGAAAATTCAGAGGGCTGTAACTTTTGAACTAGTAGCCCAATCTTGGAACTGTTTGAAATTATGGATTCTACAGGCCACATTCTATAAGAAAATTTTTTTTTCGGGTCGATCTGAGACAATTTTTGTTTCGGGGCTCAAAAAAAGGCAGTGTATAACCTTCCTTTTTTACCAAAAATCGACTACACCAAAATTTCTCGGGAAAACACTTTTTCTTATTATTTTTGGTGCGTAGAATCCAAAACAATTCGTACTTTTTCGATTAGACTTCTCAATCAAAAGTTATAGACTAGAAACAAATTTCGAAAGAAAATTCAAAGGGCTGTAACTTTTGAACTAGTAGCCCAATCTTCAAACTGTTTGAAATTATGGATTCTACGGGCCAAATTCTATAAGAAAATGTTTTTTCCCGGTCGATCTCAGACAATTTTTTTCCGGCCCCAAAAAAATGCACTACTTTTAAGTTATTTAAATATTTGAGAACAATTTAGAAATGTTTAGGGAAAGTTGGCATTGTCACAAAATCAAATATAAAAATCCGATACAACTGAATACCGAACGATCCTGAAGTGAAACTTTTTGACTCCATAGTCTACGTAACTTAAAAACAATAGGGACCTTTCTTATGTCCTTAAGACCATGTGTACCAATTTTCAAAGCGATCGCACGTTTCTAAACAAACTATCATGCACACGGACAAACGGATGGTCAAAAAAGGATCTGTTCCAAAATCGCTAGGATTAATTTCAGAAAGGCGTACGTATCATGTGCACGACGCTTTGAAAACTGGTACACGTATTCTTAAGGATATAACTGGTATAAGAAAGGTCCTGGTAGGTACCTCCTATATAATAATATAATAACAATAATACGCTTTTACTCCCCTTAAATTTGTATATAACAATAGAAATATAAAAAAGCTAACCCCATACAAAGTATAACTTGATTTTTTAAGTAGTATTAAGCCTTTTATCTAGTATACTATTTTAAATTTTTAATGTATTTGAGTGACAAGTATTCGAATACTTTTCAAAGTATTGGAGTACTTTTTATAGTATATTCGAATACCTTTGATAGTAGAATACTTTTGAAAGTATTCGAATACCTTTGAAAGTATTCGAATACCTTCTAAAGTATTTGAATACTTATTTTTTAAAGTATTTACTTTTCTATGTATCTGTATCTAGTATTCGCTTGTGCTGGACGTAAAAGTATTTAGTATTCAAATACCTTCTGAAAGTATTCTGCCCAGCTCTGGTTTGGAGGCAAATAGTTGTCGTCACTTCTATGTAAAAATAGTTATTTTCTTTCGTACCATGGTGATTTATTACGTACGCTAATTCTGGGACAGCTTTGTACGAAATTTAATAAAAAATTGGAGTAATTCTGAGACACTAAAAGGAAAGACCATCGTTAATTACATGCCTATGCCTATGTGCAAATTAGCCATAATTAATTCTGAAGAACAAAGATAATGTTTAATTAAAACTGTTGTTCATTTGAGGGTCTAAAATTGTACTAATTAACAATCGTTTTCGAATAATTTCAATGTCATTTTTCTTTGGTCAATTTCATTTTGGAACGCAATTTTCTCAACTACATTAACAATAGTGCCGTCTTCACACTCTGCACTCAGACTCAGGCACTCGAATTCGAGGCCGGTACAAAGATTTCGAGAAAACTAATGAAAAAGAGCATCATTTCAGTACCTCATTCTACATCAAAAGCTAGAGCGCATGATATACAAATAATAATAATTATCTATACAGTATATTATACAGTAAACAAGTTGTAAATCAGCATATGCATGATGAAAGCACATTTTTGGTAATAGGTACAGATCAGTATTTTTAAAATTATCGATCTCGCGAGTAATCTAACTGAAAATAGACTACAGCCTGCCAATCTGCACTATAGCATAGTCTCCAGCTATTGTATTTGCTGAGATCTCAGCCGTACAGCCAGCCAGCCAGCCAGCCATCACGAATATATAATAGCGTATATCAGTGATTCCCAACCTTTTACTAACAACGAACCCCCTCTTTAGATTTTTTTTGCTGGCGAACCCAACTTATTCTTGTTCATAATTTAACATTGTCATACTTTCCGGCCCGTGTGGCGCAGTCCAGTTACAGCTGGACTGTGGTGCTAAGGGTCCCTGGTTCGAATCCGGGTTGGGGCATGGATATTTGTAAATGTATAGTGGGTTGGGTTGGTAGAGCAGCCTTGGCTGAAACCGCGCCCACTCAAAAATAAAGGCAAAAAAAAAAAAAAAAAAAATACTTTCTCTTCTTTGTTTTCATGTCACTATACTCCCATTTCTTTTTACTAGATTGGGGAGGTGCTACCGCTACGTCACTACTATCCTTGTGTGTTACTTCACGATCCGTAACTGATGATGACGCAGAAACGTCAGGCGGTACCTCATGTATCTCCTTACTTTGTCTATCGGACCTAATAATACTCTCTGTCTTCAGCCACTGTTCCATAGTTTGCCTTTGAAGTGGTTTTCCTAATCACTTTCACTTTAAGGTTAAAAGTTAAACCTGTCATGAAGTCAAGTGTACCTAGCACCTTTGAATATATATTTTATATTCAAAGCTAGCACTGAGTTGAGAAGTGAAAGAAATATATTGTAGCGCGTTTTTCATTCGTTTACACTCGCATTGAATGTTGCAATCATGCGCAAACGATTTTAATGGATTTACTCATTAGGGCTATACATGATTGAAATATCTAAATTTAGCTTAAGTAAATTAACTCCGCCATTATCGTTTTTTGTTCTGGGAACCCCTTGGAAAGCGCTCGCGAACCCCGCGAACCACCGGTTGGGAAACGCTGGCGTATATTATTTTTTCAAAAACGCGCTAAAAATAAACTGTAGTAGCATGTTTCTGGTACCTAGTCAATTTCTTTCATGATGGGACAACTCAACCATCCACAGCATTACTATTACTGCGCTCTGAATCGATTTCCTTTCAATCTTGTCACAATCACAATGTCTCATAGTGAGTCGCAAGGGTTGAAATTGAATGCCAAATAAAGTTTTCCCTTGTCTCAGGGCGAAAAACCTGAACCCGTCACTGAAATGTGCACTCATATAAATTATAACCAGGAGAGGAGGAGAGTTAGGGCCGTGTTACTGTTACATGGATACTTTAAATCGGAATGATTATTGGTAGTAAAATCAAAGTTCATTATCATATCTGATCCCGAATCATGACCATCAAATCTATGGGATGCGCGGCGCTTAGACGTGGGGCTGCGCCGTGAACGTCTTTACGTTAGATTCTCATTCTCGCCTTTGTGAAATCGTGTAGTAAATAACAGGCAGCATAGTTGTGCTGTCGGGCTAGTATTAGCAAGTAACGCAGTTTCACACGTTTGTTTTTATTACAAGTGCAGTGACCATTTTTGTAGCCAAGCTACCAGGTTAAAGGAATATGGGTGGTAAGTGACTATTTTCATTCAGTTTCTTACGTGACCCGTTGACCTTCAAAACGTGCTGGACGAATTTAAAAAATTTAAATTAATATCATCTCGCCGGTCTTCGCTTCCTTATTGCTTTAAACATTTATAGACGTCTGGGTTTGACATTCCTCAGCCAATCAGTTTAATTGAAAATTTTCTATGAGGGCGGTTAAGAATGTTTTTCGTTAGATGCATTTATGTATTTAGCTTCATTAAGCTGCACTGTCTATCTTAACGTATATAAATGTAACCTCTTTGATAACCCTCAAACTTTTGAATTTGAAACTTGAGAGCACGTGTTTTACAATTTCGATTCCATAACTGTAGAGACGTGTGGTAAATTGGAATATTTTTTTGGAATTTGTGGGCGGTGGTTCAAGATTTTTCAGTTTTTGGAGTGCGCGAGGCATTTCTATATTTAAATAATCTTCGGATCCTATATTATTTCAAACTTACGCTGCGAAGTATTTATAGATTATGGGGTGCCTATATATAGAGCGAAGTACATTACGTTTTTTGGAAAAATTTCTTGGCTAACGACGTTTAAAAACTTCCAACTCGCATTATCTATCATTCATTCATATACTTGAGATAAATTTGCTTTGTAGTGTTACTCAATCGCTTTGGTTTGTACATTGTTTACTAGTACGTTACACATCATTTGCGCGTTAAAGTACGTTCTCTGCATTACGACTAGGGAGGGATCAGGGAAGGGCTTGGGCAGAAATTATACAGTTTTAGAGGCGTGGGAATTTTGAGTAAATTGGATTTTATCCCCTTGATGCCAAGATAAAGGACACATGTCTCTATTGTAACAGATTTTTGATACGTTTGATGATACATAATATTTTTAGTATTTTCGTTAAAAATATAAAAAATCTGTTGCAAGGGACACGTGGAAAAAGGCTTTAGAATCCAATGTAACTTTCATGATGCTGCTAACACCATTTTCGAAAAAAAATCGTTAGAGCTAACCCGAAAATGCGTAAGTATTTAATGCGCGTGGCCGCCTCCTCACTTATTACAACGCTCACGCTCGGTGCTCAAAATTGATACAATGAAATCAAACAGGAATGCGTGTAAGCTTGGTGCTAGCTATAGTATGAACATTCCTATTTGATTTCATTCCAATGCGTAGGTACCTTGAGTGGAGCGTGAACGTCCCTTGCTGTGAAGCTTGTTCTCACGCTCCACTCATACGTTGCTCAAGGTATGCGCTCAAAATTCAAGCGTTTTTCTATATGATCACGGGCATGACAAAATGATTTTTTGCCAATGAACAGTTGTTGATCGCTTTGCTGTTAAATGAAAGTGAGCCAAAAAATATCACCGGCAAAAGAAAGCGACGCTCAAATGAATGTGTGTGTTAAGCTGTAGCATAGTGTAAAGCTTTTCTTTACACTATGGCTGTAGTGCGAATACTCCTATTTGATTTCATGGCATCAATTTTGAGCGTACCTTGAGCATCGTATGAGTGCCAGTCGCATTGGTGTGAAACATGCTGTTGACATTGATTACAAAAACATCCATAAGGTGTGACTAAAATGCCAATACGAGAAATAGGTTTGCCCCAATGAACAAGCGAATTTTGCAATATTTCCGGAAATATCCGGTTTTGCGAAGAACAAATTTTCGCACGCCAAATATTTCCCATGAATTCTCGAGAACTTCGCGAGAAGATCTTCGGAAATTTCCAGTTTGTACTAGTTTTATTCTGGCAACCCCCGATTTCACTAGGCTACACGTGAGTGCTAACAAATGTACTCAGGCAGCAGCTTCTTCTTCTTCATTGCTCAGGTATTCGCACCATGGAATTTTCTGCATTTTCGTGAATGTTTTCGATTTCGCTCGTTTCGAATCTTCAGTTTAATTTGTTGTTTTAATTTGCTATGGCCTATGGCACTGAACCGAGACTGAAAAGTTTTTTAATGTATGTTAAATAAACAATTAAAAACTCTGGATGCTTTTATTGTTTTAAAAAATGGATTAGCTCGTCGGATCTCGGTCGCGAACCGATTTGAAGACACCGCCAGGCGGGGAGTTTACTGGAGGCGGTACATCAGTCAAAGAATAACGCAGGTGTCCCAAGACTACTATATTCCCGAATATTCGCAACGATAAATAAATTACGGGAATTGTATAACACTTTTTTTACAACTAACCCAAAACATAAACTGTGACTACTTGTCATCCGCGTGAAGTTAGCCCCCCCCCCCCCAACAGAAAAATAATGAAACGTCAAATACTGCATTTATTTGCACATTGATTGCACATTTAGGCACACTTCGATTTTTCGTTTGCACATTTCTAAAAATAGATATTTTTAATAAACAAATTTGGGGGGGGGGCAATTTCACGATTTTAGTCCCCCCAACATTAAAATAATCGTCAAACGTGAAATAGTTCCTTCGTTTGCACTTCTATTGCACATTTAGGCACACTTCGATTTTTCGTTTGCACATTTATCTAAAAAAAATATTGAAAAAACAAATTGGGGGGGGGGGGCTTTTTTAGTTCTGTGGCAAATAGACGTAGTCTAATGCTATATACATATAAAAAACCTTCCTATACGCCTAAAGTTTGGTCACAACTTTTAAGGGGACAAAGATTTCTTTCACTGTGTAAAAATTGCCCCCATTTCCCTTAATTTCCCGCAACATTTTTTTTACTTTTCCCCAAATTTACACAACATTTCTGCGAATTAACCTGAAACGAGTACTATTACCGCCCTATAGAAACCTTTTATTGCCTTAAAATTTCCTCTATATTCCTCTAAATTTCCTCGGAATTTTCTCAAAATATTCTAATATCTCCCCAGAATTTCCTTATTCCTTTAAAATATCCCCAGTATTTCTTTTAATTTCGTCCCATTTCCTACATACTTCCCAGCTATTTCCTCGAAATTTCCTATATGAGAGACAAGAGTTGCCCTCGTGATTAACTCCTCGGCCGTATTGATCTCTGTTAAATTTCAAAAAATGGCTCAATTACGTTTTGCAAGGTATCTCAGTGATTTTTAAGAATATAGTGCTACAACCAGAAAATCAGGCAATATATGAAAAATCTAATGTAAAATTTGATTATAAGTATGCAACTTCTATCCCTTGTGTTTTTTCGATATTTAGAAAAATAAATCATCTTTGAAAAAATGAATTTCACAATCGCGCAATTTAAACAATTAAGTACGTACGCAATTCGTTTATTATAAACGAATTTTGCATTAGATTACGTTTTTATCTTTTTCCTATTTTGGGTCACGTCTCTCTGTATCTGCCAAACGCTCGGTTCAAACTTTGCACAGTTGATCTATATATGCCACATGTAACAAGCCTATTGAAAATGGGTCAAATGTGCTCTGCCACTTTCTTAGATCCGATTTAGGGGTTTATTACAGATTAGGTGGGATTGCATGGGTAGCTTTGCTGTTTCGGCAAAGTTTTGCAGTTTTGTTTGCTATTTAAAACTGTTCGGAATATTTGAAGAATCGGACTCGATTAAAAATTATTTGAAAAAACTGATTTCTAAAAAAACTAAATACTTATCTTTATAATAAATTATAAAAATTATAATAAAAGTTTAGTATCGAAGTTTCTCATTTTGATGAGAACAAATCCCAAAATGATGTAAGAATGAAATTCAAGAAAACACTCGTTATTAACATGAACTGAATTTTTTGGATCACACTGAGGGCATCAACATTTGGTCACCCTGTACAGTACATATTTTCCGCAATCGTAAGAAAGATGGAAAGTGTTTTAAGATCTTCGTTCTGTCCTTTCGCAATATCGAAAATAATAAAGCGCCCGCCATATTGGATTTAAAATGGCGACAACTGTTAAGTCCTTTGTGCTTTTTTTCGTGACATCACAGAACTTTTTAAAGACTACCCTTACTAGAAACCAGCTGAGTCGCCGTGAGAGCATCCTTTAGTTTACAAAATTTCTGATGTATGTTTTTCCCTTTCAGGGTTCGCGTGGGTAACTTTGGCGACCAATGACTCATACTCATTGGGAGCTTTAGTATTGGCACATTCTTTGCGACAAGTGAACACAGTCCATCAGCTGGCTGTTTTGGTAACGCCAGGGGTCACACCTGTTATGAGGTGAGTATAGGTACATTTTTTTAACATACAAACCGAACTTAAGTGTCGTAATGTAAACATATAGCTATTATGTAATATAGTATGATATAACTATATCAAATTGTACTTAGTTTAACTAGTTGATTGTGCGAAGGTCACGATATAGGCGCCTTGCGAACACATAGAGGCGTGAAATAAACGTGTCGCCAGTGGCGTTTCTAGGCTATAATTTACCTCATCTTCCACTGATAAGGTTGCATCAATACTTGTTTCTCTCTCTCTGTTTGTTATCTATACAACGTAAGGCTGTTGCCTCAAGATTTTTCTGATAGGTTTAGGTAATTTTAGAATATTTCCCAATTTAGTAAAATGCACACGTTTTATTTTTGAGCAATGTTAACTGACGATCGAAATTGCATCTGAAAGAAACTTGACAATAACTGAAGTGTGCAGAATATACCTAATGCTGTTATGATATTGTACCCCCTCAATTACAGTATTTCATTTCTAAGTGCCCGCTTATTAGTGTTAGAATTGCGCTTTATTTTATATTAATTCCGACTATATTAATTTCTGTTTAGGGCAAAGTTGGCATCAGTATTCAATGTAGTTGTCGATGTGAATATTCTGGATTCGAAAGATGAAGCTAATTTAAGACTGTTAAAACGGCCGGAACTCGGCGTAACCTTTACAAAGTTACACTGTTGGAGATTGACGCAATTCGAAAAGTGCGTGTTTCTGGACGCAGACACCATGGTGAGTTTGAGAGAGATTTATATTATTGATACTGACACTGGTTTATTGTAGGTTTTAGCTAATGCAGACGAATTGTTCGATAAGGAAGAGTTTTCGGCAGCGCCCGATGTAGGCTGGCCCGACTGTTTTAATTCTGGGGTGTTTGTATACCGTCCATCGGAAGAGACCTACAGTAACATTGTCAAATTTGCCCTGGAAAGAGGCAGTTTCGATGGTAAGTGGAGCAATCAAATTTGTAACTAATTTATTATGCCCCAACATTTGTAGGTGGGGACCAAGGTTTACTTAATTTATACTTTTCCGATTGGGCCCATAAAGATATTAGTAAACATTTGCCTTTTATCTACAATACATGCTCAACCGCTTGTTATTCATACCTTCCTGCATTTAAACAGTAAGTATATATTACATGTTAATGTATATTGAAAGGCATATGGCCTTATCTGTGTTGTCACTATTGGAAACATTTCGAAAAGCGATTTGGAAAGTTAACCTCCTGTGGTAAATGCATAAACACAGTATATCCAGAAGTTAATGGATCTACTTACACAACAAGGTTGAAAAGTTGATATCTCTTTTGTAACCTATTGATGAACGCCAATGTAAAGTGACAGCAGTTCGGTATTCTTTAGGGCATCCAAGGTCAAGTTATAAATAGTGGCCTTAGATAATCTTATTATGCAATGATAGCCAGGCGTGCCTGACCTGCCTTTTATTCCGCACATGAGGTCAATGTATATATATTTTCTTGTATGAATGGATTAAAAAAAATCGCGAATAGGCGGCGAATAGGGTTGCCCGGTACCGGAAAAAAGGCCCCTGGAAAAAAACCCGGAATAAAGACCCCCGGAATAAAAACCCATGGAAAGAAAACCCCCCTGAAAAAAAACCCGGAAAAAACCCACGGAAAGAAAGACCCTCTGGTAAAAAACCGGAAGAAAAACCACAGGGAAAAAAAAGGAAATATTGCGCGAGAGCTAAAGTTGCATATAGTTTACTGAAACAGGAATATCAAACAGAACTCTGGTTGAGATATTCTATTAACAAATTTTCACAATTTTTACAAAATACGTAATTGGATATTATCCTAAACTACCATTAACCCTAATTAAACCTAATATTATGACCTATAGCTTCTAAGAAGTTTACCACATCTCTTTGTCCGGCGCTGTATTCTTCGCAGATATTTTTTAGCCTACTTTGCAGCAGTACATATTTTGCTTTCTTCCTTTTTGGGATTAAATGACCTAAATGTTGTTGGTGTAATTTTAAATGAATTTAAAGTATGTTTTCGCAAACGTGATTAAGATCACAATCATTTGTTAATATTTAACAGATGAATAACGTTGGTTTGAGCCCATGTCATTTGGTAAACATCAAAAATCGACCAATCATATACCATATAATCATTGATTACCTAGCACTCTTTGTGAAACCGGGTATAAGTCAATGAACAACGCTTTTTGCAAGCTAATTCAGCACAGGAGTACACAGTTCGCACTTTTAGAAATTTTACAATGTAACCGGCCCGTTCCACAATGCAAGTATATACCAGTTATAAGCTATTTCAAGTACAAAATCTAAAAATTCAATCCAATTTTCAGATTTTGTACTTGGAATAACTTATACTATAGGTATATACCTATTGTGGAGATTTAAAAAAGGGGGTTTTCATTCCAGGGTTTTTTTTCCGGGGGGTTTTCTTTCCGTGGGTTTTTATTCCGGGGGTTTTTATTCCGGGTTTTTTTTTCACGGGTTTTTTTCCTAGACTCAGGGTTGCCATAGGGTGCTTTGTATGAGAAAGATAAATATATGTTGTTATTATTGTTATTTGTTATGGATTATGTATATTAGGTATACGGAAACGCAAAAACGGGACGGATTTTAGAAAAAAAAGGCCTAGAATTTTTTTTTCAAAAATAAACAAAATTTTAATTAAATTATTTTTCTGTGTACCAACCTATAAAAATGGACGGAAGAAAATGCAAAAAATGACGTTAAGATATGTGTTACATTTAAAAAATACCAACTGGGGGTCAAATCTCAGAAACGGTGGTCCAAATAATTTTTTTACTACGCCACTGCATCCTACGTAAAAATATCTAAAACAAACCGTTTTCAATCAATCAATCAATCAATATCTTTATTATGTCCTAGTAATTTGAAGATTACATACATTCGTCATACACATAATTGAAAAATCAACAAATAAGTAAAAAACTAGAAATAATAATCTGGAATTACGGAGTTGACCTGGCAAAGAATTCATTTAAATTATAGTATGGGTTTTCTACAAGGTATCTCCTTATTGCTCTTTTAAACGGGTAATAAGGTAAGTGTTTAATGGTCTTTGGTAGGTAATTGTAGATCTTAATGGGCATGCAAAGGGGACTGTTAGTTGTTGTATTCAGTCTATGTTGTGGAACCCTAATTTGGTCAAACCGTGTATTGTAGGCGTGTGCGATGTTGTATTTGTTTGTGAATTGAGGCTTCAACTTATGTACATAACATGCCGCTTCAAAAATATACAATGAAATAACCGTTAGTAATTCGAGCTGAGTGAATATTGGTCTGCAGGTTGTTATTGAAGAAACTCTTGATATAGATCGGACAGCTCGCTTCTGTAGAAGCAGAGTGTTGTATGTCTGTGGGCTGATTCCCCAGATGATTATGCCATATCGCAGTCGTGACTCAATTTCGGCGTAGTAAATGGTCATTAGGGTCTCCAGAGATAAAATGTTTCTAAGTTGCTTGATTTTATATGTTGCCTTTGATATATTTGCGTTCAACAATCGAATGTGCTCCTTCCATTTTAGGTTGTCGGTAAACACCATACCAAGTATCCTTATGGATTCCGTATGTTGGATAGGCGAATTCATTATTTGAATCTGAGCGTCTGTTCTCTTATTTTGCAATGAGGACAAATTAAACAGCGTAGATTTGGTTTTAGATTTGTTTAAAAACAATTTGTTAGCAGTTAACCACTTATAAACGTGACTTACTGCTAAGTTAGTTTGGGCATCTAAACAACTATGATTTCCACTGACCAAGAGGTTAATATCGTCCGCATACAACATAACTTCTGCATAATTGGCCATGTAGTAAACGAGATCATTAATATATATGTTGAATAAAGTAGGCGATAAAACTGCTCCCTGCGGAACTCCAACTGTAATGGGTAAGGTCTCTGAGAAAACTTGCTGTTTGATATTGCTACACCATGTTGGTATGCGAACAACTTGGGTCCTGTTCGATAAATACGATTTGAACCATTTAAGTGTGGTACTCCGTATACCTGCCCAATCCAATTTTTGTAGTAAAATATCATGATCTACACAGTCGAAAGCACTGCTTAAGTCACAGAATATTCCCCTAATGCCGAGCTTTCTTTCAAGTGAGAGGAGAATGTTTTCGTATATTTCCTTAGTAGCAGTTGTGGTTGATTGTTTTTGACGGAAGCCGTGCTGTTTATTTGAGATGATATTAAATTTTGCAATAAAAGAAGTGATCCTTTCTTTCATAGCATACTCTAAAATTTTTCCTATAGAGGACGTAAGCGAAATCGGTCGATAATTTACAGTATTTGAGGTATCGCCTTTTTTGAAAATCGGGGATACCACTGCTTTCTTAAAGCAACTTGGAAATGTTCCGGAAAGTAGGGAAGAGTTAATTAAATGAGTAATGATGTTGATAATGCTAAGTTTCACTTGTTTTAATAATTTAGGGGAGACGTCGTCAAGTCCAGGCGAGCTGTTGGAGTTTATGTTCTTAAAGAGGTTGAGTACTTCTTCTTCAGAAAATGGAGACATGAAGATTGAGTGTTTGCTGATTTCCAGATGGAATGTTGGAAGATTAATATTTGGTATTGATTCTCGAAGTCGTATATGGGTGCATTATAAAAGAACTTATTGAAGATCTCAGCTATTTCTGAAGGAGAAGTAACAGGTACTCCCCGCTTATCTTTAAGTTCAATGTTTTTATGGGGCTGAGTTTTTCTTTCACTTAGCGAATTGAGGACTTTCCACGTGGCTTTACTCGTATTTTCCGCATTCCTAATAAAAGAGTCATAGTAATGTCTTTTTGTGGTATTTACAAGATTCCTGTGAATTTTTTTCATTACTTGATACCTGTTCTTTAGTAGAGGAAATTGTTTTTGCAGGACATACATATCGTTCAGCTTAGCATTTGACTCTCGGATTTGAGTCGTGATCCAGGGTTTAGTGTTTGGATTCTGTCGAAATTTTTTTAACGGAAAACATATATTGTGGTAATATTGAAAGGTAGTAATGAAATTGTGAAATTTTGCATCGATGTCGTCTACGATATAGATTTCAGACCAATCTTCGTTTGTTAAATACGATGAGAAGCGCTCAATGTTCTGTTTGGAGAAGCATCTTCGTAGCATGTCACTTGCATGATGGTTTGGAGTCATTTGTAGACTACAGGAAATTGTAATTACTCGATGATCAGAAAAATAAACGTCATGTACCTCACTTTCTATTGGTATAGATGCATTAGTACAGACGTTATCAAGTATCGAGCTAGCATATTTGCTTACTCTCGTGAACGTGTGAACTGTTTCTAGAAGATTAAACGATATCAAAAGGTCTTTTAATGCCCTGTATTTTCCATCATTTGCTCCAAAGTTTACATTGAAGTCGCCTACCACAAACAATGCTATATTCGGTTCGTAAACATGATCTATTACTGCGTTCAAGTAGCGAAGAAAAGCTTTATAGTCTCCGGATGGAGATCTATAAATCGTTATAATTGTGAATTTTAAGCACCCGAAATGACCTTTACACGCACATATTTCCAGTATTTTATCACTGCAAAACGGCGACACATCAATTGGTGCCACATTAACATCAGACCGTGCCCAAATTGCACATCCACCACCTTTTACGCATTGTCTATTGAAAGCACTAATTATATTTATTATTATATTTAGAGATTTTACATATGTCTAATTCATGATTTGTTAACCAAGTTTCAGTCACACACAAAAATAGGGGGTTATATTGGTTCGTTAATACCTGCAAGTCATTCACTTTATTCTTTAAACTTTGAATATTTAATAATATTAGAAATGTCGATAACAAACACTGGGATTCCGCGATTATATTGGTTAGGTTGGAGAATTCCGGTTGACCAGCCGGAATAAAAAATTGTTCATGCGTGTGCCTTTTGGCCACAGATCTGGTTTTTTCAATGCCTCGAATTGATCGCTTGGAACTGAGACTCTGAACGAGCTGTAATCATCAGGGCGTTTTGCATTTAATTTTTCACATTTTGCTTCTGCGAAATTGTTGTCCGCTAAGTACTTAATTATTTGAGCCGTCGTAACGGTGGGATCTAAATTGTAGACATGCAAGTGGGAAAAATTTTTTGCCGCTTTAATGGTTGTATCTTCACCTGAGCCTTCCAGTATAGGTTTTTTTTGATTTTTTCCTTCTTGTGACTTCAGTAAACCCCTCCGAATCCATTTGTGAACCTCGTGGAAACATTTGACTTGCATCTCTTGAGGATGTATTGCTTTTAATTGAAAGATGAGTATTACTGTTGGGATTCGGTTGTTGTACAGTAGCATTTGCTACTGTATTGATTTGCTGATTGGCATTTACGATTGGACTTAGGCTAGTCATTTTAATTGGTTGTGTAGTTAATTTAGGTGGAAATTGATACCCTGCAGTTATTGCAACATTATCATTATTGGGTTTTTTAATGTTTTGAATATTTTGCCGGCCTGTATCTGTTGTGATAGCAGACGCGACCTTCGAGTACGATACGGTTTGTGGTTTACATACGCTTTCGTTGAGCTTATGTATTTCCAATTTGAGATGACGATTTTCTAATTTAAGTGAATTTAATTCATTCTTCAGGGCTACCACTTCCGGGAGGAAGAGATTTTTGAAGACGTATTCCATGCTTTGTTGGATTAAATCGGGAATGGTAGTGTACAATTCTGCGTTCCTACTTACATATTCGGGTACGCAAGTTGACACATCACTCTTATTAGAGCATAAATTGCAGCACCATTGGTTAATTTGACCGGTGTTTTTTAGTTCCATCATTTTGTTTTCACTTATATCCACGCATTCGATATGAAAACAATTTAAACAAATGCCTGTGCATTGAATAAAGCTCCCACAATTCGTTATAGAATTATCACAAACACGACACGCGCGCGCCATGTCTGAACTCCAGACCTTCTTTTACCTTTTTATATCTCACATGGGTAGTAAAAGATATGATAACGTTCCAAAAAGGCAATTTTTGGTTTTTACCCTCGTATCTCAGAAACAAATGTATAGCTAGACTTGAGGGAAAATGTACCACTGTGTGAAAGTTTCTAAAAAAAAAAACAAAAAAGTCGAGGAGTGTCATAGTTTAAGGAAAGAATGCATCGCATCCGCGTTCATTCATTGCTCATCGCCTTCATAGCGCCTGCGGGCGCACCGATGTCACCACAGGCCTACGTGTCGCTACACTGAAACAAAAACTTAAATAGCTACTTTCATCATAGCAACATAAGCAACATAAAAAGTAAACTGTAATTTAATTTTAATGAATAGTTTTTGTTGCTATGAAAGTAAGTTTTGAGAAGTGAAAAGTTTGCAAAGAACACTTTTTTCCTTCCGCGGGTTCGTTTTTTTAATTTTATAAGAAATATTATTTTTTCCGTGACACACCAATTAATGACCATGGTACACCAGTGTGCCACGGCACACACTTTGCATAATACTGCTCTAATGAAACCAATTGCAGAATCTTTTCGTAAAAGAGCACACAGAAAGGTTGCAAACGCATTCCGAATTTAGGGGATTTGGGCTTTGGGCACTGTATTAAAAGATCTTTAAACCATTTTTGCACAAATCAAACGAAGAAATCCAAAACAAACCAATTTCCAATTACGTATGTACCAAGAAAAAATTTTCCTGTGGGAATTTGAACAGTTTTGTGTTTAATAATAAAGCGGGGCATACAAATATCAGCAATTTAATATGACTTTTGCACCTATGTGAAGGAGGGGGTGTGAGTTTCGTAGAACACGTGTGTGATACCGATGCTTAAATGTCGGTCACAACACTACATAACCGCGGATAACTGACTAATTGTAATTACCTGAATTAGTCTAATAATTAAGATTAATTAGATAACCAGTGAATGGAGCAAAAATTTAATTACCGGTTACTAAATTTTTAGGTTCGGAGGTAATGTCAAAATAATCCACTTCATCGGCAGCTCTAAGCCGTGGTTACAATATTTCGATTCGGAAACTCGTCAGGTTCAGGTGGGATCGGACCTCCAGCATTTGCGAGTTGTACTGCAACAATGGTGGAATATTTTCTGTTCGTGCATTCATCCAATCCTGTCACCCGAAATGGTAAGATATTTCTACCTCTATTTGTGATCCATTCTATTACTGCCAATAAGATTAACTTTAATTAATGCATACATGCTAATAAAAGGATCAATATAGTCAGATAGCGAGCAAAAGGTGAGTGCTAAAAGTGATTGAAGCACTATTTTGTTTAATAAAAGATCACATATCTGAAATTATGATTGAGCACTCCAAGTTGGAGGGACGGGGGTCATTGTTTCAATTCTTTTTTAACTTGGTCAATTCCTTTTCTTTAGTTTGTGATTCAATTTCTTTCAGATTCATTTCTCTATTTTAGTTTGCAATTTTGTCGCTTATTTTAATATCTTCTTCCGTTTCTTGTTGCTTTTCCACAGCTTAATATAGATAGAGTTTGGAATGTCACGTACATCAAAGGCCGGCAAAATTGTAACAAAATTCCAACTTAATTTTTGACACTTCAAAATTGAAAAAGAAAATGACTTTTTGTTGCCTTTTTGGAACACAAAAAACTCTTCTTGATAACTTAAACAATGTCCATAGACAGGGGTCGCTAATAAGTAAATTATTGAATGAGTATGCATCTATTATGTGCCATACAGGACTAGAAGAAATGGACTCAAATGTGCTTTCTATCCCGCCTTGTAGTGGGATTTGAGAAATTTTGGAAAGTGTAGTATAACGGTTAAAAGGTGTTCAATCGTCATTTCCAGTTGTGTGCTTAGAAATGTTCTTTATCTTCACTTAGTTAAATATGGAAGTAGAATATGCACTTGGAATAATTTTCTAGGATTATGTTTTACTTTTCTTAGACATTTAGTTGTCTACGTACCTTTATATTGCTAGTATGTGGCGAACATCAGAGATGAACAGTCTAGTGTTTGATTTAAAAAAAATGAAATTTAAAGAAGCTACGCGTTTTTTTAAAAACTAAAGGTACTTGTGAGTTTTCTCAAAATAGCGTAGTTAATTGTTTTGCATTGGTGTTGTATGAGAATTATCTTAATGTACTTAGTGGAATGAAACATTTTAATGAGTTGAAGATTATTTTGCTTTCTAACAGGCATACTAAGCATCTTGTGCCGTTTGTTTATTTAAATGCGCTTGTTATTTTTAGTTGTTAAAAGCTAGACTGTTCTAGATAATCGAGAGTACAAAGCACGAAATAACTTTTAAATTTTCTTTCTTTTGCATGCATGTTTGTTCAGGCACCAAGCAGAGTACCCGCTGCGATTCCTTTACCTTTTCACTCTAGTATGGAACAAACAGTTCATCACGAATTCAATCCCGATTCGTCTTATAATAAACCTACCTCAAAGAATGTATGGGATCCCTGGGAAGAATATGAAGAAAAAATTGACAACTTTGAGATTCAATCAAATACAATATGTGTTCCTAATGTTCATAGTGAAAATATAGACACATCCGTCCACATAGCCTCAGAAATACATGATAATAATAATATTCCTACATTTCAACATAGTCAGGAGACCCCAGAGTCATCTCATTTCCTTCATCATGATACTAACACACACATGCTTCATAATGTGAGTCACAATCAAGAATCTCATGTAGACACATTCGTTAATCAGCCCGAATTTAGTTTTAGTAATCAATCAGATCATACACCACCACCACACCCACTACATGATTCAGTTCATTCTCACATAGAACAATCCTTTCAACCCCCTAGTCCAGAACCAGATATTTGTACTTCCTATACAAATGTTGAACCTGGTACTGAATGCACCCAACATGCACGACCACAAAGTTGTGAGTCAGCTAGCAGTGTAACCAATGAAAGCGCTTTGCACGAGTCTAATGAAGTTTTTGACAATAGTGTAAGTAGCTAAATAACTCGACAGAAAATGTGCAATTGAAATTTGTTAATGTATTACTCAAGGCCTACATTACAAAATTTCTCCCATTTAATGAGTTTCATTTTCTCTAGAACCCCTATTGCCAGAATTTATATCATAATAGTATTATGGTTACAGGATGTAATGTGTGTATCATACAGTGTTAGTTACAATTCCATTTATTGACATTCCCACATTCCTAGTATTTCAGAAATACTACTTTAGAGGAAGTGTGAGCACAGGAAAGCAAGTGGTAAACGATTTAAATTGTTTACATAGATCAATGTAAGTCGATTTCGTGGTGGGTATGCCGATTGAAGTTATTTGGCAGTTGAAAATTTCCATAATCGTAAATTGATTCGATTGAATCGTGAATTGATGTGTATGAAACAAATTGAACCATTAGGTGGAAAAGAATCCACCAGAGGCATTACTTTTTGTAGGAGTAATAAGCCATCTTATCTTATTTCCACATTTATCAGTCCGTATAGCAAGCGATAAAGACAGTGGTGCCCTCCTTCTACCCCAGTGCCGCGCTGCACTGAGGAAAACTTTGAGAGGTGTGTGCAAACAGAGGAAATCTGATCGTTATCCTTTTCGCGTTTTGGAAGAGAAAAATTCGAAGCTAGTAGGTCGAAATGGAACGACTGAGTGATGTTTCGGAGATGACGAGACAATAAGAATTGGGTGGGAGGGTCAACAGATCAGTTGCTTACTTTTGTTATCATCGATATGTCAATTTTTTCTTCTATTGTGCTTACACCATAAGAGTCGTCGATAAATTGGGCTACTGTGACGATTACCGGAGTAGTTGTACTAAATTAAATGTTCTTACTTTACCTTGTCTCTTTATCTTAGTTTGTGTTTGTCACGTGAAATCTAACCTTAGTAATTTTGTAACTCATAGTGATTTACATGATTATGATACTAGGTTTAGAAGTCATCTATGTGTACCTTTTTGTAGGTTGTCTAAATCTCAAAACGGAACTAATGTTATGGCCCAGAAACTATTTAACCATCTGCTTGATTGCATTAAAGAAACCAACTATGCTCTATTTAAAGCGAAAATTAAAAAAATCCTTTTAACAAAGGGCTTCTATTCGGTTCAGGAATTTCTGGGCCACAACACACAAGCAATAGTTTGAGACGAATGTAAGTAATCTTGTATTACAATGCATGAAAATATACTATTACTATTACACTCTAATAATACAACTACAGAATAATACCAATTGAATGTTAATTATAAAATAATTAATCTTTTAAAAATAGGTGCCACAGTAAGGCGGATACATATCTGAGCAAACGAGGCAAGCCGAGGGTGTGCCTCGTATGGTGAACTATCCACATGTGAGGACCGAGGTACAGCTCAAGTAAGTAAGCTGTGACCGAGGCATGTAAGCAGCGAGCCAAAGAGGCTATTCGATGTGACTCGTGCAGTCGTCCACATCTGCATGCTCATGCGGCCTCGGCTTGCCTCATCCGCATTCGTGCTCAAATGTGTACCCGTGCCTTTAAATGTTGGCTTTGGTCCCACATTTGGTAATAGTGCTCTGTAACAATAGTAACATTTTCAAATGGTAAAAATTTCGGAAATTAGGTAAAAAAATTGTGTATAATACGGACCTCATTATACAGGGTTATTACAAATGATGTTCCTGATTTCGATTGAAAATATACTTGGTGTGGCAAGAGCTCAATTACGGACTTGACGTCTGTCATGCCACAAGGAGTTCTCATATTGATTTATAATTCTGAGTGCTTGTGATGAAACTTTTGAGTTTTGCCTTAAAATGTAACCATTTAATGTCTTTGTATTTATTATTATTATTATTGTACTAGAGGTGGTCCCAGTCGGTTCCTGAACTGCGACCTTTTGGTCTATTGTGCTCATTGATATTGAACATGAACCACTACAGAGTCGTTAAGGGAGGCAGTGATAATTTCTATATCTAAAAACGCCCATAGTTTTAGGAGAAACTACGTTAGACTGATGGGTCTAAATGACTTGACTTGGGCGTATGAGTCTCATCCTGGTTTCGGTATGAATACGACTTATACGTCCTTCCATGTCATAGGTAAGTATCCCTGGGCAATACCTGCCCGTAGTAACATACATAGTGTGGAGGCTTTATACGGATGGAAAGTCTTCACTGCCCACCTAACTTTGGTTAGGTTCACTATCTGCCAATGTCCACTGTACCCCTGAGAAGTGCTTCCAGAGTAATAGGTTCGCCCGCGTGATTTTGAGCGAGGATCTTTGATCACGGAAAATGTGACTCAAGCAAAAGCTCCAAGGTCTCTTTTGCGGTCTACCCTTTGTTCCTTTTTGTAGAGCTCTGTGGAATCTGTTCAATTTCCTCACAGTACCTTCTCCATTGGTCACGTTTTGTCTTCCTAATGGTCTTATGATCTGGGATTGATTTCAGTCAGCTCACCGATGAGTCGCGCTCTTTTCAGTCGTATTGGCCCCGCGCCTTCGACCTTCGTCTTGGAGTTTGAACGTCACCCTGGTGAATTTCACGTAAAATCGATGGTTGCAAGTGTGCAGTACCTCATTCTACTTTTCTACATAATCCCCATTCTTGTAACTTGGGATCAGTTCTCTATGCCGATCTAAAAAAGACTTTAGCCGATAGCATATTCTACGTCTCTTGTTTTGGATGGCGGATGACATTTGCATATAAATTTCGATAGGCTTAACTGTCTGGGCGTTTAAGAAGGGCTTTACTGTGGCTGCTTGACTAAAGGTTCTGGTATCGTTTGCGGCTTTTGAGCTACTTCCCTTGGGAGTGCTTCAATCAGACCTGTGTCGCTTTTCCGTCCCAGTCTTCAGTGCAGCCTTGGTAAGTGCATTTCCTGGTCGCTTAGAGCTCCCAGGTTGCTCCACTTCAGCAAATGGGAGGTCAGGTTGCGTAGAGCTCCCTGGTTCCTGGCTCATATTTTTTAGTTGCTGGCACGCTGCCCGGAGATTTTTTAGGCTCTACCAGGTGCTCCAGGAGTAGTTAGTTTTTTTTTTGTTTTTCTTGGGCCATCCAAGTCCACTGAGAGAAACCAGGCTTGATCCGGCCCTCTGACCCTTGGCTGAGATTATCTCCTCCTGGTCCAGGCGGCTAAGCCAAGACCCCGCATCATCCTGAGCCCACCAGGTTAGTGCATATCGACATGATGGATGAATGTGAATGTCAGCGTCGTTTAAACCATGCAAACCCTTGGCCAAGACACGACAGCTAGGCGGGGTAGCTGGTCCGCGATGCTGTCTATGGTTGTTACCAGTCGCTGTTTCATTAGCCACGAGCATCCTTATCCCTAGCATTAACCTATGCGTCACTTACGCTCACTCGCTTGGACCGTTCCCCTATCCGCCACTTTGGGACGCGCCTGATGGGGTGACATCCCTCAGGTTCTTTGTATGATAAATAAAATTAGGTTTATTACGCTTGAAATCGTGAACATCATTTGTAATAACCCCGTACATAAAATATGTCTAATCTAATAGATCCTTTTGCAGTTTTTCATTTTCACTTTTTCTGTAAGCTTTTTGTTTACATTGAGTGTGATGAAATGTAGTGTTGTGCCCCTTTTTTGCTTGCATTTTGCTAATTTAACTGTAGTATATGTGTTTTTCTATTCACCTTTCCTAATAAAGTAGGTATTATGTTACTTTTGTGTAATATAATTGAACGTAAGTGCAAATTCTACCTCTATTATGAAAAGAAAGTTGATAAATTTCAGTTGCACATTTCTTTTTTTCTATTATTTGCAGTGTTATTATTTCTCTATACTAAAAGTGTACTTAATATAGGCGGGATTGGCGGGTGCTTTCGCTCGACTGACTCTTGGAGCGCCTAGAACAGCCGAACAAGCTATGTTAGAAGATCAATTACGCAGGCAAGGCTGGGAGGTTGGTAACATTGATTACATGGGGCGCGATTCCTTTGATAATATCTGGACTAAAATATGTGAAACGCTTAACACTGCCCCAGCACCACCCGATCAATCTCAAGGTTTGTTACTTAGACAATGTAAAATTTTGTTTGATATTGGACTTTTGACAGAACCAAGTCATGCAGTTCCAAGTGAAGCAGCTAAACAAGGTCAGTCAAATATGGCAACAAAAATGCTTCCATTAAAACAATAACAATAGCTAAATGAATGCGGAATGTAATGATCGTTTTGAGTTAAGACTAATGTATAAAATTTGATCTTTAGAGTTTGTAATGGCTTTTTTAAATTATGGTTATATTTATTTTTGAGTAAATCCTTTAAGGGCACTGAACTGATACAGCCAAATGTTAAGTTATTTTTTTAGAAATATTCATTTTTATGTATATATTATAACAAATTAAACTTTTATATGAATTTACCCGTTTGTTGTATCCTCCGCATCAACTATTGTTTTATCACCGTCTATATCAGATGGAGTAAATATTAATCAACGGATAGTAGCCGCAGCTAAAAACCTCAGTTAAGATAAGTACGTACTGATTCTATTAGAAGTTTGTTTTTGTTAATGACTTGTTTTTATCTACCTGTTAGTTATAGTGTTATTAACTTCTATTGTTTTTGTTGTGTATGGGATCATTTGCAAAATGAATCATCTTTCTTTCAACCACATGTTATTAATTTTGTACATGGGAACTGATACTTTTATAAGGGATCTGGACATTACAGAAACATAAATATGAAGATCAGTCAATTTCTTACACTTCACCTTCTTTACATATAGACAATATATTAGAAACCGAACTATTACTTTATTATGTGTAAAAACTGTTATTTTGTATAGGTCCAGATTCTTGCCACATTATTTATGTATTTTATCACACTGTCATGTTTTATAATTTTATAGTCTATATTTACAATAAAGTGTTAAGGCATGTTCAAAGACAAATTAGCTTAAATTAACAACTAACTCATTTTACACTGGGATTTTTAGATTGTTTTGCATGATCATTTTAAAAGCACTATGTAAAAATTTAAATTAACCAAATATTGCAGCAACAACTGCAGATATTACACCAACACCACCGCCAGAATCGGTATCTAAACCTGAATTCACCAAACCTCAATCAACACAGTTATCTGAAGGTATATAAAAAGAACAATCGATGGTCGATTCATCTGCTTTTGTAGTTGCAGCAACTCAATCTGAACAACCTGCTGTGATTCCTTTGCCGAAAGCACCAACAGAAGTTCCTGTAGCTAAATCAGAAACTGTTGCATTACAATCAAAATGTGGCAAAACTGAAGATACTGAAAAGCCAATACTACCACCTACACCTATTTCACCTATTTCAGTATGCCCGGTTGGGGCACCCTCTACACCTGCACCTATACCAAAACAGCAAATTGTCAGTCCACCTATTGCCCTACCTGATTCTCCCACTGTGTGCGAGTTGCCCAAACCAGCCCCTTCTCTAATGAGTGAACTACAAAAGCCTACGCCTCCACAGGCTGAAACACAGAAAACTACAGTATCCGCACCTATTCCTCCACAACCTGCAACTGCACCTCATTCGGTTGCTACATCCGCCCCAACACCAGTAACTCCTAAACCAATCGTTCCACAGGCTGAAGCACAAAAACCCACAGTTGATACATCTAAAGCAGCTCCTCCCACCAACCCCGCCGAGAAACAAAAGGCTCCTGATGCTCCCGCCCCATCCGCGCCCAAAACAGTAACTCAACCCCCCACAACAGTCCCTCCACAATCTGTACCACAAAAACCCACTGTTGAAGCATCCAAACCAGCTCCTCCTGCGAAACATGACGAAAAGGCAAAGGCACCATCACCTTCCCCTCCAAAAATCGCTTCTGAGGCTCCCAAAGCAGTAACCGCACCTCCCGCACAAAAACCAACACCTGCACCCACCGTTGATACGTCCAAACCAGTCCCACCCGCGAAGTCCGATGATAAAGAAAAGGCACCCGCAGCGTCACCTCCTTCAAAAGCGCCGAGCAAGACAACCGCGAAACCCACACCTGCTAAGCCGGCGGACCCCGCACCTGCAAAACCGGCGGAGCCCACACCTGCTAAGCCGGCGGACCCAAAACCGACAACACCACCGGCGGACGCGGGTCCGACTCCTCCGCCGCGTAAATCTACCGCCGGTGGGGGTAGCGCTCCTAAAAAGCCAGCAGCAAAGGGTGGTAAAAAATGAGTTGCTTTTTTACAGCTGAAAATTATTTATTTTATTTAAGGATACATGTGTTTTTCACATATTTTAGCTTGCTATTATTTTTTCATTCTGTATGTTTGTTATCACAATTGTATTACTTTATGTATTTATGTATGGAATAAAAACACAAGCATTTAATACTTATAAGATTATTGTTTTTTGCGCCAGACAATAGTTATTTGTACTGTTACTGTAACTGGGGAAGAAAGTGAAGTTTTCCAACTTGAGTTAGGGATGACACAGTTTTCACACGGACAGTTAGGATTTTCAAAAGTTTGTCCGGAGTCCGGTCGCGCGATGAAAATGTTCGGGAATGTGCAGCATTTTATTTTTCAAAATGAAGCATAATAAAGTATGTTTATTTTATAGCAGACGTTAGCTAAAGTGAAACAAATCATTGTGTATTGCAATGACATGACATCTGTCATTCTTATTAAAAATGGGACGCGGGTCCTGAAATAAATTGACGTTCAGAACTGGGCTTCCCTACAACCCCCTTGTTGTACAGGTGAGTGAGTGCCCTGTGAGGACACGATCGGTGATCTTCCTAATCTAACTTCTATTTAGCTTTAGAAGTTTATAGAAGACAGATGTGCCAAGGGGTCCTGTTAAGAAGACCCTGAGTCAGGTTGCTTGCTGCCACTGTACCTGGAATTGACTGGTCACTCAGTTTTCAATTCTGGCGCTGATAACAGAGGGGGCTACTGTCCCACCCATCCCCCTGTTCAAGGGTTCCCTGCATGAGCTCTTTCACGGTGGTTAGAATTGAACTTTCTAGTTATGCGTGTATCCCTGTGTATATACGCTCCTTCCCCGATCAGAGTGCGGAGGAGCCCGTCTAGCACCAGGCACCATAGCAGTGGAGACAACACTCCAACCAATAGATGTATAGTGTTCTAAGGACACTATAATACAGTACCCATTCGTCATTTATGCAAATCCATCACCAGCGTCTCTACCTTTTTTAGGTGAAATGATGATATGCTAATGGGCCTGTAATCCTTCGCCATGTCATATTTGGCAGGACCCGGCTTAGGTATGGTACACAACTCTCTCCTTCCGCCAGCTTTTGGGGATATACTCTACACTACAGCCAGGTAGGCTCTAAAGAGGTGTAACAAATGTAAGAAGGCTTTTGGAATATCCCGTCCGGTCTTGATTCATTCTTAAATAGACTGAAAGTGTTGGCCGCCTATTTCAGAGATCCCACGGTCACCACCTTAGCGACCGATCCGGGTAGCTCCTTTTGGTGAGTCCGTAATCCCCAGAGTCAGGAAAATGTATTTACAGGAGACATGTACTGAGAGCATCACCCGCGGTAGACGTATATATCCGCCGCATGGAAGCCTCAGGGTCCCCACTTTCGCCCCGGGTCTTTCGAAATGATCTTATGAAATTTTTGGACTTCCAGAAGACCCTCAATGTTCCCTCTATCTTCAAACATGGTCCTTATACCTGCGCTAAGCGATCTTGAGATCTTCCCAGTCCGCAGGCGGCTTAGTTCGTTGTTTATTCATTAAAACAACGGTTAGTCGAAGCGGGGATTTTATAAATCGCGCATTTAAAATCGTAGCGGGTAGCGCATGCGCAATTTTTCGGAGTCACGTCGGATTGTAGACGCTAGTTTTGCGTTTTCCCGCGTTTTCTAACCAAAGATACTTTGACAGTTGCAAAGTTTTATATGAAAGTTTTAAAAGAAAAAAGGAAAGAAAGGTGGTTTCATTGTGGAAGTGAGAATTACAGTCATGTCAGGTAAACCATAATTAATCTTGCAAGTACCATCACTACTTTCTTTCAGATCGGAAAAGAAAAATTGAAGATACAGTGCCTTGCATACCCATTGAGGAACAGACAATCAAAAAACTAAAAATTTTGGATAACCACAATGGCACAACCGAAAACACAATTAAAACACAACCCTTCAAGACAGAACGATGTAACATCTGTAGACAATATCTCAACGAAGTTGCAATATACAACGGACATCCAAATTATTCTGTCGAGGAATTTATTTCACTGACAGATCCCAAGTTAATGTTGTTTACGGGTGAAGAGAGTGATATAAATGAAAGGGACGTACATCCTGTGCATAAGGTAAGTAACTTTAATGCAGTTAAGTATTCTTGGAGATTTGTACCTATTTATTTTAAATTCTGTTAGATTATGTTATTGTACGCGGGCACATATAGTTAGGACTAAATACGGGAAATAGGTCGGACCTAGAAGATATATTGGAAAAGATGTATACAAACTTTGCAAAATTTGATGTACTTAATTAATAATTATGTACCTAATATAGCCATCAGTATACAGGGTGACCAGAGTCCATGGCCCTTTTATTTGTTTAAGAGGTCCGTGCCAGAGTCGGACTGGGCAGGTGAGGTACAAAGGAAATTCCCACAGGGCCTTTCGCTTTGGAAAACACTTTGTCACATTTAATAGAATGGGCAAAAAAAATTCTGGTGCCAACGTTGGGTTAGGTATTGTAAAGGGGGGCTTCTGTACAAAAATCTCTGACATTGTAATTTGTTCCAAAGAACACGTCACAGAAGGTTTGGTGTGTGTGATGTTCTCCATATACCACCCAATCGAAATTTGAGCTCCATTTTCCAACTTTTATGGACTACTTTCACATTTTTCAAGATATTTAGTTCGTTTTTTTGCATTTGGTAGGTTATAGTTCTGGCACCTGAGCCTGACGATTAATTTGCGCATGCGCAATGTCAACTTTTTTATTTATAGAGATATTTTTTTGAAATTTTAACCACCGATTCTTCTGGTAGAGATACGCATATCGCATATTGTAAAAATTAGACGTCCGCATGCCCAAGCACATAATAGTCCGTTATATGACCTTTCGGATGTTTTCATGGAAAATGCGCTAAAGTTACTCGGCCTCAGGAGAAACCTTGTTTTCATTTTCCTATTTCATTTTATACATTTGGCCATGGGGATTTAAAAAATACCGGGAAATGCATTAAATTTGAATCGATCTTCAAACGACGATTTTTCAAAAATTTTTTGCAAAAATGCAGAAATTCTGAGTAACTAAAATCGACGTTAAACCACTACATTGAGTGGACTATAAAGACAGGTATTTTAGGTCCATAAGTGATACTTTTACGGTCTCGGACATGAATGTTTCCTAAAAAAAAAGTTCATTTATTACGTTTGACGTAATTATAATATTATTTTTAAATTTATTTTTGACATGTTATTATTAACATTTCAGATAACGTACTTCAGCGTATATGACAAAAATGGGCATCTGTGCCCATTTGATACCGGCTTAATAGAAGCCAATAAACCTCTGTACTTTTCTGGTTACATCAAACCTATTTACGAAGATGATCCTACGACAAATAATGGGATTCCGACACATGACATGGGACCTATCAACGAATGGTTCCTTTCGGGATTTGACGGAGGCGAAAAAGCTCTGGTGGGATTCTCGACTTTATTCGCCGAATATTATTTGATGGAGGCATCACCTGAGTACGAACCCATGATGAAGATTTTGAGAATAAAAATTCATTTGGCGAAAATTGTTATTGAATTTCTGATAGAGGAAGCGTGTCAGGAGCCGACATACGAAGATTTACTTCAGTACTTGCTTCAGTCTAACGATCCGGACCAAACTGAGGACACACTGTTGCGACACGCTCAGTTTATTTGTGACCAAGTTTCAAGTTTTGATGAAGCTGCCGATAGTGATGAACAGATGTTCATTACCACACCTTGTATGCGTACACTTGTTGAAATGGCCGGAGTTACGTTTAGAGTGCGTAAAAGGATGAGGAAAATTGAAAATAAGGTAAGCATATATAGGACCATACCAGGAAGAATAAACCATTCCATTATGATTACACCATTAATGAACTCACAATGAAGCGTGTTAATGTACCTACCGAGAGACTATAATGTTTAATTACCAGTTAACTAATAAAAAAAAAATTGCGCATGTGCCGCAAAATTTTTTTTGATTCGGCTTTAGTTTTACTCGAGGTGCCTACATACAAAATTTTATTTCAATATCTTAACCAATACAAAAATTGGATTGCGGATGCGCAAAACAAATTTTTTTGATCCTGCATTAGTTTCACCTTTATTCGAAGTTGGTACATAAAAATTTTTATTTAAATATCTTAACAAATAAAACAATTGGATTGCGCATGTGCAAATAATTTTTTAGGATCTGCATAGTCGCTTGGGGTTTAAGGAATATTTACTAACACAGAAAACCGGACATTCATATGTTCTTTGTAGAAACCCTGCGATAACACGTGCTTATCTTGAAACTAATTAGCCCACGCAGCGATAATACTCTTATCGCAGTAACCGGTAACACTTTTACAAAAGAATAAGCTGAATCTTTTAACACGTAATTTGTTTTGGTTGTTAATGAGTTGATCACACTGGAATCACGTATCTTGCCCCCAAACTCACATTTAATCAAATTCAACGAGATTAGCAGATATTCAATTCTGATCAGATAATTTATTATTATTTATTTGTATAGACCGGGATTAAAAAGAAACCGTCAGCTTGGAGCAAAGCAACGACCACAAAATTAGTCCAGGAAGTTTTTGAAACTTTTTTCCCCGACCAAATCGATCGAAAGGAGAATGACGATAAAGGCCCCCGCCGTAAACGCTGCGGTATTTGCGAAGCTTGTCAGAGACCGGATTGCGGCAAGTGCGCACACTGTCAGAATATGTTGAAGTTTGGAGGTACGGGTCGTAGCAAACAGGCCTGTTTAGTACGGAGATGCCCGAACATGGCCATTCAAGCTGCCAATGAAGACGCGTCGGATGGTGAGGACGATCAAGCCGATAGTGTAAATGTGGAAAGTAAGGCGTCACTGTCGAAACGTATTATTCACAAGGTCATGTGGATTGATGAAGCTACATTTAAACATAAAGCTCGCTCTTATTATCAATCGGCGCAAGTTGGCGATTTAGTCATTGAATTAGACGATTGCGTCGTACTTAATTCAGAAGAGCCGAATCAACCGCTCTGGATAGCGCGTGTAGGATACATGTGGCAAGAACGCGATGCGACGTTGTTTCACGCACATCTATTTTGCCGTGGGTCTGATACAGTATTGGGAGAGACTGCGGATCCACGTGAACTGTTTGTTGTAGATGTGTGCGAAAATTGTCCTTTAGGCAGCATAGTGCGCAAAGCGAACGTAAGTTTCTTTTATATTTTTTGATCAGTTGATATTGTGCCATTAGCATACTATTGGTGTATTGTGTTTGTGTAAAATGTTGTTGATGTAAAATATATGGTTTGACTTATAAAAAAAAATACAAAAAATGCAGTGATATTTTGTGATCACATGGTAGAAGTAATCTTTATCTAAACTGCCAATTTTTTATACATAATCAATATTCCTGGTTGAAATATACACACACTTCTGAATCCTAAACAAATTTGAAATCTAATTAAAGGACTAGTATTACTTAAAATAAATGCAAAATTGCAATGAATGAACCAAAATACCCATCCTTTGTTGCGATTTGATTCTTTTCAATACAAAGTCTGTTTTGTGCCAATAATAAATACTCATGGATGGATTCCTTTAGGAATATTAAAATCATGTAACCACAGGTTGTTTTAAGTTATATATATTTAACTTTAGGTGGAAAAACGAACAGTACCGAAGAACTGGGCCACGAATGGTGGTTTAGACAGCTTACCACCTCGTCTAGATGACGATGGGCGAACATTTTTTTATAGTAAACGATATGACTCGGAGAACAGTAGATTTGTTGATTTGCAAAAGGAAGAGGAGGACGAATCAATCCCGTATACACCTTGCGATTGTTGCAGGTATAATAGTGTTTTCAATTTTTCGTTGAGCAACATACATGTAATATTCCCTAGGAGGCGCAATCAGAAAAAGAAACACGAATTAATTACTTACCAGAACGGTGCTGTCCACTGGTGCGGTGATATTTACAGGGTAGGAAGTGGAGTCTTTCTTGAACCAGATGCCTTCAGTTTCAAATCTAATGCTACACATGATACCACTAACTCCTCTAATCAGGTAAGTACACCATGTAATACTTAAAACTTATCTTATGTTTTTGTGTGGATTTAGAACGAAAATCATGTTAATCACGAGCTGTACCCAGAGTATTATCGTAAACGTAGCGATAATTTGAAGGGATCCAATGCAGAGACGCCCGATCCGTTTTGTATTGCATTAATTGAAGATATTGTTGAATTTTCAAATGCTGTGAAAATTCGAGTCCGCAAGTTTTACAGGCCAGAAAATACTCATGAAGGTTCATTATTATCTTATCGGAAAGATTTAAACCTTGTGTATTGGTCCACTGAAGGTTGTTTGTTTCTTATGCTTTTTTTTTTAATGGTAAGATTATTCTTTCAGAAAAGACAGTAAACTTTAGTCTTGTAACTGGTAAGTGCTACATTGCTTGTAGCAATGCGCTGGAGATTCCAGTTGATGAATGGAGCAGCAGAGGACCTTATCGATTTTATTTCACTCAAGCTTATGATGAAAAAAAGCAACTGTTTTATGATGTACCTTCGGAGGGACTTAATATTGGATTAATAAGCAAAGGCAAAGGTATTTATTCCGTACAAAATCATCACATTATTTGTGGTTACTAATTGTCAGGCAAAGGAAAAGGCAAATCCAAACAGGTTGATAAGCCTTCCAAAGATCTGGCTCCTGAATGGGACGTTCCACGAAAATTAAAGTGCATGGACGTATTTGCCGGTTGTGGTGGATTGTCTGAGGGCCTCCATCAAGCCAAAATTGCAGAAACAAAATGGGCGGTATGTGTTTTTTTATTTTTTTATTGTCCCTCTCTTGTTGAAGGGCCCTCAACAGGTTTTCGTCGAATTGCAGAGTGACCCTCATAATGCTTTTTAGAGGTTCCTCTGCAGAAGGTCTTAAGTTGTTCTATACTATTCCGGCATTTACCTTACGAATGAGGAAAATTGCAGAACAATCTAATTCGGCGTAGCTGACAGATTTCTCGAAACTGATCTTGGAAATTCCCATTTCATGTCACAGATGAAAAATTCACCTCAACTCAGGTTGGAACACCCGACCTCCCGGCTGTGTAGCCCAACTTTTTACCACTGAGCCACACAGACATAAAGAATATACTAGTCAAAACTACAGCTAGTGTGATCAGAATTTGAATGAAACTGGGCCAAACGCGCCTTTGTGATCAATAGAAAATATTTACGCACTTTGGGCAGTGCGTTGTGTGCAATGGCAAATGGTCACTAAGACACCCCCAAAACACATGTCCAGCAGCTCAAAACATATTAAAGTTGAAATTTTGAATTTTATTATTTTCCTCGTACATGTCCGACTTCGATTACAAAGAAAAATCCCCATACTGACTTGAATTTTATTAAATTTCGGAGATACAGTGGCCTAGATTAACTCCCGACAATTCCTAAGAATTAACTAAACAAATTTTAATTAACACCCGCCATATAATTCTCCGGCACGATTAGAAAAAACTATTTGGGCCGCACTTTGGGTTCGATTAAACACACATTAATTGACAAAGACAACAAAGACATTTCACAAAACATTAAAGAAATTAAAACAATTCTGAAAGGAAGAAAAGCATTTAGAGCTTGTTTTTACACATACCACGGACGCAGGCGTTCGACAGACAATTAAATAAAGAAATCTTAATTACCTAGGTACTTTAAGTTTTTCAATATTCCAATAAATGTGGCTGTACAAATTTTGTGAAAATCGGGCGCACTCGGAACTCACACAAACACACACTCGAACTAACATTTTTTTCATTAACGGACAAAACGCTTTAAAAACGTTTCATGAATTTACGTCGTTAAAACTTAAATCTCAACGTGCTAACTTAACCTTCTTGTACACAACTTTATTTAAAAAAAAACGATTAATTTGGTCTCCAACTCAAGAAAGATAGGACCGATTGCCCAAGATAACTGCGTATCAAAATGTGCAAGGTTCGCAAACCATTAGTAACAAGCAAACAAAAAGTCTGGTTAAAACGTTGTCCCCATAGTATTTAAATGATCCACCATTTCTATCAAAGCATAATCTCCTTCTTTATGAATTTTCAAATAAACCGCCAATCACAATAAGACATGAATAACGCCGGATTCGACACAACGCGTCCTAATTTGCGCCGAGAAAAGCGCACATCTTCGTAAAGCACCTGCAACTGCAAATGTGCATCAATTCAATTTCGCCCAACAATAAACCCTCTTATCGCAAATAGAGCTGGGCAGTATTCGATTTTGTAAATGCTTTTTAGTATTCAAATCCTTTAAAGTATTCAAATACTTTGTAATTAAATACTTTTATGGAAGCAGTATTTGTATTTGTAACTGAAATACTTTCACAAATATTTAGTATTCGAATACTTCGCAAAGTATTTGGATACTTCGTAAAGTATTCGAATACTTCGCATAGTATTTGAATACTTAACCTTCCTTTTTTACCAAAAATTGACTACTCCAAAATTTCTCGGGAAAACACTTTTTCTTATTAATTTTGGTGCGTAGAATCCAAAACAATTCGTACTTTTTCGATCAGACTTCTCAATCAAAAGTTATAGACTAGAAACCAATTTCGAAAGAAAATTCAAAGGGCTGTAACTTTTGAACTAGTAGCCCAATCTTGGAACTGTTTGAAATTAAGGATTCTACAGGCCACATTCTATAAGAAACATTTTTTTCCGGGTCGATCTGAGACAATTTTTTCTTCGCGCCTCAAAAAAAGGCAGTGTATAACCTTCCTTTTTTACCAAAAATCGACTGCACCAAAATTTCTCGGGAAAACACTTTCTCTTATATTCTACAGGCCACATTCTATAAGAAAAATTTTTTTCCGGGTCGATCTGAGACAATTTTTTTTGAGAGCCTCAAAAAAAGGCAGTGTATAACCTTCCGTTTTTGCCAAAAATCGACTGCACCAAAATTTCTCGGCAAAACACTTTTTCTTATTAATTTTGGTGCGTAGAATCCAAAACAATTTGTACTTTTTCGATCAGACTTCTCAATCAAAAGTTATAGACTAGAAATCAATTTCGAAAGAAAATTCAAAGGGCAGTAACTTTTGAACTAGTAGCCCAATCTTCAAACTGTTTGAAATTATGGATTCTACGGGCCAAATTCTATAAGAAAATGTTTTTTTCCCGGTCGATCTCAGACAATTTTTTTCCGGCCTCAAAAAAACGCAGTACTTTTAAGTTATTCAAATATTTGAGAACAATTTAGAAATGTTTAGGGAAAGTTTCCATTGTCACAAAATGAAATATAAAAATCCGATACAACTGAATACCGAACGATCTTGGAGTGAAACTTTTTGACTCGATAGTCTACTTAACTTAAAAACAATAGGGACCTTTCTTATATCCTTACGACCATGTGTACCAATTTTCAAAGCGATCGCACGTTTCTAAACTATCATGCACACGGACAAACGGATGGTCACAAATGGATCTGTTCCAAAATCGCTAGGATTAATTTCAGAAAGGCGTACTTATCATGTGCACGACGCTTTGAAAACTGGTACACGTATAAGAAAAGGTATAAGAAAGGTCCTGGTGGGTACCTCCTATATAATAATAATACACGCTTTTACTCCTCTTAAATTTGTATATAATAATAGAAATATAAAAAAGCTAACCCCATACAAAGTATAACTTGATTTTTAAGTAGTATTAAGACTTTTATCTAGTATACTATTTTAAATTTTTAATGTATTTGAGTGACAAGTATTTGAATACTTTTTACTGTATTCGAATACCTTTGAAAGTATTCGAATACATTCTAAAGTATTTGAATACTTATTTTTTAAAGTATTTGAATACTTATTTCTTAAAGTATTTGAATACTTTTCTATGTATCTGTATCGAGTATTCGCTTGTGCTGGACGTAAAAGTATTTAGTATTCAAATAGTTTTTGAAAGTATTCTGCCCAGCTCTGATCGCAAACGGCCAAATATAACCTTTTTTTTTAAATAACGCAAATTCGAATAAACGTAGAATGAAACCCAAGAGATCGTGGCAACCGCGCTCGCTTTCCGCACTACATTTCTTCTTATAGCCAGACATACCATTTTTCACGTTTGCAATGAAGCGGTACATTGTGTAAATTTTCCTATGCTGAGCAAAATACAAATTCAACAACGACAAGATGTCTCCAATTCTACCCATTGTAATCTGCCACAGAGCATGGGTAATGCAGACGTGTGATGTATATACGACTGTAAGAGACACAGTAAACAGTAAGCCTTTTATTATCCACGATATACATGTATGAGTGTATATCACATATCTCTAAACTTGCTCTCTTAACATTCCATAAATTTTATATTCCAGATTGAAAAAGAGCCTGCAGCTGCACGTGCGTTTAAGTTAAACAATCCGGATGCGATTGTATATACAGAAGATTGCAATGAGCTGCTGCGCATGATTATGTCAGAAAAGGAAAGTAAACGTAAGGGACTGCCAAGGAAAGGCGAAGTAGAGCTATTGGTGGGTGGCCCTCCGTGCCAAGGTTTTTCCGGAATGAATCGTTTCAATGCAGGCCAATATTCATTGTTCAAAAATTCGTTAATCTCTTCGTATCTCAGCTTCTGCGATTACTATCGGTTTGTAATTACCTCACTGTCAATCACGTGATTGGATTTGTGCAAATTTTAGACCGGCGTACTTCATTTTGGAAAATGTCCGCAATTTTGTATCATTTAAACGAAGCATGGTCCTAAAACTGACGCTACGTTGTCTACTAGCAATTGGTTATCAAGTGACGTTCGGTGTCGTGCAGGCAGGACACTACGGTGTGCCACAAACCAGACGTAGGTTGATTATAATGGCTGCCGCACCCGGAATGGTTCTACCTGCTTATCCCGAACCCCAACATGTTTTTAGCAAGAAGGGCTGTCAACTTTCAGTGCCGGTCGACGATTTTAAATTCTACACCGGTGTAAAATGGGGCGCGTCAGCTCCTTATCGTACTATAACGGTACGAGATGCGATGTCCGATTTGCCCAAGATTCGAAATGGCAGCAATTCGCAAAAGATGCCTTACGATTCTGAACCTATTTCGCATTTCCAAAGAGTCATACGCGATCATAACGCAACAGATTGTGTTATCGATCATATTTGTAAGGAGATGGCGCCAATTGTGGAGTCTCGCATGAGTCACATTCCTATTTATCCAGGAGCAGATTGGCGAGATTTACCAAATAGTGTTTTAAGATTATCTGATGGGACTTTCACCAATAAACTTAAATATCCTTACAGGTTTGATTCTTTATTTTTATTATGATTTTTTTAATGAAATTCCATTTCAGGTTTAAGAAGCAGAAAAGTTCTGAGCCGTGCAGAGGCGTGTGCGCCTGTGCTGTTACGGGTCACTGTGACGCAGCTGATCGTCAGTCAAACACTCTTATCCCATGGTGTTTACCACACACAGCTGATAGGCACAACAATTGGTCGGGATTGTATGGACGACTGGGTTGGGATGGATTTTTCAGCACAACCGTCACCAACCCTGAGCCAATGGGGAAGCAAGGAAGAGGTGCGTGATTGTAATCTTTTTATTATAGTTGTACATAAATTGCTTGTGCAGTGTTGCATCCAGAGCAGCATCGTGTTGTTAGCGTGAGGGAATGTGCACGTTCCCAAGGCTTTCCAGACAAATATCAGTTTCATGGAAATATTTTAGACAAGCATCGACAAGTTGGTAACGCAGTACCACCTCCCTTAGGTGCAGCGATTGGTAAAGAAATTGCAAAAGCTTTAACATTAACCCTTAAACCGGTTAACTAAACTATATACTGTCGGAACTTATAATTTTGTAGTTCAGATCTATTCTTCTTAATGTCTACAGCTAACCAATTTTAGAATGTGTTTGTTATAATTTTGTGTATTTTGTAGTTTTGCTTAGTTGACCATGACTATGTAGGCATTATTATTATTATCTGGCTGTTGTTATAATTTTATCTTTTTTATAAAAAAAGACCCGCCTGAATGTACAAAATGTACCTAATGCGTAATTAAACAAAATTTCATTTGAATATTTCAATAAATAAAAAAATTGGGTTGCGCATGCGCAAAACAAAATTTTTTTGTTCGCCATTAGTTTATTTTTATTCGTCATTCGTGGTGCCTATGTACAAAATTTCATTTAAATATCTCAACAAGTGCGCATGCGCAACAAATTGTTTTATTCATCATTAGTTTTAATTTGATTCGAGGTGCCTACATACAAAATTATCTTATCTTAACAAAAAAAAATTGGATTGCGCAAATACCAAAGTTGGGTTGCTCATGCGCAATTTTTTTTCAATCTGTTAGGTGCTTGAGATTTAGGGAATATTTACTAACACAGAAAACCGGACATTCATATGTTTTTTGTAACAAGAATATAAAGGAAACTTTTTTCGAGGTTTGGGCAGTTTTTGGACTGTAACTTTTTGGCCCGATTCTCTATGTACATGTGCCAATTTTCAAAGTGATCGGACTTTTCTAAACAAAGTTATCGTGCACACGGAGAGACAGACAGACAGCAATATAAAATTATAACCAATCTTGAGGATCGTTACTAAATCATTCAGCTTTCGGTTGAATGCCATGTATCATCTTTTTCGGATATAGTGTTTACTTTGAAAGTTGTAGGGGATTTATTACAGAAGCATTAACGGCATTAGAAGATTAAAAAGTGACGCTAGATGGCGCTAGGTGAAAAGAGCACCAATATAGCGTGTGAGTTTTAAACTTTTTTATGGTGCATAGGATTTTATTTATATTATATGTTCGTATACAACACTTATGCTACGCTCAACACCAGGGTTTTTAATATGCGGTACTCGATCGCTAACCTAGCTATCGGGAGAAGACTAAGCCTCACATGAATGATTGTGAATGAAACAATGCATTCAAGCGAATATCAACAACTTGCGTGTGGCCTTTGATCTCTTCCTGGGGGAGGGGGAACCACAAGGCGCAGTTCGAGGACCACGCCTATGGAATATGGAGGAGTTAAGTTAATTGGTTACGTGAACGATGTTAGTGTGCTAGTGGTTCAGCGGGAGCTACAAGAGGCGAAGAGCGGAATAGAGGGCGTGATTGATAGTGTTAGTGGATGGATGCACTGGAAAGGATTAGATACTGGGTCTCAAAATCTATAAAAGCTTGACTTTCTTTTCACATGTGGAGAAGGCTGTCGAAAAAGCAACTAGGGTAACAACAAGCGCGCAGAGAGGATACTGTGGAGCTGCTGGGGCCCCAGAGAGAGTAAGAGGAGGGTACTGGGATTAGCAGTAAACAATATAGTTTTGTATGGATGCGAGATGGGTAGCCGTGGTTTAAAGAAGGAAGGTTAGGGAAGAGCTAGATAAGTTCCAGAGGAAGTTGACCTTAAGGGTAGCGCCGGCATACCAAACAGTGTCCTCAGCAGGTCTTTTCGTGACGGCCAGCATACTACCATTGCGGATACTAGTTTAAGCCCAGGTGGATGGGACAGATCAGGGAAGATGTCTTTAAAGACTGGAAGGAAGAATGGAATGAGAAGGGTGAGAAGATAAGGAGAGACTACATACGATTTCACCCAATTTTTCATAGTTCGGGAAATAGTGACTGAAAATGGAACATTTCCTGCAAAACGAGAAGTAGTTCCAATTTTTCATGTCATGAAAAAATATCCGGTGGTTAAGAATCCAAGTTTTCGACCTCCCACGCCTTGTGCTTCCCCCGTACCACCCTTAAAACCAAAGAAATTTGGTTGGTTTTTTTGTTTTTCAATCATATTATCTTTTTATAGGTTCACTTTACAACAAAATATTGTTATCAGAAATTGTAGACTATAACATTCTACACAACTTTGATATACACTACTTTTTTGTGAAATGTTTATTAAAAACGATATAGAGGTTCAGAGTTGTTTATATTTTTAAGAATTCTAAAATTTGTATGTACCTAGATGTTTTAACCAAATTTTATACTTTATTTCTATAATTAAGAGTTGGATGAGAAAATATCTTGAACTTATCATGGTATAAATCCCCCTACCCTGCACCCTTACCAAAGGAGATGCATAATAATTTAACTTTCAACTCTTGCTAGTGGGGATATTTGAATCACTATGAGGTTGTAGTGTAGCGCTTTCTAATATACGTTTGAAACAAAAAAATTATCTCAATTCAGTTCAGCTTCATTTTTCCACCCCACCCCCCTCCACCGCGGTAGGAATAGATATTTAAAGAGGTTTAGAAAATATATGTAACGTTGTACTCTCTGACTAAGTAAACCATTAAAAAGATATGAAAAATTAAGAAACCAACCAAATGTCAGGGGTTTTGGGGTTGGTACGGGGGAAGCACAAGGGGTGGGAGGTCGAAAACTTAGATTCTTAACCACCAGATGACTGTCTATGACATGCAAAAAGTTAAAACCCTCTATTCCCTGGACTATCACTGGACATGGTGAAAACACCGCGTACCTGAAAAGAATTAGAAAAAAAGGGAGCAGGAAGACTGTATAGACTGTGATAGAGTGGACAGCGCGGGGCACGCGGTGCCGGAATGTGTTAAATGGGAAGGGGAGCGATAGGGCTAGGAGGGTTGGTGGACGGAGAGGGAACATTATACCACTAATGGTAGAAGATAGATAAGTAGATTCATTACTAAAGTAATCTCCACAAGGGTATTAGAAGCAAGATAGGATATACCTGCACAGAGAAGGTGGGGGCGGAAGATTGCTTTGGTCATACCTGCCGACCACCTAGGCACCAAGCGAAAGGGATGATATGATCTTATAAGGTTGGCAGGGCGCATTTTTTCTAGTTCGTTTATTGACAAGTAGCTGAACACATGGACAGAAGGGAAAGCGAATGCAGGGCGACATTTTGTGGTACTTGCCCATTACTAAAGGAACCTTTTCACAAAATTTTGAATCGACACCAGTTTATAGTAAGATGTAATTTGAGAAATAGATAGGCGGACAAAGTATGCACAATATTATGATCGCCTAACTGGCCGGGTCGCTATCAGATATTTATGTTAAAAGCAAGGGATGTACTTTTTACGTCAGTGCGGAAGCTTGCACGAATAAGGAAAAAATTTCACTTATAAAAAATATCATAGATGAAGCTACAGGTTTAAATGAAACACAAATATTATTAAATAAACCCTCTGATTTAATCTTAAAAGTAATTTAATACATTCGAGTTTTTAAGCTTCCTACAATAATTAATAACCAATACTACTGACGTATAATACGCCTAACAATTGAGTTAACAATATCATGGCACTGGTTATAATATCACCCGATTCTATAAGTATGTGTTAATTAAGATTTGGTTGTTATATACAGTACAATAGTAGAATAGCTGGATGAGGCAGAGTGTCCCAGCAGAGCACAAAGTTAGTATCGAAACGGAGGGAATAAATACATCAGTCAGGGTCACTCTGCTCGTTGTGTGACTAGAAGTGAAATTTTACAAAGAAGTTGTGGATAAGCATGACCTGTACGATTAATGGTGACCTATCCATTGAACGTTAACGTTATCCACAACTGTTTTAAGGTTTGTCGATCACAGTAGATTTTATATCGAAAAATTGCCGACAAGTAACGAGAAATCTGTTTCGCACGACACATTCGTTAAATGTATCTTGGGAAATGATTTTTCCGGTGTATTGTCGTGCCAATTGGTGCAGCTGGCATTTTGCCGTTAAACGTAGTATACTACTGAGCTGGCGTTGCGCTGTGAGCAAGCTCGGATAATATGTCTCTAATAACTAGGCTACGGTATTCAATATTATTGTAATACTAAGGCACAGACCCAGCTCACTGCTTCTGCGGGCGTAGTCAAAAATTTGACCGGCGCACGCTAAGCATGTTCGTGGAAGACGAGCACCGCTGGATATTCTACCCAACATAGGAACAGAATTCAACCTAACATTGCCAATAATGGGTATCTTGCGGGTGTGTCTCCCGTAAGATACTCAGGACTGCAGTGTGTACACAGCCTAGTTTGGCATTTGATGTCTAACCTAATTAAGTACAAGTACAATTACTATACAGTCTATACTAATTTGAGCAGCTTCTAATGCGCACTAACGTTTCGAAATTATGATAATTCAACATAGGGTTTACACATAAATCGGCAAGAAAAGCTGCAGATGATAAGGCAGTTTATCGTTGTAGAAGGCTCACGGAGATTTCGGTGTTGGAAGTGATTCGTTCTCCCGCGCGGTGGACGTTTCTAATCCATCACCAGACACACTCGCTTGAAAGAATCTATCAGCTTCGCACATAAGATTTGAACTTGTACAACACTGATTATGATCGGAGGCTGATCCCGTGGTCGCCGTATCGTCCATTAAAATGACCGTGCCCGTTTCAGGATTCGATCCTGATACGGGGTGAGTAATCATACTGAAGTCTTCCTGATCAAGGCTGAACAATGGTGTACTCCAACGAGGCATCATATTAGAACGCTGAGTACCTCTCGCCGTATTCACATTGGGTGAGTACATGCTGAGGTTGGTAGGACTGATAACACCAGACATTCCACTCATACTCTGGTAACTGAAAAGCTAAAATGGGGAATGTTAACGACAACATAAATATCGCACATAATGTACTACCAACATGTCCTGGTTGTGGATGAAAATGGTTGAAGGAGTAGTCTCGGTTCGGCGAGTATGGACTGCTTGTTGGAACCGAATTCCTCTGCGATGGAGACTTTCGGCGATCTTGGCTACCGGGACTTAATGGTGGAGACGAACTTAATTCTGGCACGTCATTTGCGGGAGAAGCTTCACTTCCAGGAGGCGTTATGCTAGCGGGTGGTGAATTGGTGCCACTCATTGTTACATCACCTGTTGATCGGATAATGGCTACGGGACGCGCCATCGGTGGCAATGGCGGCGGTGGAAGCATCGTTGAAGGAAAGTACTGCGATTTCGGACTTCGAGACAAATTGTTTTGCATCTACGGTACAAAGGTAATTGACGGATTATTTACGCCTGCTTTATTACCTGTGAACTCTGCTGACTATTCTCCGTTTCTTGACACACAAACGTAACAAAGTCGGATAGTGTGTCATGCCCATTTTCTGGATATTTAACTTGATTCTGGTGTTGATGGTGTGGTTCCGGACTATGCTGATAAAATAATGTGCTCGGACTTGCAGCTTGTGAACTCGATGATACCAGTGTTGTGTTTTGTGGCATAGCTAAAAGGGAAATGTCCATTAATTAAGGCGATTATAACGTAGAGATGTCAAAAATTTTTCATAAATTCGGCGGAAACCACATCGAGTTTTGGTCTTGTGTCATCCGCATAAACAATTTATTTAACATTCTTATGTAGGAGGAGGAGGTACCCAAATTTGAATTGAATTCAATAATTTTGGTCCACAGACCGCACCCTGTGGACAGTTTGTTTTGTTATTCACGTCATTTGTGAAATGTTTTCACTTCAGGGGTCATTGCTGCCTTTGTGGGAAAAAAATAACTGGTGATGACTAAGGAAACAGACAGAGTAGTGACAGTGGCAGCAAACATAATTTTGGAAGACATTAGATCTTAAATGTACAATATCACTGACACACTGACAAATTTTTGAATGATGTTGAAACAGTGGCATAAACTCAAAATTCAAGCGGAAACTGGAAAATAAGTAGGTAGTGAATTTTTTAGTCGCAATAGCCAAAAAAAGCAAAATGTTGTTGTTTTCACTTTTATGTGTACCCCGCACTCCGTAGTGTTGGTTGAACAAAAATTACATGCATTTTGTGGATAATTAAATTCCCTACAAATTTTATTCTAATACTTCTTTCCTAGGATAGGCCACAACTGAAATACAGCGTTCTAAATTTGTAAGATTTTTAAATTTTTTTAATGCATATTTCCATAACTAGAAACTACATTATAGGAAATTTAACATTGAGTAGTACTCCTTTGTAGCTAAAATGTAACGTAACGAAAATCTGAAGAAAATGTCGATTTTTCGAATGTGGCGGTGGGCACGGAGGAGGGGGAATTGTGCATTTTGCATTTGAAACATTAACTAACTATCTTAGACACTATATAAAAAAAGGCCCCACCATGGAATAGCCCTCTTGTCATGGTGGTGGGGCTCAATAGTCATATTTTCAGTGGCGAAGCTAAGTATCCCAGGCGGGTGACTGCTAGACTCCATGGCTTTTACCCATAAAAGTTTGTGAGCTACCCAATTCCAGAAATGAGCCATGGTGTAGAATATTAACGAAAGTATACTCGACGGTTACTCATCAAATGTGATAAAAGGAGTTTTTTCAATATGAGAAGAATTCTCCCTACGTTGGACTCCTAAGCCGTACATGGTCGACACTTGGTCAACTTCTGATTGCATATTTTCTGGTCAAAGATGGATTGCCATTTGTTAATACAGGAGTAATGTTTTGTGAAATCGAACTCGACCATGACTCCTTAAAGGTGATAAGGGAAACTTTATCGACACGAGTACTCAAAGGAGGTGGAGGCCCCAGAGGTCTTTGCTTCCTCTGCCTCCTTTAGGTGTTGGACTCTGAGGGGTTGTGAATTAGCTTGTTTTAGAATAAGAGAATGAATCTGCAATTATTTTCTTAAAGATGAACACCTCATGGTTTTTAAAACCAGCATGTAATTGTAAAAGTCTGTTAGTACATGTTAGCTGCTCTTCGCAGATATGAGAATATATATACATACTACTGGACGTAAGGTAACGCCTGTTGCGCCCTGTGTACCTACTTTCTGTATCAAATAAGTGTGTTGATACTTACAACCTAAATCATATTTTTGCAGAAGGCCGCCATTTTTTTTAATGAAGAAGTTGCGTGTACCTGATCGGGGAATAGAGTTTTCCAATACTCAATAATTTCATAATTTTAATCATGAATTTACAGATTTATCTGGGAATAAAATAATGTACCTATACACGTTGTCCAAGGTCGATTGCTATATGTCTAAAAGTATGGGATATTCAATGAGTCCTGTTCAAATAAATCCAGTTTATAGTATAACTTCGAGTTATGTCGTTACTCTCACTTCGTTATTTTAAATGGGATTCCATAGTTTGTTCTTAATCAAAAATTTGAGAAAATTTGAACATTTGAAAGAATTAAGTTTTTTCAAAATTTTTGAAAAAGATAGTCCTGCATTGCATTTTATACGGAAACAAAAACGGATCTATTATTTTCAGTATTTCATTAAATGAGGCGTGGCCAGAACTAAAAGGCGGCCAAAAATCGTAGTGTGACAAACTGAAAAGCTTTTGGCCAGAACGCGCATGCGCAGGTGTATACGAGTGGTATCTGTGCTAGCCACGGCAATTTTGGTATATTGTATATTATGTATTTGGTATATATTTTTCTTACAATCATTGCATTGACTTTTTGACTTTTTCAATTGCCATATAACTATATTGTGCTATGTATGATACCGTTTTCGAAATTGATTCACCTTCTAGTTTATTACAAAAAATTGTAACTAGAGTCCTGAGCGATATAATGAACGAAGAAAAATTTTCGCTATGCAATTAATCACTAAAAAAGTCTGCAGCAAGTAGAAGCATGTCCAGGTGCCTATATGGCGCAAAAAGGTTACAATTTTAACTAGAAAACTTACAGTATGCCGCAGAGACCACCATGGCATCAACGGACGCCGATCGATCCCCGACAACAGCTCCTTGATCGGAATAGCTGTTGCAGTAGTACGCCGGATGTTCGACCTTAACGCTGTTAATGCTGGGCTGTGGTTCCGAAATTTCTTGAAGTATAGAGGCTGCAAAGTAATTGCAATAAATCATACGCATTTTAATGTTTCGTTAACCTATTTTACCCTTCGATAGCTTCCATAATTCTTTTGAGGAGAATACACCCGTCGCCATTATTATTTCATTGCAAACGACACCATTGTAGGGATTATGGGTATATCCTGAAATTAATCACATACTTTGGATAATGGACCAAGCTTTCAAAAAGAACATGTCGATTTCATTTAGTGTGGACTCGTTGCAACCATACATCTTATATGATTGCAAAGTTAACCCTTCGAATTTTTTTACGTGGTAAACTGCTCTAAAAGAATCTCCGTACAATTTTTTGAAGTGTGAAACCAAATAATGTTGACGCATCGGGATCTCTTCCACACCTCCTGGATATGCGTCCTCGCGCGTCTTTTATTACCGAAATTCCCATTTTCACTGAAGTGTGAAGTGTGTGAAGTTCCAGTTTCATATCCCATTAAATGGGCCAAAACTAGTATTGCAATTAATTACTGTTAACAGTTTTTTCAGTGGCATTATTGCACAAACCTGTAATATCACATGCCCTGTCTAATCTATTGTTTCTTTGACAACAAATAGACTGCCGGATTATTTGAAAAAAAAATATTTGTTTGATGTATGTCGATAAGAAATGTGTTAAATTGTCAGTTCAAGGGTTGCACATCCCTCACACGACGGTTGGCACGGGATGTTGATGGGCAATATGTCTTACATCGCGTACAAGGGCGGCATAAAAAACACACGCCAGTTTCACCTTTCCAGGGGTATAAATAAGGAGTCATCAGATGTCTTACTTGCACAATAATAACCCCATTTTTAATTGTTCACCATTTTCTAAAACTGTCCTAAACTTTTACCCGTTTGTGTGTAGGTATCGAAATTACATTTAACTAAACGTCCTGCCATTTTTCCATGGAATAATTTTTTCCATATTTTATATCACTTACATGTACTTATACAGGCTGATTCAAATTCGAGGGCCACCATGGGGATCTCGGGAATTGTAAGATAGATAGGTAGTTTGAATTTGGCAAAGTTGCGTATTTTGATCCTTAACAAAATGCAGTTTTGAAACCTAAAAAATTCCGACAACTTTTGGAGATATCAGAAAAAAACCGAAATTTTGCAAAATCGTTTTGATTTTTTACTGAAGTTTAAAGAGATATTTCGAAATAAATGATACATTATGGCTACAAGATGCTACTTTTAAATTTTAAGTTTGGCGTTTTGTCACCAATCAACCATCACCAACTTTGTTTTTTCTTATGGAAGTAATTTTTACTTTTTGGGTCATTTGATAGAGAATTCAAAAGAGAGTTCAAAAATATAAACATCACAATTTTTTTTTAATTATTAAAATATTTTCTTTTTTTGCCTAGAAAACTTTGTCTTGTTTCAAAACTGCATTTTGTTAAGGATCAAAATACGCAACTTTGCCAAATTTAAACTACCTATCTATCTCTTAGAGTTCCGGAGATCCCCATGGTGGCCGAAGTCGGATTTGAATTACCCTGTATAGTGTAGCGAATATTCCAGAATTCCATGAAAGATTAGTCATCGGCGATAAAGAACGAAGGGGAATATGACGTAATCTTTGCTAGAAATATTATTATTATTATATATTTGTTCAAGAACCTTCTGTAGCGACCTTGAGCAATCCACTGGAGAACATTCTAGGTTTGCTATATAAGCAAATAGAATTGTGTTTCGAATTCAGTTCCAACATCGACACCCTCTTGAGTTGTTATAAATAGTGAGTGATTAATTACCCACTGTTATAAATGAACCTATTTTAAGACTGTTATACATTTATTGTCAATGATTTGTAAATAAATAAAACCACGTAATTAAATTTGCGTTATAACATAGCTAGTTTTGAGCGGTCGCACAAATCTTCTTGTGCAATTGTTTTCGTTGTACCTAACATTCAATAACACGACAACATTAATTTAAAATCCCCATTGCTTGCGAGTGGCTTTTGTATAAATCACTTTTTAATTGTCGGCCATTTTCTAAAATTTTCCTAAACCTTTACTCGTTTTTATCGAAGGTGGTGTTGTAAGTAAACCGATATTGCATTTAACTAAACTTCCTGCCATTTTTTCCATATTTTATATCTCTTGCATGTACTTAAATAAACAGTATTCAATTCATAAATAAATTAATTAAACAAATATAGCAAACGAGTTCTCGGGTATGTCTATAGCATGTGCAAAATCAAATTTTAAACCTGATGTTAGTTTTGCTTTTATTTAAAGTGTATATGTATGAAATTTCATTTAATTGCTTCCATAAATAAGAAAGTTGGCACTGCACATCCTACACAAAACCAAATTTGGAAAATGGCGCTACATTTGCTTTTATTCCAAGTGGCTATGTATCAGATTTCATTTAAATCACTCCATAAATAAGAAAGTTGGCACTGCGCATGCGCAAAACCAAATTTTGAAACTGGTGTTATATTTGCTTTTATTCCAAGTTATGTATCAAATTTCATTTAAATCCCTCCATAAATAAGAAAGTTGGCACTGCGCATGCGCAAAACCAAATTTGGAAACTGGCGTTAAATTTGCGTTTATTCCAAGGGGCGAGATATCGTGCTAACGGACGGACAGACACCGCAAAATTATAAACTCGCTAGGAGCTCGTTAATAAAGGTGCAGACTTGAAGTATATTCTTAAATAATAAATTCAAATACAAGAAGTGTAATAATTGCCTTGGACATTAAAATTTTTGAACTTCATCAATGAAATTATTGTTTAGTTAGACGGATCTAATGTGTATGTTTGCCAAATCGTTCAAAGAATATTCTACAAAATATTGTTGATGGTCAGGGTTGTTCTACTGGTGGGAATAAGTTGTCAGTAAAGGATTGGCGTACTAAAATTTGATGCGGTGTGTCAAGGGCTTTAAATTTAGCTGTACCCCGGAAAACCCACAAAAGGGCACTTACCGTTCGTGCTCAGCAAATTGGTGTTCTAAATACCTTTCAACATTTTTTTACACTTACACAACTTCATTTGATACCACGCTCATTCTTATCTAGGCCAAATAATTGAAGTGGGTAGCCAAAGGTTAGCCCCGATTGATCTTTTTCAGTTTCTCCACCACCAAAGATATTTTTCCATAAAGCAACCGCATTAGTTATTTTATTTATTTATTTATTTACGTACTTGTCGATGCTTATTTGACATTTTTTTACACAGGGCAAAGTTACTCAAATTGTATAAAAGTAGACCAAAGGAAGACGTATTAGCACACTTTTATTATTCAATATTACCCCCATACCTATTTAATTTAATTCACATTCAAAGAGACTCTTTGGTTCACCCTAATACGGTAATTTAGAGTCTATGAGGCTAGTACAGTTTTAAGATCTACGAGTATGTGAGTTGCCTACGTTTCCATGAAACTTTAACCTTCTGGAAAGTTTAATTTGAGTAAAATTACGCCTACGCTTATTGGGGTAAAACAATTTTGAAAGTCATTTTTTAACCTGCTCATTATTAATTATTTTTATTATGATTCAATCAAATTTTACAAATAAAAAAATTCGTTAAGCCGCTTGTGAGCTTGTTTTTTCGATTTTAATAGCCCTTATGGACATTTCGTGCCTTAACGAGAATACAAACATGAAATAATTTTTAATTTCTGATCGAATGGCACTAATACGAAGTCTGTAAGTAAGGAGCCTTTGTGACTCAGACAGACAGACATCATCAGGAGCGCAAAAGTGCACTTTTTATTTTTTGAAAGTGAAAGTGCACTAAAAACAATCCGCGAAAGCAATTTTCAGACTGGCCCGACATGTTCAATTTGCCACTGCCACTGCTAAATTTTTCCTCCAATCCCCTTTTACGTGAAGTTCTACACTGTGAATTAACTTCCGTATAGTTTTTTACGAGGTCTTTATGTATACATTTGTGTAAGGTTAAAAAAATTTAGTTTTCTATCGTTCTTACATTATTTTCCAATGTAGCAGTCGCATTTTATGAATGTAATGATTAATCGTTACCAGCTTAAATTTAACAGGTGGTGAAACTGAGATTTAATGATGGATTTGCGTACCCTGATAGTGATTAAATCAATAAAAATAGTAAAATGAATTTCCATATTCTAATGGAACCCTTTCCTGTGGGAAATAAAAAAAAGTTGTTTTATTTTTCTAATTACTTTCACTAAGTAATCAAAAATATGAGTTAGTTATAGCGGTTTTAATCACCCAAAACAAGGGCTATCCTATCGCCAGAAGCGCGTAACGAATGGTCCACAACTACGCCATTTAGTTGTCGATTTTTGAAGAGGTTAATTTTTGCAATCATTTTGAACTGATCAAAGTGCTTAATAAAAATTAGGAGAAAATTTTGAATGCTTGATACCCCCTTCTTCCTACCTTTATTTTTTCGTTCGTCTTCTTTTTTGGTGTTATTGTTATTGTTATAACTAATTCCGCTTAGTATATCTGGAAAGAGAGCGAGATGTTATTTATAGAAAAACGGAAAATTGCATACCGTGACTGTTGATGAAATTAGCGAGATATAAATCCAGCTCTCGAACGGACACGTTAATGTGATAGGGGTTAACGCATAATCCCGGTTGCGAACAGTCGGGGTTTTTCTCTAAACGTTCGCCGTCCGTACTTTCGAGGGGGATGGCTTTGAACAAGATGACCATGACAAGATCGAGACGCCACACTTTATCTGCCTGTCGTAAACAGTCTATGCGGCGCATTTTGCCTTTTTGATCAGGATTTGATAAGACACACACTGCAGGTCTTTTGCCTGTAATACTTAGCACAAAGTCCTCGCGGCACTCTTGTGTAATGTCCTTGCGTAACTTTCCCAAAAGTCGCGATGCCCACTTTTGTTTAACTTCGGATTTTTCGTTCTGTGTAATGAAATGGAGCGAAAATTAGTAGGGCGTCGATCGTCGTCGTTTAAGGGTTTTTACCTGCAGAGCTTCCTTACACTGACGTTCCTCCTCCAGGGACATTCGTTTCTCGTGTTTTTTGTAATATTTTCTTTTAGCCGCCTGTAGGTTGAACCACGTGTAAGAGAAGGACTTGACGAAAGGCAGTAGCGCCTCGATGAAGGGGTGGAACTCGTCCTGGTGACATATACATGCACTCATCAACGTTCATTTAAATCAACCGATTGTGTGAAAGTGTTATAGAAGCAAACGTAATACACAGGTGATACAAACAGATCTTTAAAGATTCGATCAATTGTGATTTAAATAGAATAAGTAGCAACGGTAGGTGAAGAGTAAGGAACGTATAGTGGAGTGGACAATGAACGGGCTAAAATGCGGGCTTTGCGACTCGCGGCTGGGGCTATCGCCATCGCCCGGCTTTGGTCACGTACAACTTTGCATGCACACTACAACAATTGCATCACATAAACAACAATCAAAGACAGTGCACCCATAATTCGATGCATTTTAATGACTCGCGGATCTCATTTTAATAATGACATTTAAATTATAAATATAGGTGTCGGGCGGGAAGAAATTTGTTAACAGCTTGAAATGGAAGCGTCGAAATGTCACACACACATCAACTCATGCTATAGCAATCCAGCAAATGGACTTTGGCTTGTCTACGAATTAGAATTGTTAGAAATGTTCGTCTTTAAATTTATTTTTATCCGTTTATTTTTAGCCGCTAGCAATGAGAAAATGAGAGCCGAGCAGCAATATATAGCAAACAGCAACAACACAACAGAAAGGTATGACTGCAACAACAGAACATCAGTCAAACATCGAGGGCCAGCGGGGTAGATGCGGCCCAGCCGCGACTGCATCCACCCGAGCCGCCAAAACAGAACATTGAGGTTAATCATGTTAATTACATATCACGCCGCGGGGGAACTAGGAAGGGTAGCAGCGGTTAGGCACCTGTCCCGAGGACGGCGTCTGCAGGTACGAGGATACATCGGGCTCCACCATGCAGCTACGCAGCGAATCGGGGATGAACATTCCTCAGGGTCACCGGCCGGCGCCGTGGTGCGCGCCTTGTCCCATCACCAGCGTCTCTTCACAACGCCACCGCAGGAAACAGACGTATTTTTCATTGATTTCGCACTGCGCACTGCAGTCTTGTCAATAGTTCGATTTCACGTCACATGCCAACATAAAACGCACCCTTTCTACCGCGCGATAGCCAAGTACTTATGCTTACTATTAATAAAGACGCCAACTCTCGGTGTATTTATATTTTGCTACGCTGGGGGTGCCGGCTGGGATCGTTTTATGCCCACGAAACATGTTGGTTTCGAATAGCTTCAAACGGATGACTGCCGATAATATCAAAGCTTTGCGGCGACGCGAACGGCGCACCGCGACGCTACTACCACCGCACTTCTGACGATCCTGCTTCTCTGGGTAACGATCGGTATTGCATGTGCACCATCGCAGATTTACGACGATTTGCTCTTAGTCGACGCTTCGCATCCCAGATCCCAATTATAGAACGTAAACACCTGCCTTTCGATATAAATAATGCTACACCACCAACACTATGCTGCCACCAAAAATTCCTCTATTATACCTATCGGTTATCAATTATCCTTGAAACTAATTGCAAAACTAATCCGCATTCCCAAAGTCGTATTTTTGTTACCTGAGGACCAAAAAAGAAAACCGAAAATCTCCTCCAGAAGCGTCTTGATGCTATTTCGAGGTACAAAATCGGTGCGGTTTAGCGAAACAAAGTTTTTTATTATCCAACTTTCATAAGAGATACGAAATTAAGTTTGTCTTTCAACTAGCTTCTGTTCTGTTATAGAACGTCCAAAATAACTTTTCTATAAAAAGAAATTTTCTTGATTCGGCCAGGCAACTAAAACGATTTCTATTTCCTGTTCAGCAGGAAATGAACAAACCTCAACGTAAATAAGTGGCGTAAATACCGCGTAACATTTGATTTCTTTATTGATCAACAATAATACATGTGCGATGGCTTCCGTCAAAGGAATGTGCACCAATATACAACATTTAAAATAAAAAATGAAAAAGGAAAAAAAAATCTGGAAAACTGATCAATACAAATTGCCGTACTTCGACTATGACAAAACGTATCGTATTGTGTCTGACTTTCGAAACAAGGACGTTCCACTGCCTAAAACGCATCATAAAAATACTTACAAAAAAGAGATTACTTACCTACTCGAAAATTATTAGTCTCCGAGTTTATGTCCTCATCTGAGTAGCCTTTCATTGCCTTCGTTGCCACAGGCCCCATATAGTTATTTACGACTGCAAATTCCATCAGCGACAAAAATACAAAAACGGAACAACTCGACATCCAGACATCGATAGCTTTTACGTAGGAAACGGGAGGAAGAGACTGCTGAGATTGTGTGTTCTGCGTAGCTAGCAAAAATTGATATAATTTCATCAATGAGCGCAAATTACAATACCTAAAGTCAATAGGGAAGTTACGCCCAGCGTCACTCTCGCCGGTATTGCTTCCGGTTTAATCCAGAACGATATCCAAGACATAACAACTATTAAAGCTGACGGTATGTAAGTGTGAAATAGATGATAGCCCAGTCTACGTCGTAAATTAAAAACAATCGCCAAGCACGTGAAGTTACCTAGAATTTGAGCATCGTAAAATTCGCTGGGCAAAATTTTGAAGGATGTACCCGTTGAATATTCGATTGTGCAGTCGGCTGTGTAATTATTCGAGATGTCGAGCTGAGGAAGTTCAATATCAGGGTTTACTACCAACGGATTAGTTACGTTCCATATAAAAACCAAGTCGTGATCAGTATGCGACACTGCAATTTGAAAGATAATAATCTTTTATGTAACATGTAGCTAATTGGGTGCCTCGCGTAAAGCCCCCGGTGGGGCTCCGCTGGCAGCCCTAATAAAATGAATATATATATTAAAGTGGAACCTATAAGAATAAAGATAAACCTATGACAAAAATAAACAATTTTATGCCTCCCATTAATAGTTATTTATAATAATCAGAATTCGCTATTGCCCCACCAGATATAAAACATCCAAAAAGGACAAAATTATATATAGCTATATTTCAAGCGTATTCAACACAGAGCTGGGCAGTATTCGATTTTGTAAATACTTTTTAGTATTCAAATCCTTTAAAGTATTCAAATACTTTATAATTAAATACTTTTATGGAAGCAGCATTTGTATTTGTAACTCAAATACTTTCACAAATATTTAGTATTCGAATACTTCGCAAGGTATTTGAATACTTTGAGAAGTATTCGAATACTTCGCATAGTATTTGAATACTTAACCTTCCTTTTTTTTACCAAAAATCGACTACTCCAAAATTTCTCGGGAAAACACTTTTTCTTATTAATTTTGGTGCGTAGAATCCAAACCAATTCGTACTTTTTCGATTAGACTTCTCAATCAAAAGTTATAGACTAGAAACCAATTTCGAAAGAAAATTCAAAGGGCTGTAACTTCTGAACTAGTAGCCCAATCTTGGAACTGTTTGAAATTATGGATTCTACAGGCCACATTCTATAAGAAAATTTTTTTTTCGGGTCGATCTGAGACAATTTTTTTTTCGGGGCTCAAAAAAAGGCAGTGTATAACCTTCCTTTTTTACCAAAAATCGACTGCACCAAACTTTCTCGGGAAAACACTTTTTCTTATTAATTTTGGTGCGTAGAATCCAAAACAATTCGTACTTTTTCGATCAGACTTCTCAATTAAAAGTTATAGACTAGAAACCAATTTCGAAAAAAAATTCAAAGGGCTGTAACTTTTGAACTAGTAGCCCAATCTTGGACCTGTTTGAAATTATGGATTCTACAGGCCACATTCTATAAGAAAATTTTTTTCCGGGTCGATCTGAGACAATTTTTGTTCCGCGCCTCAAAAAAAGGCAGTGTACAACCTTCCTTTTTTACCAAAAATCGACTGCACCAAAATTTCTCGGGAAAACACTTTTTCTTATTAATTTTGGTGCGTAGAATCCAAAACAATTCGTACGTTTTCGATTAGACCTCTCAATACGAGTATAAAGTTATGGACAAAAACAAATTTCGAAAAAAAATTCAAAGGGCTGTAACTTTTGATCTAGTAGCCCAATCTTCAAACTGTTTGAAATTATGGACTCTCGATCGATCTCGATCTCAGACAATTTTTGTTTCCCGCCTCAAAAAAAGGCAGTACTTTTAAGTTATTCAAATATTTGAGAACAATTTAGAAATGTTTAGGGAAAGTTTCCATTGTCACAAAATCAAATATAAAAATCCATATACCATCTGAATACCGAATTCGATAGTCTACGTAACTTAAAAACAATAGGATTTAATTGCTATAAACAACAGCGTAATTTTATTATATTTTGAGATAAAGGGATGTTTTAACCATTGAGTGAATTAATTTTTACGGGATGGCTAGTTTGCCTTTATCGTCGTGTATAAATCGCAACTTTATTTTATAGCAGAAGCCATAGAAATCATTATAAAACTTCTGAAAGGTATTTAATTTAGACGTTCCAAGCTTATAGGTTCTCCCGTCGTTTCTATGGGAACAATATTGTATTCTGTTCTGAACTGCATTTTATATCGTGCTCTGCGTCTCATTTTTAATAAGAATGACAGATTTCATTAGAATGCACAATACTTGTTTCTCTCTGCCCTTACGGTTAAAAAGCCATTGTCTACTCATTCAAACCTATTAAAATATCAATTTAACCTTTGCCATAAAATAAATGAACTTAGTTTTATCATTTGCTTACTAACTTATTATTTACTCAACTTACTCAGTAAAAAATACTAACAATACAGTTGGCTATTTAAAAGCACTGACATATGGCATTTTTCTGCAGGTCAAAAAATATCCTCTTTTATGGGGACCGACAAGAAATCCAAATTTCAATTTTTAGAGACAAATTTTACAAATGTTTTAGACGATTTTCATCAAGATTTCTAATTTTTGTTGCCAAATTATCCAAATCCAAATAAAGCGACAAAATATTCTACCAATTTGGAAACTACGATTCCATATTGTCTTGTTATAGATTTATATGTATGGATGTTTTGAAAGAATAAGGTCTTAATCTCGCAATAGAACAATGAACAAATATTAGTAACGGCGCAAGAAATGCGGGAATAGTGACAGAGTTTGCGAATGCTAATAAATCAGCTTCTGAATTCATCTCCTCAGAGCGGTTGTCACTCCTTCAAGAAATTCAATGACACATGGGGTTGTGTCAGGTGTGATACGTCATGTGAAATGTTATCTACTGCGCATTTATAAAATTGCGCAATTGTCATTAGATCCCCCCCCCCCCCATAAAGCTAGTAAATTAATTCTCTATATGAGTTTATCGGAAATTAATTATGAAAATATGGAGGGAAGGGAGGGTGCACCTGCTTTTAGAGATCTGAAAAGATCATCAATAATTGGTATTAAAAAGTTCCTGATCAATTATTAAAATATTTCCTCAAATCAATTTTATTTAAATTAAAAATTTCTAAAGATTAGAAATTATACTTCCCCACCTTCACCTTCCCCTCCCATCGCCAACCATGGTATCCGGGGTTGGCTCTTAATGGCGCAGTATTAGATTGCACAAGAAAATCTGTTTTGTATTTTTTGATTGCAAAAGTAAAAATCCTCCATTGTTTTCTTATTGAATCTCTAGCCTCAACCTCCGGAACTCTAATCGGAAATGAAAAATTTTACCAAGAAATACTCTCTAATATTGCTGTCACTTGAAATATATAACAACCTTCTTAATTGGCACATTTCTATATTTATAAAAGTGCGTGTTTGCGTTTTGTCCGTCTATCCCTTCGTTCGGACACCGATTGATCCTTATTAATCCTTTTTTGAAACTTCTCTGGACAAAATCTCACAAATTTGTGTAACTTCCTTTCTAAACTCTTGGAAACCTTATGGAAACTCGTAACCTTCTTTAGGTTAGCTCTTCTCTAAAGTCCTCTAAAACCCACTAACGCTCCCAAATTCCATAGAGCGTTACAAAACTTTTTCAAGTTCTATGGCATCCTTTAAAACTCTGTAAACTTAAATGAAACTGCGGCACTTTTTTAAGCTCTGTAAACTATATATATATTACACTGAAAATGCCTCAAACTTTTTATGGCTATCCAAGATCCCGTATAACTTGTCTGAAGCTCTCACAAACCGTCCGAGACTATCAAGGTTTTGTAACCTTAAAAATGGGACACATTGCTGTAGATTTAAATGAGCCATAATCGGTGAAATATCTCCAGAACGTCGACTTTAGCTTGGAAAGATTCAGAAATTAAAACTTCTAGCTCTGTAATCACTATGTCTAGATGATGCTGTAATTTTACGAATGTGGATTCGATTTAAATAATTTAGATAGAATAACCAGGAAAATGTGGAGGAAATCTGTCGAAAGAAGAAATTTATTTAAATTGTTGTCTAGCTGAAGAAACTCAGTATCGGGATTTATAGTTACATTCCATATAAAAACCAAGTCGTAATCCCTATGCGATACTACAGTTTGAAAGATTAATATGATAATGATATCCAACCCGAGCGCCCCGCCCTACATAATTCACAACCCTACAGCCCGATTATAATGAAATACAATTGCATTTCAGGGTCGATGAGCAAACTCGTACTTTTATAGTTATGTTACTGTCTAGTCTACATATACTGTAGAAGTATTTTTCTGTCATCATAAATTTGGATTTATTTTTTGTATACTTACAGCTCTCTATCATCATGGAACATATTTGCGTATCATGGGGATACGACTCAAATTTCATGGCGCAAGATAATACGAGGGTTAACCTGAAAATCGACGGTTAGCGATCACTGAATAGTCTTAATGACATTTTACTTGGACATGTACAGCAATGTTTTGTCATGGTACAACCATAGATAATGGTTTGGAATTGTCATTTCGTGAAAAGTGACACTTTTCGCGTTTTTGAAAAAACAATCCGGTCTCCAAATGCTGTGCAGCCAATCGACGTCTAAAATCCTATATTCTTCACTCATGTTCTCTGGGAAACGTAAGCGCGGATCTTGCCAGCTTTGTGCCAGGAATATGTCTGTTACATAAGTCTACTGAAAAATGAAATTCAAAAAAAAATTAGATAAGTACCTTTACTCAGCTACGAACAATTAAAAAATTATCCTTCGACATGTAGAAATACCGAATGCGGATGTTGGGTTGCAAATGCGTGTCACTTAAATGTGGATTTTTTTCAAGACCCGATCTACCCCATACCAAGGAAGGGATATTTGAACAAACGGTTATAAAAAGTGTCTATATTAATATCTAAAACATTGCACTTATGGAAATGTATTACGGATATTAGGTACCTATATAAGACAAGCATGCCACGTTTTCCGACCGGAAATCGTAACTGATCGCCGTTATCTTGAAAAAGGGTGGAAATTGTAAGTGATATTGCTCTCATCTCCTGAACATCATGTCCAATACTAAATCCAATTTAAATAATTACTCAAAATGTCAGGAATTTCTGACTCTTCACAGTTATGTTTTACCATTTCACCGTAAACGCGACCTTCGCCTCGCGCCCAAAATTTATTTATTATTTATTGTATTTACATGTAGAGACGGACAAAGCACGGGCAATAGTGTTAATTTTTTTTAATGCGCTAAAGAAAAATGCGCTATAAACGTGAAAATTCTTCTAGTCTAAAAAGGTTTTTTATGTAATTTGTAGTCTGTAGGTATGCACTTTCAGATGTTTGAGTTTGAGTGAGAGCGTGTGTCAAAAAACAAGCTGGGTCAATTGTACCTCCTATGCGAGAAACTAATCCACATACAAGTTTTTTTCAAAATTTTTGGAAAATAGACTCAAAAAATAATCAACCCCTAAAGCAAATCTAAAAAAAGTGACAGAGCACCTCGGTGTGACCCTACGGAGTCATTGAATATTTGTAATAGGTTTCTTTATAGTAAAGTTAGGGGTCAGAATGAGATGGGGGTATTTTCTGCCTGTACAGACCTACAAGGTGTCTAACGATGCTGTCGGCTATTATATAGGAAACTCATTTTTGAAAAGTTGTACATTTATTCAATAAGGACGTTTCAGCAATTGTTTTTCAGTTTTATACGAAGCGGTGCCGGATCAGGTTTTGGCGCCTTATCACTTACCATTGAGCTCTAATTAATAAAACACCGTACATTTTTGAGAGAAACTACACGAAATTTTAAAAGCGCTGCGCTACTTAAATTTTAGAAAAATGCTTTGAATAGTGAAGTCTTTCACTCAACGAAGAATAGAAATACCTACATTTATTTATATTGTTTCCAATTCTCGCGTCAAATTTAGCTATGACATAGGATACAAGTCGTAGAAATGATTGCGTCTTAGAATAAGGGTGCAAATGCTGGTCACACTAATACAGACTATTGTATAGATCACAAATAAAGTATTATTATTATTATTATTAGTTTAAATTGCAGCCTTTTCCTACCGCTGTAGCTTTGTTCTACAAGGGCCATTCAGAAAGTAGCAAGCAGAAGTTTGAAATAAAAAGTTAAGAAAGTGTAAGAAACAACTTTTATTATATACATTTGGAAGCTACACTCTTAGGCTATTTTTCAACATAGTCGCCATTCATATTGAGGCGCTTATCATAGGGTGGTACAAGTGTTTTGATTCAAACTTTGTATACCTCCGCCGTCTGTGGGGGCGTCAGAAGTGGGTACCAACAAAGGGAATGTGGTAGCCCCCTGACAAGATCTTATTGATTGTGGAGTCAAAACTGGCTAATAAAACTACTGATCTGCCACACAAAAATGCGCTGAAATCCCTTGGATGTTCCGTTCATCCTAAAGGACCGTAAATTTAGTTTTAATTATATTTCACTGCACCCTGTGTTCGTCTTTAGCAAACTATTAGAATTTAACCGCCGTTCTTGTCTTTTATGACTGGCCTATACGGTACACCGCGATGCCCATCCCGACTTAGTGCCCTCGGTGCTTCAGCGCCTCCGGCACGCCCTCCCCCATTCAGAGCGCGGTGCCGCGGCACCTTTGGCACCTACCTAGTTACGCCACTGCTTCCCGGTTATAACCGGCAGTTGACTCACTCCGTTATTTTAAATGCGATGCTCCTTTTTAGCGCATTTCAAAATTTAAAAAAATGCCCTATTGTGGCCACTTTGTCCGTCCGTCCGCTCGTTTTGAGACGCTACTATAGTTTTTTTTATCTTAAGAGCTATTGTTCTACTTTTTTCGCTATTTGGTTCGTTATGGTGTCGAGTCTTGCACCAAGGGAAGGAAATTTTTTCGTGTACCGCTTACAAAAAAAGTATTGTAAAAAAACAAAAAAACCGTTTTTATACCCCAGCAAACAGAGTACGTCTTTAGACGTAAAATACACGTTGCTATTTGGTAGATATTCAACTAGGTAAAAAGAAACGTAAATTAAACGTGAGTTTTTGGTTGAAATATAACTAGGTAAAAGAAGACGTAAAATAAACCTCATAATTTAGTTGAAATTCAACTTCATCGTAACTTGACCTAAAATTTACCAAACAATAAACCTCACGTTGAAGGCGATAATTTAATAAAATAACGGTTGTAGGAATACAAATCCAAGTAGACTGCACTCGTGTGCGATACCTTCATTTTCGTATTGCGCGCCACCGCAACACATCGCGTCACGTGTTATAAGCTTGCTGGTACGCATTTTTGTTTTCGTTTTGGCGCTTAGTAATATTTGTTTGCCGGTGTTTTCAGAAGTTTTGTGTGAATATTAGGTAAGTTTCTGTATGTTACTCAATTCTCATCGTATGTGCAATTATGCTTGGCGTATTCTGAAAGCATTTATGTTATTTTACTCATTTAGATGTTAACATAACCTTAAAATTAATTTGTTATTAATTTACATATTACAATATTGCAATAACGGTTTGTTACACAGTTACTAAGTGGAGATTATTTGCAGAAAATGGCCGCTTTTAATGTTGTGCAATTTGAAGAGAAAGACGGCTCCTCGGTAGCTATTGTCCATCGTGAGTGGTTAACGCCACGTAAAACGGAGGTCTTCTGGCCACCTCATAAAAGAAGTGCTTCTTTCTATAAATGTTTACGAGATGGAGAAACCGTGCAATCGGACTGGAAATTATACAAAATAAAAAAAATCTTTTATTCGTGTGGTACGTTTGTATGTAGGAAACTTATGGCCGTTTTCACCGACAAATTTAAGTACTGCTTAGCTTAAGCGTAACTTACAATCCATGACAACGATTATTAAGACAATGGTTGCCATGGATTTTAAGCTACGCTTACGCTAAGCACTACTTAAATTTGTCGGTGAAAACGGCCATTAATGTATTTGAGTGCCTTACTTTAAAGTGTTTTTTGTTTGTATGTTTTTGGATGTTGCATCTAAACATATGATCAATCGTACATACTGCTTGATGTCGATACAAGCTTTGAGGCACTTTCAACTCCAGGATCAAACTCTGCAGTGTCGGTTTATCACACTATACAGTTGCGTTTAGAACGGCATCGGAATTTAATTTTGCAATGCACCAGTAAAATGGCACCTTAACGTTTGCTTATATTGTTAAGGATAATTGCATCATACAAACACATCGACCTACTTGTAACCTTTTTAGACCAGAACAGGTTATGCTTCTTTATGTTGGACATGGTATGTTTATACCTATGTATGTAGTTCAATTACTAAATTTCCTTGGTTCGCTCTAAGAAGGTTGTATCCTGTGAAGTTTGTGGATTTTGTATTTTATCTTTATATCATTAACATTTATTTATTTTAAAGATGATTATGATGATGCAAAAGAGAAAGAGAAATTAGCTGAAGTACATTCAGATTTTGAAGATACTCAGGTTATTCGGAAACGACCTAGAGTGCTCCCACTGCGATTTCAAAACGAGAGTGGTGAGGAGGAGGAAACGGAGAGTCAGTTATCACGACCCCCAAAAATTCTAAACACAGCAGTAGGTAAAATAGAGTGGTATAAATATTACACAATTGATCTGCAGATTTACATTTTTTTTCAGCTATAACGAATGCTGATGTGTGCCAAGGGAAGTCACAGAAGTCACGGTCACCTTCTACAATTTCCACTGTTTCAAGAAAAAACTCATTGGATTGTCGAGAAAGTTCAAATTTACCTAGTACTTCCCAAAGCAATGACAGTGTGCAGTCTCGATGTAGTACACCTGTAACACCGTCCAGCACTTTTAGTGGGAATCAAGGTATTTAAATTGTACTTGCACATTAATTATGCCATTGTTAATTTTTTTTTGTTAGTTTTTCAGAGCAGGTTTATTGGACTATTATCGAGGGTAGTGGAGCAGAATAAAGAAATTTTACATCTTCTTAAAAATACATCACATACACCACAACATACCCAAAACTGCCCAGATCTACCAGTCACATTGCCACTTTCTAAATTTGAAGATTTTTTAACATTGGAAAATTACCTTGGAGATTCTGATCATCAGCAAATTTTGGTGAGGTTCCTAGTACTTGTAGTTGGAACATGTATGATAAATTTTTTTTAGTCAAATTTCTTATCGACTTTGGACAAAACCAGTCTGGTCTCTGCAACCAACGCTATTTTGAAATATTGCGTATCATTTAGATTAGCAAAAGAATTCAGCTACCTTGGAACTCGAAACAATAAAAAACCTTTCAGTGTGCATATTCTCAAAAAAGTTATCGTTGGTAGGTAGCACATACACACATGTGTTTTTTTAATTAACATAGTATTTAGATGCAGTGAAAGTGGCTGTCCCATCATCCACCAGGCAAATTGAGGATCAAATAAAAATATGGCTGAAACGTTCACCTAAAAGCCATGCCTTAGAAGTGGAAAAACAGAAAAAACATGAGTTCCAAGATAGTGGGGAAGAGGCAGTTTTATAGGAAGTTAAACAAACAAAAAGAACAACTGTTACATATGTTAAATGGCGGTATTGATGCCCAAATTGTAAGTACAAGTTCTGGTTGCAATACACTTTTACGTTTTGATATAAGCAGCATTACTGATATAGAGGGTGTCTTAGATTCGTATGAGCCATTTCCACACATGAGCATTTCCGATGATGAGCAAGATAGTTTAAATGAACATGTAGATGTTCCCAATTTTTGTAATTCTAGTGCTTGTGATCAAAGTTTAGCTACTAATTTAGATCAGACAATCAATGAAAATGAGAAACAAATGGATATAGCTATTAATTCTGTTTCATTATCAACAAAATTGAAACAGTGGGCTATAACTTCTGGTGTGACACACTCTACTGTTACAAATCTGCTTCATATTCTTTCCCCTTACCATGCCGAGTTGCCACTAGATTGCCGAACATTATTGAAAACTCCCACTAAAACTAACATTATTCAATTAGAAACAGGAAGTTATTGTCATATAGGTCTTCAAAAAGGTATCACACATTTTCTTTTAACTAATTCACAATTTATTGGTGATGAGCTTCAGATTGGTTTCAATATAGACGGTATACCATTATATAAAAGTAAGAATTCTCAGTTATGGCCAATCTTGGGGCAAATAAAAAATAGTAATTCCTCGCCATTTCCGATAGGAGTTTTTTATGGTAATGCAAAACCACAGCCCCTACAATTGTTTTTGAAGGATTTAATAAATGAATTAAACATCCTTATGATAGAAGGTATTACTGTTATGGGAAAATCTTATCGTGTTAAGATTTTTGCTTTTATGTGTGATAGTCCCGCAAGAGCTTTTCTTAAGTGTATTAAATATCATAGTGGATATTCCTCTTGCGAAAAGTGCATTGAGGTTGGAAATTATGTTGATGGTAGAGTGGTGTTTCTATCTACTTCCGCCCCTAAAAGAACAGACCACAGTTTCAAAAATCAAACTGACGAAGACCACCATACTGGTATTTCTCCTTTAATTGAGATACAACTAGGCATGGTAAGCCAATTCCCCATAGATTATATGCATAACATATGCCTTGGGGTAGTTAAAAAGTTACTTACTTTGTGGCTAAATGGTCCATTGCAATTTAGATTGCAAAACAGACTGGTTCAAAATATATCACAGTTATTAGAGTCATTTGCAAAATGTACTCCTATTGAATTTAATCGAAAACCACGCAGCTTGGTTGAATTGGCGAGATGGAAAGCCACTGAATTTCGATCCTTTTTATTATACTTTGGACCAGTCGTGCTTAAAAGTAAAGTGGACTTAGCCATTTATGAGCATTTCCTTTTATTACATTCAGCAATAACTATACTAATCTCCATTACTCATTTAAATCAACTTGGTTTAGATTTACCTGAAGAGATGTTAAATACATTTGTCAATCACTCGAATGTTTTATATGGTCCCTCTTTTTTAATATACAATGTTCACTATCTTTCTCATCTTACGCATGATGTTCGGACATATGGAGTGTTGGATAATTTTTCATGTTTTCCATTTGAAACATATCTGTACCAGTTAAAGCGTTTGGTAAAATCTACTGTTAATCCCTTAGTAGAAATTCATAATCGCCTTATTGAAAAGAGTTCGTGCGCTGCAGCAAGTGATTTTATGTCAGAGGGTTTGCAACTTAAGTACCCACATACTTGTGGCCCAGTTATTAATTTAGAAAATCATGATCTACAGTATAAAAAATTGCACTACAATAATACAATTTTTACAATTTATCCATACTCCAAGGCTGATTGCTACTGTCTAATCGAGGGTTCAGTAGTGGAAATTCATAACATAATTATGAATCACAACAAACAAATAGTTATTGTGGGGAAAAAATTTAAATCTCAATGCTCTCTATACAGTTATCCTTTTGATTCAAAAGTACTGGATATATATTTAGTTTCAGAAATATCCAAGAAGTGTGTTGCTTTCATTTTGTCCAAAAAACTTACTAAATGTATGCTTTTACCAACTATAAACAATTGCTGGGCATCAATACCAATCATACATTCTGTATAGCACTTTTATTTGAAATATTCTTTTGTTTTATAGTTACCCATTATGTTTCATTTTTATGTTTTTGTTCTCAAATAAAATGTATTCTTTCCATGTTGAAGGTCTATTCTGTTATTGGATAAAAAGTGTACCTCAAATCCGCGTTGAAATACGTTACAGGTTCTTTCAATTCACGTTAATTTTTCGTGAAATATTTGTACATGTGATACGAAAAAAACACGTATAAGTTGCACGTTAAAATCCTGGAAAAAATGTACTAATATTCACGTTTATTAAACGTCAATTTTTCGTCTAATTTACTTTTACAATTGACGTAAATTCACGCCTAGAAAAGACGTAAATTCACGTCTAGAAAAGACGTAAATTCACGTCTAGAAAAGACGTAAATTCACGTCTATAAAAGACGTAAAAAAAATGTGACATTTTCACGTATCAAACACGTTAATTAAACGTTTACTTATTACGTCTTTACGTCAAAAATTGAACAAAATTTCACGTTTTTAAAACGTGTTTATGTTTGCTGGGTGTATGCATAGGGAACCAGAACCAGCTTCCGGCTGGTCAGGTTATGGTGGTAACGGTCTCTCAATATGCGCGCAGATTTCCTACAGCGACGCGCAGGGCCTAAAACGCCTGTGAAGTGTGACTCGCGGCCTAATCGTATCGCCCGCCGTCTGATGTACTTTGGGGGCTGCCTCGGCGACTTCAGGGCACGCCCAGGCACTGCGTCGCGATCGATCGCGTTTCACGGTATCGTTGCAATATCCTCATTTCCAGGGGCACGAGTCGGACGGAACTACTATAGCTAGCTGCAAGATGTTACTTTGTCGTGGAGTGAGCTCAAGACTGATTGGAAGTACAGATTTCCCAACAAACGATGACGGGAGGGCATTAATGGAAGCATAGGCGGCATATCCCGTCAGAGAACATGTCCACTTCTGAATCTTAAATGAAATGCCCGTCTCTTTCGTCTTTCTTTGTCATTCAATAGTTGCTGCAATCCGGGACAACAAAGGTATGACTGCACCGAACATTCTCTCTTAATAGGTAAAATAGTATGAAAAGGGCCTAACTATGAGTCGCAACTGTTTTCTGAATACAAAATCAGCAACCACAAATTATATGGAAACGACACCAAGAACGGCAAAATCCTTCAAGTATGGAATTTCCAAATTTTGAATAAATTATTGAACGATTAACGGCCTATTTACACACCAAAAACTGTTTTAACTTCAATATAATATTTCTAGCATGTAGTGCACGTCAAAATTAGCTGCAATCGACATCCGAAACATCACGCAGGGTTAAAACTATCAAATTCAAAATTCAACCATTATTTTGAAAATACTCCAAATTTGGGGCCTAAGGGTCAGATATACAACTTTTTTCATGCTGCCATTGGCACCAGCGACCCTAAATAATTCAAAAACGACCCCTAGAATGCCGAAATTCGTCAATTTTTACAGGTTTAAAATCTTGAACACCCTTTTGAACAAAAGTGTTCAAATTTTGAACCCACACGAAAATTTCGGTGGGTGCTGCGGGTCAAAAGTTTTATTTGGACCTAATAAATATGTGTACCGAGTTTCATGCTTTTGTCACAAAGTGCAGCGTTTACCTCAATATTCAGTTGTACCGCCTACGCTACTATCTTTGTTAACCACTGCTTAAACTTGATAATTCCACAAACTATTTTGTTAACTAATTGTTGGGCTGTAAGTATTAATCAAATGTCGCGAGAGTACAGCTCCTTTTGACTTTGCTTGCTTTGTTTACGCGTTAAATGTACACCAACTAAATTTCAGGGCTTTCACAATCTTCATAAGTACCTACCTAATAATAAGTATATATATATATTACACAAACTTGTCACGATTTCAGTGTTTATTTAAAATCACATTTTCTTTACCCTTTTTACAGGCGAAAATTGTTATCTTTAAAGTAGGTAGGTAGTTTCAGAAAAAAAATTACATTGGACTTGGACATCAAGCTGCAAATTTTTTTAAAAATTGAAATGAGTGGTTAAATAGTAGGGTGGGCCGAAAAAACTCATTGTTTGATTTCGAAGTTGTAAGACCGCGGAAAATATGCGAATTATACAGGGTCATTCTTGACGAGCGTCAGTTAGGAAGATATGGAAAACCTTTGAAAATTAAGCTAAACTGATAAGTCCTTTAAGGGTTTTGGCACATGATGAATTGAACTAAAATATTTTCAAAATGGCGCCACTTCCGGAAATACCGGAAGTAGCCATCAACTTTGTTATTTTAAATAGGGACACCCTATTTTTTCTACATTTTCGGATTCTACGTCGAATTTGGAGTACAACGATACCCCATAGTTGACCCTTTGCTCCAAGGGCTTCGTCGATATTCAAGTTTTTATGTCAAAAATTGAATTTGCAGGGGTAATTTTAAAAATTTATTATTCGAAAACGGTGAGAGATATTGCAAAACAGTTTTAAATGCTTTATTAAGGAAAGATCGAATTTTCTTATGGTGTGCGTAACCGTCTAAAAAAGTGAGACTACGTCACTTTTTCAAAGCTCTCATCTTTTAAACTTTTAAATATCTGTAACTCCATTTTTTCAAATGGCACCCCCCATTTTGTTCTTCACCCTTGTTTTCCTTTTTTCCAGACCTTTAATTTGATGCAAAATGTCAAAAGCTGCTTCAAGCGGTTTCCGAGATATTCAATGTTTTAGTTACTTCTTGTGGAAAATTGATAAAAAAATTAAGTCGCTTGATGTTATTCTTTTGTTTTTATTATGATAATGTTTAAACGTCAAATTTTTCGCTGTTTGAACTTATACTTCTGGTCAATAATGGCTCGTTTGGGTTACACTAATGAAGATTTTGTGAATTTAATATTAATACACGGTGATTGTAATCGAATAGCTGCCAGGACTTGTCGTCTTTTTTCCGAAAGATACCATGACAAGGCGCAACCCGCATAGGCTACAATTCGCAAATTACTACAAAATTTCAGGAATAACGGTACCGTTGTACTCCAAATTCGACGTAGAATCCGAAAAATTAAAAAAATAGGAGGTCGCTATTTAGAATAACAAAGTTGATGGCTACTTCCGGTATTTGCGGAAGTGGCGCCATTCTTTGTGCACTCGTGTCTGAAATGTCAATTTCTCTTTGGATATCATTAAGCGATGCAGTTGGATTTGCAGCAAAATACACCAGTACAGTTATTTCCTGTTCTTCAGAGTCTACCACAGGCTTCCTTTTTTTGTATTTTTGTTTGAAAGATACCGTTATTCGTGAAATGTTGTAGTAATTTGCGAATTGCGAATAAAAACAAAAGAATAACATCAAGCGACTTAATTTTTTTATCAATCTTCCACAAGAAGCAACTAAAACATGGAATATCTCGGAAACCGTTTGAAGCAGCTTTTGACATTTTGCATCAAATTAAAGGTCTAGGAAAAAGGAAAACAAGGGTGAAGAACAAAATGGGGGGTGCTATTTGAAAAAATGGAGTTACGGATATTTAAAAGTTTAAAAGTTGAGAGCTTTGAAAAAGTGACGTAGTTTCACTTTTTTAGACTGTTACGCATACCATAAGAAAATTCGATCCTTCCTTAATAAAGCATTGAAAACTGTTTTGCAATATCTCTCACCGTTTTCGAATAATAAATTTTTAAAATTACCCCTGCAAATTCAATTTTTGACACAAATGGGGTATCGTTGTACTCCAAATTCGACGTAGAATCCGAAAATGTAAGAAAAATAGGGGGTCCCTATTTAAAATAACAAAGTTGATGGCTACTTCCGGTATTTCCGGAAGTGGCGCCATTTTGAAAATATTTTCGTTCAATTCATCATGTGCCAAAACCCTTAAAGGACTTATCAGTTTAGCTTAATTTTCAAAGGCTTTCCATATCTTTCTAACTGACGCTCGTCAAGAATGACCCTGTATAGACAAAACAAGACACAACTTTTTTTCAAAATCGGTTAATATCTTCCGGTCGTGCAGAGGCGCTAAAGTGCAAAAATACCTACACAGCTACAAGCAATCATATAACGATGAACAGCGAAATTAAAATAACTAGAAATAGGGTTCAAAATGGAAACATTATTATTGCCTACTGAGTTGGTCGAGTTTTTGAATGTCGTCCAGCTTATATTTATAATTGTCAAAAACACGTTTCGTATAGATACCTATTCCAAAATAATCAGCTTCGTACACCTGTTTTTTTTTGCGCCCCAAGTCAACTTCACGTCTCCTTTTTAGCGCATTTTTGCAAATTTAATTTATTTTAAAAAGTAGCTTTTAATCTCACTTGGGCTGGCTGGTCGGCTGGCTGGCTGGCAGCAAATGTGGGCGCGTAGAAGAACTCTTGTAGAAAGGCAGCGGGTGTATGTACGTGTATCTACAAGGCCGTGTAGTTTGTCAACCTTAGTGACAGGGCTACATGATGTGGGGTTGGCGACATCTGGGCGTCATCCTCGAGCGTAGTTTACTAACGTGAAGGTTCTTCAGTTTTTTTCTATCTTCTACTACAGTTTTGGTCTGATTCTTTTCAAATTGCGGTGTCGTCGAAAAGATGTTGTAAAGGCGCACAATTTTGTTTTTTGTCCTAGGGGCGAAATTAACGACCTTTTGCAAGGCGCGCACGCGTCTTCGAGAGGTAGTCAATTTCGGGCCCCTTTTACCTTCCGTTGCGAATTTTATCACGCGATTTAACGTTTCGTAAATCTCGAATCGCTGTTTCTTTCTCGTGTCGCCAATAGAAGCTCGAGCAATGAGAAGTGCCCCAAAAATTAAGTAGGTACTATCTTGTGGAATGTTTTTAGCGAAACCCACCAAAATGTGGTGTAATATAGGTATGCACCGAAAAAGGAAATGTGGTAGCCCCCGACACGATCTTACCTACTGATGGTGGAGTCAAATCTTCAAACGCGCATTGGAAGGGAACGGGACATCGGAAGTGGATACCGACAAAGGGAATGTAGTAGCCTTCGACAAGATCTTTTATTGATTGTTGAGTCAACATTGGCTAATGGGATACTGATCTGCCCTTCGATCTCACACGAGGACTTTGATAATTTTTTAAATCGTCTTCACGCCCTTTACACTTAACATCACACCCTCAACTCCATTCAACTAAATATTTCTCTTCTTCATACATTCTCTGCATCTCCTTCATCCTCACTTTTATTGCTTCAATCCTCTGTCAAGTCATCTTCACGCATACATAGGTAGGTATATAACGTCTTTTACCCCTCCTTCACACGTTCTCCAAATCGTCTTCGCTGTCCGCCATTTGTTTTTATTTCCTGTTCACCAAGACACCAACCACAATTTCTTCTTTAAATCTCCCTCACGTATTCTCTACATATACAGTGAGTTTTTTTTAAATGCGAACATAGGAGTTTGCATGCAATGTAATTTCCCTATGTTCGATTTTAAAAAAAACACATCAATCTATGAGGTGTGCGCGGTTCACATTCCCAAAACGCGCAACTTGTGTGACTATGAACAGCAACTCATAGTCTTTATGATGTAGAGCACTCGGTAAGATTTTTTTAAAGAAGCCATGTGAGGCCATAGCAACTTTAGGATACATTTTTCTTAAACTTACGATAACTTGACTTCACATGGCACGCGCTGACATCACCATTCATTGTGAACCAACCTTCAATTATTTTTAGGTCATGTGCACCTGGTATTCTACTAATTTGATCTATTCAATACATAAATGAAGGAAATAAGAAAATAAATAACGAGAACAATTACAATAAAGGTTCGAAGTGTCTTCCTAGACATTCTAAGCAATAACCTAACCGATTTCGTAATTAAATTGGACGTCGGTATTTTTAAAAATGTGACAGCTGTCAATTGTATCTACTACTCATTTGAACTACTCAATAGGTTGAGGTGTTTTTTTAAAAATCGAACATAGGGAAATTACATTGCATGCAAACTCCTATGTTTGCATTAAAAAAAAATTCACTGTATATCTTCATGCCCCCTTCACGTTTTCTTTTATATGCGTTCCTTCACCTCCTTTAAACGCTTCTTTTATATCACATCACAGATGATAAACTGATAAACAATGCTCTAAAAACTAGAAAGGCATAGGTACCTATATGGCTATATTATAACATCTATCTATGGTGCCCGACAAGGCCGGCTAAGGCTAATTATACCGTTTCCAAAATAGTAACTAAAAAACCGCAGCAATATAATGTCTATAAAATAAGTAATGTATGATATAATAATTAAACGCTACGAATTTGGACTAAAAATAAAGTTAGCATTGTTGTATGAATATGTATAGGTATACACAGCGCTAAACATAAAATATCTTAAATAGCAGTAGAAATCTGGCGCGACGCCATATGTAGTTTTGAGCTAGTATTTTAGTGTACAACGGGTTTAGCGAGCGGGACGTTAAATTAAAATTTGAAAAATGGATCCGGAATCGTTTTTGGATATTGCTAATCAAGTGATTAAGTTAAAAATGTTTCCGTATTTCGATATAGCGTATTGTGTGTTATGCGCTCTGTCTGTCAGAGAGGATTTAGGAAATGGTAAGTGAAGTAATCGTCTGCACATGTAATTATGGCTACGCTACGTGGAACAATTCGCGTCGTCGCGAGCGCCGCCGCCTCTAGCGTCATATAGGAGCACTCGAGTATTGATTTGTAAAAAGTTTATTAATTACCTACTATATTTCTCTCCACAAAGTTACTTTAGCAAGTTATTTTCATATCTATTTAAATAGAGTTTCGCTTTCGACGTCAATTTACATTGATTCTGGTAAAAGTATGTACACGGACAGATGCTGCAAGTGCTCTTTAAAAGGAACCAAAAAATTATAGGTACAATTTTATCCTCGCTCGATCGCGCGTAGGTACTTTTATTAAAAATTAAGTAAATCATATGTAGGTAGGTATCATCTACTCTACTACACTGGTGATATTGGTAGGTACATAGGTGTAATATAAATATTCCACTTCGGGGCATATGTTATTTTTATCACCATGTCTTACTATAATAAAAGATTACTGTGACGTTATGGTTTTGTTGAAAAGTAGGCATAACCATTTTGAATGTAGCAGGCATTAAATTTTGGCACACAAAGAGATTAATTAATCACACAATACAATGCTGAATTCTGTCACGGCGTCTCTTTTGATATTATATTTAACAATAAGTAGAAAACAGTGACTTAACGGCACACACAGTTCTGAGATTAGTATGCATTTATTATGATAGTCCGCTTTTTTATTTAACGTTAATTATTTGTACCCGGTGATCCTTCATAGTTGAGGATCCTTTGAATTTCGTGCTTAAAGATTTAACAATCATAGTGAATGCATGATGGCATACCGTTGGAATAAATCATAAGTTACACCACGTTGAAAAGTGAGAAAGATTGAAGCGATCCTAAGGGATCACCCGGTATCTATATTCTATTTGCAAATTCTACTGGGTTTTTATTTTGTGCCGAATGAAGGAAGACCTCTCATTAAAACTTACGAACGTATTTCTTCATTAGCGGTTGACAGCATTCCCAAAATTCTAAATCGTCTGAGCGTGATGCAATGTAACGGCCTCCGGTATAAATTTTGGTAACACCAGAGTCGTTACCGTTCCTGCTCCCGTCTCCGTCACTGGCATTTTAGAAAATTTGCCTTACTGCTAATTCAAGCCGAAAATGCACAAATGTGCCAATCAGGAATAATAATTGGGGTGGGCTATCAACGATGGGGATGACAACAGAGCAGGTATACCTACCTATGAGTTCTCACGTAGTTTTTTACATACGGAAAATGAGCAAAATAATCACTGGAAATGAAACCCATCTGACCCAACAATTCTCAGAGCCATATCTTCTTTATCAACTCTACAGAAATTATATTCATGTATAGAAATTCTTCCCTCAGTATTTTTGGATGGTTTATCGATGGACCAGTGATCCAGGGTTGAAAAGCTCCGTAAAGCTCAGACTTGCAACTTGTAACGAGATAGTTACATTTACAGGAGTTAGAAAGAGAAACTCCTCTTCGAGAAAATAAATTTTATTGTCTACGGCACTGATGGTAAAAATGTAACAATTAATTTTTTGTAATGAAATAATTGATACCACGTAATGAATGTTCAATGACTCTTACCTTGCGTAAAGGTTAGTTCTTTATGTCTGCACTATGTTCTAAAAATAAAACTCTGATGCACTTGTTTACAACTCTCAAATAAGTACTCATATAAATTGAATTATGCGAATATACTATTGAAAATAATCTCGTTTGAGCTCCAATTTTCTCTACATTTTTTGTGATTTAAAAGATTGATCTACTTCATGTATTTAATATAAAATAAAAGTTAAACCCTGTTTCGTAATGAATTTTAAATATCTAATTAATTGTCTACATTTGTTTACTATTTATAATTACTTCAATACCCGGTACAAAATTCTATCCAAAAACAAATTTACACGTCTCTGGATGTTGAATAAAATTTTACTCACACAAAATAATTATTACTGAACTTAAAAAAACTTCACAATTAATGAGAAAAACTTACTTTATATTGATCTTTGGTTTTGGTTCACTTATCGTTTAAAAAAAACCACACACACACAAACATTAGTTCACCATAAATTACCATAAGCTGACTTTTTCAGAAATGTTAGAATGACTTTATGTGTAAATTCCTTATCCAAAACCTGCCGATTCCTATTTTGATGCAATGTAAAAATTCAATTAACTTACATTTATCGATGAGTTGAAATATTCTCCAATTGATAGCTGATTTTCTACTTTGGAAAGATAGCAGCGAGTTCGAAAATTGAATGATAGAACGCCTTTTATCTGGTTATTCATTTAAAGTAAAACTTTATTAAAATTTATTAGTTTATTTATGGAAAAAATTACGAATGTTCCGCAGTATGGAAATGTTCAAAAATTACGTGTTTGCGGCAACCGAAAGCACACATTAATTGTCTTTAACCTTTTTAACGGTTGCCGTTTTTTTTATAATTTTATTAGCACATCTTGTAAACAAATTAAGTACACAATTTTGATTAAGAAACTGGTTTTAGCATTGGAAATGCTTATGTTTTGTATGGGTATGAATTTACCAGTTTGCCGAGTAGAAAAAGAGACAGTGGTGTCGCGTCTAGTATTGATTGACCGTACTCGACTGCAATCGGTAGATTCAGGAAAAGTCGCGAATACTGTCGATACGGTACTTACTTAACAGTGCGCAAGGGTTTTGTTAATTCGAATTTAAAATTCTCGCACATCGCCCGTGATAGTATTACAAGCATGTTACGCCGCTTACTATTCAGAAAGTTTACGTTTGCGAAACGAGCGAGCTTGCGAGCGAGTGGAGCAAGATTATTCCGTGTGAATAAGGGTTATTTATGGCTTTATGTTTGTAGGTTATACGGTTATCATTTCCAATGTCTCCGATGGTTGCAAGGATTGCGAAATCTGTGAATTTTTTAACGTAACTAGCCACTCCAAAAAATAGTGCGATGAAATTTTTGCACCTTGGACTCGAACACTTTCGTGGTAACAATCTATTGAAAAGCGAGTACTTTACTCTGATCGTGTAATGACCCGCAAATATTCACGTCCGTATTAAGAAGGTAACTTATTCGCAGTGCATTTTCAATTAAACATAAATTCTTCGTCCATTAGTCCCCTTATTGCTTCTTTGTATTGGTTCTGTTCGAAAGGGCAACTACCACTGAATATACATATAAAGTACGCACGACAATAAATTCGTCGAAAAATGGTGGCAGGGCCAACGATACTTTTATATACGGCTTTCGGTTCCAACTTTTAATTAACCATGAAATTTTGCGCTATCTCAAAAATGGTGTAACTCACAATATTCGCCTCGAAAGTTTGGTTTGGTTTTACGCGATCTATACTTTTTTGCGCTTACGATACGTAGGTCTGCCTAGAAGAGTCTGGCTAAGAATTAAATACGCGATCGAAAAATGCAACGCTCGAACTTTGAAGGTTTGAGTAAGAATGCCGCTCTCCCACCAGATTTTTAATTAAGTACTCGCCGAATACGAAACGGACCCACCGCAAACCAGGTTCAGGCTGTTTTTATAGATGCGAAGGTATAGCAGAAAATACACCTCTCGCTCTCCGACGCAACGAAACAATCCATTCTCGCCTATTGCTTGACATCCAAATACGTATAATAATCCTTAGCCCTCGATAATGGATCGAACGGTGGTTGGTAGAAATTAATTCCTTTCGTTGAGACTTTTATTATTTACCATGATAAAAACCAGTTTTTTTAATAAGTTAATTCCTCATAAGTAAGGGTTTATGAAGTGCGGTGCTCTCAAAGCTGGTAATGCATACCTACGTAGAATGTTTTGTTTGGGAGATCATATCACCAAATTCATTTAATATCGCCATTGAATAAGTAATCATAAGAATTATTCAATGATATTGCTCAAATTTATAATAGAAGATTCACACGTATGCCGCTCTCTCAATAATGCAATAACACGATTACAATCTCACGTATTTCCCAATACGAACAAAACGATGCGTTCACGTTAATGAAATGAATTTATTTTGGTTTTTTGCTGTTCAATCGAATTTTTATTTAGAACTCCGCGCTTCGTTTCATAACGACTAGCTAAAAACTTCGAGTGGCGCGATCCCGATTAACCTTCTTAATAATTCTTCACATAAACTGTCGCCGTGATTACACTAACTCCTTACGTTTTTAAAACACTATTTACTTTTATTCTTTCATAATTAAAATTGTGGATCTCCCTTACTCTAAATCCATGCCGCTACTTGCAATGTTTACGCTAACCGCGCAATCTAATTCTCGTAACCGCAAACAGAGTGGAAGACAGACACATTACTGCGATTGATGTCTGCATCTATCTATCCTTTTTCTCTTTGTCCTTCGCTATGTATGGTTATCCCAAAACGGAACCAACGAAATTTCCTCGACCAGCGTCTCTTCTAAGCCCGCATTTACGAAATGTTTTATCTCAGCTTTGGAAAAGGGCGAACCAACGAAATTTTCCCGACACGCTGCTATCTCGGAAAAAAACCACGCATTCTAAATGCGCACGTTTATCGCCAACAAACTGACTCGTATGAAGCGGCAGATATGCAATTTCACTCAGAGAGAGAAACTTTATTTACTAAACAAATGCCTGCTTGGTATGGTAACAAGTTGCCTATTTTAAGACACAGGAGTCTAATTGATTATTAATGATATTTACCGAATTTTGAATTAGAAAACTGTAAACTACAAGGCGGGCTCCACTTACAGCAAGTAGTAGAAAAGCATATTTGGGAACAATTTAACTTAAAAGAAAAATAAATAAATTTACAAGTTATAGTAAGTAAATCATGTGAGGGGACGAAAGTAGCGGCAGTCGGCACCAATCTGGGTGTTCTGTCGGCGGAACGAACGGACGGACGGACTATATAGCACCACCAAGGGTACGACATCGCCCCTGGTCAAGGTCGACGGTAGCAGCGGTTAGACTGATAGCTCTCGCAAATCTCGGGTAAACTCAATCAGAGCAAACGGCAACGCCAGGAATGGGACGAGTTTTGTTAATGGCGGGATTTCGGGAAAACTACAGAGCAAAGCAAAATTACTCAAATTAATTAGAGGTGTCTATGGAAATGCAAACTCAGGAAACCGAAACAACCCCCCCCCCCTGTAACTGTACGAATGCAAAATAAATTTACGAAAAAGCTCAAGTCGGCCGGCGGCGTATTCGGTATTTTACATCCAAAAATTACAACTTCTTTAATCAATGATAACAGCGTAAACCTGCATGGCCTTGCAGTTTTAATTAGCTCCTAAAATACAAAAACCTGCTAATCATGGCTTAACGTGACTGAAATTCTAAAATTTAATTTGCCTCTTCTTAGAAATGAAAAGAGGTTTCGGACGCAACAAAAGCAATTGAAATATATCTACGGACACGGTTTCAAAACGGATAAATTCAATACGAAACTGACGTGCGTTATGAAAACACACAAAGTTCAATCCCTCGTCTCCTAGAACAAATAAGTAAATTCAGAAACTATCGTTTTTTAGTAACGAAACGCCCAACTATTCGTCTATATACAGAGCGGCCATCATAAGGCGGGTGAACTTCAAGACCGGAAATGGGTGCCTCGTTATAGGATAATTTTTAAATTTTTAATGTATTTCAGTGACGAATATTTGAATACTTTTCAAAGTAATGAAATTCTTTTTGATGTATTCACATGCGTTTGATAATATTTGAATATTTTTGAAAGTATTCGAATACATTCTAAAGTATATTTTTGAAAGGATTTGAATACTGTAGTTAGAATTTGCTCGTGCTGGACGTAAAAGTATTTAGTATTTATTTAAATACTTTTGATTGGTCTAAACTTTTAAAGTATTTACTATTTATTATTATTATTTATTTTTTACCATTGCGCAGGGACGCGAAACTGAAATATGATAGGCAGTTTTCCTGCGTTCGCATTAATGAACAATCATTTTTGTTACCGGTACATCTGGTTTTGATTTATTTTTTTAATACTTACTTATATTTTTGCTATGATCATCAAACGCACTACTACTAAACTGAAGTTGTTTTTCTTCCTATCAATTTAGAACCGAGAACGCTACAATGCCAATCCATCCAAGTTACAGACCAACACGGTCGGACCACGGTGATCGATTCGTTTAACGAAAAAGTTTATAGTAAGTTGATGGTAGCTGCTTCATGTGCTGTACCTAGCGATAGAGAGCATTGCCAATGTTTTAATTTCGGCCGAGAAATTCACACAAACTGTGTAATTACAAATGTTTAATTTGATAGTTGATAGTCAGTGTTTTTTTCACTAAACCATTGCAATGTAATGTAAGTACGTATTGGAGCTGGAAAAATGAGTACGACAGAAACGTTTTGTATAAGTTGCCGCTGCTACAGTTGTTCTTTGCCATACTACTCCGCACTGTTCGAATTAACGCTGCACCGAAACACTGTTCGCTTGTGCTAAATCGTATGCCTTTTTTGTGTAGTTATAGTTCCGTCACAAGACACAACGATTCTACTTAAACGTGTTTGTGCCTTGACAGAACATTTGTTTAGATATTAGACGTCAGCAAAGGGGATCCGGTCATTTTTCTGTAGGAACAGTCTCACCATTTTGTTGTCTACAGAGAATGACTGCGCGTGCCAATGCTAAGCACTGATACTGCAGGTGACAGGGAAGGGACAACTAAGAGGCAAGCTAGTTTTCTCTGTCGCGTTTGTGTTGGTCCTATTAAATTTTCAATCGACAGTGTTGTGACAGTACGTCTATGTCGCATATATGTCGATCGTATGATAGGGAGAGCTTGCCCCTTCTCTCTCACTTGCAGTATCCGCGCTTAGCATTGGCTCGCGCAGTTGATCTGTATTTATGTCGATGTCTGTTTTTCGTTGTTGGACATTGAAGTATTCAACCGCAAGGTAAAAATCCCGCGCCGTGACTTTCTCGCCGGTCAAATGCCCAACGTGACAAAACCCCACCGGTCAATTATCTGCGATTCTTGATAAAATGAACGCTTCTATTATTGTGTATGAGTTATTAATTGATCAATGTAGATTACTACTCACAAAAATCACTGATACTAAATTATCAAATATACCTAACGAATAGAAAAGGCAGCATGAAGCAGTAAAAGACCATTGAAAATTTTTGACAATTTTTTGAATCACCTAACTTTCTTACTCTGTATTTGGTGCTACACATTGCTGTGTAACTCACCAGGGTGCACAGTGTGACTCACACAAAAGTACAAAATGCTGAATCGCAGAATTTCAAGAAAATGCAAAGAAATGAGTGTCCCACTCCACTATTTGCCGTAGAAAATGACTTCGAAAGGCCAAAACAACTAGATTTCAAACACAAAATGTAATTGGTTTACACAATCACTCAAATAACCGCTCGGCTTGCTCCAATTAACAAGAAACAAAATTTACTAGGTTCATAAACACACGTGACATTTTTAAAAAACAAAATTACACACTTTAAATATAAAATTAAACTCTAACTTTTCCAAACACTACCTGAATTAAATCTACTTAAAACAAATTTAATGTTCATCAAACAGCACAGACGAAAATAATACTTCTTAAACACTAATTGTATAGATCTTCGCAGTATGTGATCTTTTTTTGTTAATTTTAGATGTTAACAATCGTTGAAATATGAACAGTAAGCGTAGCAATTCTAATGCTTTTACTACATGAAGGAAATAATCACTTATAGTTGCACAAGAGGTTTGTATGTTACCGAATAAAGTAATGAAAATCTGATTGCCTAGCAAACCGTCAACTAATAAAAATGCGGTTTCAGCTTTCCTTAGGTTAATATTCGTCTTTTTTGATAATGGATATATCTGAGATAATCGAGTTCTTTGGCGCGGCTGAGAGCACGTAGTGCACGTCTAGTATATTTTACTCGTGCGAATAATACCTCTTCTCTTGTGTATTTTGCGCAATTATAGAACGAAATTAATTTGGCGTCGCTCAAGTCTGCGATAGAAAACTAATCATACGTCACTAACACAAAAACAGTGCACATCACGTATTGCGAATTACCATTGAATAAAAATAGTGTTTTTATTCAATGGAATTACCCAATGCGAGTTAAAATGCACTTACTACAATTGGTTGTCTTTACTTCTCCGTCGCCCACTCGAATTTTATTGAGACACTCCGTTCTTCGACTCGTTCACAATTTCACATACAAAATTTATAGTGGCCCGCTTGAAACTCTTTTATTAATACATTCACACCCCTAACTTCCTTTTTTCCAGTGTTTGCGGAAGACCTGTACCTGTACTCACGAACTTAATAAGTTCGTGCCTGTACTCTAAAGACGATCTTTGCTCGTTTTTTACCTGTCTGTCACACCAACTTCACGATAACTCTCGTAATCTCAATTTTAGGGGACGATCTGTTCGCTATGGCGACTGTCGTACATCTCCTTGCAAATTAAGAGAATGCAGGCTTTAAAAACGGAAACGACCCCAACGCAAAGCAACGATACGCAATAGGGGTTTACAGTATAGTTGAATTCCGTAATTCTAATTTAATAATTGCGTATACTTGAAACCATAATGAACATGTGCGGTATTAGGGGTTTATTTAAAACGAGATGATTGTGCCGGGCTCTGTGACGTAATTAATAATCCCGACCAATCAGCTGCTAGATCCATTCCGATTACATATGACTTGGCAATATTGCACGAGAATGTCATTTGTAACTTGCGTCACCTGTCACAGGCAGAAACGAAATTACTCTTTTAAAATATCTCAATGACAGAACAAAGTACGGCCTGTTTGACTTGTACTTCTACGCACTTGATTGACATGTTAAATTAATAAACAAACAATTCTGTCCAACCGTTAACTCTCTTATCAATATAATATGTTAATTTCGAGGATTTCAAGTGCTAGTAGTGAAAAAAATAGTATATATACCACGGTAGAGAAGTCTATTATTGCAATAATACTGTACTTCTCTACCTGATATATACTGTACTATTATTGGCAATTGTAGAAAAATGGTAATGTAAGATAAAAGATCTAATTATTTGTTGTGAAAGGCTATCCGGAAATGTTTTAGAGTCTTTCAGTAAATGCTCGTACAAAAAATATAATTTACCTTTAGAAAAACGCACCTTATAAATTTTGTGCACCCTGTCTGTCCCCTTCTTTTAGTTTAGACGTGGCGCACTGCGTCGTTTATGTGAGAATTTTCCTTAATTCAACATCTAAAACGCACACAACTAAGCTAGTAGCCACGATTTCAAGCGGGAAGATTGTAACCTTTGAGTTTTTAAAGGTGTACCTATGGACACATGCGTTTCTATGAGAGCGGTTACGTCACTTTGCTGAAAGCCTATGAGCATAATCGTTTCACGCCCCCTCCATGGTACTCCCATATTATTCAAATGTACCACTTGTGGACAAGCCACACAAAAAAAAAAGAAATAAAAATGCAAACTAAACATGAAATAAGAATACAAGCTTTGTGGATGATCAGGTCCTTGACTCCTTGCGGGTAAAAAACTTTTGTTTTGTAAAGAACGATACATAATACATATTTGAATATTTAATTGCATAAAACAATAAATAAATTTGCAATTCGGATCAAAGTTACCTACACTTAATTAAATGCGAATTCTTAGGGCCGCTGTTATTTACAAACTATAACCATTGAATAAAAACACTATAAGAAGCCTAACCCCGTGGAAATAAAGCGCGACAGAGATTGAACTGAGAATATAATGGAAACAACTGTCAATAGTGTCGATTCTTGAACTGAGAAGAATGAGAATTTGCTTTCCTCCTATTTACCGCAAAGAGAGTTCGGTGATCACAACCAATGCGGGTGCAAGGGGATTTGTCGCGCTTTCTTCCATAAGCGTTAGGCTTCTTATAGTGTTTTTATTCAATGCTATAACTTAATCTAATCTCCTTGATAGACAGAAAGATAAATAAATTAACTATCTAACTTAATGGCCACGGGGTAAGATTAATGATAAAGGCAAAAGATAATTGACAAAAAAAACTTTACGGGATACCTGCACAGTGCACGTTGATATCTCCGGTTATTTCAGATAATTATTTGCGTAGCAGTTCGTCGAACTTAGATACCATGTGTTGGATAAGTTCCAGCTAACCGACAGATACCAATCTTCTAGTCGAAAGTGAGTGTTGGCATTTCATGCAGAACAAGGGGTTTCGGATTGTGATATAGGCAAAAATAAAGATAAGTAATTAAAATAAAACATATGGCATAACCAAAGAGGGGACGTGGTGAACCAAATAACGAAACTAATGAAAATAACTTTACCTCGGAAAGATGACGCATTGGTGTGAATACATTTAGACATATAATTTCGACAATTTTAACTTGATGGATTTGGATTTTCCACTTCAGATTTCAACATCTTTCGCGAAATTGGTACCTTGCATTTAACGACAAAAGCAAAACTCGGGAACGTTAAACAAGGCAACAGTTCTATTGGTATTTTAAATTCTTAAAAAAGATGGTTTCTATAGCATATTATAGGTTTAGTATACCTATAGCATAGATATGATTTATATTGTAAGGCAGTATTTAACCACGGCTACTGTTTTCTGAACTATATTATATTCATTATAGTGTTATAGTCATTGATATCGTGTCAGAAATGTAATATTACTACCTATATCTCAACCGAACTATTAAATTACCTTTCCTTGCCAGTAATCAAAACTTATACTAGACACTTTTTTAAAGGTTCACAAGTGTTTTCAAGAAAACATCCCCTAGCATGCTGGCTTTCTTATATGTTGGTGGTTTTTGCTGGAGGAATGGTATGCAATGCTCTACTGGCAGAACCTATCCTGGCGCCTATAAAGAACACGCCACAAGTTCTTGTGGCTACATTAGTTTGGTAAGTGTTTGAGTCCATATTTTTTTCATTATCGGAAATACCATGAAAAACTGATATCATATCGTAGTATATTCGTGATCTTGTAAGTTTTTTTCAAAATTTAAAAGGCACAACAACCGATTTAAGTCCTCAATGAGAAGTGGAAAACATTTGGCAAACGCCAAAAACACGGCTTGTTTTGTCTGGGCAGAAATTAGTTTTAAATGATTGGCATGTTTACTATTACACAAGCAAGTTTTACGTGGAATGTGTACTTCAAGTAAACTGTTAACCAACCTGTTGCATGAAGCGTTTACGCAATCCGTACCGTTGGCCAACTTTTAATAGGTACATCATATAATCATCATCCAACGCAAAATTTGGCAAATCTTGGCGTGTCTGCATTTAATTTTTATTTTGCTATTTTAGGTACGTTATATTTTACACACCTGCCGATATTGGATATAAGTTAGCCAAATTTTTGCCGATCAAAATTGTATGCGCTGCAATGAAGGAGGTTTACAGGTGTAAAAAAGTGTACGATGGTGTATCCCACGCAGGCAAATTGTACCCGAACGCATTTTTGATAATGATAATAATTGGTACAATAAAAGGCAATGGGGCAGGATTCGTGAGGCTATTTGAAAGATTAATTCGAGGCGTTTGGACACCAACGGCCATGGAATTTATGCAGCCTTCATTGTAAGTCCAACGCCAAACTTCTTTCTCAAATTTATTTCACTTCAGTTACACGAAGGCATCTCTAGTCGCTTCGATCATATTTGTCTTGGATAAAAAGACCGACTTGATATCAGCACCTCACGCTTTGGTATATTTTGGAATAGTGATATTCTTTGTGTACTTCAAACTGTCATCTATCCTACTTGGAATACATGATCCATTTGTACCCTTCGAAAATTTGGTGTGCGCTCTCTTTTTTGGCGGAATTTGGGATTCACTGTCCAGGCTCCTTGGATCCGGACAAGTTAAAGAGGAAGCAAAGGATAATAAAAAGACAAATTAAGGTATGCAGGTCGTATAGAGAATAGCATTTATTCAATTTTTTTTAGGTACCTACCATTTGGAAATTTACTTTCAACTAAATTCAGTTGGGTTAATCACACGAGTGCCATTTACGGACCAATGAATGAAGAAAACTGTAGATAGTCGCGTTATCCAATAAACCGGTCAACGTCATTACCAAAAAATCTACCTATAACGTAAAGATAGGTATATACATATTTTGACTTATACTCATCACGTTTTAGTAAAGTACCTAAGCTAAGGCAATCACATTTTACACGAAACCAACACTAATTTAAAAGTTTGGGAGTTTGCATGTGTACCTACCTAAAATCATTGAATAAAAACACTATAATGTAATGTACATCAGTTGATTGGGTGACCCGACCATACAAATTGTGATGAACTTAATTTGCACTGTACAATGTAATGTTACCACCGGATTTAGTTTGACAATACAAATTTGAAATACGAAATTTTTATTTGTAACATCTGTTTTATGCACTTAGCAAATATAGGATTAATCGATTAATTGATAAAAAATGTTTGAGTAGAACAATTATAAAACGTTACAATTACTTATGAAAATTACAAATTACAATACCAGACAAGAAATTGCAAAACCTGTACAATGGAGGAGAAATTTTCCACTCCCCTGATAAGTATATAGAAGCAGTATTAACAAAAGGTAGGTATCCGGTACAGACGTATCATAGTACCTATAGTTGTCGTTAAAGCAATAAAAGCTATGTTAAAATTAGTAAAAGAAATCGGTATTATTTTGTTTTCGACAAAAAACCTTTTTTTACCTGATGTGGATAGTATTTCAACAATTACCTACCAGCCGAAGTCAAAACAAGATAAATCCTGCATATTTAACAGATTAATTAGAAGGACGTAGGGGTAGAGCTATCGAAAACAGGCTGTTATATACGTATAATTTATCAGTATAAAGTATCCAAGTGAAATCTTCACCAAAACAACTCAAAAGGGGCTTAATAAGGGAAAAGAAAGTACATACTTAGTTATTATCTTTCTTAAAATGGACAAAATTTGGTAGACCGAGAGTGGTTCCTTCAAAAAGTAAAAATGTTAAATTTCTATCCGTCCTGAACAACTTATGGGAAATGAGTTATAACACTAAGACATGCTCTTTGAACAAAATACGCTTCCAATCCTATACAGAATTCCATGGGAGAAAAGGATATGATTTGTGGAGAAGGTACTGCAACGTACATTTAATTAGTGATTTAATTATTTACAATTAATTATTAATGAATGCCGTTTGCACTATAGTACTCTGGTGTCTTCATTGTTCGAGATAATGTCTACTGACTTATTAACACATTACATTACAGGTGAATGGATCAGGCATCACCAAATTATCCTCCTTCACACCTATAAGTGTTAGTGTGGGGTGTTCCAATTTGAGTCCCTAACAGTTTAACAAGTTCAAACATTTGTAAATATTCCTATTCAAATATTTGGTTAGGTTCCCAAGCTTGAAGCTGTTTTAAATTTAAAATTTGTAATTAAACAGATCGATTTTGAACTTGAAAAATCTTTTGGAACCTCTCAGTTTGACTGCACTCTTTCGTAAAGCTTCGGTTTCCTCGGAAGCGGTGCAGTCTTTTAGCGGGCATTAAAATCCGGTGAGTCACGTCACAAAAGCAAAAACGTTGCGGAACTATTCCCGCCGTATTGGTTCACCGCCTCAATTAAAACGACACCGTTTTAATACGTTATAAACGTGTAAACAAATATAGAAAACGAGCTCCTGGGTATGGCTATAGCATGTGCAAAACCAAATTTTGAACCTGGTGGTAGTTGTGCTTTTATTTAGTGTTACGTATGAAATATTATTTAATTGCTTCCATAAATATGAAAGTTGGCACTGCACATCATGCACAAAACCAAATTTTGAAACTGGCGTTATATTTTCTTTTATTCCAAGTGGTTATGCAATCCGGTTTGTAAATGGTCGAGATGCGAAAAGGACACTGTGAATGTTGATCGATTCGACTCAACTTTTGGAATTGCGTTTGATATGGGTAAAGCTATACGCATATTGAATTTCATACAATTCGGTTCATAACTCACAGAGATGTCAAAAGGGCCTTCCTTATTTTTTGGGCTATATTGCCAATTCACGAACTCCGATCTACAAATTTGATAAGGAATCCACCTAGAAAATTTCATCGTAATCGGTCCATTCGTTATCGAGATGTCGTGCTAACGGACAGACGGACAGACACCGCAAAATTATAAACTCGCTAGAAGCTGGTTAATAAATACGCGGCACCGTTTGTGACATCACCTACCATCTTTGATGGCCGCTAAAAGACGGTACCGCTTTTGAGGAAACCTTATTTTATACATAAAGTAGGCAACACACAATACAACATCAAAAACGGCAAACTTGTGATACACATTAGGAAACCAAAAATGAACTTGAACCTTTGAATATTATATTCAAAGCTTGAACTAAATGGGAAAGCAGCATTATATTTCTTAAATTTTTCGGCAGGATTTATATTATGAAATATTTGTCCTTGTCCTTGTGTGACATCGAAGGGACTTCAGCGCATTTGTGTATGGCAGATTAGTATTCTATTAGCAAGTTTTAACTCCACCATCAGTAAGATCTCGTCGGTCCCGTTTGTCGGTACCCACCTCCAACGTCGTGTTCACCCGCACAATTCGCGTTTGAAGTTTTGACTCTCCCATTAGTAAGATCTTGTTGGGGGATTATACCACAGCTCCTTTGTCGGTACATAGTTCCGACATCCCATTCACCCGCAATTCGCATTTTCGTGAATTTCCCTAAAAACTCGCCACAGAATAGTACTCAATTTTTGGGCACTTCTCATAGCTCGAGCTTCTATTGGCGACACAAGAATGAGATACCGTGATTAGAGCTCTAAGATACCGTTGGGCTTGGGCGTCCAAAGTTGACTACCCCACCAAGACGCGCGCTTTGCAAAAGAAAAACCAAACCATCTAAAAAGCACGAACAGGGGTTACATTGGGCATCTTGTCTTGAATGGCGGTCGTGAATGCGTCGCTCCATAAATGTTTGTTGTTATTTTGTGTTATTTAATGCAGGTAGTAATTTTTGCATGTCTTTATATTGTATTTGTGTTTTGTATGCCACATTTTATGTTTTTTGTATAATTGTATGTTGGAATCTTTGTTTTTGAAATTTACTTGGTTTAACCGCAATGCAGAATCACATATATGATACTGTTACGCTATTGTTTGTAATGGTTTACGTTTTTGGTGTAATGCCTGCTTAATTTATGTTTATTGATGTTGATTAATTGGTCTTGTCCCTGAAGTAACATTCATATAAGTTTTCATTTTATTACCGATTTGTTTGATGTATGTATTGACTTGTTGTTTGTTACTAACAATTTTCTCCGTGAATGAAGCAGTCACGCGGGTGGTAAAAAAAACTGTAGTTAAAATTGAGTTACGACACCTAATTCCGTGATTGTCTTCGACATTCAACTGTAGGCTCGAAACCACGAAACCAGAAGCGGGTTACCCATCTTGCAGGAGCGGGATTACGCTAATCAAAGCTCTTCAGTTTAGAATCTATGTCCTATAAATGAGTGGCGATTTCCATATATGTTGTTTTTTGCCTACAAAGCCATGTAATTTTCCATCTTGCTTTTAACAAAAGGACTTTATTGCACCAAAGATGAGTCACATCCTGTGGATTTCACCCTTTCTTAGAATCTTGGTACCTGCTTACCTGACCCATAATCGAGAATATGACCGCCACACGAAACTTTGCCTCAACGCGCAGCACGATGCAATACCGTATTTGTAACACAAACATTTATTTTAGCAGCCGTACAACAATAACAAATATAACAATTAAAAATGTACCCTATATTTATAAATTATTACGAGAATAGTTTATTAGAAAGTATTTCATTTTGTTTCAATTGGTTTGTGTGCGTATCCAGAGGGTTGTAGAATTCGTGTTCGCTCGGATTTAGAATCACTTGAGAGGGAACTTCGTGGGGCTGACAACCATACATCGGATTTTGGAACCGCATGCTGAAAAAATGAGTAAGATATTGAAAGTGGTTACACAATCTATTTATTAAACAATATACTCGTAGTAGATACCTACGTAACATTCAAAATAGCGGCGATAGTTTTTTGATGTGGATAATTAAGATTACAGTTTCTATTTGTAGGCATTGTTGAATGAGAACTCAAAATGGCCAAATTGTGAATTGAAATGGCGGTCCAAATTCTTTTTAAAAGAAGAAAGAGTAAGTATAAAATGTCTTGCATTAAAATATAGCGCAATCGAATCTAAAACGGGATGTAAATGTTTTAGGGGTAGGTATCAAGTCAATAATTTTTTTGGTAAAAGATATCTTACCTTTTTATAAACAATTATGCATATTGGAAATTAGCAATAATCTAGCAACATTTAAAGTTGTAAATGGTTTCAATTGCAGTGCTAAGTTTCGAGTTAAAGTTAGAAATATAGCACAAAAAAATTTTTGGCGAAATTCCAAACAGAAATTTTCGTTGTGAACCAGTGGGACTGAGAGGAAATAAACGGTCTGTTATCATTGGAGGTTAGATGTGCCACGGTTTTAAGCGTGTGCAAATTCCATTTCATCATAATATAAAACAAACTTTATCCAACGTCTGCCCGTTGGCAGATTTTTGCATGATTCAAATGTTGATATGCGAATGGTGATCTTGAGTCACACTTAATGGGTGTTGACGATTTAAATGCAGATTAACTTTTCGCCACTGACCGTTGATGTTTCCCACATTCTGGAAGAAACGTCTAGTAACGACACGAAATAACGAAAGAATATTATGGCGATATCGGAAAAAGTAAAATTTCCGGCTTCGCACTAGCGGGAGCTAATAAAAATTGGCATGGTAACGTATGGCAACAGATTTTTGGGGTTACTGTAACGGTTGCTTTTTAACAGAAATTAGTAGGTGGGTAGGTACTATACATACCTGATGCTAAAACTACCGGACTGTTTCCTCTGGATGTAAAAGTATGCAGTGCTGGATAGTACCGCCAGAATAACCACAACAACAATAACAATGACTGCACTCTTGCTACCACTTTTGGCGTTTCCATCATTCATGTGATTTGCGAGGACGTATTCTACGGAGTTTATCTAAAAAGTGTGGTTAAAGTTAAACTGCCACATATTGATGGAGTACCTTCACTGCTTGGCACTGGTGATCAACTCCGTTCCAGTTTGGGTCACATATGCATTGGGGTGTGTTATTTTTTGGAACACACAAACTTCTACAAACGCCACCACAGACGTCTGGTACTTGCGGTTGCATAGAATTTTCATTTAAAACAAACAAACTACTAAAACTATTGTGTATCTTAAAGCTAATGCATGCTTGATAATTAATGTATAAAGGACATCTTGTGACATAACCGATGGGTGTATAAAAATAAATATGATCCTCAAATATTGATAACGTCGACGGATTTGTAAGGTTAGTAACAATTCTCAATTCGTTTTTTCCATCGTATGAACTTTTGAAAACGTTCCCTGAGCTATGAATATAAAATAGTGTTTGAGTATACGGATTAAAGTTTAATCCCGTGATCAGTACTGAATCCGTTTTGACTAATTTCTGCAACTGCGACCCATCCAAATTACATCTGTAGACAAATGTACCATACCATCCCAAGATCTGCACGCTATGAGTCGCGTAAAATAAATGTTTATTTACTCCGTCGACAATTAACGACGAAACGTTGTTGTTAATTCCGGTATCGATGATATGCGCGCACGATTTTTTCAAGAAGTTGCACATTCTAATCGCGTTGTTCGGGAATGAATTGTCCACGTAATACACATTCTGCGTTAACCAATCGACCGATAGTCTTCCCGGTTTTCCAACGTCTCCGATGTCTTCGATGGTGCCCGTTTCTACAATAAATCTATGCAACATTCCTCTCGATTCCGTGCTGAAATATATATATTCTTGTTCTACGGACACATCTAAACCGGTAATGTCATGTTCATCTTGAGCGTAGAGAAGTCGCAATGTGTAGGTTTTGGGTAAAAGTTGGAAAATTTCGTTTGGTGATGCAAATATAAAGGACACCGTCTCGCCTTCGCTTTTACATGAAGTCATGTCAGATCTGAAAAACGAACGCATATTACTATAAATTTGTAACGGATCTCCTATAACTTAGTCCGCAGTCCAATTCCTGCCTTTATTTTTTGTGGTCACTATTTATGTTATGTAGGTACTTGCGCGATTTTTAATTGGTATTTGGTAGATGCAAAATATCGAGAGTGGTATCGTTATAGGACCAGTTTCTTGAAAATGTTGTTGTATATTTTGGACGAATGGTTTCTGAGTACGGTCCTATCGAGTTAACTGCGTGTGAAAGTTGTCGGCGCCAGAAAGTCGTGGGAAGAGACGAAATTAGCTAAAATTACGTGAGGGTCCGCCGTTATCGAGTCTCCTACGCACGTGGACCAGTTTTATATGACTATTTGGGTTTCGAGGGATTTCATTGGTTGAAAAAACCCTACTGATTGGTAGAACAGATTTGAATGTTCGATGGGCGTAGTTTTAAAATGTAAATGTGCCGGAAGCTTGGTTGCTCTAAGAGAGTCGTGGGGCAATTCAGAGCAAAACGACATAGCTATTTGTGTTATGTTTTTTTTACTAAACCGTCTATGGATAGAATTTCAAAAAATGCCTATAACCTTGGCATTGCGCAATCTGCGCATGCACACACCTGATTTTTACAATATACGCTGTTTACCTTTACTAGAAGCATCTGTGGTTAAAATTTCAACAAAATATATTTAAAAAATATGAAATATGTAAAGGCCTCGGACGGTAAATCAAATGTTTTGCATTACAGATTCAAGAGTTAGGGCAGCTTAGGCTTTACAAAAATTACAGGGTGTCGAAATTTGGAAGACCGATTTTTCAATAAATTATTTCACTAGTGTAGTGTAGGAAGAATAATCTGTAAAATTGTAAATTGAAAATTGTCTTTTCTGCGTCTTTTAATTTCTATCAAGAGTTGTTTACACAATGGGTTCCGGATGTGCAGAGACGAGATTTCGTTGTAACTAGGGCCAAAGTGGGTATTTGAAATAGACTTACCTCTCCAAACCACTGAATAAGCGCGAGGTCTTTCGGTAGTGTAAGAAATGCGGGAGATTTTCGGGATTGATTCGGTCGTGGACAAGTAGATGATTAGTACGTGGTCCATCAGCTTTATTTCGAGCACCAAAAGCGAGATTAGGGGGGTTTTGTGTCAAAAAATTGGCTCTATTGACAGCGATGGTTATAACTTCGGGCTATTTTTATTATGTGCACATGTTAAAAAAAATTGATTACGCATGCGCGGACCCAACTTTTTAACTAGTATAGATGTGGTCACTCGGGACCGACGAAAGCGCATTTTCCCCGCACAGAATCAGTAGTAACTCGGGAAGGATGTGACTAATCGTTCTGGTCTCGGGGCTGTTCTACATCGTATAAGAAAGAAACCGAAACGAAAAAGCTTAAACTGGAGAGCCAGTACTGGTACCGACCTCGGTACAGACAGACAAGGTGCGGACAATAGCTTCCATTTTCTTTTTGGAAAATGCGCTAAAAAACCAAGGAAATTATTACGCATGTGCAGTCATATAGTTCTTATTTTTCAACTCAATTTTTCTGAAAATTCAGCGGAAGAAATGGATTGCGCAGGTGCGAACATAATTTTCTAATTTGTAGATTTTTAGCGTAACTAAATCTGAAACTAATCCCTAGAATGAAACTCACCTTAGAACAAATCCACTGTGACAACTGCATTTGTATGACCCATGGGCTTCGTGACAAATCTGACTACACACAGGGGGTTCAAGAGAACATTCAGCTAAATCAGAACAAGTACGTCCATCTCCTCGTAACTTAAATCCTTCACCACACTCGCACTGTGGACCGGCGGGCGTTCTGCGACAAATTTGAGAACAAGGATTGCTATCCTTTAAACAGGACGATGAACAGGCGCCATTCTCGTCCGAACCGTCATCGCAATCATTCGCGTCGTTGCAAACCAAAGACCTTTCGATGCATTTTCCGTTTTTGCACTGATACTTATTGCCACAGGTAGTGAGAGATTTATCTTCGAAGGAATCCAAAATATGGGCACAAACATTAACGGCTTCGTCAGATCCATCGCCGCAGTCGTCAGTGTGATCGCACAACCATTGCGAATGGATGCAGTGGCGATTGTTACACTCGAATTCGTTCGTTTGACACTTAGTGCAATTTTGCTCGTCTTCGCCACGCGGACAGTCTTGGACACCATTACAACGCACTCGAAGGGGCAGGCACGTTTTGTTTCCAACACAGTGGAATTCGTTTAAATTGCACATTTCCTTCAGCTCTACATTCTCACACGACTCCTCATCGGAGAAATCTCCACAGTCGTTTTGCTTATTGCACCTGAGCATACTTTCAATGCATAGACCATTATCACATCTAAAGTTTGGAGAGGCGCATTCATCACCTGTCAATTTACAAGGCAGGCATAAAATGAACCCATAACATACAACTTACCATTACAGTTCGCGTGCTCGTCGCTTTTATCCGGACAGTCATATTCTTGATCGCACATCCATCTTTTTGGAATACACGCTCCCGAAGCGCATCTGAAATTCAAACACTAAAGAAATTCGCGAATCATTGAGTAGCAACTACGTACTTAAATTGATCCAACCTACACTCAAAATCTTTGCAATTTTCTTCATCGCCTCCGTCCTCGCAATTTTTGCGGGTATCACATACATACTTCTTATCTATGCAAACTCCATTGGAGCATCGGAAATTGTTTGCAGGACAGCTTACGGCGTTGATATCGGTAGAGCAATTCTCTTCGTCCGATTTATCAGCGCAATCATTGTTTGCGTTGCACACCAGCTCTTTCTTAATACACTCTTTATTTCTGCACTGATATTCACCTAACGTGCAAGCTCTATGGAAGGTGCAATTTCTTTCGTCCTCTCCAAACACGCAGTCCCTGTGTTTGTCGCAACGCTTTTCGCGCGGAATGCATAGGTCGGATTGGGGGCAGTAGAATTCGTACAGTTCACAATATGTCGATTTTAGGCACGTCTTCCGATCGGACTGTAGCTTTAAACCGTATGGGCACAGACAAATGGCGGATTTGAAGTTTGGTATGCAAACATGAGAGCAGTTTCCGTTGTCTAGGAGACAAGGATGAGGATTGACTTTGCGTGGAATTATAGACAGGATGTGCGTTATTTTATCCGGTGCATCTGCAATTAATAATAATTTACATGAATTTCAAGGGCTGAAACGACAAGGTGCGATGTGCATTTGACATGTCATTCGTGATTTTTAAATTTGTGCGTTATGGTTTATAGCCGAGTTCCTTCGAATACGACCGTGTCAACTAACCTCAAAAAACTTGGTCAGTTCCATTTTAGGAATACAGCCGGGACGCGTAGCATCAATCGTTCGAAACGTAGTAGTAAAAAATAAAAATTGTGCTTCACGTTAGCTGCCGCAATGTAAAAATAAAAAATCCCAACAGAGAAATATATATCTATGTATATACTTGTATATATAATTTGATGATACAGCCACGTGTACCCACTAACAAGACGCAATGTAACAGGTTTCTGCTTCTAACAGCCGATATCTATGGTATCCATATGATGTACACACAATCGAGACATGTATGTGAGTACACGCGGCTGAAACTAGCTGATGGTCCGAGACCCCACTGTGGATACACGCGGCCGTTAACATGGATTCTGCGTAACACCACATCGGTTACACGTGGCAGTTAACGTGTTAACAAAAAAACAAGAAAATGTATATTGCACTTCAGGTGGTTAGTGTCCTAAAACGTCCCTGTCAAGTGGTAGTGATCATGTGCCTTTGGTTCGTTTTCTACATCAGGTTCTCGCAAGTATAACACACTGAACAAGACATTTTTATACAATGTAACGTAACTGTTGCCGAAGCAATTAATATAATCGGTACCCCACAGTGTAAATATCCAAAGAAGCGAAATGTTTGCTTTACAAGTTTTCGGGTGGAATATAATGGTAGTGGATCACTATTTTATATAGTTCTACCTTTTCGCAAAGATCTCCGTTTTTTATTAGGTTAGATGTATGATTGAAAAAGTGTAGTGTGTGTTTACCCGTTGGTAAATGTCGTTTGCCGCCTTGTGCGTAGAGGGGCGGGTCTACGGGAGAGCCCTACCTATGCCGAACTCGCCCTCGGCTCGCTCGGCATTGATAAACGAAAAATGCGAGCCATTTTCGTTATGAGGAGGGCGAGCTGGAGCTACGCCGAGCGAGCCGATGATTAGTATGCGCTTCACATTTTGTGACCGGAATCGTTTATCAACCCCGAAATTCGGGTTGGCGGTTGATTAATGCCGATCTCACCTTCGGTTCGATTGGTATGTAAGGTGCGTGGGTTAAGAATCGTACGCCCTAGATCACCTTACTTTGTTAGGAGAAGAGTAGTCGTTTTGAGTCATCCGCCATTTCGATACAACCGCGTTTGTTTATCAGATGTCGCTTATTTCAATTTATCATGTCTTACACAATGTGAGTCTAACGACGGTTTTTGTTTTTTTTAAAGCTATTTCGGGAGGATCGCCGTTTTTTATTAGGTCGGATGTATGATTGAAAAAGTGCAGTGTCTGTTTGGCGATTGCCCGTTGGTATACGTCGTATATGCCACTGTGGAAGAAGAGAGGAGAGTCTAAGGGAAGGCGCGAGCTATGGCTAACTCGCCTTCGGCCCGCTCGGCATGGATGTACATAAAAATGTAGTGTGTTTTGGCCGTTGGTAAACGTCGTTTTCCAACGTGGACGTAGAGAGACGAGTCTAAGGGAGAGCCCGAGATATGCCGAACTCGCATTCGGCTCGCTCGGCATTAATCTACAAAAAAGTGTAGTGTGTGTTTGGCCGCTGGAAAACGTCGTGTGCCATCGTGGACGAAGAGAGGCGAATCTAAGGAAGAGCCCGAGCTATGCCGAACTCGCCTTTGGCTCGCTCGGCATTGGTGTGCAAAAAAGTGTAGTGTGTGTTTGGCCGCTGGAAAACGTCGTTTGCCACCGTGGACGAAGAGAGGCGAGTCTAAGGAAGAGCCCGAGCTATGCCGAACTCGCCTTCGGCTCGCTCGGCATTAGTGTGCAAAAAAAGTGTAGTATCATAATAATAATATTTTTCTTGTAGGTACCTACTTTTAGATATTTGTGAAGTGTGAACGTCTTTTAGGTATAGATATAGCTTCACTGAAGTCCTTAGAATGTACTTTATGTATATTTGAAGCGCAACTCTTACGTATTAACTTTGTTTAGTATTAATGAGAAAATATAATATACTTAGGTCGTATGTTGCTATATACTTGGCGTTAAAAAACACCCTCGCTGATTGTTACCAACCGCAAAGCTTAAGTTAATGCTCTAAAAAGACAATTTAGACGACTACTCGTGTTAAGTTTTTCATATTTGTGTTAATTTCCCTTAAAATAAAGTCCCGACCTAGGACACCCCTTTGTTTATCTTGAAATGGACTCTTCCATCAGTTTGACGTTTAGTTTTCTTAAAATGGCGGAAAATTCTCATTTTAAGGAAATTAAGGAAAATAAGCCTTTTCGTAGCGACAAAATGCTTCCAACACATGCGGATGGAAATTTTAGAGAGTTTAAGACCCCTCACGGACGTGCCCGGCCCTATTTAATTCAAAATCGCTATAAAAGCGCTTCATTGATGACGTCATCGGTGCATGATGTAAGGTTTTTTTGCAAATTTAAGTGAGTGAACAGATCAAATTTTGAGCATATGAATGTCAACTCAACTTTTCACGGAGGACCCGATACCGTTGACAAACTTGACGGACGGCAAAACATGCCGTCAAGCTGTTTCTACCATTATATTGAAATGTTGACTTACCTAGGTATATTGAATTATATTGAATTAATATTACGGTTGCATGAAAAATAATTTATATGATTTTAATATGAAAAAAAATCGGTATCAATGAACCTTGATTGCGTTATAATCGAAAGTATCATCCTAGATAACTTCGATTATTTTTTATTTTACTGCTTCCAATGCGACAGACAGACATAGTTGTGCTCGTGCTACAGAAAAACGTAAAGTTTTTCAACTCGAGTTCGCTACGCTCATGTGTAAATTGAACGAGAGTGGAAAAACACTTTCTTCTTAAGTTTTACACACAATAACAGATTATCGTATACAATAATGAAGTTTGACACATAGCAATCTCGATGCGGGTATCTTTCAATTTAAATGTCATTATTAATATTAACGCAGTAGTTGTTTTTTACTTTCCGCACTAGAGAGGAAAATCACATTTTCTTCACCCTTTTTGGAGACGAAAGTAGTATCGTTTCTAAAGTTGTTTCAGAAAAATAAATTTTGATATTATGTGCACGAAACCCAACATTTATGTCAATGATGCTAATTATTAATGTACCTAATCTTTTATCAATCTCAAAATGGAACTTCTTAATTCCGTATGTACAGTTGAAATAGTACAGAAGAATTGTATAAATAATTACGATCGCAACATACCAACGTCCAGCGTCTTGATGTTATCATTCGCGTTCATCTTATCCGCCCAAAACAATTTCCTCGAATTTTCAGTTGTCCAAAATATATTTTTGTTTAAAGAAGCAAAGGTAATTATAGGCTGATGTGGCGATTGGAAACCGTGCCTGTCGTCACCTGTAACAATAATAACTGTCGACCTTGTTCATATACATAATGTCCCACCTTCAACGCTAGTACTTTCCATAACGCCATTGCCAGAATCTGCCCAAAATATCCGGTTGAGCGTGGCATCGTATAATAAATTTATCGGCCCCATTAAATGTTCTTCCTGAATGTGCACTCTGTTGGTACCATCCATGTTCATCCGGTCAATATGTGCTAGATGATTGGGATGCTGGAACGCCACGAACATAACTCTAAAATTTCATCATTGATAAACCTGCACAAATAAATTGCATCTACCCTTCGTTAGGTACAAGCGATATAGACGTTGGAGTTTCATCTGCCATATCGCTGAGCAAAATCGCTCTGGACATGCTGTTCAGGTTTAATACTTCGACGGTCGATCGAACTGAATCGCACCAATAAATGTTATTGCCTATCGGATCTGAAAAGGTACGTTGACTAACCAAGACCAAGAATACATGGGATTCTTACCAAAATCCATTGACGAAATGTAATCAACGCTCCTTGGATGCATTACGTTTTCTCTCAGGCCATTTTGCAAATCGACGGCAATTATTGTACGAGTATGAGCTTCGCTCGCAAACAAAATATTATTATTACTGTTGTATGTTAAGGCTGTAATGTTGCGTATTTTAACGGGAGATATCGTCAAGTTATGTTTGCCCATTTCTTGGTAGAGGATTGTCATCAAGGTGGTGTTGGTTGATATGACCAGCATTTGGTCTTTGGCAGCGGCTAAAACACATAACTTAATTATAGAGTGGCAACTTAAAGTAAGCACGTAACAAATGGAACAAAATGATGGTGAAACAGCCGGTTAAGTTAAGTGTGGGAACGGGAAAAGAATACCTATTACCACGCAAAAGCCAATTGCATGCGGTAGTGGTCCGCTAATTTAAAAAAAACCTAGTGCTTAGTGCAGAGTGTGTGCTATTTTGTGGTCTAATAGATATGACTTATGACGAATTTTATGCTTCTAGATTTGTATTATTTTTATGTCAACGTTTGTATTGTGTTTCTGACTGGAAGGAGAATCCATTCTCCGAGGTGAAAAGAAGTATGCACGGTGCTTTATTCTGAATTTCAACCGTGTACATCTCACATCATATATGCGGTCAGGACCTCAAATGGATATATAAATTACTGAAACGTGTGATACCGCTAAAGAACGTAAACGACAACCGAAAGCTCTACCATCTACGAAGAATTTATTGGTCTCGTGCTCAGGAGTGGATTACGGAAACAAATGTGGGAGCATATACCATGAAAAACCGGACCTTAGAAGTGCTTACCTCTGCAAGTGTGTTTGTCATAACCAAGCATTTTATTCTCTGGACATGCGCAAGTGTAGTGGCTTCCGCTAAGAAGGCATATATGACTGCATGACTTTAAAGCGCATGGATTTCTCGACATGGGTTGTGCTACGGGATGATAAATGTGCACTCCATAAATATTCTCTTTTTGTTTAATAATAACATTGTGATTCTTTCCTGTGAACTTTTCGCATGACTCTATGGTGTTGGATGACCAATCAGACCAGTATACTTGGTTTCCAAAGACCGCCAGCGCGTACGGGTGTTTCACTATCCTTTCTAGTATCACCTACAAAGCGTCTTTAATTTGCAGTCTTTATAAGAAAATACATACGCGTCGGCCGGTGCCATCAAGCTTGATGCTTTGAAGAGTCATAATTTTTGCGTCAACCCAATACAGTCGTTCATTAGGAATATCGATAGCAAGTCCATTTGGCCAGTAAATTCCATTTGCGACAAAGGAAATGTCATCAGTCCCATCCATTTTGGCTCGTGCAATTTCCGGCCGTTTTCCCCAGTCCGTCCAGTACATGATTCTGAAAGTGAACATTCCAAGTGGACTTCATAGGATAATTTGAAGCGTACCCTTTTTCTGGATAAAGTACTATTGATCGCGGATTTTGAACGTCTTGGTTAACTAGCACTGTGCAGTACATTCCGTCGTTAGTACAAACTCCAATGTGCTTCAACTCGGCGTCGGTAAAGTAAATGTTTCCGGTCATCCAATCAACTGCCAAATCTTCGGGAGTATCAAGACCGGATGAAATCAAAACCTACAAGACGCTAATTTATTTGATCCCTCCTGTCTCCTATACTCACTTGCTTATGAGAACCGTCCAACAACGACCTAACTATACTTTCGTGCCCGGCCATTATTTCCGTCCAATAAACGTACCGTCCGTCAAACGCAACGCCAATGGCTTGAGATAGATTTTTTACAATGGGGAAATAGAGCTCAGAATCGAGATAGTAGCCGCGAATTTCGGTTTTAGAACTGAAGATCATAAGCGGTTCTCCATCTCGAACTCTGCAGGTTCTGTTATCGGCCTCTAACTCGTAATATTGGTCACAAAAACACTTGTACGAACCGGGAGTGTTTTCACATTTTTGATCACATATACCTGCAGAGAAAATTAAGTCATCATAGAGTCGTTTGCACAAAAGATTACCTTTGCGTTACTTGATCGTGAACCAATTTTACAAGAGTTCTGTGGTCATATGGGTGAGATAGAAGTGGTAACAGTTTGAAATACGTATAATTAGAAATTGGTTCACAAACCAGTGATGTAAAGTTTATCTTTGATGCAAACGACTGTAGGTATTCAATGAAAAAAGACCCGAAAATCCAAATTCCAAGTGAGAGAATGAAATGTGTAAATTTTGAATTTTTATGAGTAATACCTACCGTAAATATCACATTCATTTACTTCCGTACAGTTTAAGTGATTACTACTCAAACTGTATCCTTCTGGACAAACACATTTGGCCCCTAATGATGTCATTACGCACTCATACTGACAGGATAAACTTTGGCAGGTTGCGTCAGTCTTCATACATAAGACAGATTTATCATCAACATCAGAGCATTGCGTTGATCTATCACAGAATACGTTCAAGGTTATACAGGTACCGTTACAAAACGTCAGCCCTTTGCCGAGATCGCACTGAGACGGTTTTAGATGAACACCTAAAACGTAAAGTAATTGTAGTTGTAGGGAGATTAACATAATCTTCAATATATCGTTCGTGAAAAATTTCAGGTGTAAAAGTAGCCTAGTAACTCTTCAATCAATTTCTCATTTAAAATGTCTCTCGCCCAATACAATACTAATTAATAATAATAATAATAATAAGCATGAAATCAAGTGATTAAAGAAAACCTTCGGTCTGGGAAACCACTCACGCTATCGGCTTCAAATATGTGTAACGGGAGCCCGCTACGCCGTTTAAATGTTTCGAATTTTTTAACAATTTTGTCGGATTTTCTTTTTAGTAATCGGCCGTGATTTTATGACAAAATTTAAACAATTTCGTTTCAATGTTCGAATGGTATCATTAGGACGACGTCTGTCTTGATATCGCTCAATGTACGACAAGCACGTGCCGCGATTCTGACCAATTTACCATATCCATTAAATTCCAAAAATCTTCATGGGGAAACCACTGCGAGTCAGATTTCGGTTATCGAAAACCTTATGTTATGCTATAACAGGTGCGGATTAGTGTCGCTAGATTCGTTTAAAAGGCGGACTACTAAAAAAGAAAATTTAAAAAAATGGTAACAATTCAATGAAATGAGAATTTGGAACATTTAATATCAAAATATGCCAATTTTGATTCTCTATTAAATGCAACAGTAAGAAAATTGTCATTTCGTTAAAAAACTGTGTTTGAAATATCTTAAATTTAGATCTCCATAGGTGCGGTTGTACGCAACTTAACTTTTTTTTAAGTGCATTAAAAGAAAGCCCTATTCTTTCTCTATGGACTGGTAAAAATGGATTGCCAACAATAACCAAGGTATAACATAATAACTTAAAAACCATAAATTGTAGATATCGACATTGTGGGTATCAAAAGAGTTGATATTTTACGTAGAATCCAAAATTGCCATAAAAAAAATAGGGGTTGCCATTTAAAATAACGAAGTTACTAGCTACTTCCGGTATGAAGTGTCACCATTTTGAAAATACATTGATTCGGCCTTAAACTTCTAAGTACAACTTTTCAAAAACCTACCTATTTCACTTTCTCAGAAACATATTTACTTAACTAAAGTTCCCAAAAAACATCCTGTATATTGAACACTTACCGACATATTCCAATTTTCTAAAAAACATAATTCAAGTGCATTTCCACCAGACATGTTCAAATTTACCAAATAAATTCTCAATCTGACTTGGCTGGGTCCCCGATAATAGGCCACCCACAAAATACACCGTTAATGATACCCTGAAAACAAGTCGGATCGCCGCCACTGGTAAAAAATTCAGCGGCAAACATTCAATAGCCAGGCTTTATCAATAAAGGCGCACCTTGACATAAGGAAGGCCGAAGACGTATAATAGTCGAGCAACAGCTCCGATTTTGATAATTTTTTTAATGCGTGTTTTTTTAGTATTATTCAAAATCAGAAACATCCGAATATCAGAAAGTAATTTTTTATATTGTTTAAACAATAATAGCAAAATTTACGGAAAAAAATTATGTTAAATTTTTTTGCGATATTTATGAAAATATAAAATGTTTTTATTGAAAATTTAATATCAACGGAAAAAAATTATGTTAAATTTTTTTGCGATATTTATGAAAATATAAAATGTTTTTATTGAAAATTTAATATCAAAAATTTCTCTTGCAGTCGTGGTTAATAATTATTTATATTGTTTAGACAATAATACAACATTTACGGAAAACATTGCTTTTCTAAATGCGCAGAGAGACTATTAGTTCATCAACTTATTGCACGCCACGGGGCACTTATGAGTATTTACTTTGAATTTTGCAAATATAAGCATTTGCTTACTTATATTCATACGGGCCAATGAGAGTACTCAATGAACGATTGTTGTTTGCTATATAATCGGAAATCGAATTGTACTGCGAGTTAGTGCCAACATCGATGCGGTCGTGTATGTTATAAATTGTGAATGATAAATAATTGACTGTTATAGGTAAATTCATCCACTTCAAGACTGTAAACTTACATTACAGTATTTTTAGGACAAAATCCCATTTACGCATTTAGAAAAATGTGGTATAATGGAATGTTACATCGTGTTCTATTAGCAAAAATTGCGTTTTTGTTGATATTTTGAGAATGTCACTGTCATTGTTTTTTTTTTGTTTTCACCATTGTAATCAGCGTAAAAAGACACATTAGTTCTCTAATTTAAGAGTCTTCTGTACCCACCTGCACCCAATGTATATTTCCATAAGAGCGCCCGCCATAAAAACGCGAGTTGTTAAAAAAAAATTTTTTTTTAGAATTTTATATATTTAGACCTTTATCTACAAAATGACTATTTTTTAAAAAAAAAAGTTGATAGCAACTGAATGCAGATTGCACCGATTATTGCGCTAATCTGTTTTAGTTTTTAATCTCGATCAAGACGATTTATGGAAATAAGCAGACAGTTTTCTAGATTCTAAACATTACCCCAAAAAATGAAATCATATTTTTTGTAAATAAACTCTGTATCTTGGCGGGCGGTAAATCAACAATTTGAGTGTAGCAAGTGGCGCCGCTGCACAGTGTCGGCGGGACCTAACTAAGGACCAAGACAGGAGTTGACAAAGCAAGAATATCAATTTGTCACTTGCAACTATAATGTAAAAAGTTGCGTGTAGGTAGGCTCTTAAGCAGTCTTAACCGACCGTACATCTCTTGGGCAACGTTCATTCTGAGGCCATATACAATATTATATCTAAAATGGCAAAGTCGAAGTGTAACTTTTCTGGCGGGAATTCGTGTGAGATGAACCGCACAGTGGCGCCGCGCATTGTCGTTTTTGCTTCGGCGATTCTTCGTCACTGCCTTGATATAAACGCTACAGACATAGTGGTATACTTTCAAGAATTGGTAAAACTCGAGTTTATGCATTATATTCTGGAAAACTTAAGAGACGTTAATTCACATTATTTGTATCTTCAATCTCGTTTTTCTCTCCATTGACATAAAAACTGGTTTTTAAGGTTAATTTTGCAAGACAAGTAATTCTTATTTTAGTGATCCAGTTTTGTTACACACTGACAAAAAAGCCACGTAATAACGCAGCAAAAAAATAAAACTTAAAGATTTAAATACTACTTGTGTTTTATTATCATAAAATCACAAAATATCAAAAAAACAGTGTTTTATTTTTTTTTAATTTAGGTTGTTTCCAGCCAAACCGAAAGTGAAAAAAATTGTAATTATTGTCAATGAATTTCCTTTTACTCTAAATTGAAAAAATAGAGGTAATAACTTCAGCGAACAATTCATAACAAGTAACCGATGAAGTGGTAATTTATACTCCCTCGGCATTTAAAATCACATTTCCTTTTAATGGAAAAACCAGACTGCTTATCTAAGAAGTAATTTTATTAACATTTCCATTGTTATGGGCCGCAGGCGTCGCACTTTGTTCCTTCTTAGCAGTTTCTTCGTCGCTGTCTTGATATAACGGGAGTAGTAGGTATATTGCAACAATTAGGAAAATCAATACGCAAAATTAAAAAAAAATTTACCAATTCTTGTAATTGTACTTGCTCTCTAGCGTTTATATCAAGGCAGCTACGAAGAAACGCCGAAGTAAATACGACAATGCGCGATACCGTACGGCCCATCCCACACGAATCCCCGCCGGAAAACTTACGCTTCAACGTTGCCATTTTTATTTAATTTATTGTTTATGGTTGGTTGCCTAAGTGGCAGTAAGCATCCGATTATCATTACTTTTGTCGGTGAACTTACCAAAGAGGTACTCTTTGATCTTACCTCCGTAAAATTATTTCGGCGCAACGTATATCGTAGGCGATACAGGAGTCAGGACACGCTATACGCATTAAGAGATTCTTGAAATTCAAAGGGAGGCGATAAATAAAGTTCGCAGTCGCAAGATATCACCCGCTGTATGTACCTCCGTGGCAATATATCGGCGCAACATATCGTCCCAGTATGAACGGCGCCGGCGCCTTGTAATAACAAAGTTAGCAACAGTGCAGACTTGAGTTTTTTATGTTTTTAGTTTTGACATTTAATTAGTGGCCAATTTAGAGCTCTTTAATTGTGGCATGCTATGGATATCTATTACTTTTATTAGTGTATCGGGAAATTGACATCAACGTAGTTAGACATCAGTTTTCAAAAAAAGAAAAGAGCGGCAACGTTTTTATTTTCCCAGATGCAGTTAAGCTCCTCCCGAAAAATTCCCGGCAAATTTAAATGAACATTTTTAATTGGCCGAATTTTAAAAACCTGTAACACGCGCAACTATTTGCTTCCATTTATAATTGCCGTATCTGAATTGACATCCGTAACGTCAAACCTGTCATTGCGTTTTGTATTTGTCTTGCCTCAACTTGCCCTTAATTTCTGTTACCCATGATTAGTGGAGGGAGAAGTTAAGGCCTAACCGGTTGCCACCCTAAAGAAATTATTATTCACTTCGAGTAGTATTAAGCGTTTGGTTGAAGTAGTATGTAGTAAATCAATAAACAGTTGTAGTTCAAGAGTGCTTTCTTCAACCATACCCAAAAGTTATATACAGTCCACTACTTGTAACGATCGACAATAAACAATTTCATTTATACGAACAAAATAATCTGTTTGAACTTAATAAACAATTTGAAACTATGGACTGCTGTGCGTTGAATGGTCAATATTCAAAACATAACACTTTATAACTTAATCATACAATGTGACATGCGATTTTAAATTTCATGGTTTTTATAATTTTTGTGACAGTGAAACGGGTCTGCTATTACATCGGCCAAAATTTATTGGGAGTGGCTTAACTGCATCTGTTGAGTGAACAGCATTGAGTTAGAAAACTCTATGGTGAACAGATTATAGTTGTAACTAATTAGAGGCAAAAAGTCGTCAAAGTGTCACTAATTTTTTTGACATTTCTTCACCGAGTTGATAGATATGTAATTTGCCCGTTTGGAATCCACTTGACAGGAAACCTTAAGGCGTGGCGCACATTGAGACGCACGCGGCGCATGCAACGCAACCGACGGCCACACACGCTTTGGGTACTGTTGAAATTACTAAACAATATGTGTCTCAGACACTGTGTGGCGTCAGATATGAGTCACGTGGTATCGTACATTGCGCCATAATATGTGTTTGCTCCTTAATTCCGACAGAATACAACGCGTGTGTGGCCGTGGGTTGCGTTGCGTGTCTCAATGTGCGCCGGGCTTTAAGGTCTGTCATTTGAAGAACATTCTTTAACAAATGTTTGGACTGAATTTCTGCATGAACAACCCACATTAATTCGGACTTTTTTAGTTTTTCCCACATTCTATCATTATGAAACAATTCTTTCCTGTCGGTTCGTTGAAACCTAAAGATCTCCGACTAGAAAAAATGAAAAAAAAAAGTTTTTTTTTGCCTTAAGGCGCATTTTCATGAATTGATCAGCAATTTTAAAAAATACCTCTATAAATAGCGAAAATGCGAACATGAATCACCAAGGTTTTTCCTGATTGAGGTGGCAGAGCTATAAGGTGCCGAATGCAAAAAGAACGAAATAAATTTTTTCGATGTAGAGCTCCATTGAATTATAAGAAGTATATTAAAAGCAGGTAGACTACAATTTCTTATATTTGGTCAAGTTTTCCTATGGTTGTCGATTTCGGAAAGATGATGGAACGAGATATTACGTTCCGAAATCGATAACCATAAGAAAATTTTAGCAAGAAATTCTAGTCTACCTGCTATTAACGAATTAAATATCTTGAAAATTGTAGGAATACTTAGTTGGCCTATAATAGCGCCTTCCAACATGAGTTGGAAAATGCGCTAAAAAGATTCACTGTCCCCAGTATCTAACAACTTAGAGAGGTACCGTGTTTTAAAACAAGCGCATGCTAGTCATTAATCTTTAGAATCTAAAGTAGTTGCTACTAATTCTTAAGTTTAATAAATAAACTTTACTTGTAACAATAAATATAGCGAACGAACTCCTGGGTCACTGAACCTGAAAAAAGAATTGGAAAATTCGAAACCGTTCGCAAGTTATCATGGACACGGACGGACGGGCGGACAGAAAGTCTAAAATCATGATGAACTCGCTTGGGGGCTCGTTACTAAGCTTGCAGTTTAAATTTGATTTGTATAAGTCATCTGTAAGCTATTTTGATCTCAATTCACCTCCTTCAAAATGAAATACGAAATAACAACGACTGAATAAGTACTCACCGCAATTAATCTCATCGCTTCCATCTTTACAGTCCTTATAACCATCGCAATGCCACTCCTTGTAGATACATTGGCCACTTTTACATTTAAAACCAGTACACTTAGCATGCTCACACCCCACCGTCTCATCGGATCCATCCAAGCAATCTTCTTTACCATTACACACCCAGTCATCCAGTATGCACAAACGATCCGAGCATTGCCACTTGCCTTTACCGCAATCGTCCGACGTGTGTAATTGCGAAATGTTCTGAAATCATATGTTGAGGGAAAAGGGCGATGTCTTTCAATTACCTTGTTCGGTGTACAATTTTCTTCGTCGGAAAAATCGCCGCAATCATTCTCGTCATCGCATATGTACGATTGACTTATGCATTCCTTGTTTTTGCAACGGAACCAATATGGCTTTTCACATCGATATATATCTGTGAATAAGAGGGTTGTTAAATTGTAAAGAAAATCCCGATATGAATATAATTTAGTTCAGTTGGGTTGCTTGATTGGTTAAATTATGGGTTAGGGCACACTTTTCCCTTTGAGAGAATAGACCATTGCTGAGTGAAAAGACTTTTTGAAGAAAAAATTGTAATTCCAAGCATTTTATTTTTTACATTTTGTTACAAAACGATATACAGGGTGGTGACTTAAGTAACGCATCATAGGGATTTCAATGTAAAATTCATAACATGCGATTATTGGCTCCCCAAATTATTTTAGAGCAAAAATGTATTAAGGTTTTTTGTAGAAAAAATTTTTTTACGTCAATCAACCGTATTAGTTTTCAATTTTTTGCATAATAAGGACGGCAAATTGGAAAAATACAACCTCCATCTTTTTCAATAATCTGTGATGCCATGGAATTTTATAATACAAAAACTACGCCAATATCTGTCATGCCATGGAATTGCTATAAAACAAATCAAATTCTATCAAAAAGTATTATATTTAGAACATCGAATTCAACATAAAGAAAGGCAAAATCACTAAAAACGGTTTCCTAATATAACAATTTACAATAAATGTTCGAATAAGTCACCATTAACTGCAAGACAGTAACCAAGTCGATCATAAAATCCATTTCGAACTGCTGCTAATTGATAACTGGATATCTTTTTGTTTTAGACAATTCCATGGCATCGCAGATTATTGAAAAAGATGCGGGTTTTATTTTTCCAATTTTCTGTCTTTATATGAAAAAAATTGAAAACTAATACGGTTGATTGGCGTAAAAAAATGTTTTCTACAAAAAACTAATACATTTTTGCTCTAAAATAATTTGGGGCGCCAATAATCGCATGTTATGAATTTTACATTGAAATCCCTATGATGCGTTACTTAAGTCACCACCCTGTATAAGTATATAATGATAATGATGGCGCATCACTCCGTCGTACCGTTGAATAAAAACCTTATTTAATGGTCGTACCTAAATAAGGCAGTCAAGGAATTGCTGCAGTGGCAAGTAAAGGTCGATAGTTAATCATTGGAAGTTATTGCGTAACGTTTTGAGAATATTTTTAGGGCATTTTAGAAAAAAATAATATATTGGGTTGCTGTCCGGCTGAGATCTCAGAAATTACAATAGCTAGAGAATTCACTAAAGCCTTTCTGCTATAGTGTAGATGTGCAGGTCTAGTCTATTTTGAGTTAGATTACTCGTGTGGTCGATAATTTTAAACTTTGCTAATAATGCAGAAATTCACCCCTCCATAAGCTTCGATCAGTGGTATAAGAATGTAAATGTATCACGTTTCGTTTATTCGACAATAGCGCGCTTAAAATTTGGCCATGGACAATATCCAGCTCACCTATATAAATTAAAAATAATCGGGTCTCCGGAGTGCGTGTGCGGGAACATAGAAGCTCATTTAAATCATATCTTCCTAAACTGCAGTCAATATGAAATCCAGCGGAAGCTATTATACAATAAACTGACACAACTTGGTATTATGTTTCCTACGAACATGGTACAAATCTTACAAACTAATAACATTAATATATACCTACATATAAGGCAATAATTGAATACATAATTGAATGCAAATTAAAAATTTGAATGGAGAATACGAGAGTTCCTATCCGTTTTTCCCCCTTTCCTTTGTGCGATACAACCCATTTTCCGATGGCTGATTAATCGTTTGTGTGATTGCCCCGAATCGTGAAGCGTGTGGCCCTGTGATTCCTTAGTACACTCTTGTATTCCCCCACGTGGCTTATGGGCTTTGATCCCGAATAGCCTAAATAAATAAATTTTTAAAAAAATACTGATCTGCATTACCAAAAATGCGCATTTATGCATATGCTGATTTACAACTTGTTTTAATTACAACTCTAGAGGGTGGTTTTTAGGGGCGAAACTGTTTAATAAATCATAAATTATGTTCCTTAATGTAGGTACTTCAATTTTATTTTTTGTTTTTAATCGATAACACGCCCGAATCTACAATAATTACCTTCGAATAGGAATAGTTTTCACTCCCAAAAAATGAAAAAATACGAGGCAACTCCCGGCATAGAGGGTCAACTTTAAAGTAGAAGAAAGCAAAACTGGTGCGCTGTTTGGAAAAATTATGCGGCATTGTTTAAACTGCATAAAGATATATCTATCGTCAACTGGTCCAATAATCAACAATATTAAATACATAAGTCTTTATCTATGCCAATAAATATTGTTCACATATTATTGAAGTTGTGATAAACAATTTCTATTGTGGTCATCACAAGTTGGTAAAATTTTGGAAAGCGAGAGCGCATGAGAGATGATTTGACTTACCACAATCCCATTCATCTGATTCATCGATACAATCATTGAAGTCATCACATCTCTTAGATATCGGAATGCATTCTTTGCTAGCATGGCACTGATATTGCGTACTAGGGGCACAAATGGCCTCCGCTAAAGATTCCCAAGTGAATAATACACACGCGGCGCTGATAAGAGCGATTTTAGCGCAACTCCCATGTAGAGTTATACACCTGTAAAGTAAAAATGCTGTATCAGAAAAGAAACATTAGCAGGTCGATGGTAAGAGATACCTTACTTCAAATTTTTGCACTGCTGAGTTATATGAATTCATTACCTGGTGACGTTTACTAAGTTCTGTAGAAATAATGTTTTTTTTATTTCCATCACCAATAGACAAATCAAAAATTTTAACCCACTGCTTGCTCATTAAATTGGTGTCGACAAACAACAGAAAAATGAAAAATTTGTTGTAGTATTTAATACTTACATTACTAATAAATTAATTAAAAACACACGTAATTATAAAATTAACCACTCGCAAGTACCGTACAATTGAAACTAAAAGGAGAGAACATGCATAAGAGTACAATGAAGCCTTTATCTCTTCGCCCAGACGAACGTATCAACTATTCCTGGGAATTTATTTTGATAAGATCTGCCCAAATTTTAGATTCATAGAAATTTTTCGTAAATATTAAACCGGTATCAATTTCTTCCTTTTAGATCTTTTATCACGATCCCCTACATTTATTTTTGTTTCAGATTTAGGGGGTAACTTTGAGTGTAAAACCGGAAAATGTACTAAAAAACGAGAGGAAGTAAAGCGCGAACTCAGTAGCACATTTTTGTGAACGCTCCTGTCCGGCTCTGTCGGCCTTTTTTTACTCAGGGAAGTTATATGTGAAGAGGTAATCTCTTTGGGGGAGGAAGGGTCCTTAAGATGTCGTATCGTGAACTTCTGCTACCGTTATTATCCTATTTGACAACCATACAGAGAAACAAAATTTCAGAAACGTGTATGGTTAAAGAAAATGTTTTAATTTAGAAATGTAAGTAATTTGTTCATAAGTAAGAAAAAAGACACATTACTGGTGAGCTCATTTGGAGCCGAATACTTTAATTCACGAGTCACGTGTCATTTTACTGACGAGTTCTGTACCTACTACCTACATTTTTTCCGAAATTGTCTTTATGGCGCATTTTTGAAAAAAATACGCTATTATATTCGTTATGGCTGGCTGGCTGGCTGTCCGGATGAGATCTCAGGAATTACAATAGCTAGAGACTTTTCATTAAAAGCTTTCTGATGTAGTGTAGATGTTCAGGCTCTAGTCTTTTGAGTTAGATTACTCATGAGATTCGCTAATAAAATACTGATCGGTATTACCAAAAATGCACTTGCATCATGGATATGCTGATTTACAACTTGTTTTAAAAAGTGTTTTAAAATATAATGTGTTACCATATTAAAACTTTTGGTTAATATTAATTTATCAGTTTTTATAGTCTAGTATAAAGTGGCAAGGGACAATAAAAGTAGTCATGTAATGTGTTACTGCCACTGTCATGGAAACGAAAATTTCCTGGCATAAGGGGGGCAAAAAATGAAGGTTTCATGACGATTTCCCGAAAACACTTTATCAAAACGAAAATTACCTTTCTCCACCGAAGTAAAGAGATCCTGGTTATAACAGGTAAGTTTCGCTTTGACAATCCACTTTACCTGTATGTGGGCGCCTCTTTCCTCTACTATATTTTTTGTTTTATTTTTCAGTCTTTCGTTCATTCTCTATTATAAGTGGTTATCACTCTCATTTTTTCCCCTCTTACTTCCACTTTTGTTTCCTATATTCCTCCTCTTCCATTACCCTCCTTTTTATCTTTCTATTATTCTTCTTTTCCTTTTCGGTGCTAATTCCCTAATTTCTCTCTGTGTCGTTTTCTTTCATACGTTTGCTCGACATCTAGGTATGTATACCCCACGTCTCTTTAACTTTCCCGTGCCCCTCCCTTTGTTTTAGTTCCGCGACAATTACCTTATTTGATATTTCCCTCTACTTCCAATTTTCTCACCTCTTTTACCTACGTTTGTCTCTATTTGTAGCATTTCTTTTAACCATTTCTCCGTGCCTTCTCTCTCTTTTCCTTTTTCAATCTTTAATTTTTGTAACGTTATATTATTCCTTATCTTCCTTATTTTCTTTCTGTCATTTTCTTCTTCTAGTTTTACTAGCCTTTCCATCACTTTTCTTTTTTCCTTATCCCATATTGCTCTTCCCTTCTCTACATTTCTTCCCCCATACGCATTTGTTCTTATGTTTCCTTAGCCGCCCTCCTTACTTCTTCCTCCTACTCCTTCCATCAGCTTTTCTATGCATTCTTCTATGTTTTCTCTGTCCTTTGTCCCGTCCTCCATTATTTCAGTTCCGCTTTCTCCATCCTTTCTCTTCGTTTTTTCTTTGATTCGAAGCTCTTATGGCTTTCTTACTTCTTCCGAACACCTCAAACCTGCACTTTTCCTCTTTCGCATCCTTTCTTTACATCCCCTGACTCCTTCCTACGAATCCGTGTTCTTAGTATCTAAGACTCCACTAGGGGATGTGTAATAGACTGAACTTAAGGTGGGTTCATAGCTCTCCGTTCATCCGTTGCGTTGATTCGTCAAACGCATAGTACATTTTGTTAAGGTTCATAGCAATCCGTCCACATTGTACATTTGCAACGTATAACCATAACCTAAATTTTATTTTGTACTATACCCTCTGTGATTTTCAGTATGTAAAAATGATACGAAAGTAAAAACACGTTGCTATCTGATTATTACTGTGAAGAACGAATAGGCGAATACTGTTAACGACTTAACGTACCAAACATAACCTCACTCTTGTTAAAAACGGACCAACGGAAACGTAAATGTTCAACTTCAACCAACTTTTCCGTCGTAAACGGACGACGTACGATTTAAAAATTTGCTGTCTTCTGATTGGCTAACGGACAAACGGAAACGTATGAACGTAGAGCTATGAACTTACCTTAACTTTTGCCGTCCGTTTTTTGTGTTGGACGACCACGAAATTCCTTAGCAAATAGAGGAGGAGTTTATGCATATCTTTCTATTTTACACCGTGGTTTAGGTACCAGTTTACAGTTATACTGTACTTTTGCGTAGGTACATAAAATTTATTTATTTCAGTAACAATTTGAAATCCAATGGCCTATTATTTTTTTGTTTTAAATTTAAAACTTGAAAAGAAATTATTACAACAACAATTATTTTTATGTATCAGTATGGGAGGTTCAACGCTGTATATTCAACCTACTACGATGCATACATTTTTGAGAGCTGACAACTACGCACTTTTTGGAAGGGGAAGAGCCCTCTGCGCAATCTAGAGAGCACGAAAGTGTGTTCCGCTTAGACCATATAGTACATGGACTGCTAATTGTAACTAAAATATGGTCAAGGACATCGCCTGGGTATGTGAGTTTCAGGGTAAACGAGTCTGTTCGAAGTTGTCCGATGAGACACGATTTGAGATTGTCAACCTATAAATTAACAAACGTCAATTGATTAATCGCCTAGATATCCCAAAAAAAGCAAACTTATTCTTATTTGTGGACGTATAGCAAATAATGAAGAGCATTTAAAGCTTCCCGTACTACGCGGGTACTATAAAGCTGCTCTTTAAGCGATCCTAGTAGTGTTTACACGACTTTAGTTTACCCTGAGATTCACATACCCACGACTACAGTGCCCTCTATCCGTGACCATCCATTTTGTATTGGAAGCATAGGGTGAATAGCAGTCCATGTACTATATGGTCTAAGGTGTTCCGTTGGGCATCCCATCCAATCCAACTTGCAGATGTGTTCCACACTGACTCCCTGTACTGCGCAAACGCAAGCGCGCTAAAATTTGAATTTGTGTACAGCTGTCAAGTGTAAGGGGTAAATAATATACACATAACCGGCAAACGTTATAATTGAAGATAATTTAGCTTACCTGCTTACCTATTATATGTAGTAGGTATATGAAAATGCCATGTTATCAAGATGAATTTTGTTGTTATCTACATTTGGAGTGAATGGTCATAGAATATGCCAAAGGCGATATTAGGAAACTGCTTCGGTAAGTACTGTAATAGTTAATTAGAAAGAGTTAATGACATTTACTTACAGCAATAACGTTACAGACAGACCAACATTGATCTATGGTAAAGAGAGAGTCCGGTGCTGAACGAATCACAAAAAACCAGACGACAAGGATCATGACTGATAGCTAAAGTAGAGGTTTGCTTTCAAGTTGGCGCTATAATGTATTTAATTGGAATTCACAGTAGTGACCGAAGGCTTTAATTCGAGAAGAAGAACATATATTCTTTCCGAAAATACAGCGACATTTGGTTTGTAATATGGAAGTCAGCTGGAACTGGTATTATAAACAAAACAAATGGTGGCACGTTAAAGCAAATTCAAATTTTAGCGCGCTTGCGTTTGCGCAGTACAGGGAGTCAGTGTGGAACACATCTGCAAGTATCCAATCCAACATCTTGTCTGTAATGGCGATTACGACAGCATCACTGCATCGGCCGTAAATGTTTGTTGTTTTTTTGCGTTATTTAATGCATTTCTTTATACTGTATTTGTGTTTTATATGCCGCAACGAAATTTATATTTTTTGCGAGCGTCAATCTCCTATTTTTAAGTTGACTTGGTTTAATCTCATCCCAGTGTAGATTCATGTGTTTGATACCGTTAACCTTTTTGTTTGATATCGCGTTCATTTTAAGTATTTTAGTTCCCCCAAAGACGAGTCACATCCTGTGTATTTCACCCTTTCTTAGAATTTTTGGTACTTGTTTAGGTATCCTAAACTTGTTTTTAAGTTTGACTCCAACAAACTTGGATTTATTAATCAAAGGTCAAGACTGTTGAATAGTTGTACTTTGTATTAATTTAATTTGTACTAATATTTGTGATTTGGCCACGACATTTTTCATTGTTTTGTTGTAATCAGAGGTGTATTGGTAAATTACGGCAAGGTACGGTACGCAGGCGTCAGTTTAACTCCGGAGGGGGGGGGGGGGGGGAGTACCTGTCATATGGAGGACGGGGCTGTGAGTGATTTAAAAATTCTCAATTTTTGTATTTTTTTAGATAGCAGGGTTTTTTTGGTTTTTTTGAGGTTTTACATTTTTATAACATTTCCCAAAGGAATTCGAGTGCACAATATAAGGAATAATTTTTGATCTCTCTGAGCGATGTTCTTGCCACCAAGATATTATATTAAAGGGTGAAGTGCTAGATATAAGGAACTACCTGGGAACTCTTACAGTTTCCTTAGGATTTTCAAAGCTGGTTACAGTTACACAGAAGTTACAGTAACAGCAAAAGCACGTTCTAAAGTAATCGACGCGACGTAAAGAATTAAACGCCATTATTAGTACAAGATTTTCAGCAATGTCCAACACTTTAAAGTTACGTATACGACCGTATATTTGCGGATTTAACATAGACATTTCTACAGGTACCTAAGATCCCTCGGATCCATAATTCCTTCAGATATTCAGATTTTAGTTGTCCATTGTTTAAGTTGACAGCAAATTTTGCCCAAAAATGGCGGATGATTGCGGTACTTTCTATATCTAGTGACTCTGTATAATCATTACCTGGTTTAACTTTACTGTGTTTACATTCTGTGGTACTGCAAAATTAAAAATTTCATCATTCAATTTATTCTGTGGTAATAGTGTTAACCTGCAAAAAACCCGTTTTCTATCAACTTCACGTGTAGGTATTCAACACAGATAAATAATTTGCATCGGGATTTTTGTTAGTAAAATTAATGCATTCAAAGATATATTTTCAATGCCCACGTTTAATAGAAGCTGAATAATTTTAAAATATCGTTCCTATCATTTAAGGTTAAGTTTACAAATCGTTCAAGATGCCACTATCCTGTCGTTTCTACAAGGAAAAATATCCAGAAGTGGAAGATGTCGTTATGGTTAATGTACGGTCGATTGCCGAAATGGGCGCCTACGTTCACTTATTAGAATATAACAACATCGAAGGGATGATTCTCTTATCCGAATTGTCGAGGAGACGTATTCGTTCGATTAACAAATTAATTCGTGTGGGGAAAACGGAGCCCGTTGTTGTTATTAGGGTGGACAAAGAGAAAGGTTATATTGATTTGTCCAAGCGACGTGTAAGTACAGAGGATGTTGAAAAGTGTACAGAACGATTTGCCAAAGCAAAGGCTGTCAATTCAATTTTGAGGCACGTAGCTGAACTATTAAAGTACGAATCAGACTCCGAGTTGGAAGAACTTTATCAGAAGACAGCGTGGCACTTTGAGGAGAAGTATAAGAAGAACAAGGCGAGTGCGTATGACTTTTTTAAACAAGCTGTTGTGTAAGTTACATTATTTTTTATTTTATTTTAAACTTACTTTCTTTTCGATTAGAGATCCCAGCATTTTGGCAGAGTGTGGCTTAGATGATAAAACTAAAGATATTCTTTTAAGTAACATTAGGCGTAAACTTACATCTCAAGCTGTTAAGATTCGTGCGGATATTGAATGCGCCTGTTACGGATATGAGGGTATTGATGCTGTTAAAACTGCTCTGAAAACCGGTTTAGCACTGTCAACTGAAGAATTGCCTATAAAAATTAATCTTATTGCGCCTCCTTTGTATGGTAAGTGGTAAAATAATTGTAGCTGTGCATTGTTTTTTTTGTTGCTAGTTATGACAACCTCCACACCTGAAAAGCAAGATGGATTGAAGGCCTTGCAAGTGGCAATTGAAACTATCGAACAAAGTATTACCCAACTGGGTGGTGTATTTAAAGTGCAAATGGCTGTAAGTTAACTGTCTCAAATAGCAGAGGTCACTTTCATTTGTCTTTCTTTATCTTTTGGTATGCACATATTTATTAAAAGTAAGCTAGTCGTAATTACTGCTCTGTTGACCATATTGTTTACCTAGTTTTTTACACCTTCCGTAAAATGTCTGATAACAAGTTTTGTTACAGCCGAAAGTTGTAACTGCTATGGACGATGCAGAATTAGCGAGAAAAATGGAACGGGCAGAAGCTGAAAATGCTGAGGTTGAAGGTGATGACGATGATGATGAAGAGGAGGAAGAAGGTCAGGCATTTAGTGAAGGTGAGAATGGAGCAGAAGATGAAGAGGACTAAATTAATTTTAAGGATACATATTAAAAAAACATGTATCTCAAACATTTTTTAAATATAATTTAAAACAAATTAAATCTTATTTTGCGAGTCTATCAAGAGATTTCTAATTCCTGCTTTTGTCAATTAATTGGTAGCTGCTTGATGAATTTTGATTGTAAACCTCAATTTTGAAGATATACAGCAGAGTAGCTTATAACCTGTTGCATCACTGCATAGATGTTCCTTTCTGCAGGCTCGGTTCATGTAGGTGGAGATTTGACTTGCAGATGTGTTCCACACTGACTCCCTGTACTGCGCAAACGCAAGCGCGCTAAAATTTGAATTTGCTTTAACGTGCCACCTTTGTTTTGTTTATAATACCAGTTCCTGCTGACTTCCATATTACAAATCAAATGTCGCTGTATTTTCGGAAAGAATATGTTCTTCTTCTCGAATTAAAGCCTTCGGTCACTACTGTGAATTCCAGTTAAATACATTATAGCGCCAACTTGAAAGCAAACCTCTACTTTAGCTATCAGTCATGATCCTTGTAGTCTGTTTTTTTTGTGATTCGTTCAGCACCGGACTCTCTCTTTACCATAGGTCAATGTTGGTCTGTAACGTTATTGCTGCAAGTAAATGTCATTAACTCTTTCTAATTAACTATTATAGTACTTACCGAAGCAGTTTCCTAATATCGCCTTTGGCATATTCTATGACCATGCACTCCAAATGTAGATAACAAAATTCATCTTGATAACATGGCATTTTCATATACCTACTACATATAATAGGTAAGCAGGTAAGCTAAATTATCTTCAATTATAACGTTTGCGGGTTGTGCTGTGTATATTATTTACCCCTTACACTTGACAGCTGTACACAAATTCAAATTTTGGCGCGCTTGCGTTTGCGCAGTACAGGGAGTCAGTGTGGAACACATCTGCAAGTGGAGATTTGTACCTCGAAGATTGCTGTACAGGGTGGTCCAAACTGGACACTTTCTTATGGAGACGTCTTTTTTTAAGAGCACTTGACATGGAGCAAGAGGAAGTACGAAAGGCATGCACAGATCAAAGCCAGCTGATCAATTGTTACAAGACACTTGCATGCAATTTTTATAGAACTGGGGCACCTTTTTCTTGCATGTAGCCATGGACCGCGCAATTTTAGGGATAAATCTAGTTGTTTTTGTGTCACCCACCTAGTAAAATACAGCTGCGACAACTGTATGATGCTTAGGGACGCACTGATAGTAGGTAACAGTATTTATTTATTTATCTCCTTCATTTTTGTAATGTTGATGCTTTTTCAAGCAATAAACATTTAATTTTTATTTGAGGTTAGGAACTTAGCTGACAAAGCCATGTTTTTCTTCTGTTGGTAGATAGGTAAGTATGTGGCAATCATGAATCAAATAATGCTCAATAGTGGAATAGGCTCATGACATGAACTGGTATCTATTTATGAAGATAGAATACAATAAACTAATAAGAGTATGATCTATTAGCAGGAACCTATGTACTCTAGCATCTATCAGTGTTTAATTAAACACCTTGTATATTGTGGAAACATTTTGAAATATCTACAGTCTACTAGGTCTAGTTTATATTCATTACAACTTTAGCTCAAATTGCCAGACAATAGAAATACAGTAGACGGTTACGTTCCTTAGGGTGGAGCGCCACTCCAGGCCTCGCGCTGCCTAATAATGTACTAAAACAGTTGCATTGCAAGCAAGTTTGAACCTGCAAAATGTACCTACTGTTCTCGTTACTGAGAGTGTACATTGTTCACACTACATCGTTCACATACTTATGTGAATGTTCACATTAGCGCGAGTTTATACTGTATTTAAATATTTGAGCTTACAGAATTGAGTTCTACGGAACTGATTATAAGCGCTCTCTTCCTGTACCTTACCTCTAAGAAATATAAACAATTATGTATAGGAACGTTTGAATACAGAAGACAGGTAGGAACAAACAAAGCAGGCTTCAAAAAGTAGGCTTAAATCAAATTTTACTGAATTTATATAATTGGAATACAAAAACAACCAATAGAACAAATCATTGTTACACGCAAATTATAAATTTGTATTTAGTAAGTAATTAACCTTCATAAAATTTTGGTAGATCTGTTCCTAGAATAACTCTACGCTCTACACCTTCAGCTGTGATTACACCTACACGAACTACTCCACCAGATGACCCATCTCGAGCCATAGCTAAACTTAATGCTGGAAAAAAATTTTAAGAACCTTGTTTAACAAAAAGCAACACGTTCACTTACTATTAATTACAAAATTAACACATTCCTCCTTGGACATGCCCGGTTTAAAATTGGCATCAACGTAACCATACACATAACTTGACCCAGAACCCCCAATTGATACAGGCTGACGTACACACATTCCTCCAATAGGAATGGAATACACTTGCCCTCCCTTTTTGCGATCCCATCCTGCTACCAAAATACCGGCCATTAGGGAATCTCTATAGTTGTAACATAACTCGCGAAATACTTGTGCGCCTGCTTCAACAAGCGGTTGCTCGCCTAATTCCATCCTGAAAAAAATTATCACCGCTCGATTTTACAATTCCAACTTTTTTTTTTGCAAATTTACAAGTAAAATATGAATCAGCCATAAATATAAAGCTGTAAAACCGCACAATATACTTACTGGTGGAAATTTAGATGATACGATACTACATCTGCAATAGCTTGTGTATCGGCCGCAGATCCGGAACGACAGCAATATATATGATCCGTTACCTTTGTCAACTTATCCGTAACACGATTTGCAATGTAAGCTCTAAAACCAATCATTACAGAACGTTCTAAGGCAGACAACCTTTTCATTACCCAGTGGTAGTTCGAGAGTCCGCCCCTATAACAACACCATCCGAAAATTCCGCTGCCATTATCGAAGTCTGAGGAGGCGAGAACAAGTTTATGTTGTAGGAAATGTGAAACCGGTTAAAGTACTTACCCCTGTACTTTCTGCGGCATTCAACCAATCATTTGCATAGTCCATTTTGGAGAAAAATTTATTTTCTTTCAAAGAGGTTAGCTTTTACAAAAAATATTTCAAATGACTGGCAAAACGTTTTGATGTTGTCAAAATATTAGTGTCTTTTATTAGAAATTATAAGTGGGTTGGTACCACTAACTTTTATCGTTGTGATGGAAGGATTCGGTGGTTCGACAAAAATGGTCGCATTCAGACACAAGTATTTATAGTTCAATTTTGAAGCGTGCGTAGCATCAATTTGGCAATTCTTGCAAATGTCAACAATTGTTACTATGGTCACTAGAGCTCAGAATTAGCAGGATTATTTGTGTGTTTGTTTTTGTTGTATTCAAAATTAAGTGTTTAGATATACAGGGTGGTGACTTGCGTAACGCTTCATAGGAATTTTAATGTAAAATGAATGCGGATAACAACGTAAAATTAAGCGTACGAAATGAAAATGTTGTGATTGTGACCTATAAAGCAGAGTTGGAGATAGAAGATAATATTGTTGCGAATACACAAAATGAAATTTGTCATCTTAACATTCAAGATACGAATGGGCTTGTAGCTTTAAGGGTCACCCACTGATCTAAATAAAAAGTAATTAATTAAATAGAGGCTGTGGGCTCACCCGAACCACCGCTTCTTGTACATTTTTTACAGAGTCGCCAACTGTAAATATAGGATAAGTCAAAAATTACAATGCCGAATGTATGGACTTAATGTGGAATGTCGCATAAAAGAACACGTTAAAAGTATCTTGTGAGCTGCTAGCTAACTCTTTGGACCCATAAGTTATATATACTTAGACTTACTGTGGAATATCGTATAAATGTAAGACGTTGAAAGCATAGTTCTACTCCAGTATTGACTTCAATTAATTTAACACCACGAGTACGAAAATGTCAGTAGTACACCAAACAACATAAACGTTAGACATACCATTACTCACGTTCGAACGGCGAATTCGAAATAATCGAATCCCGTTACCGAAACGACGCTAACTTTTCTTGACAAGCTTTGTTGTGTAAAATTCCCTGTTTTTCGGCACAGAACGATTGCTGCATGTAGGTAGGTACCTAATAGAACGTTTCGAAGTTGTATTTTCCTACCGCCAAATTGTGCCGCAGACCATACAAATGGGATAAAACCACATGAGGAGGTTATACATGTCCAAGTGACTTGAATCTGAATTGATGAGAAGAAATTTACTTTGTTTCCTAGATGCAATCCGTTTGCCCATTTTCTTAATGAAAAGATTTGGCCCCTAAGGGATATTTTTCCCACCTCTTGAATGCAAAATATCAATGCTTATATAGGCACTCACCTAAAACCCTTTTTTTTTAATTTCAAATATATTTTTTTTACTTGGTTCATTACAAAATGTTTGGAAAAAGGGAACAAGCAACTACTGTTCATACGTCAGTGTCAATTTGCAGATAATTAAAACGTATATTTGTTTTCAATATACGAATGCAATTCTTTGATTCCTTCAAACAGTTCAGAAACAGCGTTTGCAATGTGTTCTGGCGGAATCTGAAAGCGCCGTTCTAGCACGTGGCTTTGAAAACCCCTTAATTCAATTGTATACGATAGCCGTATATTTGCAACGCCGTATGCCCAATCACGACTTGTTCCCGATACTAAATATAAGACGTTTGCTGCACTGCCAACTTTATATTCAGTTAAATTTACTTTATATATAGCGTCGGAAAACTTTACGGCCAGTTTGTGCAGTTCTTTACCATTATTAGGCAAATCAGTGGTATATCCCCAGGGATATAAAATTGATTGCGCTGCCGAGTGTAAGCTGATGTACATTTTAATTCGATTTGCATTCTCCATCAGCAATTTACTCAGAGCTAAACTTTCCGGTTCGGAGAAGGGATATTGACCGGCAAATGTGTTCGAACATTCATGATCAAATCCGCCTTGGTTTGACCATTGGAAATCGAAATTGCGATTCAAATCGACTCCGCGACATCCATGACCTTTTGCTCGGTTTTTTCTCCAAAGCCTATCCTAAATGTTAAAACCACATAGAAGATGGCAATTCAATTCGAATTGATGAAGAACTTACTACGGCATGACAATATTCGTATCCGTCAGGATTCACCAATGGTACAATTAGCCAATCCACCTTTTTCAGTAATTTGGTCGTTTTAGAGTTTTCTACCAACTGACTAATTATGTAAATAGCTTGAGCCGGACCAAGCCACTCACGTGCATGTATACCAGCATCTATAAAAATTAACGGTTTTCTGTTGCCGCCACCTGTCGATATTTTAACAGCTGTAAGATTACGGTTCTCGACCGATAGCCCAAACTGCTTTAGTTGCACAACTTTTGGATTTGTTCGATCAAGCCTGTTTAAATACGCTTGGATCTGCAAGTCTATCAACTAGGTATCTATCACCCATTAATGATAAGTAGTGGATAACTTACGTCTTTGTAACGAAGATACTGATCAAAACGGACTTCTACATCACTCCTCTCATTTTGAAGATATGCGCTAAATAATATTTCGTAATCGTACTCAAATATATGAAGAAACTTACCTTGAGCTGTTATATAATATACTGCAAATAATAATGATTGATGAATATATGAAATTCATATTTCATTAGCTACATAATTAAAAAGTGGCTCAAAATCGAAGCATAGCTACACATATATGTATCGAAGTTTCAACTGTCATGTTTGTGACAACTATGTTTAATAAAAATGAATCGTGGGTTAAAATTTATAGTATATACCTACGTACCGCAAATCATTGAACCATTTGTATAGCGGTTCCCTTTGGTTCTCGATTAATTATGAAACGGATTGCCAAACCTTTCAGGGTAAACGAGTCTATCCGAAATTGTCTTATGAGACTAAATATGGCAAAAATAACAAACATATTCTTATTTGTGGACGTATAGAAGATAATGAAGAGTATTTAAAGCTTCCCGTACTACGCGGTTACCATAAAAGCTACTCTTTACGCGATCCGATTGGTGTTCATACGACTTTAGTTTACCCTGAGAATCACATACCCACGACTACAGTGCCCTCTATCCGTGACCACCCATTTTGTATTGAAAGCATAGGGCTAATAGCAGTCCATGTACTATATGGTCTAAGATCCAAACGCGTTTGGATCACCGAAAGAAAGCGCCTATTATTAGAGAGGCTGGTGTAGGTACTTCATAATACAAGGTGTAAGCTGTAAGTATGTAGGAGAAAGATTCAGTGGTAAAGAGGTCTGAACTACGACTACATTGTTACTTTCCGCAAGCAGTTGTCCAAAAATTGATAATCGTAATTAGTGGCGAAAATAATGTGATTTTATTAACCAAACCAAAAAATAAATATTCGCAAATAGGTAGCCATCATGATCACTTTATGGGTAAATTTAGAGGAGTAGTCTCATATATTGCGATTTAATTCGGTGAAAAAAAAACAAAATTAAGGTTATATTTCGGAATGAAAAAGCGTAAGCTACAAATTTACATGCACATTTAATTTTATTTTATAATTCGATAAGCTGACACAGGTCCCCTATAATATCAGGTCTGTTAAGAGAGACGTACGGGGTGTGATAAAAAAAACAATAAATGGATTCGCATCGCAACACCTGCCAACATTATACCAATTAAACCTAAGTTGCTATTTTTCAACACAAATTCAGTCTACTTCTAGAAATGACACAGTGAAGGTTATTTCAATGTCTGCTCACATAATATTAAGTTTCATCTCAAAAGAATTCCAGGCTATATATTGTGTAACCAGATGGTTACTTTTCAACTCTTCCTACCGTTTCTTCCTCAAGCTACTTTATTTAGGGGTAGTTCTTCTTACATAAAACAATTGTTGTTGGGCTCCGGCTAACAATCAGTCGGTGGTCCTTTTCTGGCCTCGGGGAAATGGGAAAGGATAAATGAATAAAAATCAATAATCTTTATTAAAACCTATTACGTTCTTATTTTCTTAGAAATTCGCCTTTAATCTGTAAGTAACACATGTTAAAAGAAATGGGGATTGAGGCGGTACACTCCTGTAAGAGCAGGGTTAACTCATTCATTCACAAAACTCACTGCACAAAAAGGAAAATCTATCTTTATAACGTTAACTGAAATCAAAACATTTGCCCTATAACCGCCGAGTACAGAAAGAAACTTAATTTTTGTTTCAGAAATTAATATATAACTAAATCGAAAATCAAAACAAACTGCTATAACTTTTAACACTCTGAAATTCTCAGATTTCAGAAGGCGTGGTTCAAGCTACAAGTCGGCGTGGATTACTGTTTTTGTCTATCGCTTCAGAAACGTGGACGCATATCAGTGTTTCAATGTTTTCATTTGTTTTTTTAAATGCAATACCAGAACCAGGTACAATAGTAATACTTTTTTTTTGTACTTATTAGTACCTAGTTATCGATCATCACACAAACAGACTCGCATACTAAACAGAAGAAGATTTATTTAGAGTGACTCCCATCTCGTATTGCTTAAGTTGAAGATCTGCAGCCGGCACGAAATGAAAATTAGACATTATTTTTCATAAAATTTGATAAATAAAACCATTAATCAATATACAACATATGTATTCAAACTTAAAAATAGAAACATTCACTATGATCTTCCCTTCTTTTCTCTTATAGCAGCAGCTCTTTGTCTTGTCTTCATGATTTGCTTCTTTTGCAACTGAATCTTTTTTTGCTTCTTCGCTTCGATTTGCTCAATTTCCTTGTGATAATTTTTAATATTCTCTTTCATTGTCTTCTTGTGTTGCTCTTTCTTATGTTTAAATGATGTTCTCAGCATGTGCATCATTTTAGATACCTAACGAGAAACGTCGGATAAAATATTCTGGCCTAACAAATTACATTACCTTATGCTCATAGGGTTCCCTTACAACAGCTACCCTTTCGAGAGCTTTCTTTTGCTCTTCTAATAGTACACCATATTTTGGCCTGCTTTTGTATGGCAAAATGGCTTGCAATTTCTTTGGAATAACTAGGGGTTTAAAAACTTTTGGTCTTCGTACGATATCCTAAATTAAAAATGTTTGTAAACTAAACCATATTTCCCCCATTTTTACCTTATACAAACTGTCTTCATTCGGTTGATTTTTAATATTTTCATCTCGCTTAATTTGGCCTAAAGTACGCGCTCCCTTCCAACCAATTCTCAACTCTGAAGGTAGAAGCAACGTGATCATTGGATTATAAAACTGAGGTACATTTACTTTGAACCAAGTTCGACAGAAGACAATATCTAAAAACAATCGGGATTGAAAGAATGAATTCAACGATCGCATGCAAGGTAAAAATGAAAAACTTGCCACTTAATTTAATTTTGTCTTCAAATGTACCCCTAAAACATCCCTCAGGTTTGCTAATTGCCTTTTTGATCTGACCGCGAATTCCGGAAACGGTCTTTATTTGAGCTCCTTCAAATCGGGCGACTTCCAAGGAACTGTTAAACATATCTAAAACAGAATTGTATGAACTGTATGGCTTGAATTACACTATACCTTTAATAAAAGCAGTCTTATTGTATATCTTTAATGGATGTCCTATTAATTTCAGTTTCTTCATAATTTGAGTGGACTTATCTAGCTCTTGCACGGCTCCTGTGGCTGCTATTCGAAACCCAGGTTTATCAGTCTAAGCAAAAAAAATGAGATTGGACAAATGAATAGATAACATACCGTAACTGAACTAGGAACAGACTGGATTGCCAAAAAGCCAGTACCTTGTGGTGTGATCGGTCCCCAAAAATGTGCGTTGCAAGTAATATGCTGAGGAGTATACTTGAGATATCTAAATTTTAAATCATCTTCTAATTTCGAGTAAATGGGTACCGTCTGAAAGCGACGCCACCCCAAGGACAAGAGCACCGGATCGCTCGATTTCAAAATTTTTTTATACCATCGATGTTTCTTTACTTTGACATTCACGTACCCAATATTTTCTTCACTCATATTTAAGGAACCAATAACTAATGGATACGAGGGATCGAAGTTATCAATGAACTCTGCGGGAACGTCTTCAAGCTCCAACCTAACGTACATTCCGGGCCTATAACCTTCAACCTGTACCCTTAAATCATCTGACATCTGTTGAAACACAGTCTTATTTAACTCAGACTGCTTTTCCGCGCTCGATTTCATCTCATCATAATAAGAACTACCAGCATTGTCGTAATCCGCATCGAATTGTGCTTTTAATTTGGACTTCTTTTCGGCCAAAGCCTTTTTCTCCGTCGATTCATCAACTGGCATTTTTCTCTTTTCGCCTTGTTTGTCGCTTCCGGGCGTAATGTGTTTCTCACCAGTCTCAAGATCCTCAAAGTCGCCAAACGCTTCAGAGGAATCACTTTCTAAATCTTCGGCATCGTCCAGTTTTAATAACTGTTCAGCATCTTCGCTTTCTTTCCATGCTCCAGTTACAAAGCAATTCTGTATTAGAGCTTTACTCTGAAAATAACCCCTTAATTAATAATTTGAAAAAAATTGTTGAATGTTCCACCATACTTTGGGGGGTTACTGTAACTGCTCTCTATGAAAATTTCGCCAAGTATACGCTTAGGGCTTAAGGAATAAGGGCATAAAATAGTTTAATGTAAAACTTACCTCAGGTTCTAACCAATCTTTCCCAACGTCATTATTCCACGAATCAAACAACGAAGATTCAACAGTATTTAAATCGGTCTGTTTCATTTTGTGTTTTTGCACATTGCTAGAAGCTACTTTAAATAAACCTCCAATTTCCTCACCATCTGAATTGTCATTTTCAACTTCATCCGGTTCTTCATCGATACTCCCTACACAATTTTGCTATATAACACAGTTGCAGTGATTGGCGACTATACCTACCATAAACAATTTTCATAATACTACGTGTGGTGCTATGTCTATTTAAAGCGCGCGTGGCCAAATTTTCCTTCCATTTTACATTAAAATCATCTAAAGATTCGTGACCGCTATCGGAACCAGAATCGTCATCACTTTCATCACTTTTCCTTGATTGAGATTCTGTCTGATTATCATTTACGCCATTTTTATTCTCCAATTGATTTAATATATTTTTTAATTTGCTGTTTATATCCTTACTTTTGTTTGGTACACTTGTAGACGGTGCGGAATTTGTGGTAGTATCATCATCTTCATCACTACTAGAAGAAGACGAAGCATTTTCGAATTCGTCTTCCTCTTCATCAAAAATAACCTTTCTTCTTTCCGACCGTGCTTCAGGCTCTTTTCTTACAGGTTTCAGATGCGATACGAGTTGGTCATCATCGATTTGCATAAGCTCCTCAAGATCTTTGGAGGTAATTTTTTTCCCAGCAGTAAACAGCTGTAGCGTTGCTTCCTCCATTTTCTCATCTAAAGTTTTTTCAATCTTTGTTATATTGGTAACGATATTTGTCGATTCGTCCTCAACCTTTTTCGTGTGACTATGCGACCCGCCAAGTTCCACATACACGGCGTCTTTATCGTACACTATACCGCCCACGCCAGAAAATGGTGCGTAAACGAGTTTCTCTTTTTCTATAAGCGCCCTCTTTTTAATAGTCTCTGGGAGAGGGCAGGGATCGGGTAGAAAAGAAATATCGCTTATTGGAAAATCGCCGACACCTATAAGAAAAAAAGGAACATAATTGCGGTGCCTTTCTTTTTCATATTGTCGAATTGTTTAATTCCGTTAGAAAAAGTACTATTGCCCACTTTTACCCGAAAAAACCCACTTGGGCCCAGTAGGTTGAAGTTTTAAAAAAAAACGGGGGTACCTAACTCGAAATATCAATGATCCATTGGATATGGTTACATCTCGTGTTACATACAGGGTGGTGACTTGCGTAACGCATCATAGGGATTTCAATGTAAAATTTATAACATGCGATTATTGGCTCCCCAAATTATCTTAGAGCAAAAATGTATTAAGGTTTTTTGTAGGAAAAATTTTTTTACACCAATCAACCGTATTCGTTTTCAATTTGTTGCATAATAAAGACGGAAAATTGGAAAATAAAACCCCCATCTTTTTCAATACTGTGATGCCATGGAATTTTATAATACAAAAACTACGCCAATATCCGTCATGCCATGGAATGTCCGCTATAAAACAAATCAAATTCTATTGCAAAGTATTATATTTAGAACAGCGAATTCAACATAAAGAAAGACCAAATTACTAAAAACGGTTTCCTAATATAACAATTTACAATAAATGTTCGAATAAGTCACCATTAACTGCAATACAGTAACCAAGTCGATCATATAAAAGCCATTTCGAACTGCTGTTAATTGATAACTGGATATCTTTATGTTTTAGAAAATTCCATGGCATCGCAGATTATTGAAAAAGATGCGGGTTTTATTTTCAATTTTCCATCTTTATTATGCAAAAAATTGAAAACTAATACGGTTGATTGACGTAAAAAATTTTTTTCTACAAAAAACCTTAATACATTTTTGCTCTAAAATAATTTGGGGAGCCAATAATCGCATGTTATGAATTTTACATTGAAATCCCTATAATGCGTTACGCAAGTCACCACCCTGTATAAGCAGTTGGGTATGTATCGTAAAATATCCTATCAAGATTGGCGGTGCTATGTAGTACCTATGTCTACAGGAAAACCATTGCAACTCCCATTTCGAGATTAAGGATCTTGTGTGAAAATAACCCTTACAAGGAATTAGAAGGCGATTGGTCACCTAGCCACAACAAACTATGAGGGGTTCATGTTTGGGAATGTTTTGGCTAAACCAGAACGAGTTTTCTAAACCCAAGGTATGTAAGTAGGTAATGCAATTAGGCAACACACCTGTAATCTGAACCAAAAATACTATACGCTCTGTGTACAACAATCGCTTTCAATTTTGACCGTTCTGCGCAGATGCCAAACACCAGGGGATTTTCATAACGAAGCTTGGGGAGAAAAGTTAGCGTCATTTAACGGGATTCATTACCTGAATCATGTTTGTTTGTTATACTGTACAGGTGATTATGCCTTTCTATTGTTTTATGTCCCATTTTCGACACTTACTATTAAAAAAGTAGTATAAGCGCCATGGGTTCTTTTTGGGTCAAACTTAAATGGTAAAATCAAAATTTGAGAATCTTCACTCACTTTTAGGGGAGAAAATAAAAAAAATTGTCAAAAATAGTTATGGATTATGGGTGTTCTATTTAAAAAAAATGGGACACCCTGTACGTTAAAAAATAATTTCTGTAGATGCGCAACCACATTAGCACAAATTTCACAAACAAATTTCATTATATTTTTTACCAGGTATAAACTAGGAAAGATCAACACACTCTTGCAGGACCCTGTATAATATTTACTTCTGTATCTACCGATTTTGTTTTTAATATTCAGATCAATTTTTCTATTCTATGAAATGCGCTGAACAATTTATGCTCACCCTGTATATTTTTGAGCACTGTAACAAATTATCCCACCAACTAATAGGGCGGGCTAGAAAGTATGTAACAAAATAAGCACTTACCGGCGATATGTACAGATAAATGTTTACTTATTGGAATGCCTCGCACGTATCCATAAAGAGACACATTTCTATTACACTTCGGATTTTGGCGTACATACTCTTGGCTGGTTAAATCTTCATAACGGTCGCCTAATAAATAACTATGAGTTGTTCTCCACGTCAGCTGGCGAAGTTTCATAACTGACAAAAATCTACCCAAGTTCTTTATTTCATTCCGTAAATACTCCTCGTGCAAAATACCAGATAAATAGAAAAGTTTTGCGCCAGGATATACTTCCGTCCAAAATCTATGTTTCAAAGTTTTCTTTGTGTTTTTCAATGCCTTGGCGTTTTTGATTAGATCAAGGTGCGTTAAAACTCCCATAATACGGGGCATTCCGTGTACTTGGCAAATATTCAGAAATTCAAAAACCTCCATCTCAAAACCAAAACTTGCGTCGCACAGAAGTAAAACTAGATCGACAACCTTGGCAAGATCAACCATGGAGCTAATATCATTGTTGCACTCTATTAGGGTCACCCGCCGTTTTTTACCCATTACAATTGTAACCGGACCTTTCACATCTGTTAGTGTAGTCCGTGTGAACAGCTTAATTAAGCTACTAATCAATGTCGACTTGCCAACCTTAGGGGGACCAACTACAGCCACCAGGAGAGGTGGCGGTTCCAAAGGTGTGTGATCTACATGAGGAATGTGCTGCTTTTTCGTTTCAAAATCTTGTTTGTGTCGAAATTTACGCTGTGCCTTTATTGCAGATTGAAAACCAAAAGCTTTAGGATTTCGTTCTTTTGGATCTAGATCATTATTTCTTCCCGATTTCGCTTTTTTGCGTTCAGCTTTTCGTCCTATTGAAGTAAACAGATAAACATGATGTAATCGTACACTGGATATTCTCACCCGAAAGTTTTTGACGGTGAGCCTTTTTCTTTTCAAAAGCATCTTCTGCGTGTGGTTGGCTCATTTTATTAAATAAATCTTTCAATTCGTTAATATTTACTTCTTTTAATTATAGGTTATGTTTTTATCCTCACATGTGAATCGCGGCGCATTGTATACAGAGTACTTGTATAAACAGGATGGTTGGAAAAAAACATATCCTTTATTGTTGAATTTTAATTACTGTAACGGCCAATAACTATTATAGGAGGGCTGTTTTTTAACCTCTATTGCGGTGTACGCACTATTCTCGCCAGGAGAGAATGCCGGTACATCATAGGGGATTTATGATCATTCAACCGGTGAAACCGAGTTGGTAGATTTTGCTATGGTTAATTGCCACAATTGTTTCTATGGTGATTTCTACCAATCCGGTTAAAACGGTTGAATTATCGTAAATCCCCATAGTTTACAATCGTATGATCAACTATGAAAAACGTAAGTCAAATTATTTCTGTAATAAAACTTTGATTTAAAAAATATATACTCCGAGACTTGTTACCACCAAACCGCGCATAACTCAAGTTATATCTTGTCACAATGATAGGCCACGTACCGAGCTCGTAAAGGCAAAGAAGTTCCCACACTATTTGTTTTTATTTTAATCACCGCCTTAGGCTTGTTTTTTAATATTTTTCAAAATTTCTTTGACAAATCGAAAGCGCACAGATATAGGGAATTTTTCTTAAATGTATACATATATGGGCAATATATATACTTAAAAAACGGATCAAATGCCTCGTGACACTTAAGTGTGACGGCGTGGGATAGATGGCTGTAGGCAACCAACATTACACACGATATATCTGGAGCTGTATTTACAGTTCTTATTTCTTAAGGCTCCTCTGTAGTCAATTTGTATTTCAATGTTATTGCAATTGGTTAGACCACCAACAATACACATCTCTAGACGATGTACCTACTCCTTGAGTGAGACCAACGATGTATCTCTATCCTTTCCAGTTTTGCATATTCTCTTCATTTATTGTTAAACACAATAGACCATGTATAATGGTCAAGGACTAATATTATGTAAACAAGTTTAGCGAAAAGCTGTACAATATTTGAATGGAGATGCACAAATGCCTATTTCTTTTACTATTAAGTAAATTACTTATTCAATGCATTTACTGCATTTTTCTATAATGACACCTTCTGTAAATTACCTGGTTCTTAGGTCATTAGTGGACTAGATTAGCATTGTTTGTTAACATTTTTAATTACCCCTTAATTTCCTGTGAGTTTTTTTAATCAATTTTACTGATGATTTATAGATTGTTATAGTTATTAGATAGACATATGCATGAATGAATTCACTTAGGACTTAGGTATGGTAGAACCTAATAAACCGGCACTTCGAACACCCAAAATAAATCTCTTTATTTTCTTATACAATAAGGGTGAACAACAACAAAAAATGTATTTTTTTTTATAAAAATGGTAGCTAACATTTAGAATTCTGTTACAATGATTAAAAGTATAACATTACCCATTTTTAAATAAATTCTTATCTCTTCAAAAAATAATAATTGTACATTTAGCGTTATACTTATTTATATTTATGCACAACCCATGTAGAATTTTTCCGAACATCTTATGTGCAGCAAGACGACTTCGCTTTTTTGTCCTAAATTGAGAATTCAGTTGTAAAATTTGTTGATTGCGAGGTTGATCCTCTATTTTCTGAGAGGCAAGATCCGAGATGATATCAGTTCATATTCGCTAAGTTGGAGTGAAATTTGCGGAATTCCATCATATTCTCAAACGGAAAAAATAAATAGTTGAAATTTTTTAAAAGTGGGAGAATTTTTTTACCCACCACTAATTACCGGGAAAACCCAAAATTTCACCCATGTTTTGATACAAATATTCATTTTCGTGATGTCTCATTACCTTATTGACTTGACATGAGCAAAACAATGCCACTTTTTTTAAATAAATTTGTCAGTGTCGCCTATTAGTTATCGTATCCCGCTTAGAAATTTAGCTAAAAAGGGGAATTGGAACATTTTTTGTAACAGCTAAAATGAACAAGTGCAATCGAATTTCTTTGAAATGGTAGGCTCAGAATGTGAAAACTATTGGGCGCAACTTTCTCGCCAATTTATATGTAAAAATCGAAATTTGTCGTTCCTTTATTTTTTTGATAAGCGATATTCCTGATATCTGATCATATTGAAAAAATAAGTAGCACTTGCCTCTCTAAGTCTTGGCTCAGTAGTAGTGTTTGCGAATTATGATACTGTGCTACCCGCTTGTGTGGTGGTCGCATGCGTTAGTCCAAAAAATCAAAACGGTGCCACATTTCTACACAAGAACCAATTTGCGGCAAAAATGCTTCTAATTACTGGTACAGTCGTATTCCGCCTAGGGGTTTAGCTAAAAATTGGGCTACTATTTGATACCTTCCTAAACAAATTTCTTGAAGCATCCTGATAGAATGAAAAATGTTTTAGAAATCAAAAATTATTTCCAATGTACCTACAATAAATATGCATTTAGTACACTTTTCGTCTTGGGAATATGCGACATTATGATTCACAAATCAACAGCATTCATGAACATTAGCTAATTATATAGTAATTTATCTAATCCATATCATTAGGAACGGCGTAACAATGTGCAGGATAATGCCAGGTAGTTTCTTTTGTTTTCCCTTTCAAGTAATGAGTTGTCGCCTCAGGAGTTATAGTGCAATATGAGTTGCCTATCCTTACGTTAGCATTTTGATTTTTTTCTAAAGATCGCGATACATATTTTTTAAAATATATGCATTATGCATTATCATAATAGGTGGAAATAATATCTTTAAGTACCGCCGTAGGAAATACTGTCGGATTTCCAAATTGGTGCTGTAGGTTTTTCTACTCCCATTACAACGGCTGTTATTTACGAAAAACGATTTTTCTATTCATCGATCTTCCTAAAAAACTAAGACCAATATTTCAACTTTTTTTAAGTACCGCCATTCTTTTCATCATTGCAAAGAATATCCACTATCGAGAATTTGTTAGACTGCAACTACAAAAGTAGCATTTCATAAGAAAGTTTAGCTATTTTTCCAATATGGCGGATTGACTACAGAGGAGCCTTAAACTGTTGCCACCCTGATATATAAATTTTTGTGTTAAAAAATCACAATTTCATGCTAGTAATAAAAATAAAGACTAATATCTAACCCTAAGTTGACATTAAATGTTCAAGTTACTGTTTTCATAGCAGCCGCAGATTATCATTTAAAAAAAATTCGAGTTCTGGGCCCTTTACATGATTGTGCCCAATTACAGAGTCACGCACATAATGCTTTTAGAGGTGCTCATGCAGAAGGTCTTAAAGTTGTTTTATACTACTCCGGTATTTACCTTACGAATTAAGAATACTGTATTTTTTAATGAAAAGTAAATTATCTATCTATGGAAATGAAATTAACTAATTATGCACTTCAGGCATACCTTTTAGCTTGCTGAGCAACTGATGCAGAAATAACTCGATAATACGAACCCAATGCTAAAAACCGGAAGACTCTGCGGTATTTTGTTGTCGCGATCTCGCTATCATATACTACACGATGCAGTACGAAACTAATGCTGTATACCCGAAGGCCGTTGCTAAGATCCCTTATACAAAGCTTAAAAGGCGCTCGAAGCACCGACAGTTAGTTGAACAATAAGCTCCTTATTGAGAGATGCGCTAAAAAGGTGCTTCATAAATATAAAAATTACAACTTTTTGCGACGCCTATGGTTATCAGCTGTTTACATTCGGATGCTACTGCGAATGCGCGGTGTTCTACTACGGTGTAAAATATATATCTTTGTCTTTGTTAGGTATGTTGGCACCTTAGAGAAGGAATTTCTTTCATAGTCCAAGGTTGGCACAAATGTTCCTCTTATTGAAAGTAAATGGGAGGCCATATCTTTGATTATTATAATCAAAGGGCCATATCTATGAAATAATATGATCTAAGATTATTTTAAGGAAGGAAAGCATAGCATAGCATATAGTTTATTATTATTTATTTATTATTACACTACTGACAACTAAAATGTCAAATTTTCATAGATAATCCGAATTTGAAACAAACTTGAACGGAATATACTTAGACAAGGAAAGAGAGCTAGTCTAAGGGAATACATAACACTATGTTTAAAAACATCTATACTGCATTCATTATAAGAAGGTAGTAGATGGCGCTGTGTTTCAAGATAAGCACACACAAGAAAATAAAACGGCACCAAATTATTGTTAAGTAGGAATATCTGGCACTGCAAACAGAAATAAAACAAATGATTTCACGTCTGTCTCTTTGACATTAACAGATGACAGGTCACGGACCTCTTGTTAATAAGAGGTCCGTGTGGCAGGTCAACATAATAGTTTAGTACGCAACAGAAACTACAATGCGATCAAAAATGAGTTGCTGCCGAGTCGCCTTTGGAATTTTTGTTTACATGGGAAATAGTACTTAACTTGAACTTCCAAAGGCCACTCGACAGCAACTCATTTTTGATCGCCCGTTACCATCTTACAAAATTCGTCACTCGTTTTATTTTCTAGCGTGATACTGACCCGTGTTTTAACCAGTCAAAGTGAAGGTCAACGTTTCCCTATGCTTTCTAACACTACCTTCTTAAAATGAATATAGTACCTTTAGAAAACACACAAAAGTAAACCTTCTCGATGGAAAACACCTCCAACCACCTCTAGTGTTAATCTGAATTAGCCGCAATACTTTTCGGACACACTGTATATTTCTGGTTGTTTAAAAATGAAGCACGTTACCCTAATTTTATTATTATTTAAGCAGAAATATAATTAAATGAAGCTATATTTTACCTGTGTACCAGTGTTCTTATTTTGAAATTTAAAGTTTATTTAATTTTTATAAACAAATTTCTCATTCGAAAGTCAGGTTGGTACTCCTGAATTCTATGCTCTTCTGTTATGTTATTCTGTGTGGAAAGTGGAATGGAAAATGGCTACTAACGTTTTAATAGTTTGTGTATAAAATTACCTCTTGATTTTAATTGCGGTATGCATTGTTTGTTTTAATAAATTTCTCATTAGTATTTCAGTTTGTTGTGATAGTTTTGCAATAGTATTTGTGTCAAGAATTGAGCTTGTGCGTTTTATGGTGCAGAATTGCGCGGGAAAGTAATTTCTGTTTTTGCTTGAAGCGGTTTTTTGATTGAAGATTTTGGGTTTGTATTGCACTATTCAAACTGCTCATTCAAGTCTGGTAGCAAATATTGTTCCTGGTTTTTGATGAACGTTCTGTTTTGCAAAAGACTGCAGTGGAATTCAAACACAAGTTTGAAGCAAGTGTTCACAGGTAAAAAAGGTTTCACTGTGAGTATGATACACATGCAGTGTTTGTTTTTGTTTCTTTAATAATAAATAGTACTTGCACCTTGCCTTTTGTAAAATACTGAATCTTGTTCATGGATTGTAGAACAAATGGTAGGTTCTTTCTTTATGTCCGAATAGGGAATGAGCTTATAAGCACTTGTGCCTTTCACTTGTGGTTACACGATTGCATTTACCCTACATACTCTTTTGCTTAAAAGCTGTTGTTTCAAGTTCTTTTGGTTTTTTATGAGACCCATTCTTATTTTACATCATACAATGTCGCAATACTTGAATCGTAATTCTATAAAAGGTAGGTACTAGTCGTTAAAATAAGTCACAGCATTTTTACGTAATTACATTAGTAATTAACGTGTGGTAAACATTTATAATACCAGCTCAGTTTGTAAAAATGAAAGTTATTGTTCTATGGATTCTTCATTTACCGGATTCTTAGCCTTTTAATTGCTAAATCCAAATCAGCACTCACTATTATAGCCGTATAATCAACGTACATAAAATGAATCCACTTAGTAGGTTTTGACATACACCATGGGATGTTTAACTCATATTTGCCAGAGGTAGAGTTTTGCTACTTTACTATGATGATTAAGCAGGAACCATAAGAGGAATTCATGTATTTAATTTCGTATTCTCATACTCAAATTGTCTTTGAGACAGAATTTTGAACTTTAAAACCAAACAGCGCGAAACGATCGTAGAAACATTTTTCAATATATATATATATATATCTATAGTTTAAATGTTTAAATACACAATTAAAAATTACGTTCAGAAATACTAGCAACAATATCTTGATCTTCAATGGAAATCGCAGAAAAATAATTATTTGAAGATACAGACATTGTTCTAGTATTTTTGAACATGTGTAGGTATTCAAAAATAAAAAATATACATGGTGTTCTATTTAAAAAAAATGTTGTTTGAGTTATTTCCGGTCAAACCGCAAGTAGAAAAATTGCCATTTTGACCAATGAGTTTTTTGATATTTATTCTAACTAGATAACCGAGATAATCGACGGTTGTGGGACTTATGGGGCACTCTGTATGCAACATTACATTATACAACAAAGCATTATCACTCACATTACCAGGCTGAATGAGCGGGAAATAACTACACCTTCAGGTGATATGGTGGTTCATGTAAGCAGTCTTCCTTTGAGGAGTACACTACTGGAGATCTTAATCTAAATCCTAATAAAACAGCTACTTTGATCATAGTTCCGCAGCGTGTGTTGCTAAATCCAATAATGGATGAAAATAGACAATGGTACCACAGATGTAAATATGCTTTTACATAAAATATACTTTTACATCTGTTATGGTACTACCTATATATTTGTGGGAGGAAAAAATACAGTGTGATCCAATTTTGATAAGATGGGTAACTTTCCTATTAGCGTAGATAAAGGAAAGCATCTTAGATACTCGTGGCCTCTTTTTTCATACTTATTTTATTACTGTTGCTAGAAATAAACTGCTGTCTTTTGTTTTTTCCCTAGAGAAAAATCGAAAAATGGCCGATTCCTTCAATTTGCTTTAACTCCTTTATTTTTGACTTTAGCATTTAACCTACTAATCACGACCGAGTACAGTACAATGTTTTTGTTGATCTGCACTAAGTTACCCATTTAATCCCTTCGAATTTGGACCACACTGTACTTGATTGGTTGGAAAACATTGATTAGTTGTTGTCCATATTATGTTTTATGGACGTCAACAATATTTTGACCTGCCGCAATGGGATCTTCACGAACGCGAATAAGCAGGAGAAAGAACTAGGTCAGATTAAAATGTTGCTTCATCAATCAATCAATTCAATCTCTTTTTCTGGTGTCTGAAGTACAGCTACTATAGAAGGGATAGCTGACTTCTCACTTATACTCGAGCCAAAGATCTAGGACTAAATTTGTACTTACATGGTGAATGTAACAATAAGTAGTAAAATAAAGATTTGTTGAAAGATGGTGGAATACTATGTATGGGTTAGGTCTACTAAAGGGAGCAATAAACAAAATATATTAAGTAGGTACTGCTATTTATTTTCAATTTCTGGATTAATTTAAAATAGTTTGTGTTTTCTAGCATCAGACTGAAAGCCAATTCTGAAGATATTTATGTCGCTATATACAGGAAGTGCCACAACGAATGCCGGCTATTTATATCTATTTTGAAAATTTGGCTATACCTTACCTCGATAAGAGGAATTCATCTGGAAGATTGTTAAGTTTGTGACAGTTCTGGTGATACAGGATGTTGATTTCGATTTTTATCATTTCATCTATAGATTCCACGTGAAATTGTATACAGGGTGTCCGAAAAGTTTGGACTATCGTATATATCCATTTTATCGAGAGATATTTCAAATAAAAGTTATTTAGTATTTAATTTTTTATCACATAGAATTTTTTATTTTTTTAAAACAAAAGCATAATAAACAAAAAATGTTGTCTAACTTTTTTGATACCGTTTTATTCTTTTTCAAACATGTAAAATATTTACACTCTTGCATTGGAAAAATTTTGAGAATGCCGCGAAATACGCGCGTAGGTGTATTTCAACATCATCTAGCCACTCATGACTGTTTTATATCAAAAAAAGTTAGCAAAAGGTATATTTTGATATTAAAAAATTTTTTTTATCTGTTGCGCTTTTGTTTTAAAAAAAATTCCATGTGAAAAAAGATTACATACAAAATAACTTATTTGAATCATTTTTTGATAAAATGGATATATACAGGGTTAGTTTTTTCCAATGTTTAGTATGGGGTTCTCGTAAACCGTAAGAGATACGAAGTCGCTTAAATGAATGAATTTTATGTAGATTAAGTTTGCAGTTCAGAGTTTCTTGTAACTATACAAATAACAAAGTTATGGTCAAAAAACCGAAAAAGGTCATTTTCGAAAATGCGTTTGGTTTATTTATTTTTAAACATATCAACAAATAGTTTTAAAGACGCCTTTGTAATTTTTTCTCAGCTTTCTGATGGGGCCAAAATAAACTATCGAGTAAATCACATCAACTTTCTTATTTCTTATGGACGCATTATTGGATTTTTATGTCATTAGATAGAGAAAAAAATTACCATCTTTCTGTTAATGTACTGCCCTTGTATGCCAGCGTAGGTCGCGTGGTCGCTCCACTTTAGGCCATATAATAGAAATCCTCCGTCTATAACCCCCATACATTGCAGAAAATCAGTGTTGTCGTTGGAAGGAGTAAAAATGTTGTAGAAAGATGATTTTGTTTTTTGTTTTCCTCATGCCAGTCATCAAAGAACGACATGGGCACGCAGCTAGCATATAATTGAAGCAGTCAGCAAGATTCTCATCATTTTCTTTAATTTTTTACTTTGCCTTTATTTTTGAGTGGGTGGGGTTTCAGCCAAGGCTGCTCTACCAACCCAACCTACTATACATTTACAAATATCCATGCCCGAACTCGGATTCGAACCAGGAACCCTTAGTACCACAGTCCAGCTTGATCTGTGCCACACGGCAGCCCAGTATTCAGGGAGTGGCAAGTATAACTTTTCTTAAACCGCGTTGACCTTGAAATTTCATATAATTTTCGCGAAAACTTGCTCTCTTCTACCATTTGTTTGCCCTACCTTTACTTTCGGTCTGGCTACAAGGGCATAATGATGGTAATCTGTTGAAAAATGAGGACAAGGTCAACAGCAGTGTCGGTATTCTTCACTTTAATGGGAGACGTAATTAGAGACAAAGATAGGACTCTTCTATCCAGTTTTGCACCTCCAAAAGTGTTGCCTGTCTACTTTTCCAGGCATGCTTTACTTACTTGTATAGCTGTGTAGCAATTATTGTCTGATTACCAATCACTCCCGTTGCGATAGACATGATTTCTCACACAGCTGAGTACAGGTTAAACGTCAGAAGTATGGACGAGAGCGGACGGCTAACACCCAATCAATTGCAATTGAAGCAAATTTTCTGCTTGTACATCTATACAGGGTCATTCTTCACGAGCGTCAGTTAGAAAGATATGGAAAACCTTTGAAAATGAAGATAAACTGATAAGTTCTTTAAGGGTTTTAGCACATAATGAATTGAACTAAAATATTTTCAAGATGGCGCCACTTCCGGAAATACCGGAAGTAGCCATCAACTTTGTTATTTTAAATAGGGACCCCCTATTTTTTTCTACATTTTCGGATTGTACGTCGAATTTGGAGTACAACGATACCCCATAGTTGACCCTTTTCTCCAAGGGCTATGCCGATATTCAAGTTTTTATGTCAAAAATTGAATTTGCAGGGGTAATTTTAAAAATTTATTATTCGAAAACGGTGAGAGATATTGCAACACAGTTTTCACTGATTTATTAAAGAAGATCGAATTTTCTTATGGTATGCGTAACAGTCTAAGAAAGTGAGAGTACGTCATTTTTCAAAGCTCTCAACTTTTAAACTTTTAAATATCCATAACTCCATTTCTTCAAATGACACCCCCCATTTTGTTCTTCACCCTTGTTTTCCTTTTTCTCAGACCTTTAATTTGATACAAAATGTCAAAAGCTCCTTTAAACGGTTTCCGAGATATTCCATGTTTTAGTTACTTCTTGTGGCCAATAAAAACAAAAGAATAATATCAAGCGACTTAATTTTTTTATCAATTTGCCACAAGAAGTAACTAAAACATGGAATATGTCGGAAACCGTTTAAAGGAGCTTTTGACATTTTGTATCAAATTAAAGGTCTAGGAAAAAGGAAAACAAGGGTGATGAACAAAATGGGGGGTGCCATTTGAAAAAATGGAGATATGGATATTTAAATGTTTAAAAGTTGAGAGCTTTGAAAAAGTGACGTACTCTCACTTTCTTAGACTGTTACGCATACCATAAGAAAATTCGATCTTTCTTTAATAAATCAGTGAAAACTGTGTTGCAATATCTCTCACCGTTTTCGAATAATAAATTTTTAAAATTACCCCTGCAAATTCAATTTTTGACATAAAAACTTGAATATCGGCATAGCCCTTGGAGAAAAGGGTCAACTATGGGGTATCGTTGTACTCCAAATTCGACGTAGAATCCGAAAATGTAGAAAAAATAGGGGGTCCCTATTTAAAATAACAAAGTTGATGGCTACTTCCGGTATTTTCGGAAGTGGCGCCATCTTGAAAATATTTTAGTTTAATTCATCATGTGCCAAAACCCTTAAAGGACTTATCAGTTTAGTTTCATTTTCAAAGGTTTTCCATATCTTTCTAACTGACGCTCGTCAAGAATGACCCTGTATACTTCCCAAATGGTTAAAGTTACGAAAAAACTTGTTATACTTTTTTTGTAGGAAATTTAATGAGCTATCATTTTGTAAATATAGTTTGTTAGTTTACAAGATATTGGGGAAAAATCGAAAAAAGTGACATAAAAGCCAAAATGGAGGCCTGTGGCGCACTGCCCACATATGGGGTTTTTAGATATGATCAAGAGAACATTTTAGGCCAAATTATAAGCTTTTTATTTTTATTTGGTGATTTTGGTAATAGATTGACTGGGCTATAGTTGACTCAAAACTGTTTAATTTATTCTACTGGTTTTGCATGGATATTGAAGCGCGTTTGTATAGATCTATACAATTCTTTTGTTAGATAAAAAATCTACAACAATAATTTGTGATTGGCGTTTTGTTTGCTATTTGACACACATACCTAATTAAAATATTTGTTTATGTTACAGTTATCTTATAATTAATCATGGGAAAAACGAGTCCTCTCATCGATCTGCTGGGAAACATCTTTAGGCACATAACGGACATTCATAGTATTCTGAATAACTCGAATGAACTCAAGAAGGTTTATGTCAAAACAAATTTTGATGATGCAGACGAAGTAGACAAATTGATTAAGGCCGCTAAGGAACTAATAGACAATTTAGAGAAAAAAACTACCAAACTTCATACATATTTCAATACAAACTATACCAGTTGCATTAAAGATCTGAGCACCTCCGGATGTAATGGGAATGCGCCCGCCAATAATGATAGTCGCAATGTCGAATCAAATAAAGAGGCTCCCCAAGAGAACGCTAATTCTGAAAATGAAGTGGATAGTACCGAACCTGCTGAAAGAAACAAATCCAGTATTGAAAACGGAATTGACACAAATGCTCCGAGTAGTAGTGATATTGTGGATGATAATTCCCAGACTGTTAGTAATAGCTCGAAAGATATAACGGCTGACGAACAGCCTGATTTTACACAATCCAAAAATTGCACAGACGCATCGAAAGTTTTTTTGAAATGCGTCGATATAAGTAAATTAGTAAATCCGAGTATTTTACCGCACCTTACTACGCCAAAATCTGCATCTAAAAAGGGAAACGATCCTGTATTTATTATCCTCGACTCAGATTCTGAGGATGATGCGTCAAAAACTTCCACCAAGAGGAAAAAGAATGCGGATAGTAAAGGTAATGCGAAAGTAAAAGGTAAAAAGGATAATTTGTGGAACAACAAATTTGAAACAAGTTCGAATGCTGAAAACTCGTGGTCCCAGAAGCGATCGACCAGAAATGCGAAAAAGAAAAAGGTAACTTACGTGATCAGCTCGTCATCCGAGGTCAGCTCCCTTAGCGATATAGTCAGTGACAGCGAAAGCGATTTGCCAAAAAAAAAGCGGGCGCCGCGATCCAAACAAGTATTTCACGAGAAACAAATATTAAGCTCGCAGAGCGATAAGAAATTTAGTTATAAAGCGTATGTACGGTTACAGAGGGTCCCATGTGAGAAGCTAAAAGAAAATTATTTGAAGCAAAGAGAAAGACTTGAAGTAGAAAGGTAACCTGTAATATTTTTCCATTCACTTCACTTTATTGCAATTTGTTACAGATTGGCAAATTTAAATAGCTTGCAAAAACGGTGTCGTTCACCTACGAATTCTACAGATTCAGGGAAGAAAACTAAACGGAATCGAAAAGAAAAGTCCAAGGACGCAGATGCGTCTAGAGATTCTAGTCCTGTTTCTGTTGTTTTATCCGATCTAGATTCAACACAGGCAGATGACCAAGCTTTATGTAATGCTGTGAGTGAATTAAACGCCTCCGCTGAGCCTGATAATGGAAAAGTTTCAGATAGTAACCCTCTAGGAATAGTTTTGGTGAGTTGGATAAATCACATCTTTATAATACAACTCGTGACCTTTTGGAAATTTCATCAGTATTTCTTTCTTATCATTTTAGTATAGTATTTACTATCATTTCGATCAGTGAACTGAACTGAAATATCCATGTGCCTTTCAAAAAGTGAAGTTCTACAAAGCATTCGTATTGATTCTTTGGAATATGTCGACAAATAAATAAGCAAAATGGTAATCGCTTCTTCCTTGAGACCTATTTTCCTTAAATTTTCCATTAAACCTTTGATTGGTCCATGAAACAAATTTACGAAATTTGTACGTGATCTAGATTCTGAGTATAGGAGATTTAAATAAATACCAAAATCTCTAGTATCAACTTAAAAATGAACAAAAAAATTAATGAAATAAAAAATCAGGTATAAATTGTGCGCAACTCTTGTACAGATAAAGCGCATTTTTTAACTTCACCAGTAGATTATGTATGTCTCATCCAGACGATTTATTTTGTTTTTGTGAGTACAAACTGTTTCCGAGATATTCACTCTTCAAGTTTTGACACCACCAGTGGATATATTTCTGCCAGACGTACCAAACACTCTTTGTGAGTACCCGCCTCCGACCTGTTCTTGAGATATAGGGAATTATATCTCAAAAAAATAACGATTTAAGTCGATATTATGATTAAATGATCACAAAAAATTCGATATGTCGATCATGGTATTCAAGTCTCCAAATTTGATTCCAAAAATTTCGTGGCTGCGGGTGGTAGGAAAATGCTTTTTAAGTAGAGTTCCATTACAATCAGTAAGCATTATTACAAGTATCGTAATATCGACTTAAATCGTTTTTTTTGTTATTTGTGACATTTTCGATTAACTACATGCGAAATTGGATCACTCACTAGTAGGCGGGGGACACTTTGTAACCCAAAGGCCCAATCTTCAAATGAGTATAACTTTTGTTTGAAAAGTGATAAAAACTGTTCGACAATTTTGTTCCTTAACTCATCAAGTATGTACACAACAAATTTCGTGGAATTCTCTCCATTTTCGTTGTCCGACCAAGAATTGCAGTGGGACTTTTTTTTCGAATTTTCAAAAACTAATTTCAGATTCGTGATTTTCATGTTCAAAAACCCCCAGATACCAAATTTCGTCAAAATCAGAATTTTTTTGCACCCCCAAGTAGGGGTGCCCCCTTTCGTGGTAGAAATTTTGAAAAAATTTGGAAAAAGAGCCTGTCTTGATCCCTTCTATCACTCAATTTTTTTTTTATACAGTCATGTAACACCCTGTATATTATAACATATTTTTCAGAATGTTGAAAATGACATGTTTCTACCGTCAGCGATTTTTATTGACTGATCTTAGTTACCATGGATATAATAAATAAAACAAAGTCTCAGTGAATCCATAGCTTACTATTTACAAACTATAAAAAATAAAGTTTTTAGTTTTGGTTCATGGCTAAAATAAAAAAAATATAGGTTATGATACATCAGTGTAATCCTAATCAGGAGAAAGAATGCAACAAAATTGACGTTTACATGGATACAGGTTTGTTCTTTCTGATTTTAAAAATATACAATATGTTGACATTTGTTTTAGCCGTTTTTGAAATAATAAATAATAATTGCAAATATGGCGTATTATTTACTGACACTTACAGGGTAAATCGGTAAGCGCGGTGCGCTCTCTACCCTGTCTTTCAAAAACGTTTGAGTATATAAAAAAGTGTTTTGGTAAAATTATGGCATTAAAACCATAGGAAAAGAGATATTTGTAAAAAAACGATTTTTGTAACCTTTGACCTTCAATATCTTAAGACGCGGACACCATATTTTATGAGACCTTTGAGACTTATGACTGGACTATACCTATATGTAACTTATACAGATGTTCAAAACCTTATTAAACTTCCATTTTTTGAATTTTTAAGGAATAGGTACTCAAAATCATCTCTACTTTTTACACTAACAGATGGCTTCGACAACAAGAGATATCTTTGTAGAACTGTCTTATCAGTTTTCATTTCTATAATGTCCATACCACCGCCACCGCCGTTAGGCGATTTTGGGATTTGACGTAAAGTTCCGGAATACTAAGTAAAAGGTTTCTTGACCTTTGTACCAACATGTGACCTGATCCCGACCCTAGTCAGGGAGGTAGTACAAAAGTGCGCGTGGACCTTGTTCACCCTCCTGTCGTAATCCAGAATCCAGCTAAGCGTATTGTAAGGTTTTTCTAATTTTTCCCTATTATTTTCTAAATTAACACCATTCATGATAAGGTAGTAAGAAAGAGAACCGTATACGTAACTTTAAAACATTGCTGAAAAATTATGCTAATGCGTTTTATTCAAGATGTCGATTACATTAGAACATGTTTTTACTGTTTTTTTTTAACGGAACAATATTCTTTAAAATCCATTTTCGTATTCTGTGTCAGTCAGTTAAAATAATAAATTTCTCTTTAGTGTAAAAATGCGCAAGAAACAAATATGATAGACGACTGCGAGCATTTTTTTAAAACCCAACATTTGATTTTTAAATGAATTTCGGCAATAAATCCAATTGGCAAATCATCATGTTAATTATTTAATAATATACAGGCCATAATTTTAATGTGTGACTAGACATGTGATTTCACATTCCTGGTTGTAACTAATTTTTGATTTAAATCTCAAAACATTTCGACTTATTGAAGTAAAATATTTTTTTAGGATGCCATTAATTCGGAACTCCAACCATCTCATAAGTCTGATGAAGATTCTGACCAAAATAAGGAAACAACACAGGAGCAAGGCAGTAAGGAAAAGGTTAGTGTAATCGTTTTTATTCGTAATGTATGTTTTTTTTGCTATTGGAATTACATTAGATTAAACAAAAGACTAGGTTATTTTGATTTTTCGTTTATTAAAATTATTTGTTGGTATTTTAAATAACGTAATTTTTCATCTCTTAGTTATGTTGTGTTCATTATTTGGGATAGTAGTGCCACAGATATACACATACAACAGATTGCTAACTTTATGCATCTTATGGGTAACACGTTTAGGTATACTTAAAAACGCCCTCTATTGAGCAGCAGATAATGACAGACGGAAAACGTAGCGGAAAATGCATAAATCCCTAAGCGTCATATTACAGTTGTAAACGGTACATGTTTATGTTGCTGCTCAATAGAGGGCGTATATTGAATATACCTCTAAAGTCACTAAATATAGAAAGTACCGCAATCCATTGGGCTCGTGTGTTAGAGAGAGAACGCATAATTTTTGCCCAAAAATGGCGGAAGTTACCAGATTCTAGTAACTTTAATGTTAGGGATTGTTCCACCTGTTTGGAGATATCTGTATATATTTTTATAAAACATGACAGTACTATGAAGTTAGGTTATAAAAATGACAGCTATTCAGATTTTATTTGTCAATTTTTTTAAGTTGGCAGCAAATTTGCCCAAAAATGGCGGATGATTGCGGTACTTTCTATATCTAGTGACTTTAATACCTCAATGTGTTACCCATAAAATGCATAAGGTTAGCAATCTGTTGTATGTGTATATCTGTGGTAGTAGTATATAAGGAACAATATGACTAATTAATGGTGACCCAATAAGACTGTTCCTCGGCCATATCTCGGGAACCGTTCGTCGTATGACTTAGGGGTAAAAAAATATTGGGTAAATCGGTTATGAAGAATCGCTGGAAAATATTTTCAAGTTCTAAAAATGACCACCAGAGAGTCTAACTCCCATTTTAAATATTAATATTGCATTTTCTTTAAATTTCGCATAATAATAATAATATATATTCAGGCTAACATACATGGAGTACTTACACATCGTCAAAAATATCACAGTCACTTATCTAAACAAATGTTTAGAAGTATCACAGGTAAAATCAAAAGTTAAAAATTCTTGATAGCTATAGAAGCATTGGTTACTTAAAAATGTTTTTATTTTATTCTTAAATTCTATTGTGTCTATGTGTCTTAGGTGCGCAGGGATGCAGTTAAAAAATATTTGAGATTGTATTCTAGGACCTTTTTGAGTTTTGCAGAGTCGACCGAAGTTTACTCGTACGTCATCTTTGTGCCTCGTGTTGTGGTGATGTATTTGAGAGTTTGTTGTAAATGAGTGGAAATTCTTCTTTGCGTAGCACAAACACTCAAGGATATAGGCACACGGCAGAGTTAATATATTTAGATGTTTGAATGCTTTGCGACAGTCTTCAAGGTACCCCAAACCCGCAATTATGCGCACAGCTCTTCTCTGCATTCTAAATACCGCATTGCGTTTCCCTGAATTACCCCACACTATGATGGCATAAGTCATAACACTATGAATTAGAGCACAATATGCGTTAATTAGCACTTTCTGAGACACATTTTCTGCTAACGTTCGTAGAAGGTAGGTGGCTTTACTCATTCGAGTTACACTAAACATTCTTTTTTCACATTTTTAAAGAGAACCAGTTTATCTATCATTTTTGTAAAAACAAAAACTCAGTTATTTCAAAAACAAAGATGGCGTGGGGCGTTCAATTGTTATTGCAATAACCTGCTTTTAACTTCTTAACCGTTTGATCGATTGTAACAAATTTGGTATCGTTGAAAAGACCATTCTTTGGGCAATAGGAATCAACCAAAGTATAGTTAATTTCGTTGAATCCTTCTCCGCCAGGTGGTTAGTATTGACACTATTATCCAAAATCCTAAAAAAATCAAATGGAATGATATGACTTTTTCTTTATGAAAAAGTAGCCAAATAACACCCAAAGAGGAAAACCGTTTTTCAAAATGTCGTTCCTAACCTCAAATATTGGGAAAATGAGATTAATTAATTAATAAATAAAAGGCTTAAATTGTATCTTATTTAACGTATTTCCTGTATTTGTCGATGGCGCGAAAGATTGTTTGGAAAAGGACCCTACACTTTTAGGTAGGCCTTGGAAAATTAAACAAATGAAACAGGACGCATTAAAAAATAATAACTGCTGTAATTTGTAAATTATTCTGTTGTGTTTACATTCAGAAAGTGCATTTTTTTGAATTTGTAATCTTTTCCAAAATGCCGATTTCTAACCAAGAAGCATTTAATATGCTGGCGACGATGGTTGCTGGTGGATTCGGATAACGCAAATAGAAGATGTGGGCAGCGATGGTCGCATTTTGGTTAGAAATCAGCATTTTAGAAAAGATTACAAATTCAAAAAACTGCACCTTCTGAATGTAAACACAGCAGAATAATTTACAAATTACGAAATACGTAAAAAGTAAATTTAAGATACAATTTAAGCATTTTTATCAATTAATTAATTAATCTCAGTTTCCAAATATTTGAGGTGACGAACGAGATTTTGAAAAACGGTTTTCACTGGCCTCTTGGATGTTATTTGGCTACTTTTTCGTAAAGAAATTATTCCATTTGATTTTTTTGGATTTTGGGTCATAGTGTCAAAACTAGCCCCCTGGCGGAGAAGGATTCAACTAAGGTTGATTCTCATTGCCCAAGGAATGCTCTATTCAACCATACCAAATTTGTTAAAATCGGTCAAACGGAAATTAAAACAGGTTATTGCAAAAACAATTGAACGCCCCACACTATCTTTGCTTTTGAAATAACTGAGTTTTTGTTTTTATGAAAATGATAGATAAACTGGTTCTCTTTAAAATGTGAAAACATTTTTTTAGTTTATTATTCGAAATTTAAAGAAAATGCAATTTTCAGTTTTAAGATGGCAGTTACGCCCTCATTTTTAGAACTTGAAAATATTTTCCAGCGATTTTTCATGGCCGATTTACCCAATAATTTTTTACCTCTAAGTCATATGACGAATGGTTCTCGAGATATGGCCGAGGAATAGTCTTATTGGGTCCCCCGGTACAAATTACATACTGTTTATCTTTGTGTGCAATGTGAAATAAATAATAATGGGTGATTAATTGTACATGCTTCTGTTTAGGACGGATCATCTGGTTCTCCAGAGGACGTAATCATTGAAGAGAATAACGACAAATCACAAGAAAAGGTATGAGTTAATTAATGTAGTTTAATTATGTCATCTGTGTTGCTATTGATTGATGTCGATTTAATAGCGCATTAGTGTACCTACTGGACAAGAACACAGATTTGTCACTACTAAATTTAGCAGAAAATTTCGCTCTTGATAGCGTTTGCCATTTTTAGGAAAACCAACCTGATGTCACTAGCGAAACTAACAAAGAAAATGATGCAACACAGGCAAAAGAAAAGGTTTGTTTCTTTTCGGCACATTAATTTCAAACTTACATTTTAACCTGTTAAACACCTTTTTGCATAAATGCAATTCCTTTTAAATTACACAAAATTTAAATTTAGTTTGATTCTATTCTTCTTTTAGGAAAAGTTGAACGCACCTGAAGGTGAGGGTAACAAAAACGATGATGAGACAACAAAGGATAAGGTTTGTATTTTTCTTTAAAATCTCTGTTATTTATAAAAGTCATTTGTTGGATAGGAAAATGATTCTGACCGTACAGATATTGAAAATGAAGACAAAGATGATGAAAAAGAGAAATCAAAGGATAAGGTTTGTATTTTCACCATTCATCTTTTTTGAGTATTCTTTCTTTGAATATGAACCCCTTCATTGTGTTCCTTCAGAATACATGTGACCATCATGTAACTGTAATCCAGGTGGAAAATTTATCTTCGGATTCAGTATTAGATATTATAACATCAAAGTGTCAAAAAATTCCCCTACTGAAAATCGTATGCGACTCTTCTGTATCTGTCACTATTTGTTGTAATCTTTATGGCTTGTATCATTGTAATAATAATAATAATAATAATAAATTAATAGAAATAATCTCCATAACTTGATTGTGAATAATTGCATAATATTCACTAAATACGAGGGTTTAAACCATCCTATTAATATTACTATAAACTAAAGTGGGAATCATGAAAGATTGGCGCTCATGTGGCTTTCTGTGGTGTATTTTCACTTCACACAAATTTACACTTATTACAAATTTAGTATGCTTCTTTCTTTTAAGGAGACATCTGAAGATGAAAGTGAGGACAAGACAAAGAAGTCAAAAGAGAAGGTTTTATTCAATCATAGAATTATATTAGATTTGAATAACATTTACATTTTAGGAAAGTGATGATAAGAGCAACTGTGATGGTGAGAAAAATAAGAAATCAAAGAAAAAGGTTCGTTATACCAATGCTCTTTGCTCCTTCACGTATTATTTTTTCTAGGACACCACTGATGATGAAAGTAGTTGCGAAGATAACAAGAGAAAGAAATCAAAGGAAAAGGTTTATGCTTTTTCATTGTATCTAATTGGTCTTCATTGTTTACTATTTTAGGAGAAGCATTCCTCGTCAGAAGCAGATGAAAACAGTAGGAATGATAAGAAGAAATCCAAGGAAAAGGTTTGTACCGTTGCAACTAGCCATTAGTGTCACCTTTTATTTAGCAGGCAACAGATGATGAAAGCGACAATGAAGATAATAAGAAAAAAACAAAAGGATCTAGCTCGTCAGATGAAAGTAGCGAGACTGAGAAAACGAAGAAATCAAAGAAACCGGTTCGTTTTTTCTTCAACTGGTTGGCTTACTTTTTTTATATCTGATTATGTTTTAGGAGACAACTGATGAAAGTGATGATAACAAAAAGAGGAAAAAGAAAAAAATGGTGAGTAACTATTAAAAAGAAAGCTTTAATACTTAAATTTTTCGTAGGCGAAGCGTTCAACCTCATCAGACGATGAAAGCAGTGATGATGATAAGAAGAAAAAAAATAAGAAGGTAAGCCATTACTTGTGATTCATACAGCTTAATTTTCATTTGCTAGGAGAAACGTTCCAATTCGTCGGATGATGAAAGTGGTAGTGATGATGGCATGAAGAAAAAATCTAAAAAACAGGTTAGATCATTTAATGTCAGTTTATTTTACATCAACTGTTTTCTCCAGTCCACAGATGACGAAAGCGATGAGAGAAAGAGAAAAAAGAAGAAAAAGGTGTGTGCTTAAGAAACATTAACGATGGTATAATTCTTGTTTTTAGGCAAAGCGTTCTAGTTCCTCAGATGATGAAAGCAGCGATGACGATAAGAAAAAGAAACAAAAGGTACGTATTTGTACATATACAGGGAGTCCCAAATCGCGGGATTGCTTGGGTAACTTTGCTATTACTGATCTAAACAAAATCAATTGTTTGCCATCATTAACGCTATGACGAACATAGTGTTGTATTTCGGTTGAGCAAACTGAAAAATGATAGCAAAATAAAATGCAAATTGGTATTCATACCAACTTTTTAAATTAATTGTCCTAGTAGTTTTTTGGACATGTTAAAATTTCATCAAATGTCGACGTTTTAAATCATTTTAGGTAGGTATCCTATACCTATAGGATAAGTTGGAAAATGCCATTTTTATTCTTACGTTTCAAATGATTAAGTTAGCTTTTTGTGTTTACTGACTTTACAATAAATGGTTTATTAGTAATAAGTGTTGGTAATAGACACAAAGAAAAGTAAAAGAAATCATACGAAGAACGTTTTTTGGTTTAAGCTAGGAAGCTGTTCTGTCAAAAATTTGGTACTTGGTTTTTAACTAGTAACCCAAGAGTAACTAATAAATAATTATGAAAATTAACTAAAATCTACTTTTAATATAAAAATCTAATATGGCTCCCATGATCTCATTATGCCAATAATTACTATCATGAATTTCAGTTTAACATCATTTGTTTGTCCTATTGAAATGAGAAACTTTCATGTTTAATTTTTTATCATAACCTTTATAGTTAAGGAAATACTTAGTGCTGTTATGATATTAATCAGCTTTGGAAATCCAAAAACATTGTGAATTATTAGCAATTGTATAAAAAGTATGTAAGATAAATATCGACATGTTTATATTGTTCAAATCCTACGTTTGATGCGATAAAAAAACTTTGCAGTTCCATTTAAAAAAATCAAGTTACCTTTGATTGAAATTGTGAAAATTGACGGAGTGATATCTTTTAACACAAAAGAAGTTTAACTTTAGCCGTTTGGTGTATGTTAGTACATGTCATGATTAGTGCCACTGCACAGTCACGACCTTCTAAGTTTTATGATAACTGCGATATTCAATTTTTACTGGACATCTACTTTTTGAAAAAACGATGAATTGCGGCTAAACTACTCATTTTAGATATCATGTGTAATACACAAAGTCACACTAAAAATGGACCAAGGAATCGAAATATGTACTAATATACAAGCGGTTCCATTTAAAAAAATGTAACTTTGATATAAATCACCCTGTATAACAATTGCAATTTCGTTTGGTTATAGCCTGAAGGGTCTTTCAACATTCCCCCACAATGAATTTTAAGTATGCGTGTTAATACACCCACAATCTTCCACCCATGCACTAATGGCCCACCCTGTATACAAAACAATAGTTACAGGTAAATAAATGCTTGTTGATGCTGCTGTTGCATCGTTCGTTCTGCTGGTTTTACTATTCGTCAGGTAGCACGAAAACTATGCTTAGTGGGGGAAGCCCGTCAAACAAGAATACGCTAAGCACAGTACTTGATTAGATAGCAGACTGGCCCGCCACTTTGGAGCCCACTCATACTCTAAATCTGTGCACAAAAAAAGTGTTTAAGGTGTAAGGTGTTATTTTATGCAAATAAACGCTCACAAAAACCAAGGTAAAAGCTTTACAGCCCGAAAAACCGCGAAATTTTCGGCAAAACATTTCGTAATCATTAAATTTGCTATAATTTGAGGCCAAGCGCAGCGCTGTAGGTCTGATAAAATGTGAGCTGACTTCGAAAAATGGTCATTTTTTCCAAAAAGTGCAAATTTTAACCAAAAAAAATCCTGCAAATTTAACATTTGAAGTAAGTGGCGTTGTTTATTGTGAAAGGGGTTGTTTGGGTTGACTACGAGTAGGTTGTGATAACGTTGTTTCTGAGTAGAAAGAGTTTTGTGTTTTTTAGCTGTGCTAGGACGTGTAACTTTATTGGGTGGATCTGTCCTTGTATTTGTATGGTTACTTGGGTTAAAGGTGGAGCTGGAGATATTACAGTGTGTCGTGTGTCATGTGAGTCAGTGATGCTGTTTAGGGTATTATTATTATTATTAATTAGATTCAGTGATACTATGGTAGAGCTTTGGTAAAAATTGAAAATAAAATTGGATTTAATAATAATAATAACTTTATTGTCTGTGATCACGCATAACCTTGACATAGACATCGTCATACATTCAAACATTTATGGACATTTAAAATTTTAAAAAGTCAATTAGGAACAGTGTAAATGCTAAAGGACATGTTACAATTAAAAATCACTCATTGAATAAAAACAACGTTCGACTAAGTATTTTTTTAGATTCGTTCGATACTTCTTAATGTTTGTGATGTTTTTAATATATAAAGGGAGTGCATTGTACATTTTAACTGCATTGTAATATGGACCCCTTTCATACTTCGCTGTGGAATGGTAGGGTATGGTAAGTATCTCATTGTTGCGTGTATGATAGTCATGCTTAGCATTTAATGGATGAAAAATATGACTATTCATTTTCACGAAGATGCAAAGCTTATATATGTAAATGCTAGGAAATGATAAAATTTTCCTATTGATGAAAACATTCCTAAGAGAAATTGTCGGTTTTACATTAAAAATTAATCGCATTATCCTTTTTTGTAGGATGAAGACTCTGTTTTTGTCGACAGCTGCCCCCCAGGCAACAACGTTGTATGCTAAATGAGGATATGCGAGCGCGTAATACACAGTAACTAATGAATTTATGTCAAGACATGATTTCAAGTTTCGTAACACATAATAAGCCCTGTTAAGTTTTTTACACACATTCTTAATATGTTGGTCCCATGACAAATCGTCATCTATCAAAATCCCTAAAAACTTAGTATTTAGACTAACACTTGAAGTTTCGAGCTCTTGCTTAGCCCTACCAAAGTTCACACACACAGTTTTATTTGCATTTAATACAAGTTTGTTAGCACTACACCAGGAATGAAATTCCTCGTCCACATGTTTAATAGTACTTGTTAAACACTCTAGGGTCTTCGCTGATATAGCGATGGTTGTGTCGTCGGCATAGCTGATCACCTTCGCACTTGTCACATGATTTGGCAAATCTGCTACATACAATAAATATAATAGCGGGCCCAACACTGAACCCTGAGCGACCCCTAAGGTAACATCAAATTTGTCGGATTTAACACCTTCGATGTCCACATATAGTTGCCTATTTGAAAGGAACGATTTTATCCACAGCAGTTTATGGCAGATATTCTCGCAATTAATCGTATCGAAAGCTCGACTGATATAAAAAAATAGGACAGAGATATACTTTTTTTGTCGAGTTCTTCATAGATGAAAGTAAGTCGAGTTCTTCATAGATGAAAGTAAGTAGATCGAAGGTAGCGCTTTCTGTAGATTTCCCAGGTCGGAAACCATGCTGGCTGGCCGGTAAGATGCTAAATTTGTTGACGAATGAGATTAATCGGTTATAAACGATTTTTTCCAACAATTTCGAAAAGACGCTCAACAATGAGATAGGGCGATAGTTTTCTATTCTTGTAGGGTCTTCTGACTTGAATACAGCTATTACGCGCGCAGTCTTTAATGCACTAGGAAAAATCCCACGAGCAAGAGATTCATTATATAGCATAGTTATGATCGGTAGAATAGAAGTCAAGACATGATCCAGTACCTTCACTGTTATTTCGTCTTCACCTGACGAGGACGATTTTGCTAGAGACTCGGACGCTCGGGTAACTTCGTCCTGGGTTACAGGATAGACATACAATGAGCGACAGTTACTGATTTTTGAGCATGTGACTGTGGAAGTAGGTTTGTCACCGAACCGGTGTTTAGTCAGATCTGATGCCGCTGAGGCGAAGTAATTACCGAACATGTGACCTATTTGTTGGGGGTTAGTAATTAGAGTGTTGTCTTCGGAGAGAGCGATATTATGTCTCTTTTTTTGTCGACCTGTCTCTCGGTTTACTATCTTCCATAGCGTTTTCGGTTTATTTTGCGCGTTGCTTATAATATTGTTGTAATAATTCTGTTTGGTCTGCTTAATTTTTCTTCGGTATTCTCTTTTTGCCAAGTTATATAGAGCGACGTTTATCTGAGTGTAAGTTGTAACTTTTAGTAGTGAGAAACGAGATTTTAATTCATTTCTCATTCTTACTAATTCAGAGGTAAACCATGGTGTAGATGTACTGTTTCGTTTTCGACTTCCGGTTGTAGTCGTGATGGGACATGTTTGGTGGAAAAGCCACAGGAATGTTTCGAGAAATGTGTGAAACGCAGAGTCAACATTGGCACAATCCAATGTACTCCAGTCCACTTGATGAAGAGCTGATTTGAAATTATCCAGGTTGGAAGTTGTCATGTGGCGTCGTCTTGTGGTTCTCGCTTCCTCCACGCCCACGTTATCCGCACTTGACAATATACTGCCCGTAACTACTATTAGATTGGCTAAATGATCTGATAGATTGAGATCAATAGTTTCATACTCATAGTATTCCATAGGAATTGTCGTTACCATGTAGTCAATAGCCGATTGAGAGACTATGTTATTTCTATTCATAGCTATCCTTGTAGGTGTGCTATTTTTGTTTGTTAAATTATATGAATCGAACAAATCTATTAGGATCTTTGATTCAATAGAATTTGATAATAAATTTATATTGAGGTCACCACAGAGGACAAGGTAATCACTAGCTGTGACTGCAATATTGAGCAAATACGCTAGATTAGTAAAAAACAGGTTCACGTTTCCATTCGGTGGCCTGTATATGACAATAATGCATATTTTTTTCTCGTTTATTATTGCAGTAGTAGACGCGGATTCGAAGTGCATTTCAACATTGAACCTGCTTAATTGTGAACAATTTTTGAATTTAATCTCGTCTCTGATTAGAATTATGGAGCCTCCATGAATACGTTCAGTGCGATTATAGACCGCCGCAACTGAGTATCCTGTTATTTTCACAGCATCCATTGCTTCCTCGCTGATCCATGTTTCGGTTAAACATAGAAAGTCAGGATTGTGCTCAGAGATATTTGCTTCGAGATAAGCTAATTTGTTTAAGAGCGATTGAATGTTTAGGTGCAATATTTTTACGTTATGGGGTGACTTTTTGGCTGCGTGGTTAAACTCGTTCCTGTTTAGTCGGTTCTCTACGTGGCACACGAAAGGGCCGGATTATAGTGTGCATGGGCCAAGTGTCGGATTTATAGATGTTACTTTTTTCTGAAACAGGTATCGTTATTTTGAAAGCGGCAATATTCGCGGATTGTATCTCTAGTTTTTCGACATCTAAACAATGAATGTTTTGGTTTTTTAGATGATGTTTGATTTGTTCCGTGGAGGTGGAAGGTGCAAGTCGTGATACAAAAACTGAGTGTCGCGCCTCTACGGCCGATATGGCACACTCTTCCACTTTGTTCCCAATTGTAGTTTTATTGCGTAACTGAGATTTGATCGGCTGGGTTTTAGTTTGGGTGTTAATTGACAGTGGTCTATTAACGTTATTATCACTCACATCACTATTGATATGAATAAGTTGCTGCAGTTTCTCACCTTGATTGGGGTTTTTCGTTATTTCGGAATAGGTGGGTTTATTATCTATATGTGACCTTTTGTTTGATATTTGCTGACTTTGCGATAATTTTGTTATTGTTGGTGCGGCATTAGATTTGTGTTTAAACGTTTCCTTCATAGATGTCGCTACGCAGTCCGATTTCGCGAAAGACACTTCATTAACTTTCTGTTGTAACGCTAATTGATCATATAATGATTGAATTAGTTTTTTTTGGTATTCAATTATATCGTCTTTGTGTTTTAGCACAATGTTCATGTAATGTAGTTGGTCTGTGTGTGTACTCGTAAGTTCATTAGTTGGGCTCACCTTAACAGAGGATGCGTCATTATCACCACAGCAATTTATGTGCTTATCGTCAATTTTCGTGATATTACTATAATACTTTACACAGCCAGGATGCATTGCAGATCCACAGTTAATACATTTCACACCATTCGCGGGCACGATCTTGCACTTTTTACACTTTTTCGTAGGAGCACTTACATCTGTCACTTCCTCTTCCGCCGCCATTACATACATTTAGCACACTATCTTGAGGTACATCCTTTTTTATTGTTAAAAGTTTATATAATGTGTGCTGTGTGTCACTTCTTGATGTCTATTAGTAACATAGCTGTTAAACCATTTTTAACGTAAAAAAGGTTACAAACCTTAATTAATTCTAGTTCCTTTAGTTTCAGTTTAAACCTGATGTTATACAATTGTTTTTCCGATTTGACCGTTGTAATCGTGAGAAAAATGCTTCATGTTTCCTAATTTAACCAACTTGTAGCTGCAATAATAATAAAGTTAATAGTGTTCAAGGACTATAACATTCTCGAAAAAAAACGAAACGTTAACGTTTGTGTGATTATATTATGTCTGAACATTCGTCTAGAGTCCTTACCTAATCTCTTTCTTCAGTGAACAAAAGTAATCTATGCACTTCCAATTGATCGAGGACACCCTGTATAATTATGCAATTTTCTAAGCCACGTGAACAACTGAACAGAAAACTGATTCTAAATTTAAAAATCGCATATTTTTTTATAGAGCAGACATTCTTCTGACAACGAAAGTGAGAGCGATAGTAAGAAGAAAAAGAAGTCTGAAAAAAAGGTTTGTTTAATATCGTAACAGTTTTTTTTTGTAAATAATGCAATAATAATCAGTACTAATAAAGTAATTATAAGAAATGCTGTGCTCGTTGTATGGTTGCTGCTTGTTTACTGCTTCAAACACTGTGGATGTAAAATGAGGCGTCTGTGTGAATTATGTGATTAATGAACTGCCAGGAAATGCTGCTGTAAAAGATCGTGACCAGTTTTGCAAAATCGGTACTATATTTTTGGTTTCACATGCAATTGTGAATGAATAAATGTTAAAAATGCTGTGCTGACAAATATTGTGAGGTTTTACATACAGCGCTACTGTAATAATATGATATGTGGCAATAAAGTTTAATTACAGTAAATTGCTGGTATCAAACTCATAAGGTTTTTTAAGTCATGTTCGATGCACATAATCCTTGCAGTCGCCTCTTAACCAATAAGGTTTCTGGGCTGGAACAGACTCACAAACATCTAATACCTACATTAATATATCTTCTGCAAATACAATGTACAAAGGTGCTTTCAAAATTCCTAGAATAAGTAATTGGGTCAAAGCACTAGAACTTTTGAGTTACTTGTTGTGGCGTCGCCAGTTTTAAGAAAATGGTGTTCTTGTGTTAACAATTTCTACTTTAAAGGTAGGGTTTTTTTTATTTAATACAGCTTCACTATTTTTTTCCGAAATGCAGAATTTAATTCAGTGTTACTAATTATTTTCTTCTTTAAAGTTCTTGCCAGTTCCTTCCATGTGCATGTATGTGTGACTCACATTTTGCTGTTATATGTATACTGATGAATTATGAAGTTAATTTTTGTGTCGATTTTTAAGGGAAAAACTTCCACTTCATCAGATGATGGAGATAGTGACCGCACAAAAAAGAAAAAATCTAAAGATAAGGTTCGATTAGCTTTTGATTATTGTTTTTACCCCTAAATACATTGGAACTGCACCAAAAAATGTAAATTATTTTTTTTTTGCGTTTAGGAAAAAGCGAAGTGGCGTAAAGATAAGCTTCTTACTTCGAAATTATCTGAAACTGACTCCGAGGAGGAATTGGAAAAACATAAGAAAAGACGCGAAAAAAAGAAATCGGAGGCACATCATAAGTAAGTTACTTTCGTTTACGATTTGTAAATGTTAGTCTTAATGATTCTCGTTTTATTAACGTAGTTGGGCAGATGAGGATCATCAGAAAAGTAGTACAAAAGTTAAGAGGTAATTTATTGTGTTAGTTGTCTTGTTATACCCATCGCTTTTACTAAAAAGACTATCCCGCGGTGAAAGCTCTTTCTGTCAAGACCAATTATATGAAAATCGGTTAATCTAAATCGAATTTACATTCAATTCCTTTAAGAGACGTTCCCCTTTCCCCACCCGTCATAGTTTATGAGCTAGCGCTTCATCACATGATGCAAAATCATGCAAGATTGCGATGTATGCATTTTTTATGCATGTTTGTTGGGTATATTTTGGGAAATAAATCATTTTTCTACGTATCTTAAAGTCACTAAATATAGAAAGTACCGCAATCCATTGGGCTCGTGTGTTAGAGAGAGAACGCATGATTTTTTCCCAAAAATGGCGGAAGTTACCAGATTCTAGTAACTTTAATGTTAGGGATTGTTCCACCTGTTTGGAGATATCTGTATATATTTTTATAAAACATGACAGTACCCGAGGAGTTAGGTTATAAAAAATGACAGGTATTCAGATTTTATTTGTCAATTTTTTTAAGTTGGCAGTAAATTTGCCCAAAAATGGCGGATGATTGCGGTACTTTCTATATTTAGTGACTTTAACGTATCTATTAATCGTACGCCCTCTAGCGGCAAACCTAAAAACTTTATAATAATTTTCAGCGATTTCTTTTGGCCTCTTTGTTAACAAAATCTTTTTCCCCAAGCCCTGCAATTAACGGTTCCATAGTAGATATGACCTATGACCTTTATTATAGGACACCTTGTATTAGAAGTAGTCACAGATGGTTCCTGCACTACAGGCACACATCTTTTGTGCTCCCCTGTATTATCTACCTTTCAAGAATGCCTATATCTTTACAGTCCAGGTTTTGGATAGAGCGAACCTGTGTTACTTCCCCTTGGGTAATTTTTTGATTTTTAGTAAACATTTCCTTTGTCTCACATTAGCAAATGACGTGTTTTTTTGTAATTTAAGAAAAGAGAAATTTTGACGTAGCTTTGAGATTACAGTGGAGAGTAGAAAAGATGAATTAAACGAGACCTCCCTCCTCTATTTGGAAGAGTTTATTCTCACGTCCTTAAGATATCTGTCTCTTTGAAAAAGTCTTACTGAAAGATGAATCTTCCTTTTCGGGAACGTGTGTTGATGTATTAAACGCCTCACAATTGTTATTTTATGTGCTATTCCGCATGCTGGTAAAGTTTCTATAAAAGTAACTGCTGATCTTCTATGACTATCCTGTCGGCCATTTCGTTACCATTAACAGAAGACGGTTCGGGTACCCACATCAGCTTGATATTTTTTTCCGCCAGCTAGTCGAGGTTTGGGATGCGCTCCAGTATCGAGCCAGATTTCACATACAGCACTTTCATTACCCGACTTGTTACAATTGAGGTTCATTTGTTACCAAAGTATCTCTCCAGTAGAATGTGGGTACAGACGTCAATTGCAAAACCTCGCCTTGGAATATTGTTACGTAATGGCAGAGACTGGTTGTCATATCCGATATGTACTCCCATTTCTGTTGCAGAATTGGCTGTGTAGTACAAGTCTCTACTGAGCTTTAAGGTGCCTTTAGTGCCTTAGATTTGGGTAGTAACGATAAAATGGACGTTTTAAACTATCCTTGCTCTTTAAGGTGTATTGATTGTAAATGAAATTTTTGCAAGTGTATTTACTTTTGCAGCCATAAAAACTACAATATCGATTTCTTTTGGCCATTGTAAATAAACGAAATGGTGTTCTTATCCCACCAATATTAATTACAATGTGCTGCCACCAGAGGTCTCACTGTTAATCTGAATTGCGATTAGACGAACTCAGGCTTGGTTGTTGTAAATTTAGGAATTGTCCAGCGAATTAGAACAAGAACTTCGTTGTGTTGACAATTACTAAACCTCTGCACACTCCCGCCATTTCCCTTTATGCATACTTGTGTACTGCGCATGCACGAAATTTATTATACAGTGTGTAAAGCGATGGGGTATACAAGAGCGAATTTTTTTTTAAATATTGATTTATGAAAAAAATTTATTCTTCATGATATTTTTTGCTTGCTTTGAAAGTACCAATAACGTTTTGATAATCTAAAATTTATTTATAGGAATCTGGAAAAATAATAAAATTAATTTTTTTTATTGATAGTTATCATTCATACATTATAATCAAGATAGCGTATTGCTATCAAACCACAAACAATTGAAACGTTATTGGTACTTTCAAAGCAAGCAAAAAGTATCATGAAGAATAAATTTTTTTCATAAATCAATATCTAAAAAAAATTCCCTCTTGTATACCCCATCGCTTTACACACTGTACATACATATATTATTGGAGAGAGGCACTACCCTTTGCCTTTTAAAAAATGGTTTTGTATTTTCCTTCACAAAACAAGTTTAGACAAGTACACTGGTTAATTTTGTTTTTCTTGGATAGATTATGTGGCACTCATACGTGTATCCTTTTGACACAGATTTCTACTTACGCCTTTAACATGTCATAGTTTTTAGGCAAATGACTTTTTTGGGAAAAATGTTTTATACATACAGATGTAAAAGTAAGGGGATAAAAAGGAAAAGGGGTAGTGTACACTCTAATTAAACACTGTATAATTTAAATGGGCGTTTATTGAACAGTAACAATGGTAGTACGGGAGCCTAATAAGGGATTTTGGAATTTATTCAAGCGTGTCAAATTAAAGTAAGGTGGGTTGACTACATGTTGAAAAGTGTGCATTTCAATAATATGACGAAGGGAACTTGCAAAAAAAAACGTTACCTTGACATTCTCGGCCCGTTGAATTTTTTTTTTATTTCGAAAGAAAAGTTCAATGCGTTCAGTAGCTGTTGAAGCATGTCTGTTGACAGAGATCATAGGCGGTCGTGTCATAAATTATACATACAACGTTCCAAATATCTGACGCGCTCGAGTAAATCCCGTTTTCTATCCTTACGTACAGCCTCCCCCACCATGAAAACCGGCAGATTAACATACCTCCAATATCAGAGACACGTGGGCCACTATCGATACCTGACGCGCTCGAGTATTTTCACGTAACTTTTTAGCGCATTTCCACAAAAATAAAAAAAAATGCACTATTATGGCCACTTTGTCCGTCCGTCAGTCCGTTCGCTCGTTTGTTGAAACGCAACTAGTTCTTTATCTTAAGAGCTATTGTACTACTTTTTTCGCTATTTGGTTCGTTATGGTGTCGAGGCTTGCACAAAGGAAGGAATTTTTTCTGCGTTTATTGCTAAAAAAGTTATTGTAAAAAAACCAAAAACCGTTTTTTTCGTATTCCATAATTTTACACTTTTGCCGTTTATTAACGATCCTAGAGATCGTTTAAAATTTGGTTTTGCGCATGCGCAGTGTCAACTTTTTTAATTATGGAAGCATTTAAACGAAATTTGATACCTCACCACTTGGAACAAAGGAAAATCTAACGTTAGTTTCAAAATTTAGGTTTGGGGATGGGCAGTGCCAACTTTCTTATTTATGAAAGCATTGAAATGAAATTCTTCTTATAAACTGAAATTGAAGTAGCACGTCAAAAATGGATTGCACCTATGCAAAGCTATATTTCAAGGTTTTTTTAATGTAATTATCTCAGATAGCTATTAATTTATTATTTGGGTACTCTGGTATAATTAAGCTGCCTTAGCCCGCCATAATAAAATCTGTCTTCATGTTTATCGTTATTCCGCTTACATTATAGAATTGCTCAGAAAGACCTAATATTAAATAATGTTTTAACAGGCGTTCAAAAAAGATAACTATTATATCTGATTCGGACGAAAAAGACGAAGAATATCAAGCAAGCGGCAGCAGTAGCAGTAGTAGTAGCAGCGAGTCAGAAAAAGAAGAAGAGAAAGTCAAGGAGACGTAAGTCATATAATATTACGTACAATATTGTGTATTCATTTTAAGCTTTTATTTTAGTAAAAAACGTCGTAGAATTAAAAGAGTTAATGACAGTAGTGACGATGAGGATAAATCCACCAGAAAGACCATTAGGAAAGTGATCGGCCACGAGTCTCTTGCTGAATCAACGAAGAAAGCCGAAAAGGAAGAAAAAGAAAGGAAGGCTCGCATACTGGAGCGCCAAAAGAAGGTTTAACTTCCAATCTATGGTAACATTCATTGTAAATGTTTCAAATTTCAGTATAACCAAATTTTCGACGAACCTAAAGATGCGACTTTAGAGAAGCTAGTGTTGGATTTTGACGTGGAAAGTAAAAAAGAACTGTTGTCTGTGAACCCAACTATTGTCAAAAAGCTAAAGCCCCATCAAGGAAAGGGTGTTCAATTCATGTGGGACACATGTTATGAGTCAGTGGAGAGGGCCAAATCTACTGCAGGTTCCGGTTGTATTTTGGCTCATTGTATGGGTCTTGGAAAAACTTTACAGGTGATGTCTGTGTTATTTTTTAATTGTTTAATTTGACACTGGTTGTAGGTTATTGCATTGACACACACTCTTTTAACAAATGATGAAATTACTAACGTTAAGAATGTGTTGGTTGTGTGCCCTTTAAACACAGTTTTGAATTGGGACTCTGAATACAAGAGATGGTTGCGTGATGTGGAGGGACCTGAAATAAACGTATTTGAAATGGTGTCCAGTAAAAACAACGCGCGAGAATTTGTAGTCGAAGATTGGTATAAAGAGGGAGGCGTTTTAATTATTGGTTACGATATGTTTAGAAATTTAACGAATCCAACAAACAAACGCTTGAAAAAGAAAGCCAGAGAAATTTTTCAAAGAGGCCTTGTCAATCCGGGTTGGTAAATGCTCTTTAACGACATGTATGTCATACATTGTACATTTTAGGACCTGATTTAGTTGTGTGTGATGAGGGTCATCTTCTAAAAAATGAAAAAACAAATTTAAGTATCGCAATGAATAGAATTCGTAGTGTAAGAAGAATAGTACTTACTGGAACCCCTATGCAAAATAATTTGAAGGAATATTATTGCATGGTTCAATTCGTAAAACCAAATTTATTAGGAACTTATAAAGAGTATATAAACAGATTTGTCAACCCTATCACTAATGGACAGTACACAGATTCAACGCCTCACGATATAAACATTATGCGAAAACGATCTCACGTGCTGCATACAATGCTGGACGGCATAGTACAGGTATATTTCGATAGTTCTAATCTGTAAATATTTTGATTCAATTTTTTAGAGAAAAGACTATTGCGTGTTGACGCCATATCTACCTCCGAAGCATGAATATGTGTTATTTTTAAAGCTTACTCCTGTACAAATTAAATTATACCAACATTATAAGAGTAACTTTTCACAAAAGCCATCGGAGGGAAAAATAAAATCTTCATTTCTATTCAAAGATTTTCAACAATTCCAAAGAATTTGTACTCATCCGCGAGTACTTTTAATGAAAAGTAGGGAGGTGCAGGCAAAGGTTGGTATATTATTATTTCAACATTGTATAAACTGTTTAGATATTGCTACATCTAATATTTCTGAGGGTTATATTTGCACTCGACGAAATTGAATCATTTGATGTGAAACTTACTCGCCTAACAAAACTTGGTTAGAATTTGGTGATTTCTGGATGATCCACTGTTATTATACAGGGTGTTTACGGTCTTCTTTGTATCCTTATAAGGGGCGGCAGTACAGCTCAAAAAGAGTCGACAAACCCCAAAACACCTTAGTAAAAGTTATCTAATAAGCGAGATAATATTTGTTTTATTTTTTACATTAAACGATTAATCAGTGTACAAATCGAGCAATCTACTACTTAATCAGCATTGTTCACTTAGGTAAATTATTTTTTAGGGCATTTTTTAAGAATTAAAAAAAAATATTATTATTATTTGTGTTTTGTCCATTTCGAACTACTTTTAGGGGAATGGTCCTAGAGTTCTGGAATTGTTTGCAGTAGGTAGCCTATACCTTCAAGGCGTGCCATCAAATTTCGCTATCTAAAAGGGGGGCCCAACCCCACGAATTATTTCCTGAGAGGCTGTTTTTGAAAGTAAAACGTGCATAACTTTTACATACGACAACCAACTTGGTCTCAGTGGTGCCAAGTTAAACTAGAAAACGGGTGGATGGTATCAAAGTACGGGTGGAGGGGGAGGGGGAGTGGAACTAGTTTTATCTTTAATGGTACTCTAATGAAAGATCTCAATGGAAGGAATTAATTTCTACCAACCATAGCCCTCCGCCTCGACCTCTTATCGTGATCGGGTATATTCCCTTATACGTTAAAAACGGATTGTCAGAAGAGGGTACTCACAAAGGGCGATTAAAATGTCTGCAAGAAATATATCCATTGGTGATGTCAAAACAAAAGCTATTTCGGTTAAAAAAAATGTGGTTTATCTGCACAAGAGTTGTGCACAATTTATAGGTACTTGTTACTAAGGTGTTTTGGAGTGGTTTGTCGACTTCTTTTGAGCTGTACTGGCGCCCCTTAAAAGGATACAGAGAAGATCGTAAACACCCTGTATAGATAATTTTAGAAAACACATTCTGATAGCAGTTTAGGGTGTAAAACTAGTGCCATTTATTTCAATATAAGGTAGCCCGTACATTTTTCTATAATAGAATTCTGTATTTTTATATGTAGCTTTATACTGTATTCATTTTAAGAAGGTAGCGGTAGAAAGCATAGGGAAACTTTGACTTTCAGTGTGATTGGTTAAAACACGAGTCAGTATTACACTGAAACATAAAACGAGTAGCGAATTTTGCAAGCTGGTAGTTTCTGTTGCCAACTAAACTGTTGAAATATCAAAGATTTAAGGTCCACGCAAACCGACGCGGACATGCGGACGCGGGAGCGGTACGGTTACGGGAAATATTTCTACAGCGGTATATGCGTGCGAACCGCCGCATCGATGGGCGTGCTCGCATATCCCGCTGTAGAGATATTTCCCGCATGCGGTACCGCTCCCGCATCCGCATGTCCGACGTCGGTTTGCGTGGACCTTTATTTCTGTTTGCAGTGCTGGATATTTCTACTGTACAATAATTTGGTGCCATTTTATTTTTTTCCTGTGTGTGTTTATCTTCAAACACAGCGCCATCTACTATCTTCTTATAATGAATGCAGTATAACTACATATTTTTGTAAAGCATTTTAAGGGCCTCAAGAAAATTTAAATGTGTACTGGGTGCGCCATATACAAAAAAGAAGATGCATGTTATAAACACTTTACAAATCACCCTAAACTGCATCAGCTTATTCTACACAAAAACTGCTTTGGGTCTTATTTCAGAAATCCATGTGGCACAGTTTAGTTAAAGCTGTGGATCCATGGTTAGAATCCGGATTTGGGCATGGATATTTGTAAATGTATAGGGGGTAGGGTTAGTAGAACGGTATTGGTAGAAACTTTACCCACTCAAAAAAAGGCAAAAAAATACCATCATGAAAGCACCAGCGACATTCTCCTAATACTTGTGTTGTTGCCTCTTTCATGTTTATGGATCATGGCTATTTTTCACAACAGCAAAAATGAAAAAGATGTAGAACTAGTTGTATTCGTGCGCCTTTGATTATTTGTATTGGAGTAGCCAATTTTTGTCTAGTGTGTTCTCTCTATTCAGCGGCAGGATTTTCTAAAATAGAGTGTTTTTAGCGGTTTGTTTTTCAAATTGGCAATACTGTGTAGTTTCAATTTGACAGCTAACAGTTGATTGTGCTCAGTAATGTTTACTATTTCACCATGAATAGACTAAACAGCAGAACAACGCTTGCAAATTGTGGAAATTTATTTCGAAAATCATGGTTCACTTCGCAAAACTTACCGAGGCACTACCTCCATTTTACGGTCGACATATTCGTTCATCCAAGCAACATAATTGAATAATCATGAATCGTTTTCGTATGACTTGTACTCAAATTGATAATGCGCATCTGCAGAGTGCGTACTGAAGAAACTCGTGCAAGAATGAAAGCCCCGTGATCCATCGTTTGCGACGCACGTCGGGCGAATGGTCCAAAAACTGTGGTTAGTGATGAGGCTCATTTTTGGTTGAGTGGGTACATCAAAACAAAATTTCCGGATTTGGATGTTCAAAATCCAGAAACCATTGCTAAATCCACAAACAAGTACTTGTAGTATTTGATGTGCTTTTGGTCAGGAATCATTGGCCCATATTTTTTGGAACATCAACTTTGTGAGAATGTGACAGTCATTGGAGAGTCCATGATTAATGATTTCTTCGTTCCACAATTGAATGGCGTTAATATGGAAGAGTTTTGGTTTCAACAAGACGGCGCAACATACCACAGAGCGCACGAAACAATCAATTTATTGCAGGAACCGTTCATTAAGTACATAAATTCGCGTAATGGTCTTGTGAATTGACCTCCATGATCTTGTGCTATCACAGCTTGATTTTCTGTGAGGATATGTGAAGTTGCTAGTCTATGCCAACAAAAAAATGTTGGACCACTTGCAAGCAAAAATTCGCTGCTTTATTGCTGATATATGGCCGAGCCTCATCCGCGGTAGACATACATCTGCCTCAGTGCCCCCACTTTTTGCCTCGGGTCTTTCAAAAGGATCTTACGAAGACCACCAAGTGCCTGCTCCGTCATCTGTCATAATTCAGCTGAAGTCTTAGAGCAGTGTTTCTCAAACTTTTTTGTCTGGCAGCACGAAAATTATTAAACAAAATTCGCGGCACCCCTAGTATTATTTTTTTGCTTTTTTACAGTTAGTAAAGAGATGAAGGATGAGTCTTTACAACAAAAATTTCTAAACACAAAAGCATTTAAAACTAGTTGTCAGGTAAACTCCTGGCTTGACTTTCCGACTACTTTTAATAGTCATTGCAATTTATTATCTTTGGTCATAGTCATGATACTACAACTTAACAAGATATGATCACGCGCACGATCTCTTCTGTCTCCGTTCCTCCGCTGACGTCAGCGCGTGACAAACTTTTGGCGCGTCTATTAGTATAGTGCTTGAATGCCCGCATTTCATTTTGTTTCCTTTAGTTTAATTCGTGAAATTTTGTGATTGTAGTGCTGTACGGTTTATTTTAAATACGAGTACATTCTACAATCATGGTGTACTGTGCCGTTGAAGCTTGTACCAATAACAATTAACAATAATAGAAACTCTGTCGAGCTGCCGGTATTTTAGCTTCTCAAACGATAAGGAAATTTGTCTACGTCAGAAAAATTCCCGATGGCGTAGTAGGAGCGAATTTAACACCACTAGCATAATTATCTGGAATTTATTAATCAGAAGGGCATTTCGATATGAGTATTTACCAAATAATCTCTGCAACGTAAATTTAAGCTAAACAAGAAATTATCGATAATGATTGGTTTAATTTTAAAAAATAACATATTTTCATATAAACCAAATTTTTACGAGAATACTCGATAGTACCTATTTACTATCTTCTAGTATGCGAATAGTATTTTACATTATTAGCCAGGTAGGTGAGTTTTTACTGGCGATAGAAGTTACCTGGCGTATAATGTACAATATTTTATTTATTACTCATTTATAAACAATTAGTAAACGTAAACAATCAGTTCTAATTGATCTCGAAGAAATGTCTATATCGCAATCCATGTAACAACGCTTACGCACTAATTGTTGTCAATGAAATTCTCATATATTATTAACTAGTAAAATTTTTACAGGTCAGCAAATCGAGAAAGTAAAAAAACGTTTCAATTGAGTAACAAATAAAAACCCTTTTCTTGCTTTTCTCCACAATTATTTTTATAAAAATAATATGCTCCATATTCGTCTGTCACCTGTCTGTCTTTAGTCTAAATAGCCTATTTAGAAGGTGGTTTTTATTACTCTATGACACCGAACTTACTTACCGTCAACGGAAAATATAAATTATTATTTATTAGCAATAAAAATCCTAAAGAAATTACATTAAAAGCCGGTCTTTGCCTGATTTCCTGCGGTAAGTTTGTCACACGGTGACGTCATGCGCGACTCTGTTCGAAATGCGTTCTGCTAGTGATCATATCTTGTTAAGTTGTAGTATCATGGGTCATAGTATAACATTTAGAAAATGCCCTCTACCGCCTTTATTTTGAACCCGACGCAAAAAGTGTAGAAACCTTTTTTGTAGATCTCATCAAGACACATCTTTTTTGTAATTGACATTTTTCACTCTGATGCTTACTTTTAGAGAAAAATGAAATTTATGAAAATAAAATAAATAGTTTTTCAAATCAAAACTTCTCAGAAACAAAGGAACTCACAAAAAAATTGTAATGAACTTTTTTGTAGAGTTTTTTAAGCCATTTTGGCCAGTGTATGCAAAAAAAATTTTTTCATGCCGTTATGTCTCTTAAAATTTTGACACCCTCAACAACCTTGAAGATGGTTACGGATCAAAACCAAAATAGGACATTTTCGATTCCCCATACCACCCTATATGCACCCCAAATATAAGTTATAAGATTGAGAAAGTCTGATGTAATGCAATACCAGCATGTGATTGATTAATGGATTATGAACCTTAGAAATAAATAAAATAGAAATGAAAAAAACAGAATTGTAATAAAAAAATTTTTATAATTATCTTAATTCCTTGTTGACGGTTCCGAAGAACCGCCACACAAGCCAAAAGCTCCGGTGCAACTGTCTCCCTCACCTAACTTTGTAATATGACACTACACTGTTCTAATTAAAAAAATTGTTGTAGGATTTGCTAACTACAGACGAAGATTCTGAAGGTTCTCTAAAAGATTTCATAGATGACGGATCTGAAAAGTCCAGTAGCAGTAGCTCTAGCGAATCAGATGGCGAAGTTTCTGACAAATCGACGGATTCTAAAAAAAAAAACACCAAAAAACCTCAGAAACGCATGACTAGAACTTCAGCGGCTGCACAAACAATTGGTAAACAAACATTAAAACTTCAATGTGTTAATTTGGATTTCAGATGTGGAAAAAAGAAGTACAGCCCCTCAAGGATGGTGGAGTCAGTATTGCAGTGATGAGGACTATGAAAACATTGGGCTAAGCACTAAACTTTACCTACTATTTAAAATTATAGAGGAATGCGAACTGATAGGAGATAAATTGTAAGTGTTCGTTTTTCAAATAGAATTCTTTCATTTGCAATTTCTTAATTTACAGATTAGTATTTTCACAGTCTTTATTATCGTTAAATATAATCGAATATTTTTTGGCCAAAATTGATGATGCTACGCAGCAAGATAAGCATGACACTGTGTGTGGTTTTTCTGGTTCGTGGAGCTTGGGTCAAGATTACTTTAGGTTAGATGGTTCAACGTCTTGTGATAATCGACAACATTGTTGTAAACGATTTAATGATAAGGACAATTTGCGTGCTAGGTAAGTAACACTTAAACAAATAAAGTCAGTTCTTCATTACCTTTAATAGCAATAAGCCCAGGCACCCATATCTGTTTCATGGTATTAATTACTTTCCACAAGCTGGCCCAGGTCGCAAATGCACTCCAGCACAAAACCAAAATTTACTTCTTGGGTCCTTTTAATCTCACCTGGTTATCAATTACTATAGAGATTTTCCTGTTTTCAAAATTACTCTCTAACATCTGGGCGCAGGCGTTAACAGAAAAAATCTCTCTATAGACATAGTTGTTGAGATAATACCTATGGTGTTCTCGTTGACAGCAGTGTGGATGTTCTGTTTTCTAACATGCAGAAAATCCACGTGGATTCCTCTGTTATTGGCTATTTATATACTAAGGATTCTAATAGAAACTCGCTTCTTTTGTTGGTATGTGTGCTATCTCATACAATGAATTTGAATTGCATCCAATGACATTTTACCAGTTTTGAATCATACCATGCTCCACTATTTGTTTAAATTCCATGATCAGTGGCAATCCCGCTTGTACTGCCACTGAAACTTCCGCTAGGTCCCTGCCACAAGGGTTCCATAATGGCGTTACTGTTATGCCTTATTTGGCTATTACATAGATGTATCATAAATGACCCACTTCACGGCTTCACCTAGTCCTCTCTTGTTTTTACACCATCATAATGCATTTCCGTTTTCAAGGTCGCTTTTTTATGCTAGGTAGGCTGCAGTTTTCATACTTCCCTCTGCTTCCTTTTGCCATTTTGTTCTAAGCCAGCATTATCTTTCAGCAGGTGTATAGCTTCAGTTCACATTCTTTTTCTGCCCTGAACTACAAGTTTCAACATTTTTGGATAATATTGCGCAGTGGGTCTTATTTTGGTTGAGGCTGAAGTATATCTCAGCTGTTTTTAAAGATAGTTAATACCACAATAAACGGAATCAATCTAGCTACGTTTGTTTCTGAGATATGAAAAGTTTTACTTTTTAGGATGTAATCGTAACTTACTACCCATGTAAGATAGCCAAAAACATAAAAACTTTCTATTTTAGATACTTTTACGTAGAAACAAGTGTCATAGTCAAACAAATCTTTGGACCACAGTTTCTGAGATTTGACCTATTGTTGGTATTTTTTAAATGCAATACCCTGTACATCTTAAGGTCAATTGTTTTCCTGATTAGATCACAACCCATATTTTCTTAATTTTAGCCATGAACACTTTTTTTTGTGTTTTCAAATAGTAGGCCATGAATTTTGGGAGGTTTTGTTTTGTTCATTGTATCAATGGTAATTAAGGCAGCTAGTATCGTTCAATAAAAATGGCTGATGGTAGAAACATGTCATTTCAATAAATGATTTAGAAAACTGAACAAACTAGGTTTATTTATAAAAATTTTTTCTCTAAAGGCGATCGATTTCGGGACTAATTCCCATCATCAGGATGGGAATTAGTCCCGAAACCTAGTTTGTTCAGTTTTCTAAATCATTTATCATTCAACAAACTACAAATGGACACCTTCATTCAAACGCATGTCATTTCAAATTTTCAAAAATATGTAATTACTTAAAAAATATAGGTTGTGATACATTAATGTAATCAGGAAAAAGCACACAAAAAATTGACATTAAAATATTCAGGATGTTGGAAAAAAAAAAAATACCGACTTTCTGTCAAATCTCAGAATCAGTGATTCAAAATTTTTTTACTACGCCACTGGATTCTAGGTAAAAATATCTAAAATAGTTTTTTCTATCTTCCATGGATAGTAACATTATAATAACACTCAAAAGTGAAACTTTTCGTTTTCATCCTCCTATCTCATGAAACAAACGTCATGGATTGATTCTGTTTGTGGTAAGTATTAAAAGTTTCACACTGATACAGGATTGCGAAACCGCAAGTCTCAACCAAAAGTGAGGGAGTATGGGAAAGCAAAATCGAATTGTTGTGTCTTCCCATTTTCAACGTCAAAGTAATTAAATAGGTTCACGCTGTTATAAATTGTGCATATTGTGGCTTGTAAAATAATAATTAACTGTTATAAATGATCCATTTTTGAGCTGTTATAAATTTGTTCTTAATTAATTGTAAATTAAAATAAACCCACGGTATTTAATTTAAATTCTGTAATCCATTTTTGTTTATGTATGGAGGTAATTTTTGGTTATTATATTGATTAATGTGCGGTGAGCCATTTTTGATAGACGTTGATTTGGAACCCGGCATTTTTATAGAATTTCCAATCCAAGAGATTCTTTGGTGTTCCCACGATGCGGACCTTTTTTTTGGAACTCACATTTGTTTATCGTTTTTCAAGAATCTTATTCTTACTTATTGTCACTATGTTTGTCATTTTATCAGATTGCCGGTGGGATTGCATGAGTAACTTTTAGTATTATCCATTGTATTTATACCTTACAGTACGGCCATGCAATGTTAAAAACATGCGACGCTTATTTGGGGGCCAGGAGATTAGTTCTGGGGGCCTACCAGAAAAGTACAAAATTAGCGCTGCGAACACTCGGTTAGGTAACTATAATAACAACAGTAAAATTACAGAAACCTGTATCTCACTTCGTATACGATATGGCGACACGGAATGACAATAAGCAAATGAAACTTGATACTCGTCCTTCACCTTCCTTTAATTAATAATTCACTTGAAGCGGAAACTCTGTCCTTAGTGTGGCATTCCAGACTAATAAGATAAAATGTCTGATTTTATTCGGTGGAAGACTGGAAGTAAATTATAAATTAAAATTATGTTAAAATGATTACGGGAAGGGGTATTGTCTAAAGCTAAACTATAAAGTATTTAATCAATGGATGGAATTTTAAAAATACATAGGTATACAAACATTTTTTTTCAATTTTTGTTAGTGTCCTTTTTCGGGTCAGCTCCATGTCGGCTAATAGTTTTTGTATATTTATAAGGAGGTACAGATTGATAATGCAAGCATTGCATTGCAAGTACATCACCGGACACTGAATAAGAATTTAAATGCATACAGAGAAATGTTGGCTCTTTGTTGCGATAGCCGATTTGTCTTTTTTATCACTCGAACGACAGTTTGAATGTTGAATTACACCATTATCATTGATTATATAAATATATCCTATGAACAATGCCATTATACATACATTATACAACGATCAAATTTGCTTGACCACATCGTGCATGATAAAATATGTGCAGTACACCCATGATTATGCCAGTAACAAAACCAGGAGCATTCATTGTTTATAATTCTTGATCTACGCAAGAATAGGCTCATTGTCGCTTTACGTTTGAAATTTTAAGATAAACAGAACACTGTTGTATTCCCATGCAATAAAACCATAAACACGAAAAATGCCAGTACGGCTTGAACTCTTTGATCCTCTGGCCAATTTAAGGTCTATCTGCATATTTTTTTGTTAAGCTTTACAGCTCTTGAAAAATGATAACACCGAACATCTGAAAAGAACAGGCGCTAAACGTGCAACTGCAAGTAATATTTCTAGTGTTCCGTTTCCCACCTAGTGCAATAGTCGTGTCGTTTATTTAAATAAAACAATTGTGTATGTACTTTTTTTAACAACTTTTTAATAAGAACAATAATTATAAGTGTATTTGAGTTGCCAGCATTCCAGAATTATTAATTATGTCGGGTCATAAGTGCCAGTACGTTACGTGACGATTTTAAATCCGAGACCGACAAGCAGGAAGTAGGAAATTGTTTTGTTTACTAACAAGAGGTGCCTACTTCAATCCTATTTATAGAGGAACCCGCACGTACCTACACTGACAGAAACCTTTAATTTTCAATTGTTCCGCTGGTTAGAGTATTTTATCTTTTTCAGGGACGAATTGTTAAATTTAATTTTTATTTTTGTTCAACAAATCTTCAAATACTTCGGGTTAATCCCTTAAATGCCCAGGAATTTATTTTTGACCATTCAATTAAATCCATTAAATCCTTGCCGCTAAAAACTTTCAATAAAACCTGGAACCTAACATTACAGGTATAGGTAACAATGAAATAAAATACTAATAATAAAGATAAAGAGCGTCTTTATGCTTACAATACAACTTTCATGTAGCATACGTCACCGGCATCCTGTTCGTTATTCGTTTGGTGAACTTTAAAACTTACACAAAGCGTACAGCATACGTAGCAAAAGAAAAAGATTAAATAGGCTGCTTTCAGAGACGTCTGTGGGGGAATACGACACTGCATATGGTTTACTTTTACGCTAAATTAATTTTTGCAGTGCGTTTTAGCGCCATCTATCTAGCTTTATTAACGCGTCGCACTTTTTGCTATACCGTGGCCATACTGGTAAGGTATAAATACAATGGTATTATTGAAGATGGAAATTACTTTAAGTGACGAATTTTGTGTGGTATAACATATCAATGAACTAAATAAACAAAAAAAATGTTTTTACCATATTTTGATTTTGTTTAATTTGTAGATTATTTTTAATATCAACTAAAGCCGGTGGTCTTGGCATAAACTTAGTGGGGGCCAACAGGGTAGTTATATTCGACGTGTCTTGGAATCCATCACATGATACGCAAAGCATCTATCGGGTTTATAGATTCGGTCAAACAAAACCGTGCTACATCTACAGATTTGTCATGTGGGTGAGTTTTCCTGTATTTTATGTCACTTATCAATACATTTTGTAAGATAATAAAAAAACTTATTTTTTTCTCATTCTAAGGGAACAATGGAAACAAAGATATATGAAAGACAGGTGACAAAGCAGGCAATTTCGAAGAGAGTCATTGATGAGCAACAGATTGATAGGCACTATAATCAAACTGATCTAGCCGAATTATATACGTAATTTCACCTTTTTTTAACTTTGCACATTTATAATTAATTCTGTAGGTTTGATCCCGAACCAAATGAGGATATAATACCTCTCGTTCCAAAGGATGTCCTTTTGGGTGAGCTGTTACAAAAGGAGAGGGATCGTATTTTTAAATATCATGAACATCAATCATTACTTGAAAATAAAGAGGACGAAGAATTAAATGAAGCCGAACGCAAAGCAGCTTGGGAAGAATTTGAACATGAAAAAACAACTCGAGTTACAGTCAATGCATCAACCTTAGGTAAGTTGCATCAGTAAATCCTACATGGTTACTTGAATTTGGTCTTTTAAGGTTGGATAAGGAATCTTCCAATATCGAGTATTCACGTAGCATTAAGAAGTATTGTCCAAAGAGATAATCCCAATTGGAGTAGCGATCAAATTATGTGTGTTGTGCCATCGATAGTACAGCAGCTAAGAACCCAAGTGGACGAAGGAAAGCTTTTGGTACGAGTTTGTTTTGTGGATGTTATTACTTAAGCGAAATGTTTGGATAACATTTAGGGAAGGGGTTAAGTTGTCAAATTTTCAAATATTTTTTTAAATAGATAAATCAGTTAAAAAAAGAACTCCTAAACTTTATGACAAAGTTATTTGTTTGAACTACATATCAAGTAATGAAAAATGATAAAAGTAAATAATCTAGAATTGATTAAAATTCCATACTGTTATTTTTTAGCTATTTGAACGAGTTGTTGAAGAGATAAGAACTATGCAAGTAAAGCAACAAAAGAATTTCCAAGAGTATTTGAAGAGACAGCAACAGTTCCAGCAGCAACAGCAGCAGCAGCAAATGCATGTGTACCAACAACATCTCCGTCAGCAAATGTTCCCTCAAGTAAACACATCAGATGTTGTTGAACTGATTGATTAATTTATTGATAGGATAGTGTCTAATTTTAAAATAAATTTTTTTACTGTAAATAGTATGTAGCCACAGTTAGCAGATTTTAATGTTATATTTTGTTACTGTTTCTTTTTATAAAACTTTCCAGAGTTTTCTGAGTTTTTCGTACATAAATTTCATGTGTCTCAGAAATTTAGTTCCCTCATTTCGAATGTAAGTATTTACAATAGTGCAATTACAGTTATTGCACATAATGTAAATACTCGATCATTATATCTTGTATATATTCTTTGATTTGTTTATTATTTCTGTTTCTTCTGTTATAAGAAGCGAATTCTAGAGATATATTTCTGATAATATTTGCTTTCGTTTTCTCGTAGATGTACATGTTATTTCCAATATAAAAAATAGATACTAACATTGTTTTATTTGTTACCTTCAAGGGAAGAACTTTGATTTATGAATTACGTGCCAATTGACAATATTAATTTGTAGTTTGAATTTATCTGCAAATTGCATGAATAAATTTTTCTAGCACTAAAGCTCGAAACAAACTTGTATGCCTTGGTTCTGCTTTCATTGCTTTTGGTATGCCGTGCTCTTGACAGTATGCGACTACATTTAGAAATTTTAAATTAAATTGGCAGTAAGTACGTCATTTAGTTTCTATATATGGATTGCGGATATTGCATAATGTGAATATCACTTGCTGTGGTTTGATTCTATTCTGTATTCCATGCAACACTTGGGCACACAAAGTCTCATTGTGCCTTCTCCAGATCCAGCTTACCCTATTAGACTCACCTAATCTATCTAGAGTTCGCCTGCAATCAAGCGCCGCCGATCGGAACCTCGGCGCCGCTTGACTCACTGCATATAATAATATACTCAGTGACATGGAAATTGCAACACCAAGAAGGAGTAGGAATTTTTTTACCAAACTTGCGGTAGAAATGTTTAACTACTAAAAGGTAACAATTGATTAAAATTTAAAAGAAAAAGAACGAAATATAAACATATTTTTATTAATAATAATAATAGTCCCTCCCTATTGGTTACGCACTCCCTCACTCTTCGTAGCATCAATTTTAGCAGACGGTCGATTTCCTCTTGAGGTACTGTGTACCAAGAAACTGAAGCAACCTGTAATTCATCGTTTAGAGCTTGCATGGTCTGCGGAGGATGCGGTAAGTTCATCAGTCTTCTCTTCATGTCTTACACATGCTTGATAGGCGATATATCGGGAGATCTGGATGGCCATTGCAAGAAATTGACATTATCATGTGCAAATAGGTCCATAGAACGTCTTTCAATATGGGGATGGGTATTATCCTGCTGGAAGAGTGGGTCTTCCAACTACTGAAGAAGTGGAAGAATATCGGGTTCTATCACGTCATCCACATATCGCTGGGCGTTCATACTACCTCGAATGAGTAACGAACGAGACCTACCATAAGTTATAGTACCCCATACCATAGTCCCCACAGCTTGGTGCACATGCCTCGTAACAGAAAATTCAACATTGCGACGTTCTCCACGTCTTCGGTTGCCCCTCATACGGTCATCGTGCATACCCAAACAAAACCACCCTATGCCACTCGAGGTCCCAGCGTAGTCGTAACCTACACCATTCCAAACGCTTCTGGCGGTGTTGGGCTGTTAATGGAAACACAAGATGTGGCCGATATGATTGCAAGCGATAAGGTCTGATTCTGTGGTAAACCGTTCGAAGTGTTACAGGACGACCTTCGTTAGCTAACCATTCATCGGTAATTGACCTGGTACTAGAAAATTGGTCTCTTGTTGCCATTATGGCTCAGTGGTAAGAGCATTGGGTTATAAATCCGAAGGTCGGGTGTTCGAACCTGGGTTGAGGTGAATTTTTCATCTGTGGCGGAGATGGAAATTACCTTCGGCCTGTTCCGAGCATTCTACCGGCTACTCCGAATTAGGTTTTCCTGCAGTTTTCCTAATTCGTAAGGTAAATACCGGAGTAGTATAGACCATCTTAAGACCTTCTGCAGAGGCACCTCTAAATATAGCATTATGCGGGTCACTCTGTAATTGGGCGCATGCTTGTTGAGGGCCCAAAACAAGAGAGGGATAATAAAATAAAAATAAATAAATAAAATAAGTCGAAGATGGCGATCCCGCACTTCAATTGTTCTTTTTTGCCCCCTCCCCCTTCACTGCCCCCTCCCTTTCCTCTTTACGACGATCCTGCCCCTTCCCAAATCCACGCCCGACTGCAGCGAATCATGGTGGATTGGCTTTGGTTAAGGTGACTTGCAATTTTTCTGGCAGAAAAACCACTTGCGTCCAAACTAACAATACGACAGCTGTCGACGTCTCTTAATTCGCGGTATATTCCACGGTGGCGTATTCTAGGCATGATCACAGCCTCAAAAGAAATGATTAAAAGCGAAAACAATAAAAACTGAACAAAATCTCGCAAAACATACACCATATAAAATTAGTAGAAAAAAATGAAAGAACTGTCAAATAAGCCATTACCACTTGATCCATATGAATGAAATTTTAATCAATCGTTACCTTTTAGTAGTTCAACATTTCTGCCAAGTTTGGTCAAAAAATTCCTACTCCTTCTTGGTGTTGCAATTTCCATGTCACTGAGTATATAAAAAACAACAAAATCCTTGCAAAATTAGTTTACTGACAACCCCCTACAAAGGACAGTTATTTAACAATGGGACAAGTTATAGCGTTTTCGATTGGCAAAACTCGTACTGCACGAGAGACTGAAGAAATCCATATGAAAATTGCTCTCAATGGAACATAAATATTCGTAAATATTTGTTGTCATTTGTCCATAACCTCATTTTAGATTTAGGTAATCGACAAATCCCTATTCTAAAAAATGACAAACGATTTCAGTATTATTTATGATAAACGATGAGGAATATAAATTTGAAATTCCTGTAAAGGGCCAATTTTTGGCGTTCAGTTTAATGAGTAAGTGCAACTTTTTGTAAAATAGAAGTTATGGCTAGTTCATCATCTTCGCTATCGCTAGATGACGACAAAAAACTCTCCCAACGCAAGAAACAAATTCAAATTGTCGCACGTTTGTTTTGAAAATTTGTTAACTAGCAGCTCCACGAGCTCTCGGACCTCGTGCGTCGAAATTTGCACTGAGTGCGTAATTGTTGCATCACATTTGCCAATGGAACACAGAAAATTGCCCTAAAATTACCAATAGAACGTAAAAATTGCACTCGTGCAGCACGGGTGTTGCCAATCGAAAACGCTATTAAACGAGAAAGAAAGCACGGTTTTGACGTTAGTTCAAAATGACAACGTACACCTAGAACTATACACAGAACAGTAATATTGTTCTATGGAACTATATAAGGCAACAAGGGAAGCAGGTTCATCAACATCGTCTGTTATGATTACTAAACTAACTGTACCAGATGTGCTAAACAGAATAAAAAACGTTATGAAAGAAAAATGGCAAAATCAGTGGTCTACAGTGGAAACACAGTTGAAAATAATACAACCTGACCTTTTTTGTGGGTATAGTAAGAGTGAAAACCTGAAACGCAAAGATCAAGTTATAATAACACGGTTACGTATTGGCCACACGAAACTAACACACAGTCAGCTCCCACGAGGACAAACACATAGACGTGCTCAATGTGGAGCGGAAATAACTGTTAAGCATGTTATATTCGGAGCTTAGGCTGCTGAAATTATAATAAAGGTAATTCTATTAAACATCTTTATTATTGATTGAACCGATGTCGTCTGTAGGTTGACGTCCGGTAGTGGCGCATGTACCTAACTTGTACATTATGTTACATCTCCCTTTCAACAAGATAACTTCGATTACAAATTTAAACTAATGCTAATTTACTTAACCTATACATAATCCTTATATCTAATAGGCATTTTGATTTCTCTTTTTAATCGTTTTGTACTTGGTTCCGAGTTTACCTCACGATTTTTGCATTTATCACTTCCACCATCACTATTGTCACCTTCACTTTGATTTTCCACCTTACCATCTACAGCTACACTATTTTCTACCTTATCATCTACGCTATTTTCTACCTTATCACTACCCTGCTCTGTACTGTTTGTCTCATCTATGTCAATGTTACTATCAATAGTTGACCTTCGATTTGTTATTGAAGCTGTGCCCGCTTTTTTCAAAAACCATGAATTTCGTTTTAGTACTGACCCTTTTTCATCGCACACTACATATGACCTGGGAGTGCTACCTTTACTAATAATTTTTCCAGTTCTCCAATTTGAATTTTGATCATTCTTTATATAGACATGCTCATTGTTTTTAAACTCGGGACGAGCTTTTGCATTCCGATCATAGTACAACTTTGCTTTCTTTTGTCTTTGCTTTACTGCCTCTGTATTTATGTTAACTACTTTAGGTTTTAATTGAGTTTTAGTAATTGGTAATGTTGTACGTAACATTCTGCTATTCAATAATTCTGCTGGCGACTCATCTAAACCAGACAGTGGGGTTGCCCTATACTCCAGCAGATGACCAAAAATTTCAGAGTTTGTTTCTTCACATTTTTTTAACATGTTTTTGCATATTCCTACAGCTTTTTCTGCAAGTCCATTAGATTTTGGATACCTCGGACTAGCAAAACTTAGTTCCATATTGATTTCTTTTGCAAATTTTTTAAACTCTAAACTATTATATGGATTATTATCTGATACAAATTTGGATGGAACTCCAAAGGTAGAGAAAATTTCTTTCAGTTTGGTAATGACTTCCTTAACAGTTTTGTTATTTAATTTTTTCAGTTCGATCCACTTGCTATAATAGTCAACTACCACTAAATATGAATTTCGATTAAATTCTAATATATCTGAGCCTACTTTTTCAAAAGGTAATTCTGGAGCTTCATGAGGGATTAGTGGCTCTTTAACGTTTGCCCTACTAAACTTTTTACAAACTCCACAGTTAGTTACAAAATTTTCTATGTCTGACGAAAGTCTAGGCCAATAGAAAAGTTTCCTACCCCGCCTTTTTGTTTTTTCTATCCCAAAATGAACCTTGTGCAGTTGTTGTAACATATATTTTCTTAAGGATTCTGGAACAACTAGTTTATTATTATAGAAAATAATACCATTTTTGGTTACTAACTCATTTTTAATTTTAAAATAATGTTTCAACTCTGCATTGTTAAATTGACTTTTGTGGTTTGGCCACCCACTTTCACAAAATTGCTTGACTATTTTTAATGTATGATCAGTTTCTGTTTTGTTTATAATCTCCTCTAACCTATCTCTTGAGATTGGTAATTCCATTTCAACACAATGAACTACTTCTAACATTTCAGGATCATCCATCGTATTCTTATTTATATAAAATCTAGACAATAGATCTGCAATAAACATTTGTTTTCCTGGTAAGTATTCTATTTTGAAATTATATTTTAGTGTTTTTAGTCTCATTCTTTGCAATCTAGATGTTATTTTATTTATATCTTTTTCCTGTATTGCAACTAAAGGTTTGTGATCTGAATTTACTGTTATTCGCTTTCCATAAATAAATTGATGAAATTTATTTAAACTATAACAAATGGCCAAATACTCTTTTTCTATTTGAGCATATCTTGTCTCAGTTTCGGTTAGACTTCTAGAACAGAATGCTACTGGTTTACCTCCCTGCAACAAAGCACCACCCATGCCATACTGGCTTGCATCTGTTTGTACTACTATGGGTTCCTTTGAATCAAATATTTTAAGTGTTGGAATATTAATAATGCTCAATTTTAATTTGTTAAATGTTTCTCTCTGTTCATTACCCCATATGAACTCAACATCATTTTTTATTAATTTTCTTAGAGGACCACAAAGTTCTGATAATTTGGGTACAAATTTACTCAAATAATTTACCATACCTAATATCTTTAATAAATCCTTCTTATTTGACGGCTCACTTAAACATGTGATCGCTTCAATATAATCTGGTTTTACACCTTCATGAGAAAACTCCTGCCCTAAATACTTGACTTTACTGACCTTATATTGTAATTTATCAGGATTAAATTTAATGTTGTACTGTTTTGCCCGTTCTATAAACTTGTTCATTAACTCATCATGTTCTTTTTCATCCCTACCAGCAATTATGCAGTCATCAAAATAAATTCCTATTCCAAGATTTTGAAAAATTTTTTCATTAATTTTTTGAAATACCTCAGGGCTTATTGATAATCCAAATGGTAACCTCAAAAATTTAAATTTACCAAATGGGCTAATGAACGTGCATAAATTACTGCTTTCCTTATCAATTGGTATTTGATAGAATCCATCTTTCATGTCTACTACACTGAAAACCCTTTTGTTTTTTAATTTTACTCCAATTTCGTCAATAGTGGGTATAGGATATTGTTCTAAACAAATATTTTTATTTAACTGTTGTGGATCCAAACAAATCCGCAACTTTCCATTTGGTTTTTCTATGATTACAATATTATTCACCCACTCAGACGGACCTTCTACTTTTTCTATGATACCTTTTTGTACCAGCTCCTCTAAAGTCGTTTTTAATTTTTCTTTTAGCGAGTCTGGCACCCTTCTACAAACGCTTACAAATGGCACATAATTATTTTTTAATTTAATTCTATGTTCCATGGGTATTTTACCTAAACCTTCAAACAAAGTTTTATTTTCATTTATAAATGCAAATTTTAACTTTTCTTTTGGGTCCCTTCCATTACTCCCATTTTCTTTTAACTGACTGACAGAATCAAGCCTTGCAACTAAATTTAGTTTTACACATGCATTTAATCCCAAAATTGGATCACTTTCTACATCTACCACAATAAATTTTAATTTATACTCTGTATTCCTTAACTTGCAATTCAAAATTACATATCCTTTTACTTTTATTCTATTATTACCATATGTTATTATTGTCTGATTTATTTCTTTTAACTCTTTTTGTTTTTGTACTTTCTCTAACCATTTTAAAGGCAACACATTGCACTGTGCGCCCGTGTCTAATTTGAAAGAAATTTTAATACCGTTAATTGTTACATTTTCCTTCCATAGCTTAATGCTACTTTCACACCCTATTTTATCTAAACTAATTAAATCAATATAACAATCGTCATCATCATCATCGTCCTCTACACCCGCTACTTCTAAATTATTGATTTTGTTTTTCTTACTACTAACATTCTTTCCATGCATAAACTTATTCTTATTCCAATTTTTAAATTTACACCCAATTGCAAAATGATTCAGTCCATTACAATTGTGACACGTTTGTCCATACGCAAAGCATTGTGCTATTTGATGATTTCTCCCACATTTACGACAATCATACGTATTACCTGGTGTTTTTGTTGTCTTGCCACCTGTTGCTGCGAGTTGATCTCTCTTTCCTTTTCTTATGATGTCTACCTTGGCATGCTCTTCTTTTAGGCCTTCAACTTGCCTTCTGGTAACTTCGGTGAGCCTGCAGTGCTGCTCCGCATCCTTCAAAGTTAGTTTTGTTTGCCGTAGTAACCTCTCCTGCAGCACTACATCAGTGATACCTAAAATCAATCTGTCCCGTATTAGTGAGTCCTCCTGATCTCCAAAATTACAGGGCTTCGCTAAAACTTTCAAGTCTTTTATGAAACTGTCGTATGTTTCTTCCGTATTCTTGTTCCTCGAGAAGAATTTAAACCTATCATACGTTTCATTATTTCTCGGTTTACAGTACTCTTGAAAAGCTTTAATTACTTCATCATACTTTGCCTTTTGTTCATTAGTGAGACCTAGCGTTGTGTATACTTCTTGTGCTTCTTCTCCCGCTACATTGAGAAATATCGCAATTTTTCTTTTTTCTTCGGCAGTACTTAAACCTGATGCTTCCATGTATATATCAAAAGCATTCTTAAACTTCTCAAAATTCTTGTTTAATTGTTGGTCAAACACCAAATTCGGAGGTGGCTTGAAAGACGATTCCATTTTCACGTGCTTAACCTTACTTTTCTTCTTATTAAATTTTCAGTACTTTACTACTTGTTATTATTAGATGCCTTCTTTCTTACTTTTTAATATTTCTTACGGTTTACACCTGACACCATGTTATATTCGGAGCTTAGGCTGCTGAAATTATAATAAAGGTAATTCTATTAAACATCTTTATTATTGATTGAACCGATGTCGTCTGTAGGTTGACGTCCGGTAGTGGCGCATGTACCTAACTTGTACATTATGTTACAGTAAGGCTGTCTTTTTAAATGGCAAGCTCTGTCTACTGTAGCATATCCACAAAAACGTTACCTTACTATGTAAAATGAGCAATGTCATTTTAGTCTATGGTGTTTTCGGCGAAATAAGTCCTTGTTGAATATTAATTCGACCAATATTGTTTGGCCTAAATGTTCTTCTGGTTTAGTTCAAATGTAGACGCTTTCTGACAACTTCCACTCATGGCAATCATTTAACAAATGTCATTTGCCAAAGTTGCCAAGCAACACACTTATATGTCAGTTTTAACTTCAAAATTTTCTCTGTTGTAATTTAACATTCGACAAAACATTTTCCGAATTACATATCTGTAATTCCAAAAGAGAAATAAAAAGTGTAAGAACTATGAGCGTTTCAGCAACAGAAAATGGCCGTACCTTGCTTGAAAAGCTATGAACTGCGAACACCAATTTGGACGTGATATTTCACTTTTCGAATTTTTGTAGGTACATTTCTCTGAAAGATCGACGTGATGAATGTCAGTATTTCGCCGACCATTTTACGTCTCCTTGGAAAATAAAGTGGTAACCATAGACAAACTTTGTTAGTTGCATAGGAAATTTGTGAAACTACGTAGTCGTCTGGGCGTTACTAACGTATCAAACAAGATTGTTTTGTGAACTTCAAAATTTTAGTTTGACTTTTCCGCGAGTTTTATTTCGAAATTATGGCATGCAAACGTAGATGTAGAAAGAGGGGCACCAATATAATCTGTAAAAGACGAAAAAACTCCCGCTTTTCAAAAAATCCTTTTTTAAATTTTTTAAAAGAGCTGCGTCAGAAATACCCTACGTGGCTATCTTGTAAGTTAACATTGGAGGGCGCTCGGAGATGGTGTAATATGAGTGCCTGTCAAAGAAGAAAGTACCAGTGCAGAGCTATACAAGCCGGAAGGGCTGCTAAACCTTTTCGAACTAGGTGCAAGACTGGCAGAAGAAAGCTCAGATGTAAGTTACAGAAGAGACGACGCAAATGCAAACGGAAAATAAAGAGGCGTACTTGCAAACGAAGAAAAAGAAGGTTGGCGTATACACTCTCAGATCGGTGTTATCGCCATAGAAGCTTCTGAAGCTAATAAGCGTATATTGTGTCGTAGTCGAGTGGTTTCTCGGTATTCATTATTGAATTAGAAATTGATACACAACACAATACTTTATTTACACAAAATGTATTAATATAATATATCGAATAAAATCATACTCAACTCTATACCACCAGCCACACACCATCCTGACTGTTTTACAAGCATGCGCAATAGCTGCGCACACAGTGGCGTAGATACTTTACAATAGTCTCCCCTACTTTATTGAAGAACATAATCAGTTAATTTTGCTGGTGGTCTAATGTCTCTCTTTGATCGCCGTAGTTCTGGAACCGAAACTTGTACATCTGGAACTGGTGTATCCAACACTGGAACGTCTTGCCTTGTAGCATCCAGCATCGTTTGGTAGTGTGAATGTTCATCTTGTGGGAAGTGAAGGCCCTTTGATGTATCTTCTTCGTCTTGTTTCTGACAACGGGGCTCTGGTGGATCTTGAAATTTAACAGATTTCAGTCCACTTTTTTGTAGCTGATCAATATGACGTTTAAATTTATACCCATCGTCTAATTCGACTAAATAGTGCAATTTCCCGAATTTCTTGAGCACTGTACCCGGTTTCCATATGATTTTGTTATTTGCGAAGCATTTTGCAATCACTCTCTCCTTCTCCTGAAGTGAACGCACAGGTGGAGTCGCTGAACTGGAGGAACCCTCGAAATATGGTCGAATCGCATCCAATCGAATTCGAACCCTTCTATGAAGATAGTTTTCTGCTGGTGATTTCCCATCTATAAGTGGGGTTGCCCTATAACGCAGCAAAATGGTTTGTAGTTTTACAGAAATAGATGATTTTTCATTTCTCATTGATTCAAGACGTCTTTTTAGCGTTTGCACATTTCGTTCTGCTAACCCGTTTGTTGCGGGGTGCCCTGGAGCTATAAATTTTTGTCTTATCCCGTGATCACGACAATAATGGCTGAACTGCTTGCTGGTAAAAATGGTTGCATTATCAGAGACGATTTGTTTGGGATATCCATGTGTTGAGAATATACCATTTAATAGCTCAATTGAATTTAAACTATTAGGACTGTCATTTAAAACACGTACTTCTGCCCATTTGGATTTCGCATCTACTACTACCAAGAAGTGTTGATTGCCTATGGGACCCGCATAGTCTATATGTATTCTATCCCAATTTTCGTTAGGCATCTCCCAATGGTGTAGCGGTACTTTCGATGGACTATGTTTGATTTTGATGCACTCGGGGCAGGCTTTGACGAAACTTTCAATGTCTTTATCGATTCCTTTCCAGAAACAATATCTTCTACTCAGTTGTTTCATTTTTGTAACACCTAAATGTGTCACATGTAGTTCTTGAAGTATTTCATTTTGCATTGATTTGGGAATTACAACACGTTGATCTCGAAATAGTATTCCATGGTCGATTGTGAATGAAGAGTCTTTAGAAGTCGAACTTAATTCTTCGATGATCTCTTGTAGTTCTCGATCTTTGCAGGTTTCTTCTCTAATACGGTCAGAATTTATGGTGTCAGTTGAAATATCAAAAATTGTCATTTCATATACCTCGTGCATTTCTTCGTTTTGCAATGCGTCGAATGACATTGAATTTTTTGATTTAATGGGTGCCCTTGAAAGGCAATCTGCGTTTTGGTTTTCAACGCCCCGTTTAACTTGAATATTAAAATCAAAACTGGATAAATATGAGGCATATCGAATAAGCCTTGCTGATGTTGTTTTTGAAGTTTTCGCTTTTGGATGAAAAATACGAGCTAACGGTTGGTTATCCGTAATTAGAGTGAAATTTCTTCCGATTAAATATTGTTGAAAATGGCTTACCCCGAATATTATGGCAAGCGCTTCTCGATCTAGTTGCGAATAGTTTTGTTCCGCTTGTGTCAATGAACGCGACGCAAATGCAATTGGCTTTTCCAAATCATCGTTTTCTACATGTGATAGTACTGCAGCGATACCATAGGGGCTAGCGTCTGTTGATAGAATTACTGGACATGTTGGCTCGAATGGAACGACAACGCGGTCACTGGTAATTTCACCTTTTAGTTTTATAAAGGCAGATTCACATTGTGAGGACCAATAGAAATTCGCATTCTTTGTTAGGAGCTTTCGAAGCGGTGCTGTCATAGTGGATAAATCTGGGAGTAGTCTGGAGTAGTACGTAATCATGCCTAGAAATGTTCTAACGTCGGCTACATTTTTGGGCCTTGGCATGTTCTTAATGGCATCAATTTTCTTTGGATCTTTTGAAATTTGGTTAAATCGAACTACATACCCCAAATAGTCAACTTCGTCCTTGAAAAACGAGCATTTGTTCTCATTCAGGTGTAAATCATTCTCTTGAAGTCTTTGGAGACATTGAAACAAATTTTCGGCGCATTCTTCATATGTTGATCCGTGCACTAGGATATCATCGAAATATGATATGGTTTTCGGAAGGCCTTGCAATATTTGGTCGATTATCCTGTTGAACTCTGCCGGAGCCGTTTTTATGCCAAAACTTAAACGATTCATTTTGAATGTTCCCCGGTGTGTCGAAATTGTCTGGATTGAACTACTTGCATCGTCTACCTTTAAGTGTAGGTAGGCTTTGAACAAATCTAATCTACAGAAAAATTTTGAGTTCCGTAGACTATTTAAAACAGTGTCAATGCGTTTTATTGGATAGTTCACATTGACTAAACAGTCATTCACAGCGATTTTATAGTCAACGCACAGTCTGACTTTCCCATCCGGTTTAGGAACAACAACTAGAGGTGAACCCCAGTCGCTTTTAGGACATTTTGAAATTATGCCTTGTTCTTCGAGTAAATTTAACTCGTGTTCGACTTTTTCTTGAAGAGCATACGGTAAGTTTCTTTCCGGAACGTAAACTGGTTTTGAATTTTCTCGAAGTGTTAATGAAATTGTTACATTTGGAATTAACCCGATCCTTTGTTCAAAAATTTTAGAAAACTGTGTACGAATATCATTAACATTTGTAATCTTGTTAATAGGACACGAATTATTATGGAAACTGTCGGCATCTACTTCTTCCAAGTTGATTTTTAGATGGCGAATCCAAACTCTGCCTAAAAGTGGATCTAAGTGATTTGGAACAACATACATGTCTTCAGTTGATCTGGAATTACGATATTGAACGTTTACAGTAATTTTCCCATAAGGGCGAAAAATTTGATGAGTGTAGGCACGAAATAGAACATTTGCTTGGTCAAGTTTACAGTTTATACCTAGCTTATCGAATAAATACTTTGGTATTAAGGTAAATCCCGCACCCGAATCTACCTCAAAAGTTAAATTGTGTCCTTCTACCGAAACACTAATAAAATACTTTCGCGCATCACGATCAGGCTCACATTTATTATCGAAAACGTCAATAACTTGATTAGAATCATAACTACTTGTTACCTGGTTAATACTGTTTGTATTTACAGACTTAAAACTGTTTTTATTTCGAAGGAGTGTAGTCACACAAACTTTTGCGACATGTCCGGATTTATTACAATGTTTACACTTTAAATTGTCACGATTTGCATAGCATTCATTTGCACGATGATTATCACGCCCACATCGGAAACATAGATTGTCAATACCCAGCTCACGATAGTCGATATTTGTTTGTCTATTGAAATTATCACGATTTGTCCCTTGATTTTGATTAGAACTGGCACTGCGATTTCGAAAACTTGATTTACTTCTTGAACGGTTCTGCATTGAATTTGATTTTCCCCTGGAATGTCTTTGAGTTGAAACTTTGTCGATTTGTGTTGAATGAATGGAACTTGTGCTTGCATCGGCTTTGGTAATCGTTTTGCTGTCGGCACGTGCTGCCTCCAGTGCAATAGCTTTTTGAACAATTTGGTTGAAATCTATAAGGTCTGATTGAAGAATCTGCTCCGTTATCCAGCTATCTTTAAGTCCACGAATAAACTGAGCGCGTAGAAACACATCGGCAATAGAAACATCTACTTCACACGTACATTTGTATCGAAATTTACATGCGCTTAAGTTTTGTTGAAGTGTAGCTACATATTCGGTAATCGATTGCTTATTAGACTGCACTTCGGATAGAAACAAATGTTGGGCAACTAACATATTGCGTTCTGGTGACAGGTGTTTCCCCAAAATTGAGATTAATTTGTCATATTCGATGTCTGTCGGTTTTTGTGGAGCGACTAAAGCGGCTAACGTATTGTAATTTGAACTCCCAATTGATGTAACGAGCATTTGTGCTGCTTTTTTCTTGTCGGCGTACAGTTCCTTCATTTTTAAGTAATTTTCGAACCTTTCTATATAAAGACGGAAATCTTCTTGTTTTGGATTGAACACTTCAAAAGGCGGAATATTGGCCACATTGATAACAGGAGTTGAAGGTATTGTCTTCGATTGTTGCATCATGTTCTGCATCATCTGCATGAACTGTTGGAATTGTGCAGCATCCATTTTTGTCCAGGATTCTAAAATTTGAGGTTTGAAATCGAATTAAATGGTATTAAAAGGTTTATCTCGTCGCCAATTTATTGTGTCGTAGTCGAGTGGTTTCTCGGTATTCATTATTGAATTAGAAATTGATACACAACACAATACTTTATTTACACAAAATGTATTAATATAATATATCGAATAAAATCATACTCAACTCTATACCACCAGCCACACACCATCCTGACTGTTTTACAAGCATGCGCAATAGCTGCGCACACAGTGGCGTAGATACTTTACAATAGGGTATTACCTTGGCACTTTTCCAGACCTTGGGAAAAACGTTATTCTTTAAGCAAAAGTTTATTATGAAAGTGATATGAGGTAATATTACGGAACTACATAGGATTATCATTTTTAAGCTAACACCGTCTAGTCCCACAGCTTTAGTTTTAATTTTGTAAAGATGACTTATAACATCAATTTGTGTCACGTCTCGAAACGAGAATTTATTTTTAAAGTCTTTAATGTAATTACCTTTGTAAAAATGAACTAGCTTTTCCACATTTGGAGTAGTAGCTGTATTAAGAAATCCCTGATTTATTTCATTGACATTGCAAAGAGACGTAGGAATATCTCCGCGTGACGATTTGTTATAAACATTCATTTTCCTAAGTTCACTCCAAATATTATTAATGGAATTCATTTTTAGTTGATAGGTACTCTAAATAAGCTTTTTTTTCTTGTTTTATAGCAAACGTAGTATAATTACGAAGTGACTTATAATAATTCCATTTGGCAATATTTTTTGTTTTTTTATAGCTTTTAAAAGCTTCATCTCGTAATGACATCATCAATTTTATATTAACCGTCATCCAAGGGGCTCGCGGTTTAGTTATTTTTGCTGTTTTTATTGGCGCGTGACTATCAAACAGCTCCATAATTTTTTCATTTACAAAATTTATCATCTCAACATTGACTAAGGAGTATACATGATTCCAGTCAACAGTGTTTAGGTACTCCTGACGTGGAAATAACGTCTCTGTGGACGGCTATCAAAGCTAAACCTGTGAGTCTCTGGTGCCCGGTTCGGTTCTTCAGATAGGTTTTGATGCGTTTTAAGAATGAAGAATATTCGTTCAGCAGGGCCGCCCAGAGGGGGGGGGGCAACTGGGGCCCCACTACATCAAGATGGCGCATTTAGATGGAAATCGTCATTTTTGCATTTAACTACCAAGTTTTGCATTACATCTACAGGCCTCATTTGTAATACCTACACCAATTCTTAACTTTCATAAATCGTAATTGTCAGAATACCATAAATTTAATATCGCAATTTAAAAAAATTAAAGTGTACTTGTTATTCATTTTTACATTTGATTTATTTCTTGCACTCGTGGACAAAAGTATAGGTAGTCTGCGACGCGGTTGGAATGGAGATTCAGTGCTTGTGTATCCCCACTCACATTGAATTTCTCCATTCCAGCCTAATTGTTACGGAATGTAGTATTCCGGGAGGCATGTGAGTTCGACAATTTTGACAGTATTCTTATCAACTCAGCCCTTGTAGCTTATTCTGACCGGTTGGACCACCAAGTGCCTGCCCTATACCATGCTTCAGCTGATTTCATAGTCACGAGATTCCTGAAACAGAAATCAACTATTCTGAAATAGTAATCCTTGTTTTCCGGCTATGGCTGTCCTAAGTCAGACTCATGTAATGTTTCTCTCCAACCTGAAGCGCTTGGTCACAGACGTCGGTATGCCACTCTGAGCCAACGGCCCCGACACCCCATCTAGGTTTTTGGCGCAACTTGGCCCGAGGTTTTAACCTCGAGGACTACTATTTCTCGAAATTACACATATGCTGGTGGAGGTGGAATATCAGCTGCATGACACAAAAACGAAAAACTACTCGAATCCTTCCTGTGTTAAAAAAATGCAGCGAATGGGAGTAAAAAAAAGAAAAATAAAAGAATTGGATTGTTTAATAGTTTAATAGTTTAATGTCACTTAACTGAATTTTCACCTTAAACCGACGTTTAAAAATTGCAGAATGATTGAAATCCAATTTTGATTATTTTATTGGATAGCACGTAGTTTACTTAATTAAATTTAATCATTCAAAAATGTCAAATCTATTTAAGTTTTTTTTTGTTAATAAAATCCTAAAAAATGTCCTTATTGCCAGTTCTCGGTCACTTGATTATTTTCTCGGCCAAGACTATACCAGTTCTCGGCATGGGTGGCCGATAAATCCCATTTTTCGGCCGTGTTGTTTAAGCATTAAAATAAAAGGAGAAATGAATGGAAAATAGGTGCCTAGGTACAGATAATCAAAAAAATTAATTTTATTGCAGTCAGTAGTAGATTCTAATCAAAATATTTAAGTAGATAAATAAAACAAAAATATTCCAAGTTGCCTATTTTAATATAAGTAACTAATAAAAAAACCTTAAAAATAAACATAAATAGATATCCTTAAAAAGAGGAGTAAATAATTTGTACTCATTAAAACCATTGAATAAAAACACTTATTCAATGTTAAAACTTATTTGCAGGAACTACACAAGAAATCTCTAGTTGAAGCTTCATTGTATGATAAATTAGATAACTCAGTACAAGCTAAATGAAACCACTTAGGGCATGCATCGCATCCCAGGTTTTTTAAAGAATCATCTTCTGTGTCACTTACCAATTCATCTTCGCAAAGAGAACACATCAATTTTAATTTCTTTGCTGCATTTTTTTTTTACTGTTTTATATCTTTTTTTGCATTTTTTTTATTCTGTTTTTCCAGTCTTTCATCTTTTTTCTTCTGCTGAGCTTCCTGTTTATTTAGTCTTCCTTTCTCTTGCTTTTCAATATGTTTTCGCCAAGCGTTGGACGAGATAGCACTTGGCAATTTCTCTTTTTTTTATTTTCTGAACCTTTTTTTATAGGTTCAGGAAATCTTAGATGACGAGAAAATGGGGTTAACACTTCTTCGACCTCCACAGTTTTTATAGGAGAATTTTCTTCAGGCCATTTTGGTGGTGAGTGATTACTTTCAGCTTCAATTTGTACGGTCTTTAATGGAGATTTTACTTCCGACTTCTTTTTATAAAATGTCTCCACTTTTATTGTTGAATTGTTTTCTTTATTTATTTCCATGTTTTTAATTTCTCTCGTCATTTCCGTTTTATCAACTCGCCCCTCATTTTGTATTGCCTGTTCCGATTTATCGTTTATTGATTCATTTTTCTCTGTGGTGTTATCTTCAATTTCAATAACTTGATCGGTATTTTTTTTCACAAATATCTGATTTTCTTCTTCTATTTTATATCCAACTTCCGTTGTTTCAGTTTTAGTAGTATTTTCCTTTTCTGATTGTTCTTTTTTGCCATTTTTCGAGTAAATTTTATTTTCATCCATTTCTTCGGCGTTATCTTCCTCGTTTTGATTATCGAGATCCATATTTTCGTTTTTGTCTTTAAACTTATCTTTTTTTTCCACAACCTTCTCATCAAAATTAATGTTTTCTTTGTTTTCACACACATGTTTATCAACATTTTGTATTCCTGGCTGTCGTGGTTCTTCAAATAGCTCATTTATGGGGACATTATCTAATGCTATAACATCTATTTCATCAATAGGAATAATATTCAGTGACTCCATGGGTACTAAGGTTCCTATTTCCAAAGGAAAGGTATTATTTAAATTATCCGGAATCGTATCCTGCTTATTGATGGTAATGTTGCTTATAACATGTATTTTTTTTTCTTGTCTAACACCTCCGCAATTACTAGCATCAAATGACAAATTATTTATTGCTTTATAAATTATGTCTGTATCAATACCACTATTTTTTAGTTTTCTTTCTAAAGTTTTAATCACTTTTTTTGCTGCTTCAGTGTCCTCATAGCTTATTTTCTCTACGGGCTCTACGTCATGGCGTTTTCTTTCTAATTCATTTTTAACGCATTTAGTGTAGTCAACATTGTTTGGATCTAAAGGAAACAAGCCGCATTTTCGAAAGCCATTAATAATACATGGTTCCATATCTACTTTATTTAACGTCTGCTCAAATACTTGACAAAAATTTATTTTTGTCACAGCGGTATTAACGTCTTGTTCACTTTGCCATTGCCTGACAGTCTTCTTCCATTCATGTTTTAGTGGCCGAAATACACTAACATCCGCTGGCTGTAGGATGTGAGTGGTATTTGGAGGAAGGGCATACAAAATTATTCCATTTTTGTCACAAAATTCACTTAGGAATATATTAAGGTGTGATCTGTGTCCATCAACAAATAATATTATAGGCCTCTTAATATTGTTGTCCGTAAGCCACTTGTTAAAATCGTTGCAAATATATTCGAAAAAGACATCGCTTTTCATCCACCCACTGTCGGATTTTCCTAACACCCAATTCTCTGGCATATTATTTATCAATGTTTTTGGAGGTCTGACGTACGGAAAAACAACAAGTGGAGGACAAATGTTACCACGGGCATTAAATGTTACTAGTACTGTTAAGGCTTCCTTTTCGTTGCCTTGTTTAATGGAATAAACATTTTTAAATCCGCGAGGAGCAAGGACTTTTCCTGTTTTTGGACACAGTGAAAATCCGGATTCGTCACCGTTAAATATGCGGGAAGGGTCCTCCATAATGTCCAAAATGTTGTTTTCTGTTAAGAATATTTCTAATTCTGTAAACCATGACCTAATATATTCTTCTGTGATAATTGCCCTTGCCTTGTTTATACTCTCAGATTCACGTAACCGAATTTCTGGATGCCTTTTGGTGAAACCAGCATACCATTTCTCTCCAGGTCTCTCGTTTTTGAATTTTTCAATTTTTCCGTTGTCTCTTGCTATTTTCGTTACTGTTTCCATTAGTTCATGCTTTTTTATTGGGAATCCACACTTGGCAAGACCAATGACCCAATTGCTGATGCGTTTTTCTCCTTCGATAGTCATAATTGGTTCTGGACCCGTTTTACGCAATCGGTCTGGTGTTTTCCCCGACACCCTGTCTTGGAGAGTAGACCTTGGTACATTAAACTCTTTTGCAGCACTTCTTATGGACATTTGGCCCTCTCTAACAGCATGCAGTGCAAGCTTAAGGTTTTCTTCAGAGTAGCTGAATAACTTTCTTGCCTGCATCGGAAATTTTTTGCCTTTGACTGTGGCCATCTGAAAAACATTATTTACCTAGTAGGTAAGCATTTTATGTAAAATTGTAATTTACAGTTTTAAGATTCGTAAGTATCTTAAAAAAGCACGAAGGTTAATACGAAATCAGGTAAAAAGCACATAAAACCAATATAAGTTAAAGGTAATGGCCGAAAAAAGGCCAAGATACCTTTTCTCGGCCGCTCTTTTAAACATTTTTATTTCCCGCGCTTTTTTAGATAGTCCGGCCGAAAACTGGCTATTTTGTGGTACTAACTGTCCTAAGTATGCCAGAGAAAAGGATACGAATTATTATGAACCAGTAAGACAAAAAAAGATAAACAATATCATGCTCTACGACCTGTTCTCGGCCACCCTGGCCGAGAAGTGGATTGAGCGTTTTGGTTAAGCCAGTTTACCGGCCACCCCATAAAATAATTAGTACTTATGAATTATCATTATTTTCTTAAATATAATAGTACATCGACATATTATTTATCTAAAATTTAATAACACTTACCTTTATAATCAGTATTACACAAAATAATCACTATTCCCTTATGAGATGTACCCTAGCAAATCTGCAGTAAACAGCCGCAGGCACGCACGTTTCACAAGAGCCAACTTTTAACTGCCATTTTTTATGGTGACATGTGCTTAAAAAAATGGCGTGATCCGTAAAGTGGTGGGGAAAGGAGTGTTGAGTAGGATCTGTAAAAATCGCGGATCGAAACAAAAGTTTGTACTAATTTATTCCCTAATTCTCCTAAAGTGGCCGAGAACGGGTGGTGGCCGGCTAACTGGGCGATTCACCCTATTTTATTCCATAAACAAACGGCAGTACTTTTAAATTCTAGGTTATTAAATCAATAAGCTCATTTTCTTAGTTTACTTTTAAATCCATTAGGACCTAATTCACAAACTATTTAGGTAAAGAATGTTGAAATTTTCTTAGGCATTTGTAGTTATATTCAGTGGTAGACAAACTACAATCATAGCTGTGGTATATTATGCTACAATGATTCACGAATATGTAGTGTGTGTTGCATTTGCAAAAATGTCTTTACGGTCAGAACTTGAAATTATTCAAACTCGTTTATGTAACATAGTTATGAAGTGCAAAATTTTCATAGCAGATCAAATTATTATTACATATAGTTAATAATTATGAAATTAATTAATAATATATTTTATATTATTAAAATAATGTTGCTATAAATGTATTACTTTGGTATTTGTTTAATTTGTTTTGTCGTAAATAGAACAATCATTATTATCAAACATTAAACAAGTCGGCTCGTTGGTCTAGGGGTATGATTCTCGCTTCGGGTGCGAGAGGTCCCGGGTTCAAATCCCGGACGAGCCCTATTTTTTTTAATAGTTAACTACATTCTTGTAAATTATCCATCCTGCTACTCATATTTTATTGTTGTTTTATATAAGCAGTAAGGCCAATAACTCGTTTTTAAGGTGTAAGTGTAACCTATTGTATAATACACTGATAAAGCATGTTGAAGGAAGATTTGAAAATTGAAGTAATGGGACGTGTTGCGGGTGGCCTATCAAGAAAATTCCGTTACTCAATATTGGGTTCTTTAAAAAGCGGTCGTGCACAGAACCGTATCTAAATATTTTATTCTATTCTATCCCGAGAAGCTCTTCTATTAAATTTATAAATTGAAACTTTAGAAATGTAAAGCATTAATTGGTTACAAAAACCCATTCAAATAGACCCATGCGGCATAAATAATTATACCACAGAATAAAGATTACGCTACAATATTTTCCTATTCTGTGACTATACCATGTTGGAATAAGCACGCCAGTGGCGCAACCAGAGAGAGGGCCGCCGGTTCCGAGAATCCAGTTTTGCTATCAAATCGTAGTATGTATTGCCTTCAGGGCCCAAACACTGCGTAAAAAATTTATAATTGACCACATAACGCAAATTTTGGGCTCTTCCGAACTGGTTGGAGGCATAGCAAAATGTACTCCCTCCTATCGTGTAGGAACAACATGTTCAGCACTTCTTACACAATTACTGTTCAAAAAACGTCAAAGTAGAGGATTTCTTATGGTAAGTCATTTTTCGCTCTAATACTAAAAAAATGAACAGTTTCACTGGGATAGAACTTTTGTAAGGACAATGGAGTAAACAGATTTTGGCTCTCAAGAAGGTGTTCCTTTGATCACCATCTTTTTTATATAATATATAGATCTATATAAAATATTGAAAATAAAATGTAACGAGTAGATAAATATGTAAAAATATACCGAGAGATGCATAAACAAAAGATTGAAAGCCCCATCATCTTGCTCTACGCCAACTGCTTCACTTCCACTGAATAATATATCACACTTCCACTAGTGAAGTCTTAAGTGTTTTCTTAAGAAAATCATGATCGCGCGTATTTATTTCAAAACGTAAGGCAAACGGAAATAGAAATGACAAATTTGTAGAAGATAAATTGTAGAGGATCAAATTTCCAACACAATTTTGCAACGGCACATGTATCAATCTTCAACCTTTTACGAATAATAAACATCTGTGATTTTCCGAAATCATTCTCACCTGGTTCAGGCGCATTTACAATGATCCATGATCTCACATAATCTTTTAAATGTGACGCAAGGTGCACTAAGTAACCCTACGTGCTTCTTTTATTTCACTAATTGCGTCGTTACATTCTGATGCCAGTTAAAAAAAGCGTTGTCGAAATCGGTTGAGTGTAACCGGAGATTCGCTGGTGAAAATGATCGTTTACCTTACTTGCACGGACGCGCTGCGAACAACTCTCACAGTCGTCATGGAGGCCCTTCTCGGTCTGCCGCCGCTAGATCTCCACGTGAGAGATAGGCCACTCTGCAGGCATCCTTGCATCTGAAAAATAAGGGGTTGTTGAATAGCAGAGGTATTGAGGGATGCCACTCTTTAGTCAAACTGAGACGATCCATGTTGAAGGTATTCTTGCCGGACATGGCTACGATTAGAGTCGCATTTCATTCCAGCATCCTTAGGTTCATCTTACCTGTGGGATGGCTTTAGTAACGTTGAGGGGTCAGGTCTACTCTAGTCAGGGTGTACAAAGGGTCCGAATTTGAGGTCTATTAACGCGTGGATCCTGTCCACCCTCCTATCGTAATCGAGAATCCAGAATGGTTGAAATTGAAAGAGGAGTGAATCAAGGCCTACCATTTTTAACATTTACTTGGTCGAAGTGATACTGGAAAGAAGGCAGGAGGTAGAAAAATAAAATGTGTCAGATTTGCAGACGATATTATTCTTTTGCAAAAAGTGCACTTGAGCCATGGCGAGGAGGACGTTTGAAAATTAATAAAAAGAAATAAAAGTTAATGAAGATCGGGGAAACCGAAAGATGAATTGTTCAAGTGGGCGATGGTTTAGAACAGGTGATCAGATATCTTGGAACTGAATCGAAAAGCATGGCAGAAATGAAAGCAAAAATAGATAGGGATGGGTAAAGACGCATTTAGGCAGAAAAATATATTACTTGCTAGTAAAATTGAACTGGAGTTGAAGACAAGTCTAGTGATGTGTTTTGTGTGGAGTGTCTTCCTATATGGCTGGGAAACGTGGATATTAAGTGAGAGGGAGAAGAAAATAATTAAAAGTCTGGAAATGTGGTTATGGAGAAGGGCTTTGAAAATCAAAATGAAGATGTGTTATTGAGAATAGCGGAGAAAAGAAAGTTACTGAACGCCGAGCACTACTTATGGGCTTATGTTATATTTACATTTTACATCAAAATTTTTCCGAAAAATGCCTGTTGAGAGTTTCTGTTCTGGTGCGAGGACTGAGGAACCTGGAATTACTGAAACTTTAATTCTTCGATTTGTCAACACCATGTCACCATCTTTTCAATTTTCTTAATCGCCTCCTGTGTTCTTGAGTGAAGAGGTCTACCAGATTATGGATCATCCTGTATGATGGCGTCTCAACGAAATTGTTCCGAACAACAATTTTAAGCAAGCCATAGAATTGTATGTATTGTTATAAGAAATACACTGTAAACTTCAAATCAAAAATTCAAGACTAATTTCCGAATGAAATAAATGAAGTATTTGGTACCTATCGCTGATTGTGCACTTGTTTCTCTATCGACTGACGTACAAATCTAATATGCCGTCCATACAAAAATAAATGAACGCCAGCGTAATCTCGAAAATGGCCACAGCTTCGCTATTTTGTAAAGCTACAAGAAAATTTGAAACGAAACATTTTGCCCACTTAGGCGTTGCCATCTCAAAAAATTGAACTAAAATAAAATGTCAACATTTGATGAAATTTTGACAAAGCTAAGAAGTAATAAAAACTCGCCCTGTATAAATACAGAAAACGAGTCTCCTACATTGAACAAAAATCTCTGTATTGTAGTACTGTACAGTCTACGTCTGTATATGAAAAACTCAGAAGCGTAACTAGGGTGGGGTAGGCAGGGCACGTACCCTGGGTGCCGTTCAAAAGGGGGCGCTAAAATCGCCAATTATTAAATTTAAAAATCAAAATAAACATCATATCATGCAATCCCATGAGTGGTGGGCCCAAAAGAATGTTTATTTTGTCTGCTTTAAATAATCTCGACCGATTTAAGCTTAAAGCGACGTTCCTGTAATCCGAGATGTCGGAGGAATTAAACATGACAATGACCATAAAAATTCTGTCGAGTTTTGTTCCTCATAGCGAAGAAGACTATCTCTGGTCCTACTGTTCACCCATAGCGTAGAACTCTTACACCTAGTTAGCCATAGCGTAGGTTGCCCAAGTCCTATTGTTCACCCATAGTGTATAGGACTAGAACACCTACTGTTCACCAATAGCGTAGGTTCCTCCCGAGTTACAGCTCCATTTGACATCTGGGATTGCCACTGTTTAAATAGCGTGACAGAGTGTCAATAAAAGTCGCTGACCTGAACCTTCATGTCTGCTGACCCGTTACTCCAAAAAGAGTTAAACCAAGCGCCGGCGCAACGTGCTGTAACGGCGTTACCAGAAACGTCGTGGCATCACCTCGGAGTCAAAACAACTACCAAAACTTTTTTGAAAAAAAATTGTGTAATGGTTTTGTCCGTCCGTCAGTCTGTTCTTCGTCTAACTCGAGAACGAAAAGAAATATTAAACTGTCGCCAATCGATTTCTCGTAGTGTTTCCGAACGAATTTTTAAAATATTCCAATAGTGTTCCAATATTACAATTTAAATTTAGTAATTTTGTGTAAGCTCTGGTGTAAGAATTTTTAAGGCATATCTCCACCTTATAAATTAGTACATGATTGCTCAGCTCAGAAGTTACCCAAAAACTATGTGTAATTTTCACCAAATTGTGAGTTGCAAAAATAATTTAGAATTTTAGTCAGTCGGCGGCAAATTTGTACCTAAATCCGTCACCGTTTTTGGGCCTGTACCGTCCTATGCTTCAATTGTGTTCTAATTTTCCTTACATCATCCAGCATTTTTCTCAATTGAAATCGCTACCACTTACTCAGGAGACTATTCTGCCTCTCCCCCCAAGGGAACAGTGTCAAGGGGCCCCTCTAGAATTTTGTGAGGACCTAAGCGAGACGTTTTATTTATCCTATAAACTTTTGCTGTAGGACCTACACTTTTCTGCAGCAGGTAAATTAAAAATTTACACACTGCGACTAGGTACATTGCTAAAATAGGAGAGTGGGACTTTTGCCAATTTATGAGTACTATCTCAATTTTTGATGCGCCGATTTTGCTCGGCCGCTAATCATCGGGGCGTAAAGTGCGACGCCTTTACGATTTAAGGGATTATAAAATGGTGTG